CGTGGGCTTTATTTTTTCTACCTCTTTACCTCGGGTGCCATGTGCTCTCATGACAGCTGTTTTGGCGCTTCTTTGATCCGACTCTTGGCGGCCGTATGTCCCCTTTGTGACTTGAACCTGGATTTCTTCTCATGCCTCGTTATCTCTTTCTCGGCGGCACCGGCGAACAATCACCCTGTTAAGTGACTGAGGATCAGCCGTATTGTCAAACATGGCACACCATAGGGTCATTTACGTATGTATATCTGTGGATGCCTGATACATTCATGACACTTATCCTACTCGCGGCTTAGGGTGCCGATATAAGCTCTAAGCTTCATCGCGTGTTTAGTGACATATTAGGAGATGGGGATGGGGCAGAGGCCACGGGTGCTGCTCTCTTATTATGTCCTGAGTCCTAACCCACACCCCACTTCCCCAGCCACAGCCTCTCTCTGGTCTCTTTTTCGGGATATTGCAAAGCCAAGGGGTATCATTGGCTTTCACATGAACGTTACGAGGCGCAGGTACAGGAACCTGTGTGACAAAATGTGGTTACGGACGCAAGTGCTGTGCCTAACCAGCCGTTTCCAGTAAAAGGATAGGAGATTATCTGACAGTATTGTAAACCAAAAGAAGTGATCTACGATAAAAAACACCTCTCAAACTTTTAAAGCCCAAGAACACAGCCATCACTTCTAACCCCAACCCTGACATCTAGACTCTAACCCTACATGTACGTATCTTTTCCAACCTAGCTCACCGAGGTGTATAGCCAGTTTCCATCGTAGAGTCGGCCTAGTGCACAGTCAGGCAAAAAGAACTGGAAAAGGCGTCAAAAACAAAATCATAAGTATCCGTCCGTTAGTTCCGCCTCACCTCATCATGCCTCAATCTTTCCTCTTTAATATCTGCTGCTTCTATACAAGCTCTTGTTACAACTAAATGACGGCCCAATCGTGTCTTGTTCTGGTGGAGTCATCCGGAAGAGAGGGCCCTGCAGCATACATCATTTCTGCTTCCGAGGACGGCAGCGCCCAAACTTTGGTGAAGACCTCACAAGACACTCTTTTGAAGAGTACCAGCAGCTCAACGCGCTTCTTCAAGAGACACGTTCTTTTTCAAGAGACCGACAGTCTCGGTAGCAACTCTACGCCCAGTGAGTTACTTTCCTTATACCATGCGGTGATGGCATAATCATTGACTTTCTTATTCTCCTGTGTGTTTCGATTTTCTGGTTTCGGTATTAGCCAACTCTAACATGGCCAACCATAGGTCATCGTCAGTAGCCTTGTGGCTTTACCCACCAGCAGGGCACTGGTTCAGCATGTTTCCTACGATCAATCCTTCACCCAGGCCATAGCCAATCCTGATTCGATGGACTGGGCTTTCTACACTCATATGTTTGCTCTCTACGAAGAAATTTTTGTGCACGTCGACCAGCAGGCGGCCGAGTAGTCCTGCCTAGGCGGGCCTTGCTTGTTCGCGATGACATGTCTCCGACAGAGAAGGACGCCTTGGAGTCATTGCGTCAGTCGTTGGCGGCTTGATCGGATTAGCACTCAAGCTCGCGGAGAGCTAATATATAACATTATATCAGACAGTGCCGACTATCCCTGCTTGTACACGGAGATTTGCCAGGCTTCCTGTTTCGATTCCATACACGAGTGTAGAGGACGCACAAAGCATATTGAGAGTCGAGGCATCGGACCGCCCGGGGGGTGGCGTTACGCCGGTTAGAGCTTGAGCCTTTCCTTTACTAAATCCTTTATTAGAATGCACAAATCCCTCATGCTGCTTTCGTGAAGAACATGTACTCCAACTACTTCACCAGTACAAATCATAATGACAGCCCGCGGTATTAACTGAGTCCAAATCCAACACTCATACAGGACGAGAACATCAGCTCTCCAGGGGCCAGACATGATTAGGACAGTAAGCGGGCATGCCGGGTGATCCATCATCTACATCAGTTCTCATGTCAATATCGCGGGGCTCACTGCCCCGGCCCACGATGGCAAGTTCAAGGGAGTCCTTGAACCGCTCATCTGTGAAGTCGATCTTCGCCTTGCCCCATGATTTCGACGTCATCTTATCGCGAACGGCGGTCGAAGGGAAGCCGTTCCACCCGATAAGGTCTCCGTACTAGATGGAGGTCAGTGACTTGTTCTCCGCAACCGCCGAAGACGCGCATGGTGGCAAGACTCGGCTGCGGGGCGGGGGGGTTAGGGGCCGGCTTACAAACCAAGTTCCAAAGTGGTTCTCCTGCCTCATATCATCCGCCGTCTTGGCGAACCGAAAAGCGTGGGTTCCCGGCCCCTCCTTGTGGTAGACGATCTTGGCATGGGTGCCGTCCACGAGGAGGTCCCGCCACGCCCTCCTCTCGTACAGCCCGTGTGCCGACGCGGAAACGTACTCGGGCACGCCGTCGCGGACGAAGACGACGACGTGTTCCCAGTCGTTGATGTGCCCGAGGCAGGGAGAAATCTGGTCCTTCTCGAAGTAGTATCCGTACATGTACGCGCACCAGCCGTTGTTGCAGCGCGCGCGGGAGTACACGTTACTGTTCTCCAGGTCCAACTGGTCGCGGCAGCGTCCTGCCGTCGACCAGGCCTCGCAGACCCCTATCCCGGCGTTGAGGTTTCCGTCGCGGTCGACGGCGGGCGTGTTGTAACAGCTGTCCGTGTCGAAGTCTAAGGCTGTTGGAAGAGTCTTGTCAGCCAAACAGCACATGCCAGCAGAGGAAGACATGCGCCGTGTTGAGGGGAAGCCTTACCAGGCTGCCATTTCTTGTCTGCTTCGGGCGCGCATTCGTTGATTTTGAGAGGAAATGCAGGCTTCATTACGGCCTTTGAAATACCACGACCAATGGGAGACGCCGCAGACGCAGTCCATAGCAAGCACCAGGCCACCAAGAAGGTGCTCGTGGACATACCGAAAGGGAGGTTGCCGAGTATTTGGTTGCCAGATGTACGAGTTTGTGATCGCCGGGGGAAAATATGATCAAACTTTGGCCGTGTTTATCCTTCTATTAACATGAATGAGAAAGAACAGAGAAAAATCTGTGCCAATCGCTATCATAACGTGTCCTTACATCTGGGAAGCTGGAGCGTTTAAGAGGCCCATGGTTCGCCAACCTTCGGAAGTCGGGGACATGATATCAAGCCTTTACAAAGCTCACCTACCATGGTACTTTGCATGCTAACATGCTACAGAATTCGAACATTTCACCCCGCCATCGTGATCTGTATCGAACCACAGGTTGCTGTTGTCTTCTGACCAACCTCTAAAAACGCAAACTCTTTCTCGGCTGTGTCTTGTGAGTTCGACCATCCGCGATAATAAAGTGTGGCTGGAACTTGGACAGCATCAATCCATTGAACCCCTGCAGGTTTGGCCTATACTAAAAATAAGTATTAGTAGGAGAGAAGAGCGACTTTCGAAATCGGTGCTTCAATGACCTTGTTAAACAGCAACCAGGTTCTAAGAGTCCTATTAGAACTTTAGAAGCGCCTGTTACACTCCATATGAGTTGAACATCCTGCATTTCTTTTTCCATTCTTTTTCTATTCTGAATAAAAGTGTGGTCTTCTCATAACAGGCTTAATAGATCGGAATTGGCATGGAATGGGTCCAAGTCTCTCACGGTTTCCAATCGGCAGCTGACAACCTCTCAGATTTCGTTATCAACAATTCTTGCTATCAGCAACCGCCCGCATCGCTTGGCATTTTCGGATCGTCAAGTTGCAGCTCTTATCAGCGAACTGTAGCCGCTACTTCGGGGTCGTCGGTCCAATCATGCCGGCGTGCTCTGCATGCAGGCTTGATTGCACAAGGCTGGCAAAGGATGGCAGATCTCTGGCCCACAGCCATCCTAATACATACCACATGGATGCGATTCCGGCTGCTCGGAATGGACAGCCACGCATGCCGCTATCGCAGTACATAAGACGGGTCGGCCCAATCTACCGGCAGTGCGATGTCGACCATGCACGACACGGGGCGGACGCCATCCCCGCGATCGAGCGTCGAACCGTAACGGTGCAGGATAGTAGCCCCGTATCATGACCACACGCGGCGTCAACACTTCGATGCGAACAATGATAGGTAGTTGGATCGTTCTGCAGGGCATGTAAACAGCGTCAGACAATAGGCCGCCGTTTGGTGTCGCGCGGCAAGAAAAGAATCGACTCTTGCGTCGTCAACACCTGTAACGGCCGCGGCTGGAAAGCCTCCAGGACGGGACTTGCAATCATGGCGATGACCTTCTGCATATGCACCCAGGATACAGAAGGCGACCTGTACCATGGAGTGGCATCATCGCGGGGGATCCTGAGGGTGTTGGACGCGGCATTGATATGCTCCCCGCCTGATAAGGCAAGGCAGTGCAACCCACCAAGATTCCGAGATGCATTGCCAGACCAAGACAACGGCTCTCGCCAAGTGTTTGTTTACAGAGCCTCACTAACGACTTTCCAATGTTCTCGGCGCCAGAAAAAGACATCGCGCTGATTTGGCTGCTGAGATGACGAGACGAAGTAGGAAAACGAACCTCTCTGAGTCGGGTATTGTTGTCAACGTCGTTCCCAGAGTCGTCAAGAGTTGTTGTATTTGCCAAGCCGGAGTTAAATCAAAGAGCCCGATGCTTATCAGCTCCACAGACGCGTGTTCGGTGCTTGGCAAAACTATCAACTCCTAACGAGCAGAGTTGTTCACATGCAAACGGGGGTCCGATTCGCCATCCTTTCCCACGTTGCAATCTAGAGTGGGAAGTCAACACATTTAAACAAGCAAGGCTTCTATTGACTCGGCTCCGTCGGCGACCCTGGCCACAAGTGGGACATCACGACATGGAGAGTAGCGTTCTCGGAGCAATATATTGCGCGATGACGTCCCGAAGGCCGCCTGTTGTCTAACCTTTGCCAACAAGACTGGGCGCCTAGGCCTGTCAACCTTAGCTCGATGCCAGGGGAGGGGGAGGGGACTATTGATCTCCTTCCTATTCTCCTCTGGCTCGGGGACGCCAAACCTGTCGAAGAACCCCAGGGGTAACTCGACACGAGGCGCACACGACGCATACGAGCTACACCGCACAGCTTACAGCTCACGCCGGTCCTTCATCGGTATTGCTGAAACCCGCTGTCTGGCTTGACCTACCTTATTCGACTGCCGCCGACGCCGTATCTCGCGGCCCGTGCGACGGGAATGTCAACCCTGAATTCCCCCACCAACGGGGCCATAACGGCTGAACACAAACGATGAGTCGATGTCGTTGATGCTGAGGGGGTTTGAGGGACTTTGAAATCCACAATCAGCAGACGACACCTCCCATGCTCGCCAAGCCCAATGATTGCATCCATTTCCGATGGACGCGAGTCACGCGGTCGGTGGCCTCCGGGATGCCCTCCGGCCTTCTCCCCTTCCTCGTCCCCCCCGCTGCGCCTCTGCCATTTCGACTTGGACAAAACCCGAGTGATTGGCTTTCTAAACCCCCGAACCCCTGCCCGCTCGCCGTTGGCCATTGCTGCTTGCGCCTTGGCTACCCTCCTCGGTCGTTGGCCATGGTGGCATGGCCCCTAGATCGTAACGCCAACGGCTGTTAGGCCCCCCTCTCTCTCTCCACTATCCCCAGTTAGACAAGGATGCAAGCCGAGTTCCCCCCTTGTTGCGGCTCTTGGCATTGGCACGAATCCACACCCACAGCGCATCGACTATCAGTGCCGGGGAGCTGGCAGCTGTCGTTCACAGTGCTGCTAGGCAAATGCGATCAATGGCATCGTTCTTAAGGTAACACTAGATGACTAGCGACTCGAATGGTCTGGCCAATACTCAGGGGGAGGGGGGAGGGGAGCGTAGCAACGCAGCACTCATGTCGACCAGCTTGAATGAGAATGAGAAAGCCGTTGACTGCTTTATCCCCACTGCTGTACGTCCGCCGCTGACATGCTGGCGACATTTGGAACCACGACAGCGCCCTTGGTCGTCGAGGATCGCAACCGACGGCCGTTGACGATTCGGGAAGCTCGTTATACCGACGAAGTGGTGAGAAGCGGAGGCGTCAATCCGTGGAGATTTCCATCCCGACAGAGAAGGAGGCGAGTTGTTCTGATGCCGCCGCCGCATCCCTCGATGCACACAAGCGAGAGAGAGAGAGAGAGAGAGAGAGAGAGAGAGAGAGAGAGAGAGACCATACCAGCTTCGGACGCGCACCGAACCACGCATAGATCATGCAGTTGTCTGTGCCAGGCCAAGCTCATTGCCGAGAGCCACGCGCATCAAGACAGGGCCTCCAGTGCGTAATAGACCATGAGAAGAGCCACTCTGAGCCGGCATTTGCCATTAGGGGCCCGTATGGGGGTTTCTTCCCGCCTCCATACAGAGCCCATCTGGCAACTGGTCGTCTCTTGAACCCCCGCCGCCCCCTGCGTCCCTCTGTCCTCGGACATCATCTACCGAAACGGCAGGCCGGAAAGACGTGAGGGCGGTGTGGATTCATGTCGTATTTAATAAAGTCCTCCGTCCCCCCCTCTGCGTCGGGGTTGGAGCCAATGCCGTTTCGCGACCTTCCGAATTAAGCATAACTTGGGCTTATATGGCCCCTCTGTTGACGCAACGTCCGGCGGCTACGGCCAGCGCAATCGACAAGATAATGGCATACTATGCGTGTCAGTACTACAACGGCGAGTCGAAGATGGCACCAGGAGACGTCCATAGGATGCCAAGCTCGCTTTCAGTTGGTTCAAGGGTCTCCGCCAACCATTGACGGGACACTGCCCGTACAGACCTCGTAGCTACACTAGTTTGCCTCCCCCCCCCCCCCCCCCCAGAGGAAAGATAATCACAAATGATGCTAATCGATCGGTCGGGGGAGACGCAACTCCCGGGACCCCTTATCGCCTTTTGGCTTGGCTCTTCCAAGCGAGGTCTTCCTGCTCCTGGGCCCCTGTATCCGCCTCGCAGCCCAAGCAACGTCAGCTCTCCTCCCCCCAGCAGGGATAAGCAACGCGAGTGGGCAAGCTGTAAATCAGCCTCGGTCTTTTCTCGCAAGGTAACAAAAGTTCTGCAATACGACCGTTGCGGTCCTCTCGCCTGCTTTCCCCATCCAGTCTATTCTGCTAGTATGTCGTCTTCCTTGCTCGGGAAGCCTGGCAGCTCTGGCTCCAAGTCCGTTTTAGGCAGCTTGACGACTCCGAGCTTGACAGCCGCGGGCTTGGCAAAGCATCACGCAAGATGCCACCTTGACAGGCGCAATGAGAGAGAGCGGGTGTAAGGAGAGCGAGATGCATGGAGAACACGCCAACGTCCTCTTCCATCGTCGCCGCCACGGCTGCCGCCCCCCGAACATGATCGTGAGATGCGGGTATAAAGAAGGGCTCCGTCCTCGTCTTTCTGGCCGTTCTCTTCTCTTCGTCCCCATCCGCTCTCTCTGCCGCCTACGAACAGCCCCCCAAGGTTTCCTTCGTCCACAATGGCCAGCCTCCGCCGTCTCGCCCTCGCCATCGGAGCCCTGCTCCCGGCCGTCCTCGCCGCCCCCGCCGCCCTTAACAGGCGCGACGAGCCCGCGGCCGTCCCCGGCAAGTACATCATCACCCTTAAGGAGGATGCCGCCGTCAACGTCGAGTCCCACCTGAACTGGGTCACCGACGTCCACAAGCGCTCCCTGGGCAAGCGTGACACGGCCGGTGTTGAGAACACGTTCAACATCAGCACCTGGAAGGCCTACTCCGGCGAGTTCGACGAGGCCACCATCGAGGCGATCAAGGCCAGCCCCGAGGTATGTCTCTTGACTTGTGCGAATCTTTCGCACGCCGCAGGGTGATGGGCCATTCTGACAGAACCAAACAAGGTCGCCGTGGTCGAGCCCGACTACTACATGTACCTCTCTGACTTCGAGGTCGACGAGCGTGCGCTCACCACCCAGACCGGCGCCACCTGGGGTCTGGGATCCATCTCCCACAAGACCTCGGGCTCGACCCAGTACGTCTACGACACCTCGGCCGGCGCCGACACCTACGCCTACGTCGTCGACTCTGGTGTCATCTCCACCCACACCCAGTTCGGCGGCCGCGTCACCCTCGGCTACAACGTCTACACCGGCACCCACACCGACACTCTCGGCCACGGCACCCACGTCGCCGGCACCATTGGTGGCTCTACCTACGGTGTTGCCAAGCAGGTTAGTCTTCTCTCTCTCTCTCTCTCTCTCTCTCTCTCTGGGGTCCTATCGGTTCGCCGGACGGGCCCCGTCTCTCGCCACGCTTGGACAACGGATGGCTAACTCGTCTCCCCCGCCCCAGACCAACATCATCTCTGTCAAGGTCTTCCAGGGCGCTACCGGCACCACCTCGTCCATCCTCGCCGGCTTCAACTGGGCCGTCAACGACATCGTCTCCAAGGGCCGGGCCGCCCGCTCCGTCGTCAACATGTCTCTCGGCGGCCCTGCGTCCACCACCTGGACCACCGCCGTCAACGCCGCCTACTCCCAGGGCGTCCTCTCCGTCGTGGCCGCCGGCAACGGCGACGACTTCGGCAACCCCCTGCCCGTCTCCTCGCAGTCCCCCGCCAACGTCCCCAACGCGCTGACCGTCGCCGCCATCGACTCGAGCTGGACCCCGGCCTACTTCACCAACTACGGCGCCGGCGTCGACATCTTCGCCCCCGGTGTCTCCATTCTCTCCGCCTGGATCGGCGGCAACTCGGCCACCAACAGCATCAGCGGCACCTCCATGGCCGCCCCTCACGTCACCGGCCTCGCCCTCTACCTCCAGGCCCTCGAGGGCATCACCACCCCGGCCGCCCTCACCGCCCGCATCAAGGCCCTCGGCACCTCCGGCCGCATCACCGGCACGCTTAGCGGCAGCCCCAACCTGATTGCCTACAACGGCAACGGCGCGTAAGCATCGATGACGAAGCGAGTCGAAGAGGAGGAGTACGAATAATGAGGGGCTTTTTTACGACGTGAGACGCTCACAGTATTTATTTCACTAATAGTCAAGCACCGTTGAGGTGGTTATCGGATCTAAAAGAGAAGCATTCAAGTAGCTGAATATAACCTCTGCGGAGGACGTTTGGACTCATCCTTAGTATCGGTTGTTTTGCGTGACCCTGTTTGATGTCCTACAACCCTGTCTTTCTAGCTTGGGACTCCATGTACTCCTTATGGCTATCCCGCAAGGTCGTGATGTCCTCCCTCAATTCCGCAGCTTTTTCCCTGCCTTCGTCCAAAGCTGTCTGGATACTCTTGTCACACTGACCACCACACATCGACCTGATTTTTGCCCTGCCGAGCCGGGTTCTCAGATCTGCCAGGCTCCCTCGGTATCCCTCGACAGCCGCCGTGGGCGAGGCAATATTGACATGCGCGTCAAAGAGAGATTTGATCAGCGAGCCGAGGACCATTGAGTCGCATTTCCAGCCTCCTTCAGGGTACGTTGAGTGGGATTCGCATCTAGTCATGATGCAAAGGTTCCATAAGTCGAAATAGGGTTGAAGCTCGGCGCCGAGAATCTTTTGTCGGCTGCTTAAGATTATCTCTGGATGCGCGTCAGAATTTCTCGGGGTTTCACGACGTGGAGAAAAGCCGAGGCAAAGGATACGTCTTACCGTCAATGTCCGGGGGCATGAGATGAATCAGCGAGTTGAGAACCAACTCCGGTGGGCGCACGCGATAATGAGAGCTGCGATTGTGAAGCTTGGGGACTTTCTTCCGCCGGCCGTAAATGACGTTGCCGTCGTTGTCAATGAGGCATTCGTTGGTGATTTTGTGCAGCATCTGCTTGAAGAGAGCAGAGTCGCCTAGCTCCCACGCAACACATAGAAGTTCAGGTTCCTCCGTCTGACCCACGACCGACGGGTTACGGAGCCAAGCTTTTGCCCAGGGCCGCAAGAGGCGAGTCGCATCGTACTTTTCTGTGTGAGCCAGCAGATCGTACAGGTTCCACAGCGAGAGCTCTGTTGGGACCTTTTCAAAGGCTCCGTGGATTATGCCGAACAGGATCTCCATCGAGGCGCAATCGTCGTCTGGCAAATCGACAACCCAGTCGCTGCCGTCCGAGGGGCGCGATTCCGCGAACCCTCCAAAGAGCATCCTCTTGAGCACGAGCGACGAGCGGGACACAGTCTTGGAGTCGACTCGAAAGGGATTCAGGCTGGGACCGACGCGGATCGTCAAGTCGCCGTCCTGATCATAGGTTACCAGCTCGTTCGAGACGGCCGACGCGGACTCGCCGTCGGCATCAGCGGACGGCGGATTGGCGGTCATCGTTCTTTCTAGAGGACTTTGTTACGCGGATAGCTTGTACGCGAAGCTATCCAGGCTGGGGTCTGAACGAAGTGACATGAAAGGCGATGAAGGTCGCCGGGGCAACCCAGACACGAGACTAGTGAGCCTCGACGGAGCCGAAATAAGAAAAATAGTCAGCTGATCGGACATGCACGCCCTAAACCGACCAGAACATGCAGACAACGGGGCCATCAAAGAGTCCGAGGACCACGGACGAAGCTAGATGGACTAGCAGAACCGCTAAGTAATTTAAGCGTGGCTTTTTCTCTATCCTTTATGACGGTGAATATGATAAAGTAACACGTGAAAACCGACCTGAGCCCGAGTGTTGGTCTCCAGAAGCATGGGTCATCTTGTTGTGAGGTAACCCGTCACGATAGCTTCATACAGCACCTATCCCTTTAGTTGCAAAATGATTATCGTCTAGGTGGACCCATTCCCACTTTTACCCCTCACTTTCGGAGATACGTGACAATACATTGTTCTACAATGTTATTTTGCTAGCAACCACCACCAATTTCAAACTAACATCATCATTAAAACTACAATACCTTCTGACTTATATACCTTTATCTATGGTACTATTTACGTAGAGGTCGAGTAGGAGGACCTTACTGTTGCCTACCTAGATAACTATATCCTAGAGTAATATAATAACGTAATAGTCTAGCCTAGCAAAGGACCTAGTAGGGCTACTTAGACTATAATACTGTTATATAAAGGTAGAGATTGTTAGTACCTTTGGCATAGGTAAAACGCTATATAAATCGAAGTACCTTGAAACTATTGGCTTTCGGCGTGAATTACTGTGACCTGATTTGCTCCTACCCCTCACGGAGGATGATGAGGTTATTTCGCAACTAAAGGGATAAGGTGGATTATCATTTGCCATATGACGTGGTGGCTCACTTATTAAAACTTGCAAAACCTGTCCATATATAGGACTTTTCCATTAAATCCCTACTTTCATAGGAATGAGGCTTTCGTATCCGTATTCTCATATGACCTGCTGTGTGCTCTAACTCGTGCCATGACCTAAGAGCGCTGGTAATGGGATGCAGGCGCCGGGGAAGCATCTGTTGAATTTCTCTTGTCAGGCCAGCTCCGGAGCCAGTTGAACAGCACCCCCGAGCGCGTGGAAAGGAACATGAAGGACGAGCAATCTGACAAGCGCTCTGATTCTTGGGTCTCATGGCTCAAGAGCAGGAACACGAATTCACAGTTCATTCTCAAAGTGAGGGCTCATGTCTTGAAGTGTGAGCACCAACCGATTATGACCGGGCAACACTGTAATTGAACTATGAAGCCGCTGGTTCTAAAAAACTTTCAAACGCAAAAGCCAATTTGGGACTGTATGATGGGGCTGGGTTACGCGTTGCGCGACGATGTTGGCTCCCAGTTCTGCACCGTGGTCGCGGGACAGGAATACTGAGACAGGGGGTGGGGCTGGTAGAAAGCCAGCCCAGGTAAACTAGAGCGCTGCAATGTTATAATCCTTGTTCTTTTTATTCCCGCAGTGCAGTCAGGGTCGCGGAGGAGATGGACTGTTAGGACGGAGAACGTTGGTGACGCCGGCGTCGGCCGTCTCATTGGTGAATGTCGTCTTGAAAATGGAGATTGATGACGAGTTCTCTGCATGTTTTCTTTTTTCAACATGGTCATCAAACACCCTGCAGGCAGACTCATGTCGCTAACGTCTAGTGTGTGATATGATATGCGGTGTGCCGGGGCAGAGGCCGGTCGCCGGCAGACAACGACCCCCGACACAAGCGGCCGCGGCGCGGAGACGCGTCGTGCAGGAGACGCTCACGCGTCGTGCCACTTTAAATGTAAGTCAGGCCATCCCTCTCTGGCTCACCATCATCAAGCCTCATACTTCAGTTCATCTCACCCGTACATCAGTCCACCCAACTTCAGTCAGACAGTGTCACGCACGGCAGAATAAACAACATGAACGAGGTAGTACCAAGCACCCGATCAATGTGACGCAGCATGACACTGACAGAGCCGCGTAGATGCGTATCCCGGCGGGCGAGTCTTATCTCCCAGACGACGTATGCAAATGCAGCCAGTGTGTTGGATACAACGAGCCTCTTCACGAGCAGCCCCCTGACCAAGACCTAATTGCCGCCTATTCGAAGTTCAAGGATTGCCTGAAGGACGCGGAAAAGAAATTCGCCGCTGTGGACGCCTGGAAGCGAGACTCGACCAGGCTCTGTGAGAGGTTGGCCGAAGAAAAGGCGGTCATCAGAAGCTTGCGCGCCGCGATCGACGCGGCACACGACCGCTGCTTCGCGGCTCAAAAGGAACACGCCGCACGTTGGAGCAACGCCGAGCTGAAAAGGCTCAAACAAGACATGATTGCCTTGACCGGGCCTCTGACCGAGGCGCGTATAGAGGTCCGGATGGCCCACCGCAACTGGGCGCGCATCCGCCCGGCGCCCAAGCCGACCCCGGCACTCCTTGAGTGTCTGAAGGACTTCATGGAGCCGACCGCTACACCGGAACCCGAGCTGACCGAACGCGGTCACCGCGAGGAGCGCGGGTTCCAGGGCTGGAACGCGGAGACGCCCCGAGACTGCGGCGCTGCCGCGGTCGAGGGCTGGCTTTCCAGCAGCACTGCGCTGACAGATTCCGTGGAAGACGGTTCGTCGATCTCGGGCTCCGTGACCGATGGTACGTCGGTCACAGACGGCAGCGAGGGGCTGTCTGATGGTTCGCCTTGTCCTCCCCAACGCAGGGGGCGCGCCGGACAGCGGAAGTCGCCGAACAACCAGCGTCGCTGTCTACTTGCTACGGCAGACGCACGCAAGAAGCACGGGGCGCCGACGAAGCGACAACAAAAATCGCGGGGCCGGGGATCACGATACCAGCCTTACCGTCGTTGAGCGGCATTCGGAACGGACTACGGGTGGTGGCCACCGCAGACGCCTTATCAAGTCGCTGACACGGCCCTTCCCCCCCCTCTTATGCTTGTTCTTCAGATCGGATCTGTCTATGGGTGTCGGATGGGTGAGGCTGAGCCGATGAAGTCTGTCTATTTTGTAAAAATGTAGTATTCAAGTGGTGAACCGCGGCTGGGAGCGTAGATGCGTGTATTGAGAAAGATCAGGATGACGCGGACAGATGGTTGAGGCGCAACCCACAGGGTAAATTTATATATAGCCAGCTTTTCATTTTTCAAACCATACCTTCGAAGCCCTGCAACCTAGCGCTCGTGAGACATTTCTTTAGCAGATGGGGGGTTAGAAGCTGTTGATCGCATGGAAGGGTACTGATCGTGCGTGGCGACAAAGAGGCTCGTCTGAGGAAGACAACAATGGGCCGGGCTACAACGGCCCGGGCCGCTTCCGGACCGCAATGAGTTGAGATGAGACACTACACTTCGGCCATGTAGCTTCTCATCACGGCGGTCGTCATGTCTTGGAGAGTGATGCCGGCCTCATCGGCTGCAGAGAGGGAGCCGGCCGGCCGGCGCCGCTGCTACATGCATGGCGCCAACAACTAGGAACCCGACGCGCAATCATTCACACGTGGTTTTCGCACCATTGCCGAACCACCGACGACGAGTCTGCGGGGTGTCGGGGTTGAAAGCAAGGGCAAGCAAGTATCGTCAGATTCGACACTCTGAAAGCGTCTCACCAAGAATAGCGGGCTGCTAATAAGGGTTGCCACGACAACTAGATGTTTTACGTGGAACGAAAGACCCACGCAAGCACTTCTAAAACAGTCGGCAGCTAGGGGGACATTCTGGACGGCGAATTACTGATATACAGACTTGGTCCCTTGGGATGCTGCGTTGCGCGCGGCTTCGTCAATTCGAGGACTGCCCCCATGTCATCTTTGATCCAGAGCAATGTCGTCAAAGCGGGAGCGGACCTTGATCGGTTTACGGTGCAGATAGCCTATCCGAGGTGACAAGGGCATGCTGATGGACGTCTCGAAATGTAGCCACGGAGGATGCAGCAAGCCGTGCGTTCATGGATGCCAAAAGCCGCAGTCCGTCAGATGAGCAGTTGAGGACTGGTTTCGGCCCGGCCCCGAAGAACCTTCCGGCTAACCGGCTAAGCGGCCCCGTTCACTGGGCTCGGGGCAGCAAACTATGCCGTGTACGAATGAATACCTCAGCATGAATAACTTTTATGAAACGCTGCAGAAAAAAATGCCCCAAACATTGTGACCTTGTTTGTTGACTGAACAAACAGGACTGGGGACCCAACCCCCCCTACCCTAGACCCATCCCGGACCCTCAGAGGGGCACACGAAGAGGAGAAGAGCTCCCCCCCCTGCTTGGGCGTGGCCGAAAGTGAGAGTCATGGAAATATCCCGCCCATGTCCGTGACGGGCCACCTGAGCCGCTTTGCCTCATTGGGTTGCAATCTCGGTGGAGACAAGCCCCATAGAGAAAACCTAGCTCGAGCTCAGTAGAGTAGTAGTATAGTGTACACACGACCATGTACTCCGTACTACATAGTATGTATGGTTAGGACAGCCCCCCTTGCCGAGATTTTTTGTCTGTTCTCCTTTTCTTTGGCTGAGCAACGGGCTCGAGAGGAACCACACGGGAAAAGCCTTTCAATTGTGAACACGAAGGCGAGGAGGGGGCGAGTTGGCTAGTTCATGTATGGAGGAACATATGAACGAATCGGCACAAAAGCCATTGAGACGGTGTGGTGGTTTCGACAAGCTGCAGCAGCCAGGGTTGTAGCTGCTTGCCGGCAGGACAAGGGGGATAGATTGGATGGTACCAGGCCATTGGAACGACTCGTTCGTTCGTTGGTCCCCGGTGAAGAGAGTTTGCTTCCTTTTGCGTGGCCTGAACGATCTTCAGCGTAGCCCAAGGTCCGACCTCACGTCAGATGGGGAGGTGAACGAGCACAACTGACGCTTTCATCCAAGCCCCATGACGGGCCCCCCCGGGCATTTGTATCGAAACATGCGAATCTCGGGACGTTCATCTCACCATCTTCGTATGGAGTCATTTCAATATCGCTAAGCCCAACCAGAAAAGCTCCACACATACGGATACCCTGGGAGGGAACGGGGGGTTCCTCGACACTATGGAGACGGAGAGAGAGAGAGGGAGAGAGGAGGATCGTGGCCCTTTCTCTCGTAGCCCCCCAGGTAGTTCCGATCAAGCCGGCGAAGGTTTCTTCCCTCGCATCCCCCATTCACCCAGCACTGCCTCTTCGCTCCCTTTGATGTCCACCTTTATCCCTACATCATCTAACCTACAAATGCCTCTGTCCTGATATCCCCACCGGGACCAGATCTTCGAACCACTAAAGGTGAGACAAAGAAAGTAAATCCGTGCTTCTCTTGCGTAGCGGGGGCGTAGCTTAAAATGCCTTCATTTGCGGGAGAGGTTGAAAATGGTCACCTGGGCTGACATGGGGTTTTGAAAAGCTGCCTTGCCGTCCGCCGCCCGCACGAAGAAAGGGGGTGAGAGGGCAAGCCGACCGAGGCTTTGCTTGGCCCGCGATGGACCCCGATGTGTGCCGCAACTGCGGCCACAGCGGCAAGCACATCGACTTCCGGGACTTCCGATGCGCCATCACGGAGCGCGACGACGCCGAGCGCGACAAGATCCAGGCCGACGCGGCGCTCGAGCGGGCGCGCCAGCTGTGCGAGTCGTCGCTGTCGCTCATGAAGCGGCAGATGCAGGAGCTCGAGGACGCCAACGCCGCCATCGAGGCGCTGTCGCGCGCGCTGTCCGCCGCCGAGGACCGGCGGGAGCGCATACGTCGCGACCTCGGCACGCACGGCGACGTCTGCCTCACGGCGCGGTCGAACCTGGAGGCGGCCGAGGAGATGGCCATTTCGGCGGCGGGGCGCTACTTCGAGGCCGGCCGGGCCGTGACCGCGCTCGAGGACAGGGAGCAGCAGCGCTCGCCGGGCGCGCGGGTCGCAGAGGCGCTTGCCCCGGCGGACGAGGAGATGGGCGACGGGGGGGGAGACGACGACGGGGCGGCGCGGGAGCGCGACAACCGCAAGTGGCAGCGGTCCAACGAGCGGTTCTGCAAGTGGCTCCGACGGTCGGAGGCGCAGCGGCAGATCATGAAGTCGTCGTGGACGAAGGTGCGGGTCGCCGAGAGGCTGGCGAGCGAGAGCGTCGACGACGAGGAGCTCGCGAGGCGCAACAGGGTCCAGGAGTGGGCGGCGGCGCGGCGGCTCACCGACCAGCTGCCGCCCGAAGACGACCCCACGATGGAGACGGAGTTCCTCGAGTCGGAGCCGGAGCCGGAGCCCACCGAGACCACAGAGCCGACGGAAGAGTCTGCGAGCTTCCCCGAGCCTTCGGCGCCGCCTCCGGTACCGAAACCCGCTCCAGCCCCGACCCAGCTTCCCTCCCCGACAAAGACGGCCACCACACGCCGTGCTGCGGCTTTGAGGACGAGAGCCAAGACGAGCAGGGAAGCGGCGGCGGCGGCGGCGACGACGGCACAGACGATGCCGCCCACCCCGGCGAGAGGGCGGGCGCAACGGACCGCGCGCAGGGTGGAGAGCCAGACTCGGTCGGAGCCGACGAGACCGACGGCGGCGGCGACGACGACGACGACGACGACGATGACGACGACGACAACTACGACTGCGAGGGCGAAGAAGGAGCCCAAGACGACACGGGCGGCGGCGCCCGCGGCCCCGTCGGCAAAGGCGGGAGCTACGACCAGCTCGGATGGCGCCGGGCGCCCGGCGGCGAGGACGCGAGCGAGGACCGGGAAGACCCCGGCACCAGAGGAGTCGCTGACTGCGGCGGCGGGCCGGCCGCAGAGGGTCACGAGGAGGCCGTCGGCGAGGGCGCAGCCGTACCCCCAGCCGAGCGCTCAGCCCAGATGGAAATGAGGCAGTTCATGTTTTGATGCGAGATGTAGAACGCGCGAACGCGGCCACGACGGCCGTAAGGAGGAGGCGGGTGTCTCCCCTCGAACATACCCAGATTGAATAGTCTCACTACACACATACACACACACACACACACACAGCGTTTCCTTTATCAATGACTGGACCGAGCGAATGGTGGAAATATTATGGATTATAAGGATACATAGATTCCAGCCAATGAGTAACATCTAATAAGCTGGCCATTTTGACTTGATCTCTTTTACAAAAAGAATAAAATAAAAATTAATAATAAAAATAAAAAATGCAGCTTGTTAAGGCCGACATGCTGATGGGGCGTTTGAAATGGCGTCAGCTAAGCCGTCCATCACGACATATATGCGACCAGCAACCCTAAAAGAACCTCCACACCGAATCCGCACTCCTCGTCCTCTTGAACGCACTGTACCACTTGCACAACGGGTACATGACGGCCATGACCACCGCCCAGTTCGCCCAGTAGACCGAGACGCTGTCGACGCCCCTGGTCGACCCGCCTTCCATCGGCGCGGGCCGCCCGGTCTCGCGCCCGAAGAGCGGGACCGTCACGAGCATGGCCAGGACGAAGACGACGACGAGGTGCGCGACGTAGAAGAAGAGCGCGGACGTGCCGAACACCAGCAGGACGCCGAGCCGGCGCGTCGCGAAGCGCGGCGGGACCGCGCCGAGGGCGGCGAGCAGGAAGAAGGTCGCCGCCAGGGTGTAGGCGAAGAAGGCGACGTCGGGCGGGTACTTTACGACGTAGAAGAAGGAGGCGGCGGAGGCGAGATACGGGTTGCCGCCGCGGGGGAGGGCGGCCTGGTCGGGGGTCCGCAGGCAGCCCTCGGAGAGGTTGCCGACGCGCAGGACGCGGGTGAGGACGAAGAGGCCGGCGAAGACGAGGCCGGCGGCGGCGTTGCCGGCGGCGAGGACCGCGGGGCGCAGGGGCCGGGCGAGCACGACGCGGCCGTAGAGGAGGCCGAGGACGGCGAAGGAGAGCCAGGCGAGGGGCGGGAAGCCGGACATGACGTGCGGGGATTCGACCCGGTAGAACCAGAAGCGCCAGAAGTCGTTGGCCGTGGAGGAGGGGGAGGGGGACGGGGCCGACGCCGCGCAGGCGCCGTGGGTCGGGGAGAGCCAGACGTTCCACCAGATGGTGACGAAGGCGAGCGCGAGGAGGAGCGCGTTGTGCGCGTGCCACGACAGCGACAGGGCGGGGGCCGAGGCCTTGGCCCCGCAGGCGGAGCGGTGGCCGGTGTGCACCAGGAGAGGCGTCCTCTCGCGGCCGCGCGCGCGCGCGCAGCCGACGAGGACGAAGCGGTCGAGCACCGAAGCCAGCGCCGGCTCCGTCTCGGCGACGGCGAGCCACAGGAGGCCGACGAGGAGGTAGTCCACGGCCAGCGCCACGAGGACCATGTTCAGGAGCCACAGCCGGCCCAGCGTCATGGCGAGGCCCATGGCGCACGAGACGGCCGTCAGCACGACGGCCCGCACGGCGAAGTGGCGGGCCATGCGCGCGGGCGGCCAGCCCAGGCGGGCGCGCGAGCGGCCAAAGTAGACGACGCCCATGCCGAGCAGGAAGGCGAAGCCCGGCGCGCACAGGTGCGAGAGGGTGCGGACGGCGTAGCCGACGGGGCGGTTCCAGCGGCCGACGGGGGTCGCGTCCGACTCGGAGCCGTCGGCGCCGGTGCTGTGCGGCCACGCGTTGAGGGCGAGGACGTTGTGGTCCATGGCCATGAACGCCATGAGCAGGCCGCGCAGGAGGTCCGGGGCCAGGGCGCGGGTCGCCGGGGGCGGCGGCGCGTCGTCGTCGTCGTCGTCGTCGACGGGCTTCGGTGGCGGCGGCAGCGGCGGTCGCGCGGCGGTCCCGTAGGTGTAGCCGTTGGAGGATGTGCTCTGCTCCGTCGTGGTGTCGTACTCGGCGGCCGTCACCGACTCTTCGTCGTCGGGGAGCTCGGGGTGTGACGAGGCGTTCCGCGTGCGGGCGGTCTCGTCCTGGAGGACGTCTCGCCCTGTGGACGGCGGTCTGCTAACGTCTTCTGTCGCCATCTGACCGAAATGCCGGGGTTTTAGAGAGGCATAGGGGATGGGTGGTGTGCCGAAGGACGATGAGAACGGGGCGACGCAGGGAGATTTATCGGATGCCGCGGATCGTGCGGACAAAACGGCATTGGTCAAACGAGGCAATGTCAGCACGGACAGAGAGCAAGAAAAAAGAAACAAGTTAGCGTGACCGAGAGGCCCGTTTTCCGCTTGTGGAACGGGCGCCCTCTGCTGACATCTATGACATCCACGACTGGTAACCACGGGTGAATCTGCGGAGGGGGAGCGGACTTTGAGGGCTCGGACGAAACTCCGTTGTCCGCTGAAACTGCTCCCAGTGGAACACGCCGTCTTGGTCCCAGCTTTGCCTGCAGTGCTGGAGGATGATAATATGATATGAGCCATACGAACCCGAGCGAGCTGACGCAGCGCGTTGTGTAAGGAGTCCACTGTGTTCCCCCGGTCCATCGACCCCCGGCTCGTACGACCCCCTTCTTGGACTCTGACCAAAGGTTGTCGATGAGGTTTCGTGGCGCGGTCCGCGTAATCAATATCAAAGGGCCGGATGCGGACGCCCGCAGGGAGAGGTTCTAGCACCGCACCAAAGCATAAGAGGCGTGCAGTGCGCTCAATGTTCACCCTGAGCGGGCTGGGGGTTGTGCAAACGCGGCACCAACGCATCCGTCGCCCCGTTGGCCAGCTCCTAGACCCTGCGCCATGCCGCTGTGTCAGCGCTTTTGATAGAGTGCACGGCGCGTCAGAGGAACTGCTGGGCACGCGTCGTGGATGCAAGTATACATGTTAATTCTTAAGTTTGTTGAAAAACGGCCGAGGAACATTAGGTTATCAATGTTGTTCAAGCCAGTTCAGATGAGCTAGAATACATGGATGAACGGAGTCACATTAAACGACCTAGATAGGAACGAGTGAATGTGTTGTTGACAAAAGCTGTGTGACGAGTCGTGTATTTTCCCTTTAGCTGTGGTGAAAGTTGAGACCAGTAACTCGGTCCAAACCGTAATCTCGTCTGCAACGTTGAAAAGTAGTCTCTCAAGCCACAGACGGACGTGTATGCCGCAGATAGCGAGAAAACAAGTCTGACAAAGAATTAGAATTCAATTGCTGCTTCGTGTTGTAGTGGCACCTCAATCTATGTCGTGTCACCCAGTTACTCACCTTGAATTGGCCGCTTTAATCAAGGCAAATGACGCCTGAGGTGAGACCACAGTAAGCAGGGTGAATGCGGTTAGCCATGTATATTTGCATGCCCCCGCCATAATGACTTACCATCTACTAGAGGCAGAATTAATAAATGCCGTATCTCTTTCATGCATCTCACAAGGCATGTGAGCCTTGTGTACCAACTAGCTTCCCAAATAGCAGACTGCTCTGAATAAGAGCCTGTCTTCGTAACAGATTTCCTTCTGAGGGCCAACCAACATCTGCCAAGGTGCATGCCAAACAAATATTTCTTATCTTCCGAAACCTCCCATAAATAGCTGAATGACTTAGTGCCAGGCGGGGGTTTTGACGGCTGGTTTGACGTTAAGATTTTTCTTCACCTTCAGTGTGCCAATGTGACCATGGCCTACCTATATGGCGGTACATCGATTCACGGAATTTTCCTCTCTATTTTGCTTTTTTTGTTTAAAGTCTCTGGAAGGCGACGTCACCAAGCGGGACTCTGCCAGTTTGTTCTTTGGTCCTTCGACTATGGATAGGAAAGTGGTTGTTGCCGACCTGGTCGAATGCCTCGTTGAGACCCAGCTCCGCGACGCCATGGACAGGACCTCCAAGGCGGGTGTAAGGAGAATCACAAGGGTGTTCAAGGGCATAGATAGCAGGGCCATAGGGTCGATCTTGACGCGTTCCAACACCGGTCCATTTTTGAACGCTTCTGCGGAACGCTGAAGTTTGTCTGACTTCTCAAAGATTTCATAGCTGGTATTATTGAGTCGATCCCAGCAAGAGTGTCAAGACAGGGACTCGAACGCTTGTTAAAAGTGCTTCAGGCTGGTCTGCTGCTAACCTCTCGCAAAATCGGAAACATCAGAAGGCGCAGCTAGTATCAAAGATGACACCGACGGACGTGGGTCATGTGCATAGGCTTATTTCAAGATCAGGGTAATGACTGAACAAGGAAAGCATGTAAGATACAAGACTCCTATATCGCTGTCGCCGGGTGCAATAAACTCCGTGTGTTGATGTGTATAATGAATCTTATGACATGCAGAATCCTCCACCTTTATCATCTAGCTAAAAGGTGCCATTATAATATAATTCTACTCTGGGCATAGCTTGAACCTTCTGTCGACTGGGCCTGATTCTCGTAATATTGCCTTTTATCTCCTGACCCTGTCTTCAGGAGAAAGTCAAGAATGTGTTGTCCAAGCCCAGCACACAATTTGGCGTACATCTCCTTCAAAACAGCAGCGCCAGACTCATTGATGTTGCTATCTGGCCCGCGACAACCAGGAATGATCTTGTAATGCGCCGCTGGAAGGGCGTACCCATGCTTATGGTTGCTAAGCCAGTGGAAGCAGAAGTAGCAGGCTGGCTTGCTGCAACCTACATATTTGTCGCCATCCACAAATGCGTAATGGTCCCGGCTGAACTTGTCGGCAATTTGTAGTTCGGCATGTACCCTCGTAATTATTGTGCTCTGCGAATTCAATCTCACACGTACGTTATTGGTTTCAGACGGCAGGTCAAACTCCACAAGCGTGCGAAGAGCCATCCTGTTTTGCAAAGGATTTTGAGAAGCGGGTTCTTTGCAGATCTCCCGCACAATCTCGTATGGGCTCAAGTCTCTCTGGTCCATTATCACCTTGCGGATACTTGGTGCCTCAACAGTTCGAATACCGGATATGTGGCCGAGAGCCGGAACCGTCATCATCCCCTTAACGACATAGCGGGCGGCTGATCGGGTCGCGCCAAGACGTCCAACATAATGGGCTAGCTTGCAGAAGTCATCCGTTGAATGTTTAGACATTCTCTTGATCTTGTTGACATCATCTACTCGCATATCGTAGCAGTAATCAACAATATCAGCGATCGCCATGCTTGGCGGTGGCTCGGAAAGCTTTTTGAGTCTCCTTCGAAGGAGTGTCACTTAGAGCGTTAACTACTCATAACATAGCGAACAGTAACCATACTGCTATGCTAGTATGCAAAAGAGATCTTACCAACATCGTTCTTTGTCCCGTCTCTCAACTGCATTCTGCAGTTTCTCGCATACCGTCGCACTTCCTCGTTGTAGGTCGAGATTCGGGAATTGCAATTCTTCACCGCAAGGTGGAAGATTTTTTCTTGAACAGTTTTCTCGGTTTCAGAATTCACCGATTTTAGACAGGATAAAATGGTTTCCGCATAAGTTCTGATATCGTTGCGTATTCCCTCGTTTGCCGCCAGCCAGAGAATATTGCCGTGAGATAGTTTCTGCAACCCAGCGGCAGTTACTGTTGCTCCCCCTTTTTGGACGTCGCAGAGATATGAAAAAGAGTCCAAGAAGTTCCTGCGGGCTTCAACAATCTCGTCATTGGATGGTTTTCGCCTTTCTTGATGATTCTTGAACCCAGCTAGGGCTCCGAACAGCGCTAGTCGTGGATACAATTTTCTAGTCGCAGCTATAAACACTTCCTCTGAAGGGGATGTTGAAGCTTCAGAGTTGTTCAAAGCCTCCGACAGCATCGCGCGCGGCGCCGTAGGGATTGGGACTGTTGACATGATGAAAGTCGAAAACAACTGAAGGCGGGTAATACTGTGTATCGTGTGCGCGGCAAAAGCAATGTCTATATATGGAGATGAGATGATGAGGCGTTTGCGACTTTTGCTGTGGAAGCTTCCAGCAGGACCTGAACCCCCAATAGTACGATTGCTTGTCAGCCATGTGTGACGACACCTTGCATTTTCCCCGTTAGAACAGGCCAATTCAACCACTTACATCGCTAATCTGAACGCCCATCATCTTGTGTGTGAGATACTGTGTTCCGACAAGAACATAGAGCTCGCTTTGCCTCGATCAAATCTAGCGCCTCGCTCAGCCAGTCCAAGCTGTGCGACATATTGCCTCCAATGTCCATCGGCCATATGCGTCGACAGACCAACTCATTGTAAGCAGCTCCCTGATACCATCAACGGCGCCTTGCTCGGGTTCCCGGCCAGGAGTGCGGCAACGCCATCGCCGACGTCCTCACCGGCGCCGTGAACCCCGAGGGCAGGCTCCCCGTCAGCTTCCCGGCGCGCCTCGAGGACGCACCCGCGCACGGAAACTTCCCCGGCACGCGCGGCGGCGACGACGGCGTGCTCCGCGTCGAGTATGCTGAGGGCGTGTTCGTCGGGGACAGGCACAACGACCGCGTCGATGCCGAGGTCCTGAGCTTCCCCTTCGCCCACGGCCTCTCGTACACAACATTCGAATATGCCGACTTCCGGGTCGTCCGGAGGGGCGATGCCACCGCCGCGGACGAATTCGAGATCTTCGTCAACGTTTCCAACACGGGCAAGGTCGTCGGCAGGACCGCCGTGCAGATCTACGCCGGAAAGGCGGAGCGGACGGGGGACGCGCCTATTAAGGCCTTAGTGGCGTTCGACAAGGTGCGGCTGCACCCTGGGGAGAGGCAGACTGTAAGGCTGAGGGCCCTGGGCAAGGATCTCGCCTCGTTTGGCGACGACGCAGGACGGCTATGGGTCGTGGAGGCGGGAGAGTATACGTTCTACCTTGACGAGTCTACGGCCACGACTATACAAACCGTTCTCGTATCTCTGGAAAGGACCACATATCAGCGGTGACAATGTTGTCGGTAGGAGTATGAAATTCACAAATTGATTCCCAGCTTCCCATAGCAGTGATATCCGCTGGGTAAGTATCCTGCCCAATATTCATCGCCATACGGAGGGTTTCTGGATAGAAACACGATGCCATGTAATCTCCTAGCTAAATCTTAACACCAAGCCAATGAGATTGTAAGTTCTTCCCACGAAGGATCAGCTCAGCCCCAACTCTCCTTCATGCCCAGGGGGGCCCTGCGCCACCATACTAAACCGTCTTACCTATCGTTGCCTAGTCCGCTGTGCCGCAATAAGCGGTTCGCCTGCAAGGGAGATCTCGTATATCCTCCTTCAGGCGTCTTGGCAATGATCGACGAACCTTTATCCAGACGCCTCTCTCAATCCTCACGGACTCATCTCAGAGGTGCACCTCACACCCGGTGACAACCGACTCTCGTTACCAGACACGCATCGGAGAGCCCCCATCATGCCGCAAGCCCTACAGCAGCAGAGCCAGGACCTCTCGATCCGGCTCGTCAGCCCGCCCACGCGCCTGTACGGCGGCAGCGTCGTCCTGGGCCACGTCGTGCGCAGTTCCCACATCGTTGCGCCGTCCGCCACCGTCCTCGTGCGGCTTCTCGGCCGCGCCAAGGCGAAGCTCGTCGTGAGCCATGGCAACAGCACGAGCTACTACCGCAGCCGCTTCGACTTCTGGCCCGACGCCGCCGCCGTCCGCAAGGTCCTCCACCGCGGCCCCGTCCACATCGCCCCCGGCGCCGGCGAGCACCACACCTGGGCCTTCGCGCTGACCCTGCCGACGCACACGGACGACGGGTTCATCAACGCCGCCAGCGCCTCCAGCGAGCGAGAGGCCTGCTTCCTCCGCCCCCCCGCCGGCGGCGCCGGACAGATCCCTGCAACGCCGCTGCCAGGGAGCTTCTACCTGGACGGCAGAGGTTACTCCAAGAAATGGCACGCGTTTGTCGAGTACTGGATCGAGGCCGAGCTGTCGGTGCAGGGGAAAGGCGCCGTAGCCAGGGCCGTGCTGCCCATCAGGGTCTTCTCGCCGCCCACGCCGGCGCCGCCGATCACCAACTTCGGCCTGGCGCCGAGGACCATCCCCGGCTGGGTGGCCAGCCAGCGGCTGTTTCCGGGCATGGAGGATGCGCAGCTCTCCTTCAAGCAGAAGACGCACAAGTTCTTCGGGTCCTCCAAGGTGCCGGCTTTCCACTTCACGCTTGATGTCCGGCCTCCCACCGTCATACAGATGGGAAACGACGCCAGCGTCCCGTTCCTGATGCAGCTGATACCCAACGGCGAGAGGACCACAGACGCCATCCGGGATGTGCCGCAGACCGTCATCATCCAGAGCATGAAGCTCGAGTTACAGTCGACGAACGACATCGTCTGTCCGGGTAGCCTGTACCCCCACGAGGCGGGCACGACGCTGACGAAGTGCATAGCCAGGGTAGACGGCTTTTACCCCCAAGGGCATCACATCGTGCTGCCTTCTGGCGCGGAGGAGGAGCCCCTGGACCTCGGTGCCGTGCTGAACTTGCGGGTGGACGCCCTGGGCCGGGTCCTCCACGGGGCGGGCGAGTGGCGCGAAAGTATCGGCAGGGCGGTCGAGCCGACGTTTGTGACGTACTGTATCAAGGTCCAGCACACTCTGCACTGGAAGATCCAGCTCTCCGTGGCGGGGGAGTCGTGGAAGTGCGAGGGCGCCCAGATGCTCCGCATCCTGGCCCCTTGCGAAGACATGGCCAGCGGCAGGGCCGAGACCTCTGCGATGGCTGCACTGTCGTTGGCGCCGCCCCCGCCTGCCTTCGAGGAGGTGCCGGCCTACGGTGGGCCCAGCGAGGCGGCGCCGGCGTATGAGAAGGTGGTCGGAGACGGGGAAGACAGATTGGCGGCAGGAGGCAAATCGTGAGAAGTTGTGCGTGGGAGTGGAGAGGCGTATGATACCCAGGCACTGCCTAGAGCAGAGACAAGGGGCTACCCGGAGGCAGGATTAGCGGGGAGGGCAAGGCATCCATACATAGTTCTAATGATACCCAAGATTCTATTTCTGCAAAACAATGTCTAAGTCTTGGGGTTTTGTTGATATATGTTACGATAGCTTCATACAGCACCTGTTAGGCAGTCTGCCAGGTGCCATATCACGTGGGCTTTCATTCATCACTCGCGTCACTGATGCATATGTAGGATACTTTTCTTTTAAAGCGCTACTTCTAGAGGAATAAACCTTTTTTAATCCTATTCTTATATGCCCTGCTGTGTGCTCTAACTCGTGACAATATACCACGGTGAATAGTTGTAGTGTGAAGCATTCTTCCACCCGTTTTTGTTATTATCGCTAAATCATCAACTACTTAAGCTATACCGATTATACATAATAAGTCTGCTCGCCAGGTTCAGTCTCCGACTTTGCTTGGGTCCTAGGACATCGATTTCTCATCCTGCTCGCTACTGAACACACTAGTTGCAGCCGTGCTTTGTCCATTGGACGCCTCATCGGAGGAGTGACCGCCACTCTCTGAGATGGAAATATTTGTCGTGATTTCGTCGGGGATAGGTGAGTTCCCCTCTGCGAAACTGACTAAGGTCTTTCGTGGTACATAAGGTTGATTCTGTGCGAATGAAATTAACACGGCGATCTCCAATACCGAGATGAAGTATTGACTTACTCTGTATGTGTCTATAGTCCCCGAAGATTGAGGCTCTACCCCAGTGATATCCGGTAACGAAGGGACAATACTTGATAGCTCGCAGGATATCATGTCGATTGAAGACCTTCCTTTCGGATCAATAACGAGCATCTGGGTGGTAACCAGTCTCAGCATCTGGCGGGCGAAAGACGTGTCATGTGGTGCTAGCTTTTCTAGCTTTAGTCTCCACTGTTGATGATCCGGAAGTTAGCAATGGTGTATTTGGGAATACGATTGTTCTGAGGGGACATTATACTCACTTTGGAAATCGCCGGGTGGAGCACAGCTTTCTTCCTCCCAGTAGACATATCCATCATGAAATAGCTATTGTCGGACTCTCCTGGCTCTCTGGCCTCCTTCGCGCGACTGGGCCTGCGATCTCTTTCAAAAGCTGCAATAGCCTCTGGGCCAAGCAGGTACCAGACGCAGAACTCAAGGAAAACACACCCCAGAGACCATATATCGTACTTGGAGGAGATGAGATCGCCGAGGTCTATCTCTGGAGCACGATAGGTCCCAGTAAAACCGTCAACCCTCAAGACGCGCGACCTTGTCAAGCGAGAATGGTACCGGGTGAGCCCCAGGTCGGCAACAACAAGATGGTCACGGTCTTCCCCGTACGTAGAAAACCACAAGATGTTGCTCGGCTTGATATCGCCGTGCCGTCCCCAATCCTTGACAAGTTTCTCCTCTTCCTCGGTGCCGGAAGCTACTGACCTCCTTTCTTCCTTCTGCCATGTTGCTAGACCGTGAATGCGTTTGACGGCGTTTGCGATGCCCCGACACTGCTGCAGCATCCATCTTGCTGATGCTGCTGCTGACTCAACCTTCTTCTTGGCCCAGAACTCCTGTAAGTTGCCGTCCGCCCACTCAAAGACAAGATACAGCTTTTCTCCGTGCTGGAACGTGAACATAAGCTTGATCAGGTGTTTTTCTTGTTGCACTCTGGTGCACGACTGTACGAGCGCTCGCAGTTCATGGCGGTAGGATTTGTGGTCAGCGGCATGGATCTCTTTGACTGCAAAACACTGAGGATGCTCCAGTTTCTTTCCAGGGTCTAGGGTTAGCCGTCCATCAAACGCACGCTTTAAAGACACAGGGCCTATCTCACACTGTTGCTTCCAAATTTATAATGGCTCGGATGAATCTGAAGTTGGTGGACTATCCCATGCGCGCCACTTGCTTTATATTTGAATTCTTCCCACGGGAGTCGAACGTCTTGGTCCAAGACGTGAAAGCGGATTTTGCCATCGTCCATGTCGAAGATCGGCACGACAATCATTTTCTGGTAAATGTAGAACAGATCGATGTGGACGCGCTCCCACTTCTGGAATAGCGTCGTGTTTATTTCTTCAGCTTCATCGGTTCCAGCTCGGGTTTGGAACTCTCTCATGCTCTCTCTCGTGTGACGCAATGGCATGTGGTGGTCAAAGATGCCTTCCCGGACAAAGTCATCGATGTGACTGGTCTGCTTCATGAAGACCAGGGTAGCAATTATCATTCGGCGACTTTTGTCCGTGTCCCCTATGATCTGGTTAATCTTTTCGTCTGTGGCATTGGGATAGATGGCCCTGATGAGATATTTCACAGTCGTAATGGTAAATATCTCCTCAAATGCGTCTCTTGGGAGGTACTCCTTTTGATCCATCTTGCTCCAGCAAAGGTGTCTTTCCATCTTATCTCGAATGATATCCTCAATACATGTATCATCGGCCGAGAGAAAAGAACGGGTTTTCGGGTAGGCTTTGCAGAACACGGGATCGGTTGCTTCGCTTTGGCTAAGGTCATGTTGCTGGGGGTTGTCGAGGCCCATGTCGTAGACAGACAAGACTGCATCTGATTCGGAAGGTTCGCGTTTCTTGTCACTAACGCTTAACGAACTGTTGCTGACGATTTCTGGCCCTCCTCGGAAGTCTACATTCCATGGCAATGGTAGTGTATTACGGGCGCTATTAGGAACCCGCAGGGTGTCGTGCTGAGATGATAGGTGCCTTTTGCTATGGCTATCAGAGTCTTCGTCAATCTGAGACTCGTCCATAGTGCTGCTGGATTTAACCATGATGTCGAGGGCGACTGCCATTTCGTCCTTGATTTCATCGCTGTTAGAGCGAGTTTTAGATTTCATCGTGTCCATCGTGCAATCGTCGTTGTGTACCAAGGGGGCCAAGGCCATGACCTCCAAGATTTGCTGGAGCAAACGGGGAACTCGGGACTTGACCAAGGGGTTATAACATAGCGGGATCTATCAGCTGGCGTCTATTGAGACAAGGCCTCAACAGAAAATTAGGACACAGGAAGCGGTGTAGGATGACTTGTGAGCAAGGCCTGATTAACTGTCTGCCGCTATCCGCTCTTCTCTTCAGGGACTCTGGCTTCTTATATTGGCCATTTAGTAAAGCCTGACGGGAAGCTGCTTCTTACGAGGCAGACCGGGCGAAATCATTGAACGGCAGCACAAAGTCAATCGATCGGCCAAGACAGTGTTACCCAAATAGGGTACTGGTAAAACGTCGCAGCCTCGGCTTACCACACCACACCTTCGTACAAGGGATCAGTCAATAAAACCACGCGGCAGTCGGTCTGTTGGCTCAGCTTGGTACGTTGGGTTCGGGGTAGGGGGCTAGAGGATGAGTTTTGGGGGCCCCTTAAGACGCCGAAGTCATACAAGCTGGAAGAGTCTGACCTCCAACAAAAGGAATGATGCATTTTCAGCCTGGGGCTGTTTCGGTATGTGTCTAGCAGCTGAGGGCTATGTTTGTCAGGTGTAATCTGCTATGTCTTGGGGCGTCTGTCACACACCCTACCCATTCCTCGGGGGCTTTTGAAATGGAAAAAAGCTCAGATGAGACGGGAAGAAAGCCTTGTAGTGGCTGTGTAAGACCATGTCACCACAAACATATCATAACTAATCCCACGCCAAATGAAGTTCGCGGCCGTTCCACACAGGATAATAAGAAGATAACTAAAAATTGAAAATGCAACAAGTACAAAAGAGGATCTGCCAGGAGACGGGCTCTTCATCTATGTACACATTGAGACACGGCCACCATCAGACGTAGAAGATGTCAACAAATATCAACCCAAACCCCTTCCGTCAGCACTTTCTCCGGTGAAAGAGACGCCACTCCTACTCTTTCGTACAGTCTGTCCGTGGGATCACTGCTGCATTTGCAAATAACGAGCACGTGGACTTTCGGGGCATTGGTGCTGTCGCCCTCGCCCTTATCGCGGCCGATCAGCACAGCCCGTAAATCCTTGGCTTGGTGCCTATTCTTCATGTCAAAAACGACCTGCGACGTGAGCGTCCCATCGTCCATCTCCATGCGTCGCGCAAACCCACCAAGTATCGAACTGATTTCGGGGCAGCCTGGCTTCGATGTCTGGCCAGGGAGCGTGTCATCTGGCTGAGAATCAAAGGGGCTCCTGAAGTCGTCGTTCATCCACTCGGTCTTTTCGAACGTGAGGTTCATGTACTGGATTCTACCGCTTTTGGAGAACCATGACCAACTCGGAACGCGGCGCCCCGCCGGCTGGGCGATGGGCGTCATCTCCGCGAGGTGTTGGTCGCGCCTCCAGAGGATGCTGCGGGCGAAGTAAGACTTGAAAGTGCCATGGGCGGCTTGAGTCTCGAACGCCCTTGCTAGGCGCTCTTGTAGGCCGAGGATGGCGACTGCTCGGTCCGAAGCCTTCGTGAACGCGAGAGCCGAGTATCTCTCGTATAAATCTTGGATGAGCAACTGCCGTCCGTCGCGGTAGTACTCCAATGCGGATCGTGGGAAGTTGGCGTCCCCGAGAAAAGCGGCCTTCGAGCTGCAACAACACGTTAAGTAAAGTTCCTGCTATGATGACATGGCATGTATGCTTACTTGTAGAGACGGCCCATGGTCTCACAACGTATCCCTTCTCCGCACTCCCAGTACACCTGGGTCTGGCTGTAGTATATGGAGCGTCTTGACAGAGCCCGCTCCTGTAAGACCCATCCCCGTCTATTGATCTTTGCCAGCTCAACATCTCGATGGAAGTCATCGATGTGCGGACAAATATACAACTGCCGGGAGTCTTCCGTCCGCAGTCGCACGCATGGCCTCGGCGGGCGGGGAGATAGAAAGCCATCGAGGGATGATTCGGCCGATGCTGCACTAAGGGTGCAGTATGCCGCGCTGAACACTGTCTCCATTTTTGACGACTCCTTTTCCCAGTCGTCCCCGTCATCTTGGATGATGCACAACGTGTCAATCCAGATATACTCTATGCCGAGGCCACGAGTGACTGTGATTGCATCCCGAAATGTCTTGGGGAGTCGATCAAAGTCGATGCGAGCCTCGAGCTGATGATGGTTTCTTTGGTAAAGACAGAATCTTTCGTGTTCTTGCAGCTGGCCCCAACAGTGGCTGAGGGCTATGTATCGACTGGGCTCTATCGTGCAGGAACTGATCAGTCGTATTGGATCCGTCACCTTGACAAGTCGGGTCGGCATCTCCGAGATAGTTTGCCCGTCATGGCGATGACACGCGTGGTGTGTCGAGTCGCAGCTCTGTATCCAGTGTTTGAAGAGCGAGAGTTGTCCTTGACTATTCGGCTCAGGAAGTAGGGGAAACCCAATCTGTCTTCCTGCGGGAACGTCGTCTCCTAAGCAAGGTTCAGCTCAGGGTAAGTCGATAATTGCGGCAGAGACATACCTGGCTCAATGTAGATCGAAAGCAGGTTCGGTCCGCCTTCCAGCCCTATCGTGGTACCCGTCTGGCGTAGTTTGACGACCGCTGAAGACTCTATACCTACTCGGCTCAGGGAATCAAGAAGCAAGACGCATAGTTCGCAAGACCTCTGCATCGCTGACAGCTGACGTTCGGACTGGAAGAGCATTGTTGACGTCGTTGTGCTACAGTTGGTACACAGCTTGTAGTTCGCTTCAGTCCGCGATGGTCTTGTTTGAGGCCAGCTGACATGGTTGAACATCTGAGAGGCGAAGGCGTTATCCGGTAAAGAATCCCAATGGTCATTGAGCTTGCTTCTTTGCTGGGTTGGGGGTCAGCTGTCTGTTCCTTTTGACGCGTGATTAACTTTCAACATACAAACTACTCAATGGTTAGCAATATTCGCGGCAAATTGGATGCGGGTATAACTTACTGACTATGTAAACCTGCGTTAACAACTGCACTTGTAAGCAACCTAAATGGACTAGAGAGATTGACTGACATTCTGCCTCTCAACAATATTAGCATAAATGGCCTAGCCTTCACCATCATTACGAAGTGAGCGGATACTGACATACTAACACCGCATGTTAGTCGACTTTCAGGCATTTGGTCCTTTCAGCAAATATTTTCACTTACTTCTTCGTGTTTCATAACCGTCTGAGAGGCTTTCCTCAACGTAGGCGTTGTCTGCGAGTCTTGCCCCAGTTCTTCTGTCGCCTTGCGCTGTATTCCCACCAGCCCACCAAACTCTCCCAGGTTGTCTTCATTGGCAGGGAGCGAGCCCTTGATGTGTTGGTAAGAGTCTTCTTCTCGTTCTGGGGCAAGTCCGTGGTCTCCAGTTCTAATTTCGAAGTTCCTATTGGTTAACTTCGAGAATGTTGGTCTCTCCCAAGTCCATACTCACGCAGGGTAATATTTTGTCTGGATTCTCTTCATCTTTCCGTGGGCCTCGGGCGCTGTTGCTCGGCATCGAGAGGTAGTCTTGCTTTCTTTCGGCGCGACAACAAGGAGGCTGGTTTTAACAAAACGTACAAGATCACCGCAGATCGAACCTTCCGGCCATGCTTTCGATATGTTGTCGATGTGTTCCTGTGCATGACGTTGAACCCGGTATGTTTTGTCAACCTTTTCCCAGAAGTATTTTGTTTTGTCCCTAAAGTCGTTCACCGTTTTGTAGCCGTAGGTAAGCCACATCAGCAGTTCCAGCACCACGCAACCCATGGACCAGACGTCATACGCCCTTGATCGAGTCTTCCAAAAGTTCGGGTTCTTCCTTCGGCTCTTGTTCTCTTCTGGGGGCTCGTACCGAGATGTTCCAGGAGGCGTCTCGGTATCCTCGTTGTTGGCTTTTCGAATCTTTGTCAAGGCATCTTTCTTGTGGAATGTAGCGAGTCCTAAATCGGCAATTTGTAGTGTCGTGTTCTTGTCTTTGTCCACAAATAAGAGAATGTTCTCGGGCTTGAGGTCTCCGTGTCGGCAGTTTGCTCTGTCAAGGTCCTCAAGAGCAGAGAACAAGCCCGTGAGTTGGAACGTCACCCATCTGAGGTTGGTTTTGGCCAGACGATCGCCTTTGTAATCCTTCCAGAACTCGTATAGGTTTCCTCCATCTGCCCAGGGGAAAAGCAGGCACCGATCACCGCGATGCTCGTAAGCGGCTATTGGTTTGATAAGGTGTTTCGACGTGAAGCCTCTCAGCCTATCGAGGTTTTTTGCCTCTTTGTCAAAGTATTTAATCAATTCGGAGTCGTCGGTGGCCTTTTTCATTGCAATTTCTACTGAGCCGTCCTGAGCATTCTATGTAGCGGTGAGTAAATAGATTAAATAGGCGGAGCTCACTCAATACAATAAACAACACTTACTCTAGCCAATTCTGGCGCGATGTGTGCATGGTGAATTTCCACCTTGGAAACCTCTCCAAAAAAGCCTTTGCTTTCTGCTCTCCGAATGACTTTTAGATATGGAAGTGCGATCCGGCTGTCAAGTTGGAAGCGGAAACACTCCTTTATCCCAAATACTGGGCTCATAAACTCCCACTGATATTTGTCAAAAAGACTTCGATGTCGGCGGTCCCAATTCCTAGGAACAGGTTGGTTGCGCAGGGAAGAAGGACCATGGATATTTGACTCCCAGTGCCAGGCATCAGTGTGGTTGTCCTTGAAGATTTTGACTGGGAGAGAGCCGTCCCTCAGACGTTGTTCTCGTAGCTCTTTCAACTGGGATACCATCTCCTCACTTTCACTCGTCATTAGTAGCGAGATCAAGAACAAACGTTCTGCATGGTTCTTGACAAATTTCAGCAGATTGTCGGCATCTGCGTCCAACTTTGCCTCCTCAAGAACATTTGACACACGTTCCCTTGTGACTAGGAGGCCCAGTTTGTTACCTGGGAAGAACCTTTGACCTTCATAATTGACAACAAAGGTCTCATCAACCTCGTCTCCCAGCGATGCAATTGCTTTGAAAGCCATGGGTCTTCGTGGCTGGGTTAGCATCAATGAAACCAAAATAGAAACACTCCCGAGTAGTGCCAAGGGCAGGGATAACTCACAGCAATTTCCAAAAGCCTTGTGGATCCTTTCATTCGTTCCTAGTGAAAGACTGGCCTCGGAGAAGAAGCAATTTGGGGGCACACGGTACAATGTGAAGTGGCCAAGGCTATCTCCTTGACCAAGAGGCTATGACGTGGACAAGGTGATGAGTGACTGGAGGAGGACGAATTCAGGGTTCGGCCTGACACGGTCCTACATTTATGCCCAGTTGAAGTGGAAAAAGACTGGAAAACAATTTACCGACTTCACACCCTCTCGGATACTGGAGAAGAAGCCTGCATCCAGGCATCTATCACGTCTGCCATTTCCTACACTGCCCTCATTGGCCTCACTCGGCTGCGGTTTTATCACATGGTTGCCTTGCGATATTGCCTTGCGATGCTGCGCTGCCTGGAATATGGTTCGCTCAGCGAAACAACATACATGATTGGGTTATAGATGACGATGAGGCTTGGGAGAACCGGCCATGACCTCATCGACGGATGATGACGAGCGGGAGATAAAGCGAGTACAACTGCCGGCGAATGGTTTCAAGACTCGGCTTGCATGCGCGCAAATATTCCATACTCGCTGACCATGCAAAGTACCTCAAAAATAAGACATGGAAGACACCCTTCAGCCTCGTTGAATAACGGACATCTCACCACAAATGGGGTACCCGCGCCCATTCCATTCATATTCGTCTCTCCCGGCTGCACGTACGTACGCGCATGAGTCGATCGAGCTTTGGGTGCGTGGCCCTCCTCTTGAACCATGTCAAACGAACCAAGACTTTGATGGAACGCATTCTGAACAGCAAGCGATTGTTTCAAGCAGTGAAGGTAGATATAAACCAGGTTTCATGGGGCCCAGGATGGATGATGTTTTCCGGTGCAGTCATTATCCCGTGAGCAGGCTACATGCATGCAGTCAGCAGCAGGCTCGGTGGGACCATTCTCGTGAAAAGCTTAAGCCGAGGGTGGGCAATGTATGTCTTGCATACAGGCTAATACCATTGCTGTCAAGCCAAGCCTTTCGGTCAGTGATGGGCCAATCCGCCTGCACATCAAGTGTGGCTATCTAGTCCCCCTTTGAGATGTGACTTGCTCATGACCTTTAAAGCTACGTACAATACCTCTCTTCTGGTTAGCCGCTCTTAGTCTTCTGAGGGATCTGGTTGATTTCTTTGTGACACCAACCGGTATACGTTGCCTGGGAGGATTAAAATGGCCGAGTTGTCTACGTTATCAAATGTTTCCCAATGAGTGCACCGGTACGAATCATTGACGCTAGGAATGGATTAGTAATAGTAATAGTATCAAGCAACCTCCAACAGAGAAAATCACTAATATCTTGCCTTGTTCCTATCTGCAAGAGACTTGCCTCCACTAACATTAGACTCGCAATCGGGCCTTCTTCTCCCGCCGTCGCTATCCTCGGCTTCCAAAGAAGCTCCCACTTAGCCATCCGATGCCACTACCCCATACGTGTAGAGTCATTCGGCAACAGCTGATGATACATCTTAAAAGTCCAAACATTCAATGACGTATTGCCCAAGAGGAATGTCTTTACCAGTGACCAGTGTGTGCTGGAGCTCTCAATGAAATCTTCAGAAAGCCATGTGGCGTTGGCTGAAGTGTAGATAAGTTGCGCCAATCAAGGGGTGAGGGGAGTTAGCTGAGTAGATTTGAGATGTAATAGAGCCAGTGCCAGGTTTGTGATATTCGAACTGTAAACATTTACATGAGAAGACTAAAATGTATACGCATAACATTATCTTTATACATGGAATTCAACTAGTATTTTGGTCCGTGTGAGTAAGACACGCACGCTTCCCAATAAGATAAAATGGAAACAATTACTCCAGGGAGCCCCTGATGAGGGCCAAGTTGACGATGGCGGCCTCCCCGTAGAGCGCCGCGTCGTTGGTGGAGATCCACGCGGCCTCGTCGACGGGCGCCAGCACGGCGCTCCCGTCGAAGCGCACGGTATCCCAGGGGGCCGTCTGCTTGAGGCCGTCCGAGTCGAAGAACTCGCGCCACGCGCGGGCGGCGAGGGTGGCGTTGCCGGTGCGGTGGGCGGCGTAGGCCGTGAGGCGCGAGTGGCCCTGCTTGAGGCTCGTGTTGCCGAAGCCCTGGCCGTAGCGGGCCGTCTGCTCGGCGGCGCCGGCGCCGTAGTAGTAGCAGTAGTCGTACCAGGCCTGCTCGAAGCCGTCGGGGACTTCGTCGTCGGCGCCGCCGCCGCCGGCGTGCTCGACGAACTCGGCGACGACCTCCATGAGGCCGAAGACGGCGGACAGGTGGGAGACGGCGACGGTGCCGTTGTTGGTCGGGTCGGCGGGGGGCGGGCCCAGGGTGCCGTCGGCGAGGCTGTAGAGCCCGGAGCCGGTGACGAAGCCGTTCTTGAGCCGGGCGATGCTGGCGGCCGTGTTGGTGAGCTTGGAGCGGGCCTCTTCCCAGCGGGGGCCGCGGCGCTCCCACTCGAGCAGCCAGGAGGAGGCGAGGGAGGACCAGTCGGTGCCGAGGCCGACGGCGACGGAGGCGTTGGGGGTCGGGACCCAGCCGTCGGTGCGGACCTTGCGGTTGGGGTCGAGGATGCCGTAGGTCTTGTCGGCGTCGAGGATCTCCCCGACGATCTCGCCGGTGCGCTCGTCGCCGCCGGAGACGAAGTAGAAGGCCTTGCGGTACTGCGGGGTCGAGATGCGGGCCTGCTTGGCGCTGTCGCCCCAGTGCTGGACGCCGTGGCGGGTGCCGAGGCCCTTGAGGTCGCCGAGGTGGTAGACGTCGACCTCGCCGGCGTGGCGGACGAGGGCCTCGGCGAAGCGGTAGACGTCCTCGCGGCCGGTGCGGAGGAAGTAGTTCCAGAAGAAGAGGTCGGGCGAGAGCTCCGAGTTGTCCCAGGCGTAGCCGCCGACGTCGTAGCGCCACTGGTGGCGGTCCGTGTCGTAGGTGTGGATGAAGTCGCCGTGGTCCCAGAAGCCGTACCACCTGCGCTGCTCGACCTGGCCCTCGTAGAACCGGAAGAGGAAGTCGAGGTGCTTCTCGATGTCGGCCTCGAGGCCCGAGGGGGACGCCGAGGGCGGCGCCCAGTAGTTGCCGAGGGCCTTGGTCTCGGCCAGGCGGCCGGGCTCGCCGTAGAGGACGGGCGGGTTGTTGGTGTGGTCGGTCAGGTCGGCGAGGAGGGTGCGGTTGGGGGTCGACTCGAAGCCGTAGAGGAAGATCTCGTTGGTGCGGGCGACGCCGTACGGGTTGTTGAAGCCGGGCTCGTAGTCCTCGTACGTGATCTCGAGGGCGTCGAGCTGCTTGGCGTACGTGTCCTCGCCGAGGCCGTCGTGGTAGGGGCGGATGTCGAGAGCCGGCGCCGCGGGGCTGTAGATCCAGACGGTGATCGCGCCCGTGTCGGTGGCGGCGTCGGTGATGTCGATGCCGGTAGGGTAGCGCTTCCAGAAGTTGCGCAGGCCGACGGCGAGGCCTCCCTTGGTGGCGCCGCCGAGGTAGGCGAGGCCGCCGGCGCGCGTGCCGCCGGGGATGTTGACCCAGCTCTGGCCGGCCTTGGTGCGCTTCTTCAGGGTGAAGCCGTCGGGGGACAGCTGGGTCAGGCTGAAGTCGCTCCAGGTAGGGATCCAGCGGAGCCTGGTGGTGACTCTCTGGTCCCAGGTCGCGGGGTCGGCCAGCCCGGCGCCCTCGAACTGGTCGGTGCGGACCGCGGCGCCGGGGTCCCTGCGGAGGCCGGTGATGCCCTGGACGGCCTCGCTGAGGAGGCCGCCGTCGACGCCAGAGATCCTGACGTGGCGGTTGTACTGCTCCTCCCCTTCGAGGGGGACCTCGAAGCGGATGCCGAGGCCGGAGATGAAGTCCTCGTCAGCCTTGCCGTCGTAGACAATGGTGTGGACGATGCGGACGGCCTCGGAGTTGCGGTACAGGTAGAAGCGCAGGATGAAGGGGAGCCAGTCGGCGTGGCTGCCCTCGCCCTGGACGGCGTGCTTGCCGCGGACGGTGACGAGGGCGCGCGCGGTGTTGTCCTTGCTGACGGTGACCTCCTCGACGTTGCTTTCGAAGTTGAAGTGGGCGATGCCGGCTTGGCCCTTGAGCTCGGCGCGGTCCTCGACGCCGGACTGGGAGTGGAGGACGAGCCTCCCGTTCTGGCCGACGGTCTTGCCGGAGGCGGTCTTGATCTCGCCGACGACGACGTTGCCGGACTTGGGGAACGTCACGGCGAGCTTGCCGGTGTCGACGCTGACGGCGTCTGAGGAATCGGACACGATCAAGCCGTCAGGCTGCTGCTGCTGCTGTTGCCGCCTCGTGCGGGAGAAGCGCGCCGTCGAGTTGGCCGACGACGAGGCGCTGACGGTGTACTCGTCCAAGATGGTGTCGGCCTCGGGGATGGCGTGGCCGGTCCACTTGATGGAGCCGTCGGACCAGTAGGCCGTGACCCAGGACTGCAGCGGGCCGCCGCCGGAGACGGCGAACTCGGTCGAGTTGGAAAAGTGCTTGCCGCGGGCCCAGGGCAGGCCAAAGGTCGTGCCGGCGCTGTACGAAGGCGTGCGGCCGAGCCACCGGACGGTGGCGCTGTCGCCGCCGGTGCCGTTGTCGAAGCGCTGGGCGTCGCCGGACCCCAAGAGGCCGGAGAGCGCGACGAGACCAACAATGATTCGCGACATGCCTTGGAACGAACGAAAGGACGAACGAACCCTGATTCGAGTCTGGTCGTTGCAGCGGCGAGGAGTGCGGCCGCTTCGTCCTTCTAATACAAGAGAACGAGGCGTCCTCGGGGCAATGAGCCGCGAACTGCCTGTGTATTACCCGTCGGCTCCGGCGCGTCGGCTCCTGGCTTCGCAGCACCGCCTGGGGATGGCATTATCCGGCGCGCGAGGATCTCGAATCATGACGGTCACGAGGGGGTTCATTGGCAACAATCTCTGAGCTCCCTGGGCGGGTTTCGCAGGCAATCAAGCTCGATGCTACACTGCTGATGGCCATTCAATCTGCAGGTTAGATTAAGGTCTAGGGGTATTACCACGGATCGCCGGAGAGGGGATCAATGTAAGCTTTTGGCAGTCTAGCTGGAATAAGGTGTGGCGAGTTGCAAATGGGAGCTCTCATATTTCGGTGCAATTGCACCGATGACCAGAGCATGGCATCCAAAGGGGGCAAAGGGCACACATCCCAAGTCTATCCAGGAGAAACTCGGTCCCCTCCCCCGACGGGGCAATTAGGCCGGGATGCAGGTCCCGCAGACGTCCTGTTCGACCGAGAGACCGAGAGGGGTATGCGAGAACGGTCCAAGAGGCAGACTCTATCGCGATCCAATCGCGAAGAGTCGAGCAGGATGGGATGCGGGGTTGACGGCGGCCGTGAGCACGACGGCCGGGACAGGGAAGCGAGATTAGCTGTGCAAGGTATATGCATATATCTGAAGTGACGGGACGCAGGGGCAGCCCGTTGCGGGAGGCCGCTAGTTGATGGCTGTTGATGATTCACTCTATTGCGACCTCAGCACGCAATATCGCACCATATGGCTGCTGGTCGAGGGGATTTCAACGGTGCCCAACCGAGTCTTTACTCCGAGGGAGGCGTTGGAACGCGAAAGATGGTGGCTTTGTCACCCTGAGATGCTCGAGGTGCTGAAGAGCCGGATGCGGTAGATTTCACTGCAGGCCTTGGATGATGCCATGGAAGAAAGGAGATTGCGGTTTCGGGACCTCCAGTACCAAACTCTCTGCTCATCATGCATAGGGGACGCACCTCGGCCCAAGAGCAGATTCCAGTAGAGAGCAAGTGGTCAACACGTGAAACATGATGTGTTCATGAACAGTAAGATGTCCCCGGCAAGCCCGGCAACCATGGACAGAGAGAGAGCTATCAAGAACCCAAGTCCGTCTCGTGTTCCCATGCGGCGCAGTCCCATCCAAGCGAGCAGTCCCGTCGGCTTTCGGCATCACACCTTGGGCCTCCAAGGATTACGGCCGGGATCTACTAGTGTGTGTAGGACCCCCCAAGCTCAAGATATCCGTGTGCGGGAGCCGGTTACTGATGTGCCGCCCGGATGATCCCTGGGGTTGGAAAGTAGACGAGATCCCCTGTCGCATCAAGAAAGGCTCATCCACACATCGTTCTGTTACCAGTGAGAAGAAAATCCAACATGTACTTACTTACGTTTAGAGCACTAGGCGCATGATGGCGGACGAGCTCAACTCCGGATCTTATATTCCGCTCCTGTTCCAGCGTGTATGTGCCTGTCATGGTTCGATTGAACTTTTCCATCGCGAGCATTCGCCAATGGAATTCGGATTACAGACACATACAATCTCCACGACCGCCAATCGAGGATGCTGTACCACCTTGTGAGCACTGCGCAGATCATAACCTAGGAAGAGGTAGATTGATCCCAAGAAGCTGGTTTCGTGGTGTAGTTGGTTATCACGTCAGTCTAACACACTGAAGGTCTCCGGTTCAAGTCCGGGCGAAATCAATTGTTTTGGCTTTTTTATGCATTTATTTTATTTTACATTTTGCTCCCTTCTATCAGCACAACCTTGCCGTATCTCGATATGCAGTAAACCACCTACATGAATGCGATCTTGTTATTCGTCACAAGTGAGTGATTCTTTGTTTGAGACCATTGCATCAGAGTCCCCCGCACAAAGCCTGTTTGTTTGAACCAATGCTTCGCTATGGGCAGACATGAATCACATCATCAGCATCGCAAGTGTCGTGTCCTTCAAGGATCGAACGCGGTGCAGTTCAACTAAAGCGTAAGTCATTCACAATTAAATACCTATAGAATACTCGTGCGTGTGTGCTTCCAAGCAAGTTCGGCCCTCGTCTCACTCGCTCGCTCATCTCTTCGACTTGTCGTCGCTGGCCTCATCCGCCGTCTCCAGGGCACCAGTCGCCGCCGCCGCCTTGGCTACCTCGTTTCCCGCTCCTTCGGGGCCCTTGTCGGCCTCCTGCTTGGCGCCCCCGGGGCCTTCGACGTCCTTCTTGTCCCCCTCGGCGCTTGCGTCATGCTCGATCTCTCCGTCGGTCTTCGCATCCGCGGCGTCCTCCTTCTTGTCGTCGCCGGCGGGCGTCGGGGTCTGCGACGGCGTGGACTTCCTCCAGATGCTCACGCTCGGCATCGAGACCTGGCCCAGGGACGACACGGAGGCGGGGACCTTGGGCATGGACGGCATGTTGGGCATGCTCGGCATGCTGGGCATGTTGGGCATCTTGTTGGGCCACCAGCCCTTGACGCCCGTGCCGGTCGACTGGGCGATCTGGAAGAGGTGCTGCATGTACGACCGCTTCTCCTCGGTCGTCATGTTCTCGGCGCTGGCGTCCCCGACCAGGTCGCCCTCGCCGTCCGCCGGCAGGGGCACGAGCGACGCCGCCGCGGCGATGTCGATGGGCGACTCGTCGGGCAGCCCGTCCGACGGCGGCCTCGACGCGTCGGCGTCGTCCGCCTTCTCGGCGGACGCCTCGGGCGCCTCTTGCTCCGTCGTGTTGGAGATGGCCTTCTCGAGCGTCTCCTCGACCTCGTGGTCCTCGGCGGCCTCTTCGGGCGGCGCGTCGCGGAACTTGGCGTCGTCGACGAGCGGCTCGTCGCTGCCGAACCACCGGAAGACCAGTTCGGCCGCGTCCTCGGTCATCTTCTCGTAGCCCTTGTGCTTCTCCGGCTCGAACATGCTCATGTGCGCCTGCACCTCGTCGTCGACCTCGCGCAGCACCTGGCGCGAGAAGATGGACGAGGCCGCGTGGCCCTCGTCCGGGACGGCGCAGAAGGTCCTCTCGGGGACGAAGTAGCCGCCCTGCCAGTACCCGTTCTCGCCGAGCGAGGCGTAAAAGTCGTGGATGCCCACGCCCTTGAGCGCGCCCATGCGCTCGAGGCGCCGGTTGAGCTCCTTCTGCTTGAGGAGCGCGCCGACGAAGGTGAAGTGGTCCGAGAGCCAGGCGAACGACTGGCCGACCGTGCCGCGGTTGATGTAGGCGAGGCCCTGGCCGAGGGCGCCGATGCCCTGCTGGTACCCTTCCCTGACGGAGTCCTTGTTGAGGCTGCGGAGGCCCGAGATGATGGCCTCGCGGTTGACGTAGGCGGCGACGCCGCCGGCCGCGATGGCGCCGACGGTGCCGGTGCGCACGGCGATGAGCTGCCACGTCTTCCAGCCCGGGTTGCCGCGGCGGGCCGACGAGGCGACGGCCGACGTGGCCGCCCGGCGGGTGCCCAGGCGCGCGAGGCTGGCCGGCGCCGCGGCCGAGAGGGCCGTCATGACGTTGAAGACGCTGCTGACCTTTTGGTAGTTGGAGAAGCCGCCGTAGACGAACATGGAGCGGGCCAGGCCGTTGTACGGCGTGTCGAAGGTGAGGATGCCCTGGATCAGGGGGAAGATGGGGTCGTCTTCCGACGGGTTGGAATTGGCCCTCTCGTTGACGGCGAGGAACAGCGCGTCGGCGGCGACGAAGCCTCTGGGTCTCGTTAGTTTTTTTTTCGGCCTTGAGAATCGTTCGGTCCGCAGGGTGATTTGTGTGCTTTACCCCATAGAGTGGGCGACGAGGACGACGCCGACTTGTCTATCCTTGGGCGGCCACGGCTTCTCGACGCTGGCTTTCCTGACCTCCATCACTTGCTCTTTCAGCCTGCCACAGGCTCAGCGCGTTTCTCGGGGATCTTGGGGAGCGGGCACATTACCATGAGAGGAAAGCCTCGGCGGCTTGCGCCAGTTCGCCTTTCGTCTCATACTGGGGGTAGACGATGGACTTGACGCGGTGGTCGGGCAGTTGCTTCGTAACTGAACGTTTCAGGTCCTGGAAAGGGGAGGGCGGGGATGAGCACGAAGAACGACGGAATAGGAGGAAGCACTCACGTCTGGGAAGTCGTGAAATGTGTTGTCGTTCCCCTGGGATCGTGTTAGCTGGGTGGTGAGCCGCGAGATCCAGCTGCCGGTCACGACTTACCTTGAAGCCGTGGACGAAACAGAGGAGCAGTGTCCGAGGCATGATGGATCGCTGCAGGCCAGTGACAGGAGGTTATGGTATGTCGGTCTAGGTGTGTATAGCAGGTAAGTCGTGGTCAATGTAGGATAAGATGGTCCACGGTATTGCTAGGGTGAAGGGGTATCACAAAGAGGCTATAGGTGGTATGCAGGACGATGGAAGGTTTCGATGCAAGGATAAGACGCAGCCATGGAGTAATATCTCGCGCCGGCGCTTCCTCCCTCCCTCTCTCTACCTCTCCATCTCTCTCCCACGGGTAGTGACGATTCAGTGAGCAGTTCGTGCATGTGCTGCTACGCCTCTTGTCTCCGCGTTCCAGGTTTTCCTTCCAGCCACACTTTCTGGTCCGCCGAGGGGGGAACGAAGTGCGGCGAGTGTCTACGGAAGAGCCAATGACGGCGTGGCCAAGACGTCACCGATAACGTCATGGCGAGTCTGGAAAGACGCACCTCGCACTTTTAGCGTTCGGGGGCCTCTCACTGGCCTCTCTCATCTCATATCTCATCTCATTTCTCACCCCTCATTCACGCTCACTCACCCAAGATTCACTCACTCACCTTCATCTCAGCCCAGTGCCTTTCTCATCCCATCCCATCCCATCCCATCCCATCCCATCCCATCCTAGTCCATGTGACCATGTCAGATCCGTCGCCAAACCAAAAGCTAGTGAGTGATGCGGCATGCCCATCCATCTCAGGCACGTCACAGTGGAAGTATAAGAGATGAGCAGCCCCGATGCACGCACGCGCATGCTGCCTCGAGCCGGATTGGCTCGGGGTTTTGCTCCTCCACGTGCGATCTGAGATGCGCTAGCTCACGATCGACGCAGGCCTCGGCCTGTCGCTTGAAGGGGTTCCAGGGTTTTGTTTCTTTAGCGGTGGCCCTTCTGTCCACGCCACAGAGCCACCCTCCGGTTCATCGGCAATCTTGCAATCGTCAACCTGGAAGCCTTCAGTTTGTCTCGGGGCTTGAGCTTTGCTAAATGACAGGGTGTTGGTTCAGACCGCCACGGCTCCGCGGTGCTTCTTCAGCCCTATCTGCGCTGCCAGATGGCCTAGCTTGTCGGTTTGGGGCGTTGAGGGGATGAACCTCTTGACTCGCGTCCGCCGCTGAGCCAAACACGGGGTGGGTTGGCCGTCTTCTTTTGGCCATTCGTCGTGTTCAAACCTTCCAGGAAGGATGCCTATACTCTGCATTCTCGTTGATGTTAGCATCGCCACGTTTTCCCTGGTCTAGTTCCAACGCATCGACCTCAACTTCATCTTGGAGCAGCGGTTGTCGCTTTTGCTGTATTAAAGCAGTAGTAGACGTTGCAAACCGTATCCCGAGAGAATGCGGGTGCCGGGCTCTCCGCCGGCTGTCGCAGTGTTTCCATCTCACCATCAGGCGTAAACTCTGTGCACACATGCAATCAGCGCTGTTGCATGGTGTAACTCATCGACTTTGCGGCACGTGTATAACGACAAGGCGGCACTCTTGTTGCCCCGAGTTTCAAGGGCCTCTAGATGTCTGAAGAGAAAAAGAAAGAAAAAAAAAGAGAAAAAGAAAAAAAACTGCTAGACCTTGCTTGCACTATGACCATTTGTTCTATCTTGCAAGACTCGGGACGTTGATAGAGTATTGAACCCCATCAAGGTGAGCGCATCAAGGGCCTCCTCGGCGCCCCATGTTTCTCCGCGCGGGGATGATAAAAGAATTGAGTTCCGTGGCAGTCCAAAGGTCTGAACACACCCCGCCGTTCCACGCGCCAGGCCCCTTGTCCAGCCCCCCTCCCTTCCATCCCCCTTCTTCCCCCCCGTCACGAACCACAGGGAAATGGACGCCGAACTGAAAGCCTTCAACGCCCTGCTCTCCGCGGACCGCAAGTCCAACGACGAGCTGACGGAGCTGCAGCGCGTCGCCATCACCGCCTTCGTGCTCGCGGGCCGGAGCTACCGCGAGGCCGCGCGCGCCTTCGGCTGCTCGCCCGGCGCCGTGCAGACGACCGTCCGCCGGTTCAGGACCGCCAGGTCCTTCGCGTCCACGCCCCGCAAGGGCAGGCCGGAGAAGCTCTCGGAGGAGGAGAAGCAGGCCGTCGCCAAGTCCGCCGTGGCCAAGAACCCGCCCACCTATCGGGAGCTCTCCGGGCAGCTGGAGGGCCGCGTCAGCCTCCAGACCCTGAAGCGCGTGGTCAAGAAGGCCCGCTTGGCAAAGGAAGGGGAATGAAGAGGCTGGGTTTACTCGGAACGATGTGTGGATGCGACGCTCCTGCGGGACTTTCAGTCGCTTGAATGTATGTGTTATTACCCGTCGCTAGTGGCCTACTGGTGTCTGCTCAAAGGTCCGTTCATGGTATTTGGCTAATCCGGAAGAAGTCGGCTTGAACAGACAGGCCCGTTGCGCGGTTGGCGATCGACTCATACACGCAGTGTACGGAGTATATCCCCCGCCCTTGCGGCCCGCGATGGATGACCGGATGCGTCTTGGCTCGAACCGGGGAAGGGGTTATTGCCGCACAGGACGGGAGTTTTTTTTTCCCTTTTTTTCTTCCTCCCATCGTATCGTCCAACCAGGTGACGACTCAAACCTGGGAGACATGTATGCTTATACCGCCAACGGTCCTGGACCTAACATGGTCCGAATCAGATCGATAGAGAGTGTGTCGCTACTACTATGGTTGCGAAATGTACGAGATGAATTTCAGCACTTCTCATTACTGCTGCGTATGATGGATGCATAGTGTCGCTTAGAGCGTTGCCCTATAGCAAATCCTTATCCCCCTGCTCTTAATATGCGCCAGCGCTTACATGCGTCAGCTCACATTTTGCTGTCTGCTCTGAGCCGCATCTAGGCGTGTCTGGATTGAGGTGGGTTTATTCCATTCCCTGCCGGATTTTTTTTTTCCATCGGATTGATAGGCCAATTCACATCTAGCCCTTCACGATGTTCAATGCCGAACGACAACGTCTCCTGGGTTCCTGCAGATGGTGCCCCGATGAGGGACAACTCGGCTACTTCGAGGCTTGGACCGATGGCAGCGCCGGTGCGTAACGACGTGCATGATCCGGCTCAGCCAACAAGTCTAACGCGCGGAGAGACAGCAGGTCCCGTCGCAGGCAACTACAGAACCGGGTTCCTGGACGACGACGAGGTCGAACAATGGCTTCACCAACAGGGCCGGTTCTCCCGGCGGGCGAAGCCTGGCCAGGCCAGACCAGCCATGCGTATCCGCCTCCTGATGTGCGAGCGCGTGGGCTGGCTCCCCGTGGGCTTCGCGATGAGCCGGTCCTCTTTCCTGGCCATGGAGACGGCCTTTCGGCTCTCGACCGAGACGCTGCCCATCCTCGTGGCCAATAACGGGAGGCAGTACTCCAACCTGCGGTTCAGCGAGGACAACGACAGCAGGCTCGAGTCTATAGGTAGAGGACACCCACGCGCACTTGGCGCTGCACGCGCGGAAGATGAGGCTGATTGCTAGCACAGCCCTCACGGTCAAGCTCCCTCAGATGTTCCAGCTGGGGAACCTCGGGCTGGCAATGTCCCACCACCTCGAAACGGGCACGACGGTGGCGTTCCTTCACGGCTGGAACGTCTTCTCCAACCGGAACTACGTGACGGACGAGCCAACCGTCTCCCACGCGGAGGACTTGTGCGGCATGATGCAGTCGGCGACCACGCTCTGGGCCCACCCGCTGTTCCTGCCCGCGGTCCTCGTGCGGGAACACCTGTCGAGGGCCGAGGCGTTCAAGAGCCGGTTGGAGCCCAAGGTGACGGATATCGAGAGGGGCCTCGGGGTCACCAGGTCCGCGCGGCTGGTGGGTTTGGAAGTCAACGCGTCCGTCCAGCACATGGTCCAGGACGACCAGGAGAGGCTCCGGATCACGGCGCGCCTGAACACGACGGCGACGGATGTCGTCAACATGCTCGGGATCCTGGATTGGGACCTGCAGCACGTCAAGTTCCTCGGCCGCGTCAACGACGACCTGGGCGCGCTCCACGGCCGAATGTCCCCCGCGGCGGACGCCGAGCTGCGCAGCGTCGTCGAGTACCTCGAGTGCGAAGCGCTGTCCATCGTCTCGTTTGTCGGCACGATGAAGTCGAGGCTGGATCTCCAGCTCAACGTGGTAAGAAAACGCCCCCCGACCCGTGGTCCGTGGAAATCCCCCCCCCCCCCCCCCCCCTGGAGGCAAAGCGGCTTACGCGAAACGCTCGTGCAGCTTTACAACTTCATCGCCCAGGCGGAGAATAACCTCAACATGAAAATCGCTGCGAACGCGGGACTCGACAGCACAGCCATGAAGACGCTCGCCGTCGTCACCATGGTCTTCCTGCCCCCGACCTTTGTTGCCGTAAGTTGCCGTATCCCCCCCTGCCCCGGCCCCAGCTTCTGTTTCCAAAAGTAACATCGGGGCGCCAGACAATCTTCAGCATGTCCATGTTCGACTGGCAGGGCTCCTCTTCGACAGCAGGGGAGACCAACGGGACGGTCGTTCCCGAGTTTTGGATCTACTGGGCGGTGAGCGTACCTCTGACGCTCGCCATTGTGATTGGCTGGCGCTTCTGGTGGCATTTTCAAAAGGGGTACTACGAGAACAAGTATCTAAGCGTGAAGCCGAGCGAGGTGCCTAGGTCAAGGAGAAGGGGGAGCGGTGGTGCTTGATCCGTGGGTAGCATGTGTCAGTTCGGTAGGGGTTTGTATCGCCGAAGTAGCCAAGCAGGACGCTTGTTCACTCTGCCTACCCCGGGACTTGTCTGCAGCTCAATCATAGATCGAAAACACGGTGTCAGGATTAACATAGCGCTGGAATGGGTTGGCCTTGCGAATTCGATATGGCCCGACTCCAGAGACAATGTCAGGTTATTCCTTGGAAGAGTCCCTTCTGGGTACTGTGACGATGAGCCTCGGTTACGTGAGAATCATGAAAAGAGAAGAAGCCAACGAACTCCAGTGCTCGGCTTGTAAATGTTATGTTTTGAAGCATCAGAACGACATGATGGCTGTGTAATGTACCCTGCAGGATGGAAACTTAGTATCAGTCGACAAAGCTAACACGATGACACGATAACCTTGAACGGGCTGAATGAGCCAAATGCGCCAAGCAGATAATATATTGATAAATCAGCAGAGCAATCTCGGCCATCTAGTCGTACACAACATATGATTATGTACTTACTCATTCTTTCCTATCCTTTTCTGAATACTAGACGAGGTCTTTGCGCAAAAACACGGTTCTCCTCACCACCGGGTTGCCGTCAGGGTCCGTCTCTGGATACCCGTAGAAGTTGTCGACTGTCCGGACGAGCTTGTACCCTCTCCTCTCATACCACGCTTGGGTGGGCGACTGAATTTTGTCCATGTTAGCGTCTACGTCAACGGCCATCAGAAGGATATGGGCGGAGGGAGAGGACGTACAGCGGGAAGCTTCCCATGGTGCACCACGGCGGACTCCTTCCGGAGCTGGTCCTCCTTCGAGACGGTATCCAGCATCAGCGTCTTGGCGCAGAGCGGAGTGCCGGCGGCCATAGACTCCGCCATGTCCATCGCCGCCCTGCCGATCCCCGAGCCCTGGATGGCGTCCGAGACGTAGAGGCTCTTGATCCAGAACACGTGCTCCTTGGGGATCGGGAGGCCGAGAGGTTCGGCGCGCGGGTTGCCGAAGTCGAGCGAGATGTGGCCGACGGGGTGGAACGGCGTGCCGGTGGCGGTCCTGGAGACGGCGTAGATGGATTGCGCGGTGTCGACAATCGGCTCCGTCTCCTGGAGAAGCAGCGTCGATGTTAGTGACGAGAAGACAGGGCAGAAGACAGGGCGGAAGATGGGGAGGGGAACCTTTGGGTATTCGGAGACGTGCTTGGCGATCTTTGCATCACGCTCTGGGTCTTCACTTGTGATTGTCTTTGCAGTTCACTGTCGTCAGCTGGTGAGCAATTCCGAAGTCGAATATATTGCGTGAAAGGGGCCATTAGGAGGATCGCGTCCGCTCCGAGTCCATCTCACAGCGTACAACAAAAATGAATAAGGAGAAAATAAAGCAAAAAACATCAAACAACTCACGATCCAATAGATGCATTTGTATCCCGAGCGCTGCCCACCCTGCCATGCGGGAACCAGGTCATCGTCCCAGCCGCATGCTATCCTCTGGTCCACCATCCGCGTGACATGGTCTGCAGCCTCTGGGTCCCAGGGGATCAGCGTGACTCTGGCTGGTGACATTGCTTCTTCCTCTTATCGGGGCTTTAAGTAAACAATGTGTGACAAGTTGGCTCTCCTCGCGGACCGGGGAAGTCTCGGTAACTCTATGATAATGGTTGTGGCAGAGAGTCAAGGAGCCCGAGTGCGGAACGATGCGTCAAGGGACGAGTCGTGAACAAGAGCATATGAACCTGACGGGCTGTCCTGACTTGGACGGGAGCAAGGAATTCGGTCCGGCTTTAACATGCGCCTTTTCGGCCACGACACGCGCCCTTTTCGGCTTCGGCCACCTTTAGTTCATGGGGTAAAAGCGGGAAAAGGCTATTTAGTCCGATGTCGACATGTCAGTCAAGGGCGCAGATAACATGACACATTAAATATGGGGCTTTTCGTCGCCGTTGCTATGCATTTTATGACTAGTTTCTTCTCCGTTGATGTTCGGCATGGCCGATTTGCCAGGGTGTCTCGATCCCGATCCCGAAGAAAAGCATCCGGACGGAAGATGGACGGGAACGAGAGGCTCACGAGCGGCAACGATGATGTTAATCAGACGATGAAAAATGCATATGCCCAATACCAAGTCGCTGTGTGTAAAAAAGACGGGAAAAACAGAATCGCAAATCTTAACGCCTCGCCGCCTTTTGCATGCTAAATCCCACCCATCCCGCAATCCCATTCCCGCTCCATCCCATTCTATTGCGGCGGCATCGCCCATGTTCCGTTGGCGAACCACGTGCCGGCCTTTGTATAGTCTAGTGTAACGCCGTCCCTCATGTAAGCAAATCTGAAATACTCGGGCACGGCCAAGTTGGCCTTGCGTATCCACACGAAGAGGTTGTCGTGCGGGCCGTCGGCGAAGTAGTAGCGGAACCGCTCGACGTCATTGACCAGCGCGCTGACGCCGTCGTAGCCGGCGGCGACGAGGTCGGCGTCGGGCGGCAGCAGCCAGCTGAAGCTGATGCTGCGCTCGGAGGGGCCCGAGGAGACGACGGGCTCGGCGAGGCGGGGGAGGAGGGAGCCGAAGGCGCCGTCCTCGCGCAGCTCGTCGGGGGTCTGCAGCACCGAGTCGAAGCCCCAGCGGGCGATGCCGTTGACGAAGAGGCCGAGCAGCATGCCCTGGTAGAAGAGCGAGGTGCGCGTCTGCATGCTGGTGCCGGGGAGCAGGAGGAAGGCCATGATGTAGTGGTGCACGCGCAGGTCGAGGCCGGGGATGGAGACGCCGACGATGATGCCGGCCAGGAAGAGGGCGTAGAGCGCGAGGAAGCGCGGCAGCCGGCCCTCGAGCCAGAAGAAGTAGACCTGCTTGGCCATGACGAAGGCGAGGACGGTGAGGATGAGGGCCAGCGCCGGCTTGGCGCCGGGCTGCTGCTCGATGTCGTGCGCCGTGAGCCGCTGGATCGGCATCCAGCCGAAGGTGTAGTTGGACAGCGCGCCGAACCAGAAGCCGCCGAGCCACAGCGCCGTCTTCTCGAACTGGGCCCGCAGGTTGGCGAGGGTGCGCCGGACGCAGATGCGGTAGAGCACGACGGCGCAGAAGGCCGCCGGCAGCAGGCGGCCGGCGAACAGCGAGATGCGGTCCGGCAGCACGGAGGCCGGGTGGCGCGACGTCGTGGGCGGGTCGGAGGCGAAGCTGACGTGGGCGAAGATGCCGACGAAGGAAACGAAGAACTGCCAGGCCGGCGACGTCGTGAAGAGCGAGAAGACGGCGGAGAAGAAGACCGAGGTCGGCAGCAGGACCTCGCGCGGGTCCCGCCGGCCGCAGCGCAGCAGCGCCGACGGGTCGTCGGCGGCGGACAGCTCGAAGGACAGCGGGAAGTACGAGTCGAAGGGGACGGTCTCGACGCCGTTCCGGGCCGAGGCGTTGAAGACTTCGTGGCGGCCGAGGCGGCGGAGGCGGCCGCACCCGCCGCTGAGGTCGGTGGCGACGCCGGCGTGGATGGCGGCGGCGCAGATCATGGAGTCGCCGCGGTAGACGCCGTCGCCGCCGCCGCCGACGACGAGCGGCTTGTAGACGATCTCGCGCGGGCCGACGGCGTGGGGGTTCAGCAGCTTGTGGGCCATGCAGTTGGCCGGGCACCGGAAGGAGAGGCTCGCGTTGGCGAAGGGCCGGCAGTCGGCGCCGTCGAGGCCGCAGCCGTTCTTGAAGCGCCACAGCGTGTCGCCGCAGTCGAGGCTGACGACCTGGCGGCCGCCGGCGCCGTCGTCGGCGAGCGCGCGGGACGAGGCCAGCGGCACGGAGAAGGCGACGGCCCAGACGGCGAGGAAGACGGCGACGAGGGCGCCCCTGCGCCGGGCCGTGGGCGCGATGATGTCGAGCAGCCGCGGAGGCGCCTCCTGGACGGCCGGCAGGACGGGGCGGATGGCGTGCACGCGCGGCGGCTGCGGGCCGGCGATGCAGTGGCGCTTCGGGGTGTGCGGGAACTTCTGCTGCGAGAGCGACGGCCGGCTGGAGGTGCTCTCCTCGAGCTCGTACTCCTCCTCCTCGTCGTCGGCGAGGAACCGGGCCTCTTCGTCGGCGCTGCGCCGGCGCGCGTACTTGTCGTCGTCGGCGTCGTCGTCCTCGCTGTCCTTGAACGGCCGGTCCCTGAGCGGGAAACCATCACCGGGGGCCCCCATCTCTCTCCCTCTCTCTCTCTTTCTCTTTCTTTCTCCCTTCCTCTCCGAAGTTCCCAGCTTCCCCTGGCCCGTCTATCCCACTCAGTCTCTGGTCTCTCTCTCTCTCTCTCTCTCTCTCTCTCTCTCCCTCTCTCCCTCTCTCTCTGTCCTCTCGGCTCGATGGCTCTTGTGATCGAGGAGGTTGGCCGGCGCTTCAGTGCAGGTAACGTGCGTGAGGGCGAGTGCGAGTGCGAGCGAGCGACGGTGAAGTCACCGACGGAAGAAGAAAAGAAACGTACGGTCCTTGGCGACGGGGGGGGAAGTCCGAGAAGAAAAGAGCGAGTGACGTGCCCGTGAGAGGTACTCAGACATAAGACCTTGGGCACCAATATAATGAATACCGGGGTGACCTACCACCAAAACCGAGCTGGAACCCCCTTCAAGATCCCCTTCAAGACCCCTCCAGTGCCCCCCTCCCCTTTGAGTGGAAATTGGACACGGTGATCGGAACAGACGTAAGGGGCGCGCTATCCTTAGTGGGGGCTAACATCGTCTACTTGACTCGGTCCCTTTCGAGACACGAGAGTCCAAGCTTTCCATCGTTTCTGAGCGAGGCATGACGCTAAACTGAGACAATCGGGGGGTGTGTGGATGGATGGTCTTTAGGGCGTTTCTTAGGATGAACGGCATGCGTGCATATCCCCCCCTGGTCCCATGTCCCGAGCTGCCGCCTCTGGATAAACAATCGAGTTGGGGTCAACGACTGGATTCTATCTAAGCTTGCAGAAGGGAGGGCGTTTCCAATTCGATTCTCGGCGGACAACCAAAGGATTCGCAAGGGGAGAGAAGAGAAGAGTCTGTTGGCTTCGTTCGGCTACGCTTCCGAGTACAGATTTGATGCGTGTCTGCTTAATCTGAAACTACAGGGGGGAACGTTGCCAGGGTCACACAGGGCCAATGTTGGGTGAAAAGACGGCGACTAATATAGACAAGATGTCCCCTTCGATACGACACGGAGCGGTGAGCCGGAGCAAACTGAATCGACAAAACGACACACTCCTGAACCTCCAACGCCCAATCTTCTCATCATGGATTCTCTCGCGTTTACCTGGCCGAATGCCGGCCTGCAATGCATCCTCATCTTATACCCGGTTAAAGCCTGAATGTCAAAACAGGGGAGGGACTACGGTACTGATCCAAGGCGGTCCCCAGTAAGCAGAGTGTCAAAACGGGGGGACGAGTCGGCCACAGCCGCTGTCGCAGGGGAGGGGAGGGGGGGTTATGACAGTTACTTGATTGAGTCCCGGCACTTCATGGAGACACGGCCGCAACCGGATGAAGTGAATGCGTCGCCGCGTGCATACGTGGGATGAGTTGAGCTAGATGTACAGTTTCTTGGCTCTCACTGAGACATTTCGACGATCTTCACGGGTACGCCTCCCGGCGCGGAGAGATGAATGAATTAAACATTATATTTCTTTCGTGCATGAACTTCCAGCCTAGTATGACTTCATGAGAACACAGAGCTGTGTTCATCAAGCCCTAGTTATTGTCCTGTACTGCGAGGGGGGGGTGAATTACGCTTGCGCGAAGCCATCGGACGGGTCGCACGGGAGGGCATTTGCTTCGTTTGCAGGCATATACCTCGCAATGGATGCCCGTTTGCGTGCTTTTGAGTTCGACGAAACACCTCGCATCTTATCCTGCCTAAAGCAACGCGGGCTTTCTTCCTTTGTTCAGCAAGAAATGAACAAGGGGGGGGGGGGGGAACCGCCGTCTACATCTCGCAGGTGTACTCCATCGTCAAGTCCACCCGCGGCACGCCCTCGAAGCCGGCCGGCACCGCGTACGACACGTTGTAGTACCAGTGGTTCCTCAGCTGCTGCCCGTACGTGACCGGCTGCTTCTCGAGCCCCGGCGCCGACACGTTGACGCTCAGGCACGGCAGATGCTCGAGCCCCGCGACGGTCTCGCCGCCCCGCGTCCACGACGGCGGGATGCCGGACAGCGCGAAGGTGAAGACGTCGGACCCCGGCTGCGTCGCGTTCGGGTACGACACGCTGAGGGACCGCTCGCCGGCCACGGCCTTGATGGCCGACGCCGAGGGGTACAGCAGGAAGAAGCCGACGTAGGGGAACGGCGCGTGGCCCGGGTCCGACGCCCAGTGCACGATGGCCGGCACGAACTGGTTGCCGCGGCCGGCGTCCTCGGCGACCTCCTGGCCGCCCACCATGAGCGGCGCGCTGACCCACGCCGTGACGTTGCGGACCTCGCTGCCGGCGGCGTCCAGCTCCTCCCTCGCCGTGCGCGCGAGGCTGCGCGCGCCCTCCCACGGCCCCTTGGCCTTGAGCGCCGCCGCCGCGTCGTGCGAGATGTGCTTGGCCACCGTGTCCGACACCAGGGCGATGGCCGCGCCCTGGGCCGCGTCGTAGAGCAGGTCGGCCTCGCCCTTGGGCGGCTGCGGGCCGAAGTCGCGCCCGAAGACGGCCCACCAGTACATGGGCAGGATGGACGAGTGCGCCGTCATGTCGCGCGTGTAGGCGCGGTCGTAGGGCCCGACGAGGTTGCCGAGGTACGGGTTGTAGTGCGCCGCGACGTCGTCCCACATCTTGCCGAGCATGTACGCGGCGTTGGCCGTCATCGTGGCGTTGCGCGGCCCGTAGGCGACGTTGGCCGCCAGCGCCCACACGTCCATGCCGTAGTAGTTGGGCGCGTTGTACTCGCCCAGCGTGTCGTTGAACTGGAAGAGCTCGAGCAGCTGCGTGCCGTGCGTGTTGGCGAAGTCGACGAACGTCGCGTTGCCGCGGCGCGCCCCGATCCAGCCGACCGTCAGGGCGCGCATGAGGTTCGGGTTGGAGTATCCCAGGATGAGGTTGTCGCCCTCGGGGAAGCTGCCGTTGCGCCTCATGGCGCCGACGGCCTGTATCTCTAGCGCGTCTTCGATCTTCTTCACGAGCTCGTCGCCGAGGAGGTCGCCGTAGAGCTCGACGTCTTGGATGAGCTGGGTTCTGGTGCCTATTAGTTAGTATTATGCCCATCTTTGGCCGGCTCTCTCTCTCTGCCCCGAAGGGACATGTGGACTTGGACTTACCCGATGAACTCTCTCCAGTTGGGATCGTACGTGTTCTTGAGCCACAGTTAGCATCGCACGGCAACTCGATGCGATTCTTTTTCTCGAACGGAATGCCAAAGACAAGAGAAGACCACTACTCACGTAGATACTCGGCGGATACAGTTCAGAGTCCGGCGTCGGGTCCGGCTCGTCGGGCGAAAGCTTAAACGTTCCGTACCATGCCGACTCGTAATCCGACGTCAACTGGCTCGCCAGACTACAACGGCGGGCTCGCCATCAGCTTCGTTCCGCTCGCGCACCACACAAATAAACAGACAAGCAAAAAACTCACACGTTCTTAATCGCCGCCTTTGCGTTCTCCACGTCGTTGCCCTCGTTGCGGTGCAGCAAACCGGCCGTGTACCACGCCGTGAACCGGACGGACCACGGCCCGTTGTCTTGGTACCAGATAAGCTTATACGAGTCGTCCCATCTGGAGTCCTGGACTGCCATGGCGTAATCGAACAAGCTTTGCGCGTCTAATAACGATCCCGTAAGTTTCATGTTGAAAAAAAGAAAAGCTGAATGAAACAAAACACGCCTGGGTGTATGCTGCGGCGTCTACTTACTAGCTGAAAGCACCGGCTTGCTTGTCGCCGCGACCCCCAGCGTCGCGCTGGAGGTCAAGATCGAAGCCACGGCCAGGTTGAGACGCATTGCAGGAGACAGAGAGAGACGCAGGGCACTGGGGGAACAATCCTCGGAAGAGACGAGAGACGTCTGCTCTCTCGATCGTCTCCTGGCCCGCTGCTATATACCGTAAACACCCAGGTTCCGGGTGGATATCCCAAGACATTCCCGCGCCGAGTCTCGCTGCCCACGCGAGTAAACAACTGATTGCAGCTCTCTCACTCTCTCACTCTCTCTGGTCTGGTCTGGGGAAACCAATTTCCCCAAGTCATGCACCACCCCTCTCGGTCCAGTCTCTTTCGAGAATCCGTGGTCGGCCAGCTCCCTACCAATCCGCCAATCACAATCACCAATTCGCCATACAGAACCCGGCCAAGCCCGGCCAAGCCCGGGCCGGAGCCGGTGGACCATCACCGTACCCCCCCGGGCCAGCTCACATATACCCCAACTCCGAACTAGTGGATTGTGCACAAGTGGGGTTGCGAATGGGTTTGCGGGGGAGGCCATGCCTTTACCTCGGAAACAGCCGCATGAGAGATGCCAGAGAGATACCGGTAGATACCCAAATTGCTATGGTGGCACGCGGTTGGCCCAAAGGACGGGATATCTTGTCAAAGCACGAGCACAGCGGAATCTTCTCTCTTTGTCCCTTTCATCGTCATCATCCTCGTGTTCCTCCTCTCCTCTTCCCTCCCATCTTGGGGTCTATGTAACATCTGGCACCACGGTTCATCTTACGGTTCCCCGATTCGGCTTGTCTTCCCCCGACTAGCTGCCTCACCTGATAAGCCTAGCCAACCCGAAGCCATGGGTCTGGCAACCCCACTGATATCTCATGACCTCGCTCTATCTGGCAGTCGATGGCTATCTGGCCCAACAGGCGAGACAGGCTATAGGCCAGGAAGGATTCCGTGCCCCTCCGGCCCGGACCAGGGCCGGCTGTTGTAGCATTGCTATCATCACTTGGGAGCTGCGCGAAGCAGATCGGCCTGTCGCCGAGTCGCGCTTCGTCGGCATATGTACGCGATAGACCCCCTCGGTCGTTCTTCCCCTCTCCCCGCCCCCTCCCTCAAGCTGAGAAGACTCTTTCTCTCTCCCTCTCTCTCTCCGGCCTTGCCAACCTCGCCGAGGAACCGCGCAGCCATGTCGAAAGAAGCCACCACAACATCGGAGCCTGTCGGCGTCCCCGTCACCGTCGACGCCGCCATCGCCGACAAGAGAGGCGCGTTCAAGTGGATGTCGAACCCGGGCATCGTCAAATTGAACTGCGTCATCGGCCTGTCTCTGGTGTCGAGCTACGCGACCGGCTACGATGGCTCCATGATGAACGGCCTGCAGTCCCTGGACACTTGGAAGGCGTCGTTCAACAACCCCGACGCATCGGAACTGGGACTGTTGGTGAACCCATACCCGGACGCGACGCCCGCTCTCTCTCCGTCTCCCGCACACGATGCTGACACGCCTCGCCCTTCTAGCCTGAACGCCATCCAGAACGTCGGCCAGCTCGTCGCCCTGCCCTTCTGCGCCTGGTTCTGCGACCGCTTCGGCCGCAAGCCCGCCCTGCTGGTCAGCGCCGCCATCCTCATCATCGGCGTCGCCCTCCAGGGCGCCGCCCAGAACGTCGGCATGTTCATCGCCGCCCGCGGCATCCTCGGCTTCGGCCTCGCCCTCAACATCACCGCCGCCCCGCTCATGATCATGGAGCTCGCCTACCCCTCGCAGCGCGCGCCCCTCGTCAGCATCTACAACTCGCTCTGGGGCCTCGGCGCCCTCAGCGCCGCCTGGATCACCTACGGCACCTTCCGCATCGCCGACACCTGGGCCTGGCGCGTCCCCTCCATCCTGCAGGGCCTCTCCAGCGTCGTCCAGCTCGGCCTCTGCTTCTTCATCGAGGAGTCGCCGCGCTGGCTGATCGCCAAGGACAGGGACGCCGAGGCCGAGGCCCTGCTCGTCAAGTACCACGCCAACGGCGACGCCTCCGACCTCATCGTGCCGCTGGAGATGGAGGAGATCAGGACCGCCCTGCGGCTCGAGGCCGAGGCGTCGCGCACCACCTCCTACCTCTCCTTCTTCCAGACGCCGGGAAACCGACGCCGGTTCCTCATCATCCTCTGTGTCGGCTTCTTCTCTCAATGGTGAGCTATTCAACTCAACGACCGCATCGCTCGCGGTTTGCTGACTTTTGCGACCAAATTTTAGGTCCGGTAACGGTCTGATCTCCTACTACCTCGCCCTTATCCTTAACTCGATCGGATACACTTCGCAAGACACCCAGACGCTCATCAACGCCTTGCTCACGCTCTGGGGTCTCGTCTGGGGCATCCTCGCCTCGGTTCTCGTCAACCGCTTCCGCCGCCGCACCATGTTCATGGTCTCCACCGTCGGCTCCCTCGTGTGCTACGTCATCTGGACCGGGCTCCAGGCGACCTACGAGAGGCAGACGGACCTCGCCGGCGAGGGGTCCCCGGCCCTGGCAAAGGGCGTGCTGGCCATGATCTTCCTGTACAACGTCACCTTCACCGTGGGCTGGGGCGCCCTGCAGGTCACCTACGTCGTCGAGATCCTGCCCTACAACCTCCGCGCCAAGGGCCTGGTGCTGTACAACCTGTTCGTCGCCCTGGCGCTGATCTTCAACCAGTACGCCAACCCCATCGGCGTGACCAACTCCAAGTGGAAGTACTACATCACCTACGACGTCTGGCTGGCCTTCGAGGCCTTGGTCGTGTACTTCCTGTTTGTGGAGACGGGCAAGATGAGTCTCGAGGAGACCGCCGTCATACTCGACGGCGTCGAGGATAAGCTGGTCGAAGAGGTTGCGCAAAAGACGGAAAAGCTCGCCATGAGCGGCAACGAAGCCAAGCGAGAGGCCAGTCCTCGCGGGTAAAGCAGGGCTTTTTGTCATTTTAGCAAGCGAGCCACGACCTGCAGCGCATAGACATTGTAATCACTCCTTCAAGTCTTGATAGTATGACAGTTTGATGTATTCCTGGGGTGCATTTTGTGGCCAGTCTGACTATGCCAGTCGCAATGTCGAGTGCGAGTTCTGCAACTCGGGTTTCGCTCGGCAAACCTCTCGGCTTCTTATCAAGACTTACAAGTTCTGAGTCTCCTCGACTTGCAATCGAATCAAGCACATCTCGTCTCGTCGATTATAAACGTTGCTCCGCGGGTTTTTTTCGGCTACGAGAATGTCTAGCCATCCTGCCAGAAGAGACGCATGGCCATTTTAAAATCTCATTTGCCTCATTTACATTCACAACGACAAATACCTGACACCGGGTCATTAGGTCACCCCAGTGAGGAGTCAACGGCCGAAGCCCCGCCCACGACATCCAGAACGGTTACTATCGTATGCAAAAGACTGATTTTCTCCGCCTTGATACTGTCGGTGCCGGGGTATCGCAGCAGGGACCACATCCCAGCGGCCCATGCCGTGAGAACGACTAGCTGGACGCTGTCGCCTAGAGCCCAGAGCACTTTCATCTTTGCGAGACTCCAGCCGAATCTAGGGCAGTCTTTTTTATTCATCTTTTTTTTTGAGATTAAGATGTGCTCCGGTGGATACTTTTCCTAGTTTACTACTGTTGACGTTGTTCGAAGTTCCTATAACCATGGGTTGAGCACTTGGAGGGTACGACGAACAGCGTAATACAGGATTGAAAATATAGTCGCTCTATAACCCCCCATAACGGGTCAAGTGCAGTTTGCCCAGTACATATAATATAGGATAAAGGGGCTGAAGACATAAAAGATAGTACATTCTTACATGTACACAGTCGAGATTTAAAACGTTTTTGTTGGAACACTAATCCGACCATATTCGTACGCATAAGTCAGTTGCCAGAAGGTCTATATAACTGGCTATATTTCCAGCCAGCCAGACCACTAGACTTAGAGAATTCATGCCTTTTACAGTCACGTCTTGTTGATGCATCAACCCATCTATAGTCCTTCCAACAATTTTCAAGTTTTATCTAACTTGCTTTATTACTTGTGATATTTCAAACCTCCATCTAAAACTTTACGCAACCTTTAGGCATTAACTTGCTAAGCTAGGAACAGTTATTAATAATTAGTTACAACGTAGTCTAGTTATAACAGGTGTTGTATCAAAATCGCCTTTACAGAGCAGGTTGCAACTTATTTCTCATTAAGTTTATAGACATTTGGCTGCTCGTCGTCTAAGGGAGTAGAAATTCTAGAGAGCTTACTATCTCGGTCACTTTTGGTTTGACTACATTCTAGTGAAAACATGGCTACTATCTATGATGGCTTCGTCAGCGAATTAACGCCTGTTACCCTCTGTGTTGTATAACTTTCGCCCACGGCATTCCGATGGCTACGAGAAGGTCAAGTTGTTGTTCCCACTCATCCTCGTCCCCGCAAGTACGTTTTTGCCTGTGATCTGGTCATTAAAGATCGCGCCCGGGTGCTCTATCATGGGTTGCTGCACCGGCTCTAGCGCCAATCGACCACAGGGAGAGGAAGTCTGCCAATCGCCAGCAACCGACTCGAGCGATGGCACGATCGAAAGCAGCTCCTTCGCACACGCGGCAGCTGTGGCAGCGGCGTACGGCTGCCACTTCTTATTCTTGTGCGCATCGGCGTAGTTGCAGATGCCGCGGACGACGATGCACGGAAAGTTGTTCATCAGCCCAGCCGCCACCATTTCGAAGCACAGGACACCCCCAAGCTCCTGATTGTACCGTTTGCGTGTTTTTCCATCCTTCATAACCTGGTTGCCGGACGCAATGGTTCCGAAGAAGAGGACCGGGTCGGTGTTCTCCCGTGTTTCCCGGGGGATTACTTCGTCCTGGCAGCATTTTAGGCATGTCGGCCCCGGGACGTGAGTCGAAGCGGCCATGTAGAGCGTGTCTTGTCCAGGGCCAGGGGACCTAAATATTGGGTTGCCGGTGTACTTGGCCAGGTGCTCCGTGATCCGGGTTCTACCACGGATATCGTTCGATCGCAGCTTGGCCAAGGCCTTGAGAAGGATTTCGGGCGGCGCGTTCAAACTTCCCACTCGCGCGAGTACCCCATCCGCTCCCGTCTTGCCGAAGTCGTATTGGACTACGCCGCCGTGTTGACCCGCCGGCTGGCTAATCACGACGTCCCCGAGGCGGATGTCAACGTCATTACCGTCCTCGAGGTCCGGGACACCGCCCCCGATACCGACAAGGATGTTGAACCGCAGCGAGGGGAACCTCGACTTCATCTGGCTCGCGACGATGGCCGCCTGGTTCGTGCCCATCTGGCCGGCTGGCAGACAGGCCGCGACGACGTTGTGGGAGCCGATTCGGCCCAAGGTGTAGATGTTGGAGTCGGTTGCGCAAGAGGGGAGGTCGGCGAACTCTTCGTCCATCATCTCGGCTGCAGCCGCGAGCTCGATCGGCAGGGCGCAGACCCAGCCGATCGTGAACTCGTCGACCGAAACCCGTGTTAGCATCTTGATCGATCCTGTGGGTACGTGCGGTCTGCAACTGTTCTGCAAAGGTATAGCAGTGTTGTCATTTGCTACAATAGCTCATTAGCTGTCAACTAGCTGGGTGGAAGATGTTGGTATATTAAGTCCTATGAGGACAGGCATCTTGTGAGGCATAAACAGGACAGCGCGCTGAGGGCGTCTTGGGCTTACTACTGAAAGCCTCGTCAGGCTTTGCCCCGTTTTGAGTCGCATGTTCAGAGAAAGGATGTCTCAGATTCAGCCGAGACGGTCCGCATGTTTCATGGGTGCTCCTCAGCCTGCGTCCGCTCACACCTAAAGAACTCTTTGTCGCTGTAGTGGAAACAGCTCCTCCAACGGACGACCTAATCCAGCGACGGATTACCACCTCGTCAAAGGGCCTTCTTGAAATACGGAGCGGGAAAACCAACTCCGTCCAGTTTATCCATCTGTCTGTCAGGGATTTCCTATTTCGATACAGGAGGCTACAGATAGTGGACCCATCATTAGGATCCGAGCCATTCACGACAATCCACGGCCGACTCTGGGCTCGCTGCTGGTCCGCTATCAAGGAGACGGTCACCACATCAACATCTCGGCACATTCTGAAGTGTTGCGACAAGGTTCCCTTCTTTGGATATGCAATAGATCACATTTTCCAACATGCAGAGAGAGCCTTGTCGAATGACGCCACGATCAAAAAGGGGGGTGGCTGGGGGGGTGGCTGGGGGGGGGGGGGGGGGGTGCTCAGGAGTGCCCTGCCGACGCCTCCCTGAGAACGAGCATCCAGAATTGGCTCCGAGAGATCGATCGCTGGTCAAATCCGTGGTGGAAGATATTCATTTCTTCTAATTCCGAAGAGGACTGGTATACTGGATCAGAGTCATGGCCAAACCGAGATTTATACACAGAGCGAAGGATGGACATATCACTTCTTTACGTGTTGGTAATTCTTAACGTGCCAAACCTGGTGAGAGCCCTTCCAGAAGGCACCAACATCAACGAACAAGGCGGCACATATGGCAACGCACTACAGGCCGCTTCGCATGCAGGGAGCTTAGAGCTCATGGAGCTGCTCCTTAAAAAGGGTGTTAATGTTAACGCACAAGGCAGACGCTATAGCAATGCCCTACAGGCTGCTGCAAGAGGCAGTGTACAGATAGTAGAGCTACTCCTTAAAAACAGTGCTAATATTAACGCACAAGGCAGACGCTATGGCAGCGCTCTGCAAGCTGCTTCATTTAGAGGAGACCTTGACATTATAGAGCTACTCCTTAAGAATAGTGCTGATGTTAATGCACAAGGCAGATACTATGGCAATATACTATAGGCTACTTTATATATAGGGAGCTTAGAGGTTATAGAGCTGCTTCTTAGAAAAGGTGCTAATGTTAATACACAAGGCAGACGCTATAGTAGCGCTCTATAAGCTGCTTTATTTAGAGGAGACCTTGACATTATAGAGCTACTCCTTAAGAATAGCGCTGATGTTAATGCACAAGGTGGATACTATAGTAACACACTATAGGCTACTTTATATATAGGGAGCTTAGAGGTTATAGAGCTGCTCCTTAGAAAAGGTGCTGATGTTAATGCACAAGGCGGACGCTATGGCAGCGCTCTGCAAGCTGCTTTATTTAGAGGAGACCTTGACATTATAGAGCTACTCCTTAAGAATAGCGCTGATGTTAACGCACAAGGCAGATACTATAGCAACGCACTACAGGCTGCTTTATATATAGGGAGCTTAGAGGTTATAGAGCTGCTCCTTAGAAAAGGTGCTGATGTTAATGCACAAGGCGGACGCTATAGCAATGCCCTACAGGCTACTGCAAGAGGCAACGTGCAGACAGTAGAGCTACTCCTTAAAAACGGTGCTAATGTTAACGCACAAGGCGGCTACCATCGCAGCGCTCTGCAAGCCGCTTCATCACAAGGACGCTTTGATATTATAAAGCTACTCCTTGACAATGGCGCCGATGACTCACAAGCTGACGATAATCTTTCACTCACGGTTAACGTATGGGTTTCTCGTGACTAACAATAGTAGCTATCAGACGATGTGGCTACAGTAGGCCTATGAAAGGAAGGGGAAAAGGATAGAAGAAGTGTTCAAGTCAAGTAGGGTGAGGGATACACTGTTGCATTTATTCTTATTATGTATTACACTGGTTTTACCTGCTACATTACATGGTGTTAGCTGGCTTGCTAAATTTCTTGCACATCGACAACTTACGCGTCAGGCATGTTTCTATGTGCACTGAATTAATGAAAGCAATGAAACGAACACTTGAGCGGTTTAAGCTACCCTACGTTGGATGCGCGGTTTGATGGCTTAAGAGTTGTCAATCGGTTGCTGCAAGCCTAATTGAAGCATGACTCGTTAGCGGACAACCTCTTATATATCAACAGCAGCCATAGGGGGCGAGCTAACTATATCTACTTTCGTTCGACTCATTTACAGCCTATGGACTGACGGGGGCCCAAAGATCCTTCATTGCAAGGCGAATCTCGTTCGGAATAGAGTATAGAGTGAACTCACGCCAATGCAAGCGGCCATCGGAAATTGGGCGTCCAGGACACTAAAGACCACGTTAGAATCTTGCATATGACTCTACACTTCCACCACGTCGCCCATCGTCGGCGAAGTCCATGATTCCATTGCCCCAGGCGTTCCCAGTAATGTGGTCCAACTGGTCATCTTCCATCCAAGGCACTGGACCACCCGCCATGCCAGCTGCGGTCTGCTGCGCCGCCGTGGTCAGCGTATGGAAGCGCATGCCTACGAACTAAACCCGGCAAGAATCGTTCGACTGGCAGAGTCACGTTGAGCAGACACAGCGCACACAATTCCTGATCTTCGAATCCTTCCAACCGTGGATGGACAAACAAGGGATAGCCCGCAGGAATCAGATCAGGGCGTAAACTATCTTTGTCCCCATATGGCATGGAGAAGCCTTACAGTTATAGAACAGGGAATTCGGCCTTCTCCAGACTAGATTTGACAGCTTTGAAGACCCGCCAGAAACTGCCAGACCCGCGCCATCGGGATCGCAATCACACCACCGCCCCGCCATATCCGGCCAGACACCACACCACCCTCGGACAATCAACAGACAACACCGGAGAGAATGAGCAAAGGCGACGGCATCATGATCGGGAAAAGCAGGTTAGCACCGTGTTATATATACTCTCAGAGAGTGCGAGAGATGGCAACGTGATATCGGATGCACTCCAGTCCACATCGACCACATCGTACAAAAAGCAACCTCGCTGTCTGCAGACTGTTTCAACTGCAACTCTAAGCCTACTGTATCACTACGACTGCATCATCCCACTCTCGCCTTATCTTCAGCAACACCGATACAGCTTACAGACTCCACAACTATCACAATGGTCAACCAACTAGCCAGGATTCCCGCCACCACCCCGGCCCTTGCTAGGTTCCTCCCCGCTGCCATCACTGCTGGCATCGGTAAGTCCTTAACCCGCTCGCTACCCAGCGGCACGGCCCTGGCTAACATGCAGCCGTTTCGCAGTTTCCGCCGTCGCCCTGAACATCCGCTCCCAGCTCAAGACCGAGTCCCAGACCATGGACCGCTTCTTCGCCAAATACAAGAACCCCGAGAGCGAGGCCGCCCGGCAAAAGGTCTTTAGCGGAGCCTTGGAAGACCCCCGCAGGAGCTGGTTCAACATCCTGGGCTGGTGACTATTCTACGACTAGATATGGTTTTCTTTGCAACATGACCGGGCGTTTTGGGGGAAGGTATATATATCATTGTCATTGTCATAAGGAGGAAGCAGCGTACCCCGTTGGGCGTGCAACCTTTCTATGCACATATCTGAGAAATGCGTTGCAAGCTGGCGGGGGCTTCTTCTGAGCCATAATCTAGTACTACAAAGAGTAATTTCCTAATTCAATCGTCTCAAAATACCCTCTAGTTGTAATTCGCTCTTCCAATCTTTCTGTCGTGTATACAGTTGAAGTAATTGCCTGCGTTACAAACTTACAACTGCCCAGTAAGATGCAACGATATAAGCAAGTATTGACCTGTTGGTCACCTTACTCAAACAAAGTCCGAATGAATCAGGTTTTCCACTTCGAGTTCTGACTTCTGTACGTCTCTGCAGTCTTCTCTTTATTGGCAAATTTTCTTTTCATGGCTTCACACAAAGACTGATTTTCTGCAAACTTGCGACAAGACCACAGTTGTACAAAATGATTGACGATGTAGACATGGCTGCCAAGTCGGGCAGAGTCGATAACTGAACGAACTGTACGAACTAGGTAAAGGGTAGTTATCACTCGGGGTTTCAACGAAAGGTGCCATCTCAAGTCCTATCAAAAGCCGTCAGTCTGTACCAGCCTACTCAGCCAATGGCTTCCCCGCTGATGCTGTATTATCCACAGAGCTGTTGAGCTCAGGTATCATGCATCTTTGCTCCCGAAGACGGCGGCGATGAAGTCTTTCCATGTGCCCAACGCCAACTACAAACGCCAGCCAAGTGAGCTCCTTTCCGTTGGACCTCACTGTACTTACACCAACCCGCGAGCTCGCACAACCGAAGCTTATCCGATTGGATCAAGCAACGTACTTGACCAGAAAAGTTTCCCAACCACCTGGATTGATTCCACGGGCAAGGCCATCGACCAACATCACTGCAAGACAAATGACCGGCAGAACACGTCATGAACACAGAAAGTGCCTCTGTTCGACGACCGACACCATAGTCAGCTGCCCGAACGACTACACCACGTTACTGCCATGATGTCCAGACCGACCCGAGACGGACTGGCCTGGGAGGATGGCGGCTTCGAACTTGAGCCACGCTGGACACGAGAGCCCTCAGTGACGGCGATCGAGAAAGTATGCCGCCAACAGCTAAATATCCAGGGCGCCGACAACTGTGACGTCTCTTTCTATTCAGCAGGCGCATTCAACAAGCTCTATCTTGTCCAGACCAGTGGCAACAAAGTGCTCATGCGCGTGTCTCTCCCGGTAGACCCCGGCGACAAGACTCGCGGCGAGGTAGCAACTCTGCACTGGCTTCGACGCTGGACCAGCACTCCGGTTCCTCGTGTGTTCGCCTTTGACGATTCCAACGACAACGAGATCGGGTTTGAGTGGATCCTGATGGAGTTGATGCCGGGCAAGTCAGCCTACAAGCAATGGCGAGGCATGTCCATGGAACAGAAAACTCGCTTGGTTGAAAAAGTCGCCGAATTTCAGGGCGATATTCTCAGCCAATGCAAGGGATTCCGAAGCATAGGAACCCTTCGTCCCGACGCAATCAAAGACAAAGAGGAGCAGAAAGAGCAGCAAGAAGCAGAATACCACGTCAAACCAAGCAAATATGTATCTCTTGTCTTCTTTTGGGGCGACAACTACGAATACGATGTTCCTCGAGGTCCGTTTCGCTCCAGCCATGACTGGCTCAGCTCCTTCCTCAGCATCGTCATCCTTGACTACAAGAAAAGTCTACAAGAAGCGGAAGACGAAGAAGACAGAGAATATGCTCAGTTAGGCGTGGACGTCTCACAGAAGCTTCTGACCCTGCTGCCCAAGATCTTCCCCGTCCTCCAGCACCCGCCCGAACAAACCTTTCTCTGGCACGACGATCTGTCTTTGCAGAACATCCTGGTGGACGATGACGGTAGCATCACTGCCGTGCTGGACTGGGAGTGTGTCTCTACGATGCCTTCGTGGGTCGTCACGCAGGCGCCCAAGTTTCTAAACGGGGCGCCAAGGGAGGAGGAGCCAGACCGCGACCGATACGGCGACGCGAGCCCAGGAGAAAACGGAGGCCACAGCGACGAAGATGATGAGGAGTTGGACAACGAGGGGAAGACTCTGCTGTACTGGGTTCACTTGATGGAGTACGAGCAGACGCAGCTGAGGAAGGTCTACGCGGCGCGGATGCAGCAGTCGCACCCCGACTGGGCGACGAGAGTCGAGGATTGCTCCTTGAAGACGGATTTTCTCGAGGCCGTCCATCGCTGCAGGGGTGGCTTTCATCTGGAGCGCATCTCTCAGTGGGTTGATGCAGTCATGCAAGGAAACTTTCCGCGTCTTGCGGAAGCTCTTCAGCAGGGATGATGGTGATGATTATAAAACATGAGTGAATTTCACTCGTTCCGCACTCTATCATGTTGGCGGGACACAGGAAAGCCGGATCTGCCGAGGGCGGACGTCTCCTGCAACCGGACCCCGTCCGCTATAGTTCGGGATTTCCAAACGATTAGAATGAAAAGGGCCAGACGCCGTTGGCGACCAGAAGCACCCGTATTCCAGTACATTGCTCCGTATCATGAATAAGAAGGCTCTCCGTACCCCTGTCCTTCCATCCAATTCTTGTTTTCTCGGCCCCTGGGCCTATTCTTCTATCGGTATCGAGCCGTGGTGTTCTTCTACCGGGCAGCCCTGTTGCTCTGACCCGCGTACCCCGACAAATCGCAAATGATGACCCTTGCAAGCCTACTGACCACTGGTCGTACGATGTCCAACGACAGCGTAATGCCAAGATAGATTTCCCAAGCTCTCGTCAAGTGGGGTGACCCAGAGTCAATCGACTTGTGGTCACGTATTGATAGTCTTCCCTGGCCTATCATGAGCAACACGGGAACCGGAACGGTTCCGAGTCCGCAACGCCCGCGAAACACTGGGTCTGAATGTATGCATATGCAGGGTCTCTTTCGACTCTGCGATAGCTATTGGTTGCACTTGCACCCGTGTTGGCGCTTATGTGCTGTCGATATTGGTTCTTCCCCCGTGCTTGCAGCAGGGACGGACCTTGGCTGTGTCTGCATTTTGCTTTGGTCTGTCTCTCTTTCTTCATTCTGCTGCTAACCCACAAGTGAGAGAGCCCCAGGTTTTCAAGTATTGTGGTCTGGCATCACTATGCAAGATGAGTTGCAAACGGGCAGCACTCGGGATGGAAAGAGTCGTAAACAAACGGAGGCGCCAATCCATCTGAGTGTATTACTGCCGACCAGCCTTTACCATCTTGCAGCCAGCCGGCATCGGTTTAGTCTGGAAGGAGAAAAGGATGTGACCAACCTGCATCCGCACCTGAGAATGTGCAGCCGAGGACAGCCAACAGACAGAAAACCGGATAGGTTGCCAAACTGAGGGGTTTTGTTCTCGTCCGGCACTCGTACAAAAGAAAGCCGGTTCTCCGTGCAACTCTCGAATTCGATCTTTAAAGTGTCGTCATTCACAGAGACTATTGATGGTTCAGTTGATTCAGTCGTAATCTATCAAAAGTCCTCCAACAGGAATGGCCACCGCCACTCCCCGAACTGCGACTGCGAGTTCGCCGGAGAATGAATATGTCGCAGGTCCGATCGCAGTCGATGAAGGCCTCGGTGTAGGTTCTCTCAATGTATATGCAATCTGGATTTCATGTCTGACCTTTCTGTAGGACCAGGAATTGACAATTGACGATAAAATGTCTGCTCCTGAAATTTCTTGTTCAACGTTTTCTTTAACACAAGCATTCTGACTGATTAGCTCCACATACACGGCGTCGCTATCATCGTCCGTTGTCGATTACCCGACTGAATACGGTCGACGATACCACGCTTTCCGGGCCGGCAGTAAGTTTTGTCAAATCCACAGCAGATCCCTACTGCCTGCGCATCGTGCTAATATAACTGTTTAGCATACTACTTTCCTAATGATCAGGCATGCAAGCTTTTGTATCCGTGTGAAATGTCACAGGAACGTTCGGGCTAACATTTTGTGACCAGGACGAGATGGAACGGCTAGATATGTGCCACGCCGTGATGGTGAAGACGATCGGGAACAAGCTGTTCTTGGCGCCTATCGACGAAGCCAAGACCCAGCGTATTCTGGACGTTGGTACAGGAACAGGCATCTGTAAGAAATTGTTCTTATGCTTTGCGGGAAGACCAAATTTTCTAAACATTTCAAGGGGCTATGGAAATGGGCGATCTGTTTCCGAACGCACAGGTACATATATGTGTTCACCTCGGGAACCTTCCAATAAACGCTGACAAAGTAACAGATTTTTGGAAATGACCTCAGCGCCATCCAACCAGACTGGTAAGTACTTACAATACGTATACAGACTGGATAAGAGGTGTACTGACACTGGACGCGCTCACGTAGGGTTCCGCCCAACGTCAAATTCGAGATTGATGACGTGGAGAGCCCATGGGTGAACGACCAAAAATATGACTTCATCTTCAGCCGCTACATGAACGGATCCTTGGCTGATTGGCCAACCTTCATTAAGCGTGTTTATGTGTAAATCGTCACCTAACCTTCCTTGTGTTAAATTTGTGACTGATTTTCGATTACTTTGCGTAGAAACCTGAACCCTGGCGGCTGGGCCGAGTTCCAGGACTTCAACTTCATGCTTTGCTCGGACGACGGATCCGCCGAAGGTAGCGAGACTCTGCGCTGGAGTCTTTTGTTCCACGAGGCCTCCAGGGTGTATGGCCGGGAGAGCCAAGTCGGCCCAAAGCTTGAGGGATTGGTGCGGGAAAACACAGGCTTGGTTAACATTTACCACAAGCCCTACAAGATTCCCATCGGTCCCTGGCCAAAGGACCCTCATCTGAAGGACCTTGGTATGTGCAATCTGATTCAGTTGTTGGATGGCTTGGAAGGGTTTTCCTTGAGGCTCCTTTGTGGAGCTCTTGGCTGGACGAAAGAAGAGGTCTTGGTCTTGCTGGCTGGAGTGCGCAAGGAAATGAAGAGTGGTAAGCTTCACGGTTATTTGAGGTTGTAAGTTGTTCCCCAGAGTAGTGTTTGCATATGTTTGTACGTACTAACCCCCCAAAGCGATGTAGTCTACGGCCAGAAGCCGGAAAAAAACAAGGAGGAGCAAACACTTGTTGGACAGACCTTGACTTAGTACGTTGCACTCTCACTGCTTCGGCTTGCCGTCGACCGCGCTATAATACCCCTCTAAATAGAGATTCAATGTCTGTTACTACAACAACAGTAATACTTTTGACGTATTGAATCGAAAAGAAGTGTTGGAAACAGTTATCTTACTATCAAACTCCGAGGCATTCGACAATGAAAGCTCAGACGACAACTCTGGAGACCACGGCGACAGCGAAAGGGAGAATGCGAGTTCCCATCGTAGTGACAGACCTGACGGTTCTGAGGAAATAGGCGAAACAGCGTCGCCGTTGGACACATTTGGACGAATCACGTCTGCGCGCATGGGTTCAGGAGGGAAATCAGTGATCTTGGACCGTTGACAGATTGCGGCGAAGTGAACAGGCACTTCTTCAACATCGGGCGATCATGGGTGAGCAGGGTACGAAGATAGCAAACAAGTGAGCCGAACACATATCTATTAGTATCATAGAGGTATCCGTACGGATGGGTGACCAAGGGTACTTGACTTGTTACTGCTGGTGATGAAGAGAAGAAGACAGGCCATTACCACTGTTTGCTACAAGCGCCGTTTAATATAATCGCGTGAGGTCACATGACCTTAGTTGCTCTATATCCCGACAAAATCATTTCATCCTTCTTGTTCAATGGGAACTTCTTCCAAGATAACTTGTTGTCAACTACTTACCATTGATGGGGATAGTCGCTCTAAACCCTAATAAGCTGACCATTGCAGTTCACCTAGTACATTTTATGTAATATCACGGTATATAAAAACCCAATACGCAGCACCTCCGACCTGTGCCACATCTCAACATCTTCATACACTATGGAACATCCAATAACGCAGAGTAACGGATGGATCTGACTTCAGTTCAACTACTGACCTGGATTATATGGTGAGTTGGCTGGCAGGTCGAAGTGAAAGTGGTTGCCGGCAAGAGATCCACCCACACACGATGCAAGCCATGGATTCAACTGCTCACTATAAACCACCTCTGAAGGTAACTGAACCAGTTGCCAGTTATCTTTACTCAACTGAAGCACCGGGTCAGGCCCAGCTTGTGGGGGCCAGGAACACGAATATCGCTGGCCCAGCGAGCCCCATTCCGCTAAGAATACGAGATATCGATTGGATTCGAAGCCGGCTCTGGGTAAGACACGAAGCGTTTTTTCATCGACAAGTCACGGCGAGACGGCGTCAGGCCCGGTCCCGGTTTCAGTTGATGATAATTGTGTTATGGCTCATACTCTAAAGCAGCCAATAAAACTAGAAACCAATGGCGGGATCGACATAACTTAGGTGACGGTGGCAAACTGTCAAAGCTAGTGGCAGCGTGCTACGGCCCGAAGACGGCCCGCAAGAAAGAGACGGAGACCCCAGTGTGCCTCCAGCAAACCAGTAACTGCTCGATATCACGGGTCATGATGCAAAAGGTTCGTCATCGACGCTTCGTTGTATTACATATACATAGGCTCGCATATCGCCAGAGCTAGACGATTGGGAGCTGCGCCATTATTGTGCTGACAATTGCATGCCATCAGTATTAGTCTGATTATGTATTGCAGTCGCTTCTTTCGAGCTTCCACCACACCAGTATTCTAAGCCTTAGCCGACATTCTCGGGTCGGCGGCTCTGATTACACGCCGTTTGTCGGCCTTCAGCCTTTGTTTTAGCGTCCATCAAACATTTCTCAGCATGCCAATCTCTGACCGAGGCCCGATTATGACCACACGTTGTGGAGGAGGGCGTTGGTAACCCAAGGCACATCATGAATAACATATCGTCTGGTGAAACCATATGCAACAGCTGTTATCAATACCCATTTGCAATATTTCCCAACACTTTCTCCGTCTTATTCCGTCGCATGTTTGAACTCCTTCTGCACGCGGATGGCGTGGAGGGGGATCTCGTCGGAGCTCTTGTCGTTCTTCTCCTTGGCCGGGTAACTCTCGACGGAGTACCCGAACCCGGTGGTGTCGGGCCTGAACTTTGACTGGCCCGGCGAGGGAGCCTGCTGTTGGCTCGCGCCCTCGGACGCGTTGTCGTCCGACAGGCGATAGAAGGTGTCCTTGCCGGCGCCGTGCTTCGAGACGGAAAACCTGCGCGCGGCCTGGGAGCCGCCGTTGTTGGGGTCCTGCGACGTCGTGCCGTTGCTGAAGTTGGACTTGTTTCGGCTGGAGCCGAAGCCGAGGGCCGTCCCGGCGCGGAACATGCCGCCCATGCTGCCCGTGATACCGCAGGCGCGGGCGAGGTGTTGCATGGCTGGGCGGAGGGTCGGGAGGCAGGCCGAGACGATGCCCGCCGACATTTCGATGGCGGTCCAGCCGACGGTCGGGGCGAGGGTGTAAGTCGGATCTGCCGCAGTATATGTGAAGAGGACACTGGTTCGGTAGGCCGAGGTGAAAACAACACTAAACGAAGCTTATTAGCTGCCATGTAGTTTATTAACGGGGAGGCTGTCGCGCTCACAAAAAGCCGAGGCCAAAAGCAAAAGTCAGGGCAATCTTCTCCGCCTTTTGCAGCTGCAGCTTCCAGACCTGGGGCAGAGGGAGAAGCAAGATGAGCAGGTCGGTAAAGATGGTGGACGCGGCGTTGGCGATCCACGTCGCGACTTGGTTGATGCAATGGCCCGGGAGCTGGGGGTACCAGAGTTTCTCGACGGGGACGCAGATGAAGATGAAGAGGAACGTGATGCAGACGACCCAGGCGAAGACGAAGACGATGACGAACCACGTCATCTTCTTGAAAAACGGGATGTGGAAGATGCGGTAGTACATCAGCATCAGGCTCAGCTTCGTCCACCCCAGGTTCCAGGCGTAGAGGATCTCCGCCACGACGAGGTACTTGGCCATCATGACGATGCTATCCATCTCGACCTTATCGGCGTGAAGGCCCATTCCGGCCGAGTACATGGCGAAGATGAAGCCGACGACGAAAAGATTCCACACCTTGGTTACGGTTAGCCCAACCGTCGATTCCTTGCTGCCCCATCACGTCGACGACGGGACTGGATGTCGATCCCAAGACCTACCATCGACCAGACTATCAGATAGTCATCCCACCACAGCTGCTGTCCCTTGACTTGACGGCTGTAGAGCCGCAAAGCCACGGCCAGTACTGCGAGAAGGGTGACCGAAACGACGACTTGGACTATCCACGGCTGGAGGTTTTGCGGGTCGTAGCCCGGCAAGCCTGGTAGCTGCGAGGGGCCAGAGTTTGACGCCATGCTTTTTTGTTCGTTCGTGTCCGACGTGTTTTCTCTCCGTTATACGCACAAAGGAGCGTGGGGAAGTGGTCTCCTGTATGCGTAAAAATATGAATAAAAAATCAAGCACTGGGGACTGGACCCAGCTAAATGGCTTCGAACCAGAGAGACATGTGGAGGGTGGAGGAGATGGCATCAACGAGCAATCAAAAAGCTCTCATCGACCTGGTAACTCCAAGAGACTCCATAAGGACAGGCAGGACTGGCTCGCTTTATTTGGCAGGTGTCGAAACATGGCATCGAATGTCTCTTTGCCCCTGACGAGGCTGAACCATGGGACGACCGTCAACAGATGGGCCCCCCTGAACCAACTTCAAAATCTTCGAATGGTAAAAAACGGGGTCGATGTAACACCCACTCTTCCCCTCTTCGTTCGACATTCGGGAAAGCAGGTTGATCTTTTCGATCAGCTGTTGCTGTCTCGTTCCCGATTCGCAGCCGATGGGACCACGCGCATGTCAAGTGGAATCCAGGCCCGGAGCAGGAAATGGATGTCTCAGAAGAATAGAAGAAGAATTAAAGTATAATTGACGAATTAATCGACAGGAAAGGAAATCCGGCAGTTGTACAAGGTTTGCAAACCACGGGCGAATGTCTTTAGTGCCACGAGGCGAACACGCAGGCGGGCGGATCCCCCCCTTGTCTTATTCTCAGATGCCGCGCGTGTGCGTGTGTGTCTACTCATACCGTCCATTGGCTTCTCGTTCAAGCATTGGTCGCCCCGGTACATGTTATGATGAAGCAAAGATGCCCACAATATTTATATTTACATAAGTTTTTTTTGCCGCTTTGTGGACCGCAGCTGCTAGCGGCAAAACGGAGACAGGCACACAGACTCTTGTAGCTCAGACGATGGTGATGGCGGGACGGGGACGATCCCGGAAAGCCTCGTCCGTTGTGTTGTCTTTTTCCGTGTACTACTATGAGAAGCACCGTCTACCTTCCAAGACTGCTAGTGCCGTTACAGCGCTGTCTTTCAAGACCAGACGAGGGGGCGGCTCTCCTGTTGTTGCCGGGATATATCTAGGAAATTCCGCACACGGATTCGAGCCGGCATTTGGTCCAGAGCCCGGTATGGAGCAACACAATTTGACCTGGGCATTGTTCTAAGCGAAGGCACGTCACAGATGGGGGTAGGCAATCGATCGACAAATTGCTTTGCATGGTACCCAGTCCTCTCCAGCTGGGGAACTATCCTTCATCTCCTAACAGCCTACGATGAGAATCGACGGAGAGTCAGGGGCTTGTGGTATGATCACAGGCTTACTGAAATATCCATACGACCCGGTCGTCAGTAGACGCGCACACAAGCCCGTCCGTCTGTGCATCGGAGGAACGAATGGGCACAATAGACCAGAAGGAGTTCCCCTGTTACAGTACCACACAGTCAACCAGACTGCAGACGAACGGGAAGAGAATTCGTTTCCGACGTCCCGGTCTCTCTCAAACACCGGCGCCTCCATGGTACATGGTCCCTGACGCCACGATACCGAAAAGGCATGAGTTGAACCCACTCGCCGTCATCGCTGCAACGTTATTCAATGCCGGCTCGTTACCGAGACTCTCCTCCCCCTCCTTTCTGTAAATGCGTCTGCGAGGCGCTGAATAGTGCAAAAAAAGACAGGGGAGTTTCCTTTCGATCGGGCACGGAGGTATAGATACAAGGCTGTCTCTCGTGAGGTCGCATAATTCGAGCACATTGGCAGTTCCCCTATTACCAGTCTGGTCTGCACGCTAATAGCTGGAATCCGCCTGTCCAGCTCAAAGCGGCCTTGTTCCGCACTTGGACTAAACCCCCGAGTCATCCCCTGTCCCTGTCGAAATACACATCGTATGGGTTTCGGCGATACCAGAACAGGCCATTCCCTGCCAAGCCTCTAGCCCGACGTGCGCTTGTTGATCTCGGCAAGCTGTGTCGTTTCCGCTTATTAAAGAGACGTTCAAGGTGAAGAACAACCCCCCTTCCTTAGGAGCCAGCCAGTATCGGCCTATTGAGAAGGCAATGCTGCCCGTTGTATGCAAGCCGGGAGGTCGGCTACCGTGATTCCTGCCCTACCCACCACACCGGAACAAGGACGGGGCCTCACTACGAAGCGACCTTTTGGGGCGAATGAAGCCGCGGTCTATTGCGGGACAAGTCGCCCTCGACTGGTTCAGCAAGGGCTCGGCGGGGTAGGCGGTGAATCTCGAACACGTCGTCCTGGACGTCGGGGTGACATCTCCCAGAAGCCGCCGAGTGAATACTAGTACATGTAGGAATCTGCCTCTCTTTCTAACCTGTTTCTAAACCCAAAGTCAAAGCAACTCCCTCCCGCGCGGCGAGACCTCGAAATCCCATACCACACAGACACTCAGACAGTCGAATAGTGACGATCGCACGAAACATGGCGGCCACGACGACCATCAAAGTCCCCCACCTCGGCGGCATCACGGCCGGCTACCGTCTGTCCGGGGATAAGATCGACCCCGCCAAGCCTACCGTCGTGCTTGTCAACTCCATGTGCACCACCGTCTCCCTCTACGACGACCAGTTCAGCAGCAAGACGCTGACGGACGCCGTCAACCTGCTGGCCGTCGAGCCCCTCGGCCACGGCGCCACCAGCTGCCCGGTCGAGCACTTCACCTACTGGGACACGGCAATCATGGCCCTGCAGGTCATGGACAAGCTCGGCGTCGACAAGGCTTTCGCTCTCGGCACTAGTCAGGGCGGGTGGATGGTCGCCCGCATGGCCCTTCTGGCCCCTGAGAGGGTACGTCACATTCGCTAACGATGCCGTTTGCTCGGCAGAAAAGCGTCGCCCGTCGCGTCTCTCTCCTGAATTGCGGGCTGATTTCAAAACGACCGTTAGATCTTGGGTCTCCTGCCGCTGGGCACCTCGATGGACTACGAGTCGGCCGACTCGCGCGTCAAGGGCTGCTGGGACCCCAAGGCCCAGCTTCTGGCCTTTTACGATGCCTGGTCGAGCCCTGTGCCGACGCCCGACTTCCTCGTCGACGATATATGGTGTGGCATGGTGGGCAGCCTTGGCTTCTCCGGCACCGTCCCGCCCGAGACCCTGGAGTTTTGGACAAAGACCCTCAAGTCCGTCTACAAGGGCGACGAGGGCCGCAGGAAGCTCAAGATCGCCCTCGGCTGCCTTTTGTCGCGTGACGGCCTCCTGCTGAGGCTCAGAGATGTCAAGTGCCCCGTCTACTGGCTCCAGGTACGTGAAAAGTTGCATTTGCCCGCTCGCCACGGTGCACCGATACCGGGCTCGGCGGCCTGCTGTTGCCAAGTCTCTGAGTTGACGTGTGATGTAGGGAACCGCGGACCCTGTTTTTGGAGTCAACATCCCCAAAGAGCAAATCAAGCTCTTCACTTCCTCGCCCGAAGCGACTTTGACCATGGTTGAGGGCGGCGGCCATTACCTGAACGCCACCAGCCCGAAGGAGGTTGAGGAGGCTCTTCTCAAAATGGTGAAGAAGTATGCTTAAAGAGGCCCGTCCTAGTAGTCCAGGACCGGGGGGGTATGGCCTGACGATCATGGGCCGTAGGAGGAGGGTGCACGGAAGCTATGTACGGGATGTCCAAAATTGCGGCATCTAAACCGCATAGCGAGACGGTTTAGACGCACGCGCCAGGTACGCCTGATAGGTCAATCAATAGCTCCAGTCCTTGATCGCGTCTCAAGCTCGCTCAGGCCACTGTCAGGCGAGATTATTCGTTGAAGGGCCCCTTTTATCGTGAGCCACGGATGAGAGCACAACATCCGCGTGAGCACTGAGTCAGGGGCTACTTGATCGCCGGATCCGAGGGTCCGACCGCTGAAGAACCACCCCAGTTGCGACGGCAGAAATCCTACTCAAAGTAGGGCGAGCCAATCATTGGGGAAATGCGTGTATAAAGAGGAAAAATCCAAGGTTTACCGTGCCGCCAACTCTCCGGGTTTGGTTCAGCCCACCTTTTGGTTCAGCCACTGAGTCAGCCACTGGGCAAACCACTGGATGGCATCGTATCAGCGGCATTAATGTCTATCATAACGTTGGGAGATGTATTCGGCGAATGAGAGAACCGGGTTGACGGGTAAGTCTGCCGGAGAAGCCACTGGGCAGCCAGATCCCCTTGGCCATTCTCTTTAGTCAGGTCCTTCGAATCGAGTTGGCTAGATTGTAAAGAAACGGCGATTCCCCAACTAGCAATCCTGCGCAAGAAATACTTGCATCCGCACAGAAGCAGAAGGTCTGCCCGACTTGTGGATTATAGAGCAGCGGCACGCCCCGCGGGCTCATGCAGGGAGCCGCTTTGAGTAATTCGATGGAGCGCTCGGAACGATTCCCAAAGACAGATGTTTCATAAGCTTGGCTCAAAGTTGGCCCTGGAAATAGGGGACTGAAGACATCTCTTTATCACTTGTAGGCTCGAGGAGGATTTGTTTTTGAACAAATCAGCATATGGTGAGGCCGGATTTTGCAGCGCTCAACGGGCACCTCGTTTTTTTGTTCCTTGTTTTTTTTGTTTTTCCCCCTTCTTCTCCTTTTTATAACAGAAACCAGTACAGAAGATAATGTTTCTCTCTCGTGGGATCTAAGGCGTTAGATACTGCCTGTAATTACCAGAGTTGTTTTCTTACGTGACAATCACAAGCCCAATTGTACTACAATAGTACATACAGTAACTAAGCTAAAGTCTTAAACATTATGGGATCGACTACTACAATCATTACAGAGACCACAAGGATCCTTAGTTGACTCATCAAGTCTATAGGCATTGTCTATAGGCCTAGTCTATACTACCCTTGGCGAGGTGTACCTAACCAGATACCCTCCTTTAAAAGGTGTTAGTTGCTGCCTGTAGCTAACGGTGTCGTTTTCTTACATGTCACTTTGTGAGGAAACTGCTCTATTTTGGGATCAAACATTGTATTTCTCTTTTGCTTAGTTTTCCGCCCTATGGGATTTAGTTTACGAAGTCCCGTCATACGGAATTTGAGTTGTCGGCACAAGACCAAGCTGCCGAACCTCCGGATCGACTGTAGTCGTCAACAATGCCGACAATGGCACTGTATGTGCCCGCGATCGTCAGGAACGTTCCGGACGCAACGACGAAACAACTCCAAGCAACCATGAGATACCACCTCAGCGTGGGGGCTTGCCTGCCTTTGCCCCAGTTGTCGTAGAGCCACATGCAGCCCATTGGCTGGAAGGATATCATTGTGCCGAGAAGGGCACCAATCAAGGAGATCAAGCTGTTGAAAACAGGGATGCCGCTGGCGATGAGATACGCAACCAAGGTGATGGTGAAGGTGCAGCCAAGCCATGTCGACCAGTGTACAAACGTGTTCGCCGCCAGGTGCTTGGAACCCCTCAGGACACGGACAAAGATGTGCTTGCTAGCCAACTGTGGCCAAGTCAGCCGTGATCCCGGAGTCAATGTGTTGAGTTCTACTCACGTGAAGCATCACAGCCGCCGAGACAATCAGTCCAGGAAGCGCGAGGCCGTAAGCGACCTTCTTGACGGCAGGGCCGGCAGAGCCGAGCGCGGGCGACGACACGTAGGACCCGCAGTAGTAGTACACGACCACGCCGACGGCCACGTACACAACGGTGACGACCGACTGGCAGAGCACGAGCGCCCGGGGGTAATGGCGGGGATCGCGCATCTCGGCAGCGATCGAGAAGAAGGCCGGGGTGCCGGCGTACGAGAAGACGAGGGACGAGATGGCGCCGATGGCCTGGGTGAAGGTCGGCGTGTTGACAACCTTGAAGTCGGACTTCCAGACGGCGTCCTGCGGCGCGGCGGCGGGACGGTCCTGGAGACTCACGGCGATGGTTACGGTGAGGACTAGAGACGGCGCGTTAATCTTCGCTTGCCATCACAGGCAAGTTGCCAAATCCATAGACCGGCTTACCAGCGACCACGATGCTCGTGACACCAACCCAAGCCAGCCCGCTGATGCGTCCCAGCGTCCGCAGACTGGAGAGACCGAGGCCGATGACGGCGGCGACAGCCACAAAGACAGCCGTACACGTCGCGTGCGTGGAGAGCGCGTTCAGGGCAATGGAGATGCTCAACATGGCCGAACCGGAGGTGAAGGTGAACACTTCGAGGTGGTTAGATCAATGTCGTTGTCCACGGCGCCTTGTGGCAAACTCACGCAGGCAAAATGCAGCACCGAGGACCTCACGCCCGACCCATCCGAACATCAGCTCTCCTGCGTCATCGATGCCGTACACCTCGGGGTGTCGGAGCTTGAAGGTGCCGACCATGAAGTCGGACCAGGTCGTGATGCCGCCTATCACGCAGAGGAGGACGACGCCCGGCACCATCCCGAGCGTGTCGAAGATGGAGGGGATGGACAGGACACCCAGGCCGATTTGCGTCTTCATCATCAGGACCGACGTGCCCAGCCAGCCGACCTAGAGGATGTCAGCAATCGCCGTATGCGGTCCAAGGAGAACGCGGGCGCACGCACGCTGCGGTAGTTGGGCCCTTCTGATGTAATGTCTCCGAAGACGGCATCGTGTGCAATGGCGTTGTCCAAGCTATCAGACGGAGCGTCGCCTTCGCCGTACGAGCCCTCTTTCTTTTCCTTCATGGTCGTCTAGTATACTCCGGAAGCATTCGAGACGAAGACGGGGACGGGATCGGGAGGCGCTGGGTCGACGCGGCCGAGGACTGCTAAGACGGGGACCGAAGCTTGTTATACCCATATCCGCGTTGCCCCCAGACCGCCTTGCAAGACGCGGACTGCTCCCCCACGGAGGCAATGGGTAAAAAAATTATTAAATAAAAATTGTCCCCACGTCCCGGGGTCGCGTTCGTTCGCTTGACACATTTCTTGTTGTCGAGATGGAGTCGGTGGGAGAAAACCCTTTTCGCGAGCGCCGGTATCGGAGCGTGTTAGTCAAAGCTTGGTGGGTAAAACAGGGGGTTTAGCAAAATTCTGATGTCAACATTGAGGATCGGCATGGCTACCATGGAGAGAGAGAAAACAAAGATGAATATCGAAGCCGGTTCAAAGAGAGTCGTCAGTGTATTGCGTCTGTAAGGCTGACGATGCGGGTGCTGTCCTGCAGAACCCCGTCGCCGTGATGGGTCGGCCGTTTTGGCCCTCTCCATGTTGTGATGCTTCCATGAAGTCTGGGGAAGTGGGGATGATAACTGGCACAAGCACCAGTGACAGACAGCATCTCGTTGTTGAGGACCTCCCCTTTGGCCGAAGAAGGATTCCAGGATTTCCTGACCGGTTGCGTTGCGCCCCTTGTCCCTGCGACTCGATCCGCTCGCCAAAGGTTCGCTCTTATAGTACGTGTAGCTTGCTCACGTGTAGCACCTGGATATCTGCAGATCTGAAATGGGTGGGCGTAGGCGAGCACGCACAAGGGACTCGTCCACGGAGACCCGTCAAACGTAGATATAGACAGTGTTTGGAGCCCCGTACCGACGCTCTATAGACACAGGATAATGAACGAACACCCACCTACGCGGAGCTGTAGCATCTCCGCTGTTGGTGATCTAATGTAAAGTTATTCTGAACTAGTGCGAGCCCCCGAGAGAGATGTCAACAGCCCTTACTCCCATGCGGGCCAGATCAGAATCTCTTAATTTAATAGGAAATTTTGAGTGGATTGGGGGGGGGGGGAGGTATGGAAGCTGAGCCCATTCAAACTAGTCTCCTTCATATATATTTACAACGAATATACCATTTCATGGCGTATCACTCCTCGCTCGTCGATACGTGACTCGCGGGTCTAGGCGTCTGCTCATTATATGTACCAAATTGTGTCATTTGCCTTGGCGCGTAAGACATGGCCCGACAAGTTGCTGTCGATAGCTACACGCAGCTTTGTACTTCGATATTAAACGGTAGACCGACACAACGATTGCCGGCGAGGGACGTAACGCTTTCGCCGAGCGGAATATGCGCATGGGAGGACACCTGGTCCGTTCATGCAAACTTGCGGCAGACGTGTCTGATTCACGTATCGCAGACTCTCTGCAAGCACTCATTCCCAACAACGCTCAATAAGCAAAGACACCCACAAAACGTTGAAAGCGTGCAACGGCCCCAGTGTGGAGGTTTCTGAACCGCCGCGTCGACTATGGGGGAACTCGCAGGTGATACTGCTCCGTCAACAGTTGGGAAAAGGACGCCCAGTCCCAGCCGATTCCGTCCGAAAGGCTCGGAGGCCACTCATCCCCGACCATTGGCATCGCGCCGAACGAGTCGAAGCCCGCATCGTTGCTTCCGGCGGCAACGTGCCCCTGGCCCTGGCCGAAGAAGGACATCGTGGGCTGGGGCATGTGGGGACCGTCTTCTCGAGGCCGCTTCTCTTCGCTGCCGGCCCAGGGCGCTTCCGCCGCTCGCTGGGTTGGCGTCTCTCCTGCAAGATGCCACGAGCCGGGTTCCGACCTCGGGGTGTACGCGGTTATAGTGTTCACGCGTTGGCTATCGGATCCGGACGGCGGCTGTGTTCCTCTTTGGAGGAGTACGTCGAGCTTCTGGACCAGGAGGTTGAGCATATCGTCACCCCGGATTCTGGCGTACATCTCTCTCAACGAGTCGGAGCAAGTTCGGATCAACTGTGGGACTTTGCGGTGAGCTGTGACTGACTTTGTTCAAACAGCGGGGTCGGAACACGACCGCGCGGTCGACTCACTTGAAGATCCATCGTTGAGATGCGGGAGCCTGGGTGCGTAACGACATGCAAGGCCAGCGCTGAAAGCGCGTGGAGCGGGGCCAGGAGGTTTGGCAATATCGTGTTGGACCTGCAGTCCACGGCTTCGACGAAGATCCTCAGGACTTTGCGGGCCGAGTTCGCAACGATGGACTGGCCGTTTCGCAGCATGTAGTCCCACGGCTTACCTTTGGCAATGATGTCGGCGCTGATTGTGATAACTTCTTCGCTGATGAGGAGGCTGTTGCGGGAGAGAATGATGAGCCTGGGAGAGCGAGCACGTTGATATATTAGTGGAGGACTTTAGCGTTTCTCTTTTGTTCTCTTTTGGCAGAGTTACCTACGCGTTGTTGTAGTGCATGGATATGAAAGATGCAAAGGGACATGCTTTCGAACCAATCAACATGTCTGATATCGGTCTGTTGGGTATGTGGTTAGTTGTTCCATGATGCTTCAGAGTCTTCGGCTGCTTTGGGCCATTGTTTGAGCAGTCAGATATGATTCCGTACCTCAGTTCCTCGGGCACCGACTCGCCCCATCTCGTCAGCGACAATTGCGTCTCTCCAATCGTCTGTACCTTCTCGGCAATGAGGGCCTGTACGGCGCTGTCGCGAACTCCGTCTTCCTTCCGGCTTACGATGACTGCTTTGCGGCCAATCTCGCTGAGGATCCTGGCAAGGTCTACCGTCACAGAGAACGCCTTCTCTCTCGACGACGTGCCGTTGTTGCTGACGGGCATGGCGACGTGAGGGGTGTAGCAGTCCTCGTCGTCGATGGTGGAGAGGCGGCCCATCTCAAAGGCCAGGAGCTTTTCAAACGCGTAGATGGCGAGCCAGAACCTCCTCCTCTCTTCTTCGTCGACGAAGTCGTCTCTCTGGTTTGGCCGGTCGCGGCGAGAGCCCTGACAGGTTCGGGGTTTGTGCAGCCCCAGCGACACCGCCATGGACACCCCGACGCCGAGGGTGTTCCAGGCGGCGGCGCAGTCGTCGTAGCCGTGGAGGCACAGTGCCAGCAGCACTATCGCCCTCGCATTGTCGACGCTGTTGTTGACGACGAGATGGCCGAGGAGAGTCTTGCAGTACGATAGATAATCCCTCGCAACCGGGGGCAGCTCTGACAGGGCCTCGGAAGCGAACCCGACGGCCAACACCAGGTAGACCGTTGACAGGGCCGCCACGCCCCGGGCTTCGGCAAAGCTTGTCGGGCCGTTCTCCAGCGCCGCGTCGAGGTCTTGGCGGAATCGGTCTCGGTTCACGAGAGGATAGACTATGTTCACGCCGTCGAGGTAACTCGAAGCGAGCTGATGGGCAGCATCTTTGTGTGGGAACGGGAGGGGATCGGAGGAAAGGAGGGACCGGATTCGATTGGGCGGAGGCTTGGTTGCGCTCGACGGCAGGCCGCGTCTCTGTTGGATGCCAAGCCGACGGGCTGCGAGATCCAACCAATCACCCAGGATCTCGACCGAGTTGCTGCCGCGGCCTGCTCGGACGACGGGTAACTTGCCCTGGTACTTGGCCGGTGGCGGCTGCGACGAGTTCTCTTCGGCTTCATGGACGATGCTTACCGGTTCCCTTGCGGGCCCTCTGTCGCCGTCGTCGCGGCGGGTCTCCCACGGCGACGACCTCGCAGCCGAGGCACCGGCCGACTCGACGACCTCGGTGCCTCGCGGGGAGCGGGGGGAAGCATTATCCGCCGCCAGCGAATGGGTCAGGGACGACGTTGAGGCCCGCGACCTGCGGTGCTTGGTCTCGCGCCGCTGGACCTCGACGCCGGGTCTCCGGCGGTCGGTGGTGACGCATTCGATGCCGGCGACGATGCAGGCCCTGCACGAGGGCTTCTGTTCGTCGCAGCGCGTCTTGCGATTGCGGCAGTAGTTGCAGGCGAAGTTGATGCGCCGCTTCTTGGCTGGTGCCGCGGCGGCTTCTGACCCGGCCTGGGAGCCGGTCGGGGTGTGTACACTTACAGAGCTCGCGTGCGATGTCATTGCCGACTCCCGTATGCGTCTTTCCGAGTGTCTACGGCTGGCGTACCGCGACGGCGTTCATCTCTTCACCAGTCAGTCGAACTAGTCGGAAAGCCTCGTTCGGAAGCTTGAGAGAGAGCATCGGCTGGTTATGAGACACGGTCGCAGAGAGCATGTGCCGAAACGGATAATGCAGCACACAAGCCAAAGAGAGATTAACTTTCGTTTCGGAAGTTCCTGAGCTGAGCGGTTAACCCCGAGTAAGCCACCGGCCCCTCATTCCGCTGACGCTACAGACCATGCCGGAACATGGAGCCCTCTTGAATCGGGATATTATCCGCGTAGATCCTTATACGGTATCGGCATCCGTGTAGATCCTCCCAAGACCGTCATATGTCATTTAGCGCGGTTGACGTAGAATTTGTTTGGTTTCGGAGCCTGCTCCGTATGTACGTAGGGGTTGATCTCAGACTCGAGGCAAACGCGGAAAGCATTATTAGTCTCAACCTTCTCAACCCGCGGTTGCTGCTGTCACGGCGTAACCTGGCGGGCTGATAGGAAGCACATCAAGAATTGCCCGGTCTAAGCTGAGCCGATGTCCTCGTATCAGGCCCCTTACGACAACCACGCAACATTACTTGAACACTCTGGTCTCAAGAACACGGCACTGCAGCGCAGTACCGCCGATTTACGCAGCTGCCACGGAAAGAGAACATATGAGAGGGATGGCGGGAATCACATGAGCTAAAGCAACATGGGTTTCTATACATAGTACGTACAGGCAGATAGTCATGGCTAGCTGACACCCTTGCGTGATGACAATGAATACATCAGCTAGAGTCTGTGCTCTGAGATAAGACCGAGTCTGCCAATTCTGTTTTCTCCGCCTCTCTCATATTAATACGCTTTTGGACGACTCGGGCAAAATCGAGGCTATCGTTGCCGATTATGTCGAATCTTGTCGAAGATGCGGAAGTCGTCTCAGGGGAGCATCAGGCTTATAGGACTGTGCAGTTGCTTCAAGGCGGCTCTATGGTCTTGATTCCAACTCCAAGCCCGGACCCCAAAGGTATGGTGCATCATCAAGTGGCCCCGTCTTGGTCGGATAAATCCTGCCGTATACTAAGACATCTGTTCGTTCATCAGATCCTCTCAACCTACCGGCATGGCACAAGTACCTCTTCATCTTCATCGTGACGCCTACTCGGCCATCGCCGTGCTCGTCACCTCCGGCTTGGCCGCCGTCTTCCCATCCGTTCTCGAAGAGTATCCGCCGGAAGACGCAACGCGAGCCACAGACCTCATGGTTTACCCGACGCTGTTCATGGGCATCGGAAACCTGTTCTCGATGCCGCTCTGCGTCGCCCTGGGAAGACGTCCCGTCTTCGGTCTTCCTGGCGTCGCTCGTTCTTCTCGTGGCGTCGGGCCTGTGGTGTGCCTTTTCCAAGTCGTTGAGTAGTCACATCACCGGTCGCAACATCTACAGCCTCGCTGCCGGTCAGAGTGAGGCCCTGGCTCCGCTCATCGTCGAGGAGATTCACTTCCTCCATGAGAGAAGCGCAAAGCTGTCGTGGTTCGTCGGGTTCCAGACCGTGGTAACGGCTGCCATGTTGGTCGCCACGACCTATATTATTCCTGCATGGGGCACCAAGTGGTAGTATCTCATCGCGACGTTCATCAACGCCGCAGTTCTCGTCTTGGCCTTCTTTTTCGTCGTCGAGACCAAATTTGACCGGCCGAGGGGTACGGACAGTGAGTTTGTTACCTTCATTTTTCCAACTCGGCGCAGCATCGAGGTACAAGAGCTGATTATCTTGGTTTTCAGAGAGTGTCTTTCACCTGATACGTGACGAAAACGGCAATGTTAACATCAACGGCGACATAGAGATGGTGCTTAAGGCGTTGACCGGGAAACCCATATTCTGCAACCCGAAGTTTTTGGGTCACGAACATGGCGCCACGACGTTAAGATATTCCACTTCAAGCCGGATTGGATCCAGACAGTCACCTTCTACAAGGAGACTGCCCAGTCGCTCTGCCTGCTAAGCATCGTGTGGATGCTCTGGTTGAATGGGGCATTCCTGGGTATCTATGTCTACCAGTCTTCCACGTTTGCCGTTATTTCGATGGCTCCTCCGTGCCTCTTCCAATACAGGTCGCTCGGTTATGTCCAGCTGGTGCAGTTTTTGGACTGCGCTCTTTTCGTGCCGCTGCTCGGGTATGGCTCCGATATGCTGGTGCGGGCACTTAGCAAATGGAGAAACGGCACATTTCAGGTATGTTGGCGTTTTTCTCAGTCGACGACCACCTTCGATTAAGATATACGGTGCTAGTAACCCGTCCCTGCAGCCCGAGTACCGGCTCATCCTTCTAAGCTTGCCGGTCCTATCGGCCATCACATCGTGCGTCTTTTTCGGACAGGCGGGTACGTCCCCTGACCGGTGGCATTGGATGACCATCGTAGCCCCGTGTAACTTTGGATACTTTTCGTTCATAGGGGCCAATCTCATTGGCATCACGTACATCGTCGACAGCTTCCCGAGGAAGGCCGGGCCGCTCCTCCTGGTGCTCTGCGCCGGCCGCGGCTTCATCTCGTCCGGACTCAGCTACTCGACTTTCCCGCTAATTAACTTGATTGGGTATAATGGCGCAATGAACGTATTTGCAATCGTTTCCGGGGTTCTTGGGGTCAAAGCCTTCCCAGTGTACTACTTTGGCGCTCGTATCAGGATCTGGGCCACGAATAAGGTGTGACGGGAGACAGCCAGTAAATATGCGTCGCACTACAAAGATGTAATATATGCTGGAATGCTATCGAAACATCCGTTTCTTTTAATCCTGATTATGAGCTCGCCCATTAGTTTTCCTTTTAGTATTTTCGTTGCCAGTTAGAGCACACAACAGGGCATTGGAGAATTCAGGTCTAAAAGGCTTAATCCTATAAACATAACTATGGAAAGAATGGTCCTATATATACAGGTGAGATGGATGAGTAACTAGTGAAACTTTTTCATTTTCACTGGTTTGCTCGAATACCCCTCGAGTGCAGACATCACTTTTCACCCCCATCATCTCCGTGCTAATCAGGAAGCGCTGGTGAAAGCAACCAGTAGGTTTATCTCCGTAGTAATATAGTAGCTTTTAAGCCTTTGTATGACAAGTCTTGGTTGACTGCCTCACTCATTTCTCGGGCGTAAACACAACGGGCTTTTGATGATACTTCTAGCCAAGGCGGAAACATTGTCACACTGTATGTCCTTCAAATTGTGATTGGTACAGATATGGTATTTTCATCATACTTGAAAGTCTCTGTAACTGGAACCCCACAGTCGTGACATTTTCCGTGGCTCATCCAACATCAATATCTACCCTGCACGTCTCCGTGAAAACCTCAAGATGACTCAATCAGCACGCTCTGGATGTAAGGAACACCGGTAAGCAGGAAGCCTCCTTGGTCAGCTTTGGTGCTTGCCTCGGCTTGCCCATGTTATCGTCGTGCTCTGCAGGTTGTCAAAGGCTGCCTTCTTGCGGACCAGGGTCCCTGCGTGGCGTCGGCGACGGGCATGTAGCACGTGTAGGCGCAGAAGCGCGGCGAGCCGCCATCCGGGCTCAGGGTGTAGTGCGGCGTGCGGCGTGCGGCGTGCGGCGTGCGGCGTGCGGCTGTCCCAGAGCAGGAGGTCGCTGGGCTTGGCGTTAATCTTGGTCCACTCGCAGCCCTTGTCGACCAGCCACTTCATGCCGGCGTCCGTGAAGCCGTACCACTCCTTGGTCCAGGACCAGATCTTGTCGGGCTCGTCGCGGAAGGCCTCGTGGAACGCCTCGGAGAGGCGGTGCGCGCCGTTGGGAAGGTGGTTGACGAGCCCCTGCAGACAGCGGAGGCCAGGCTTCTCCGGGTCCTGGTCCTGGTGCGGCCACGGGTTGTTGGGCGCGACGTCGGTGCGGCTGGGGAAGGCCATGTTGACGGCGTCGAAGGAGACGATGATGTCCACGGTGTCGTAGACCTTTTCAAAAGCCTCGACGACGTTCAGCTGTAGTGACGAAGAGCTGGTACTGGGCGGATCGCTGATACGGGTTTATACTTAACGCTCATCGGCTTTGCATGCCGCCGTCCGATGATCACGACGATCCGCCATAATGAGGCTCACCGCCATCATTTGCGGCTTGGGATGATCCAATCTGCATCTTGAACAGGTTCCTAACGCGAGCTCCATAACTTCAAGCCGTTCAGTCGAAGACCCCTCCACCCCCGCATCGGCCCGGCTCGGAATGGGGGTGGGGGATGCGGCGCCAACTTGGTACTCGGGTGACAAAACAGATATACGGCCGCTTTTCCTTGCCACTACTATGTGGCAACCAGCCATTTTTTGGCCACCCGAGTGCTTCGGCACGCAAGACATCGGCCCGGGATCGGTGGGCGTATGAACGGTTCTCGTTGACTCGGGAGTTGGTGGACCTCTCCCTCTTCCCCAGACCTCGGAACAAGGTTCATACTGTGTCGAAACGGCTATCGTTCTCTAGGTTGATGTGCACTTCGAGCGACGTGCCGGTATACAGTTCCGCATGAGCTGCTTGATGAGTGTTGTCATAAAAGAGCTGACTCGTCTGAGATGATGTCCTCGCGATGTCGATTGTTCGTCGTCGATCGGGCTTTTCTGACCGCTCGTTCTCAATCTCCATCGGCCATTGAGTGACTCAGAAGCGGACTCCATTTCCAACTTTCTTACCATGTCAACTACCCAGACCCTGGATTCACACGTTCCGGTTGAGCCGCTGAGCCCGCCGATAGTTGGACGCGATGGCTACACCAGCCTCAACCCTCGGAGCGAGGTCCTGTCAAAGGGCTGGAAGCATCCCCATAAGGACGCTCGTCCGTTGCCCTGCGACATACAGATAGACCACGACGTCGCCATCACCACCAGGGACGGGACCGTCCTCTACGCCGACGTCCTGCGGCCCCCCAACACGGACGAGAAGGTGCCCGCCATCATCTGCTGGTCCCCCTTCGGCAAGAAGTTCAACGGCCTGTCGTCCCTGGACTACATGACGCCGTGGCAGGCGGGGGTCCCGTCGCAGACGCTCTCCGGGCTGGAGAAGTTCGAGGCGCCCGACCCGGCGGACTGGGTGCCCCGCGGCTACGCCATCGTCAACGTCGACACGCGCGGGGTGTTCGACAGCGGCGGCACGATGGTCATCCTGGGTTCCGTCGAGGCCGAGGACGGCTACGACACCGGATGGGCTGGTGTGACGGCCGCGTCGGGCTCGCGGGCAACTCGCACCTCGCCATCGCGCAGTGGTTCATCGCCGCGCTCCGCCCGCCCAGCCTAAAGGCCATCGCCCCCTGGGAGGGCTGCGGCGACCTGTACCGCGAGCAGTTCGCGCGCGGGGGCATCTACGCCGGCGACCTGTTCGACGAGCTCATCGTCAAGCACATGCTCAAGGGGCGCAACGGCATGGAGAGCTTCCGCGAGATGTTCAAGCAGCACCCGCTCGCGAACGCGTGGTGGAACGACAAGCGGCCCGACATGGGGAAGATCAACGTCCCGACGTACATCACGGGGACGTGGACCAACACGATGCACGGCATGGGCGCCATCCGCGGCTGGCTCGAGGTCGATTCGGCCGACAAGTGGCTGCGGTGGCACCCCTGGCAGGAGTGGTACGACCTCTGGGGGAACCCGCAGGCCAAGGAGGAGCTGTTCTCCTTCTTTGACCACTTCCTCAAGGGGATCGACAACGGCTGGGAGAAGACGCTCAAGGTGCGGATGGCGCTGGGCGTCGAGTTCGAGGCCGGCGAGAGCGTCAGGGTCGTGTTGAGCGGGCAGAGCCTCGCGGTGAACAACTTTGGGAAGAATCACTGTCTGAACAAGGGGCGGCATATCGTGCACCTGGGAGGGCAGCAGGCGAGCCATGTCATTCTTCCTTTTGTATAGCGTAGAGTTCGGGGAGACTCGATGAACATGATACTACAAAGCCATGTAAACAATCACCGTCCAGGCGTCGATTCGCAGTGCCTGGTAGTTATCCACTTCAAAACACAGGCTTCCCACCGCAGAGACACGAGTACGGCATGCGTAGATGAGCTTGAATGACGATCGAGTTGAGGGTAGTGGAGACCAAGGCCAGGGGCATCACATCACCGCTCTGCTCACGACGCTTGGGCCAGGCGTTCAGGAGATAAGGGACCAAGTTCTCGATCTCGGATGAGGGGCTCGCTAGAAGGTGACGATACCCTTGGCTATCGACCTTTTAAGTGCTTGCATCGGAGATTAAGGGGGCTATCCAGAGCCCCCTACTCTGTAAGTTCAGGTTGAACCAAACCCCGGTTGGGCGTGACACTGTCCAACATGCGCGTTCCACTGGCGAAACGCCAAAGTGTGGGAAGACTGGCGCTGTCTTGTCTTGTACGGATCAGTTGGCGGCAACTCGCATCTCGGTATGCACTCAATGGGCAGACATAACCAAGACGGGAACGTTGGAAAAGAGGGGAGGGGGAGCAGAGATCTGGCGTCGCGCTCGTGTTTTTCGTGTACCCAGGCCGCAACAGAGTATGTCAACGGACGGACGGACGGATGCCCAGTCATGACGCTCCAAGTTGAGTGACCCTCAGGCACACGAGGAAAAGAACATTGAGACCACAGACCGAAGGCTGATCTTAACCTTCTCTCCCCCCCCGCTGGCGTGTTGCCGAAAGTCGGTTCTAGCGGGGGACGTGAGGACTGCATCAGCCTGCGCCATATCCTACCGGTCACAGGTGTTAGTCAAATCTTCAGGCCTCCCAGCAGAGGCAAAAGTGGCTACGCCAGCACCGGGCGGTCCGCCGAGCTGCCTCCCCCGCGCGCGCGAGCTTTTCGCCCGGCGTTATGTATGCAAGCCTTCAAGCCGGCGTGGCTTCCTGCATGCGGGATCGTCTTCTCGTCACAAGCTATGGGCCGTTCTGTAGGGCGCCGGTTCTGCGTGGTTCACAGAGGGGTAGGTTCACCGGACGGCGCCGATCAGACTGGGAGGGGGGTTGAGTCATGACGGCACAGTAGGGGGAACTCGGATTGGACATGTTAACCTCTATGTACCCTGTCGAGCGCACAGGCTTCAGGGAAAAGGAAAAACAGGGCTGGCGAGAGACCCACGCTAACTGGATTCGCGGGCGGGGGGAGCTCTCAGGCAACGTTGGACGGGACAGCCGATGGATGATGTTCGTGCAGTGCGTGGAGGCCGGCCGTCGGCATCGGGACCAGGCTGGTTGCATATTGAGCCCGCGTTGGCGGCGACGTGACTGGACTGGAGTGCTCCTTGCCTTCGTGTTCCTCTCGTCACCTTTGTTCGATCTTAGAGCACCGACACCCAGTGTCTCAAGTATATACCTGGGAACGCGAAAGACGAGGGGAGGAGAGACACAAAGAAGGGAGAGCGGCCAGCAAGACCCCGGCAGGTACGGATACGGGAATGTCGGACGAACGGCGTCGTGGTGTATCCGTAAGTTTGCGAGACAGCTGGGCGGATGGGCTGCCGCGGAACAGGGGATGAGAGCAAAGTCAAAAGGGTAGCTCTAAGCGGGCATTGACGGGGTCCCGTTCGGGTGTTCTGCAAGGCAAGTCTTTCTACAGAGCAAAGAGAATGGGAAGAAACCTGACAATATTGGGCATGGGAAATGCAACGTTGGGTGCGGACGAACGCTTTGACGGTGACTGACGGCCGGCCGGCCGAGGGAACCAACTGCGACCACGACCCTGGCCGGATTGCAGTGGTGTGTTTATTGATAGATGTGGCGTGACGGCTTCGTTTTGTGCAACGCTCTCTTGTTGGTTACTCGTCTTCCTCGGACACTGCGGACAATTGCCATGATTTGTACGGAGTAAGTGTCTTGAACTTCAACCTCTCTTCGCCCCCGCAAAGCAATGTCCCGCCCTTCCCTTCCTCTCCTCCCAATAAAAGTAAGCATGCAGGCAATCTCCCTTCTTTGCCCCCCTCCCCCTTCCTGTGGGTGTGATGGTACCCCTGGGAGGTGCGCACGGCAGAGTCAGCCTGCTGCCGGGGGCCGGGGCCGGTCTGGGTCCCATCACGCTGGAAAGGCCTTTCATTGGATGACGGAGAGGAAAAGCTGCAGAGGACAGACGCAGGGATGGCAGATGTCACCTTGTGTCTCTGCTTCCCCTGCATAGTGTGTGTGTGTGTGTGTGTGTGTGTGTGTGTGTGTGTGCGCACAGTTTCTGCATTGCATAACTATACAGGAAAAAGAAAAGAACAGAGGGAGCCTACTAAGAGTACGTAGACCAAATCGAGGTTGTTAGCGCTGACGCCAAAATCCAAACCGCCAGACGAAATGCTCGAGCCTCGAACCGACAGCCCGGGCATGAGCTTCTGTAGCCGGCGTTTGTGCCATGACCGTTCTTGGTCGATATGGGCAGGATTCCAGAGGACAATGGCGACAATGGCTTGGTCGACCTGAGGCGATGGAGGCATTGGGGGAGACTGAAAGGCGGATGTACCGGCTCAGTCTTTCAGTCGTAACAACGGACCAAGACGACCGACCAGACCGAGGCAAAAGATGGTTCCATCGCTGCCCGAGCAAGGCCGGGCCTCTCTCACTGCCACCCTCTCACTGTCACCCTCAACCTGAGGGAGAACTTAGAAGCCAAAACGGGCTGGCTATGCCGATCAATGCAACGCGCCTGCAAGCGGGAAAGCTGTTTAAGTGACGGATACCACATGGTGCATGGTGTACGGATACATAGTATGCCAAGGAGAAGAATGCTGCTCATTCCAAGTGCCGCTAGACGTGAGCAGCTAGCGCTGGGCGGGTGCCGGCCTGGGCCTCCAACAGCGACAGGCGCGAAGCCTAATCTCCCACGTTGGATGCTGCTATTCCTGTTCCTGTAGGTGGCGTGGGTGGTTCTACACTAGTCAGCGAGGGACGACGAGTGAGAGAGGTAGGGCATTGAATACATGCGTATCCAGGCTTTAGATGAGTGAGTGTGGGTGGATGAGCAGTTCATAGTGTGTAAGTGAGAGAAATGGAGATGTGAGATGACCGCAAGGGCGTAGAAAGGAAAACCGACTGCAGGAACAACTCGTGAAATGGGCGGGAAAGGCAATAAGTGACCTCTTTCTTTCCTTTCTTCGATCGGTCTTGATCGATTGAAATGGATTGGCTGGCGTGATGCCTCACTCTTGCTTCCAACCTCAACAGCAACAGCGTCTCTCATCGCTCATCTCTCATCTCTCATCTCACCTTGGGTTTCACCTTCACCAACTCACATCACTCAATCACTCACTCACTCACTCATATCTCTCTCATAGCTCGCTCATATGTCCCCTTACTCGAGCCACTACATCATGTCACATCATCATCTTCATCACCTGCAACACATTTCTTTTTGTGTTGCGTCTTCAACCAACGAGAAAACGAACTTATTGCGCCAACTTAGTCTGCCCAGACTAGCCCTTCCCACTTGTGCCCATCGCACCAACGCCAGCCTACTGCCTGTCGGACACTTATTCTCCACTCGCGGTTCCTGGGAACTGCATCCCCCCCTGCATATCCACATCCACATCCACATCCACATCCACATCCACATCCACATCCACATCTACATCCACATCCACATCCACATCTACATCCACATCCACACCCACATCCATCCACCTTGATATCCACGTCCTTAACGCCCCTGCAGCTATCCTCGTCGTCACCGCGTTTCGCCTCATGAGATAGCCCTTTGCTCCTTCTCAGTCCGAGTTCTGGCTCTTGGATGCTGTTCGGAGGAATGTTCCCTCTGCTGCTCCGTCCTCCTTCCCTTCGCCTTCTCGACGACGTCCCTCACGCCACTCGACTCGCTCCCACCCGATTCCCAGTCGACGGATCACCCCCCGTCATCTCGACCGTCAGACGAATCCCGTCCCTCTCTTCGCGTCTCTGCGCTCCAATTGGCCGAACCCCACGATAACCCCTGTTCCACCTAGTCGCCAACCCTCTCCCCGCTCGAGCTCGGAAGGGTCCCCTTCGAGGTTCGACGCAACTCGCTCTATCCAGCCGTTGGTTGAGTCGATAAGCAAGAGGGAAACAAAGAAGGAGAAAAAGTGGAATATTGACAGAGAGAGGACTGTTCGTACATACGGATACCTACGCGCCATTTCCATTCCCGTCTCTTGGACGAGGCCGAACATCGTCGCTGGCGGTGCGACAACCAAAAGAGACTGAGACCAATAATTTTCCACCGCTCCATTTACCAGACCACTTCAATTCCAGATACCCAGCATTGCTTTCTTCTTCTTCTTCTTCTTTTTCTACAGACCCTGCACTGCACATTACCAACCTCCTCCGTCAGCCTGTCTTGGTCTGCCTCTGCCTCGTTCGCCTCACCTGTTACGACGATCCCGCATAACCAGCCGCCGCCGTCAATTGAGACATTCCTGCGCCATCGCGACGAAAATCCCGTGGCATCTGGCCGCGCTGGCTCCCAATCGCGGTATAGACCAGCTACCCTTTACTGTCGATCATCCCACATCGCGACCATAGATTCCGGCTCGGCACTTTGACGGATCGTCCATTGATTGCATTTCCGTCCCTCTTACCCGTTCTCTGCGGCCAGCCACCTACCGCAACGCAGCCAGCCGTCTTGTCCAAACGCCTTGGATCCGTTGATGCCTCTAAGCGTCTAGAGCCACCCAGAGAGAACCCGACTTCGCCCTTTTCGCTATCAGCAGTCTATCCATCCATCCACCACATGCCGCCGCCCGCAGTCGTCTCGTCGTCTCGTCTCGTCTCGTCTAGTCCCACGTGCAGACGACCCGGTCCTGGCCTGTTCTGTTCCATCGCAATAACGGTCTCTGATATACCTTCAAGGCGCACAGGCACCCACCTATCACGACTCGAAAGCCGTAATTGCTCTTCATAGCTGCGCTATCTATCAGGGATCTTCTGGTGCTCTCTGTCTAGTAGCAAAACCGGTCGACTACCCGCCTCCGACGAGCTGGAACCACCGCCCCCCCACCCCAGCTGCGCTTGCTATAGCCCGACGCAATCACCATCCGCGCTTCTACGCTTCTCAGCAAGCATCATCCCGAGTCCTTGCTACTACCAACGCCGGCGCCGCCAGGCAATAACCCTCGTTTGCATAGTGCGCTTGAACATTTCTTTTTTTTCCAAAGACACGATGGATAGTCTTGCCGAGAATCAGTCGCGTAGCCGCGAGAGGTCCCGTCCCTCTCCTGTCTACCCTCGCCCGTCTTCAAGATCTAGTACAAGTACTACCGTGGCCCGAACCACACGGAGCGCAAACAGCTCGACTTCCAACTTCGCCACCTCTTCGCGATCCTCGAGCACTCACCCTGCACACAGATTCCATCACAGTTCGTGTACGCCCTCCACAACCTCACTCCGCCCCAGCTCTGCCCTGTCGCGAGGCGGCGTCTCCGATCCCGGCAAACCGAGCGCAACGTCCAGCTACCTGCAGGACAAGCTACAGAAAAGGAGGGAAGAAGCCGAGAGACTGGCCGCCGCCGCAGCATCAGCTCAACAGATGGAATCACCTGCACGCCGCGCGCAGAGCCCCTCTGTGAAGGGCGAGTTGGTGGACGGCCGACGGCCCAGGTCGAGCGGAGGTAATGGAGAGACCCCAAAGAAGACGGGCATGGGGGCGAAGGAGATGGAGGCCGTGAGTCTTCCCCTGTATCCCACCTCGATCCGAGTGCTTCGCTGACAGCATTTTCGACAGACCGTTTCCACCCTGCACAAACAAAACTTCGACCTGAAGCTTGAGCTCTTCCACCGTCGCGAACGACAGACGGCTCTGGAGGCGCGCATCGACGCCCTCGAGACTGAGAAAGCCCAGATGGACGACGTGAACGACAGGCTGTTGGACGAGCTGGAAAAGCGCGACAAGGCCGTGCAGGAGGCGGTCCAGATGATATTGAATCTCGAGGCTCAGGTTGCAATGCTCCTCAAGGAGCGGGAAATGGTGCAGCATTTCGACGCAGCCGGCATACGAGCTCTCGAAGCGCTCGAGCATCGACTTGACATCACCACGCCCAAACCCAGGCAAGCGAACCTGGCCCGGCTAGAGGCGGACGCCAAGGCCCTCAACCGCATGCCCAGCTTCTTGTCGGATCACACCGAGAACACGGAGAACTTGCGCAATGTGTACCTCAGCTCGCGCGGGAGCCTTCTCAGCTTGTCGAGGCTCGCAACCGAGGGCGAAGACGCCGACGCACGTCGCGTTAACAACATGACGAGCCCGAGTCTCAGCGTCCTCAGCGAGAGTTCTTTTACGAGTGTGTATGGGGAGAAGGAAGACGTCGCCCGAGTCAACGAGCCGAGTCCGGACAACGGCAAATCGCCCTGTTCTCCTGAGCCTTCGCGCGGCAGCGATCAGTCCAGGGATAGAAGACCACCAACGACACTGTCGACGAGGTCAAGCCGAAACAGTCGGTCCAACTCGTTCTCGCGTGCCCCTGGCCCAGGTCAGTTCCAGTCGATCCGCGACATCGTCGACCACACCTCTCCTCTGCAACAGCTGGCCAATCTCGACCATGGCTACCCGAATAGGGCGCCAGCCCAAGATCAGTCTCCCCTCGCTGGCAGAGAGCAGCCGCACAAGCATGCCAAGGACACGAAGCGGGAGGCTCCACGTAGGGTAATGACCGACACGCCCGTTCAACGGCCGGGTGAACAAGTCTTGCCTCCCACGCCCGACACCGTTTCCACGCCGACGCTTCGCAGGTTCAAGACGTCAAACGACACCCTCTCCAACCAACGAGGTGTATCCGACCAGCGTAGCTACCGGTCCATTTCCGACGGCACTTCCAAGGAAGACGATGGCGAGGACCAAGGGGGCGCGCCAGTGTTGCAGCAGCCGCCCCGCTCTGCTTTCGTAGGCCATCAAGAGCCGGCTAGAACGACTTACTTCGACACCAGAGCGCCGTTGATTCCTCGCCCGAGGTCGGCAGGAGAAACAACGGTTTCCCACCACCACGAAATGGACTGGGATTCAGACGGGGATTCTGTTCACTCGCTCGACTCAAGTCTCGACATCTGGATGCAGCAAGGCAAAGACCCGAAGCACTTTGACGAGAGCAGCTATGATTCTCCCGACCTTTTCAGTAGCTTCCCCATGCCCGGCGGAGGATGGAACCAAAACACCACGGTTGGGCCTTCTGGCGATGGGACGTTTAACATGCTTGGCATCCCAGCAGCAACAGCAGCAGCAGCAGCAGCACAGCACCATAGCCATATGGAAGACATGAAGGTGGTGAGCAACGCCCTCTTCCCGAGTGCTGTTCAGCAACCACCCACACCGAAGCGAAGATCCAGTCTCAGTGCGACGGGGCTGACAGTGTCGAAACCACCTCCCGCCAACGGAAAATTACGCAAGTCGCTCTCCCGGGCCGGGTCCAGGCGAGCTAGCATAGACGCACACGCGATTCAGCGGCCCGAGTCGGTCGCAAGCACTCCGCAGCGTACAGAGTCAAAGTCCGGTGCCCGATCCAAGAACAGCCACTACCCACCTTCGTCTACTACGGCTTCGCGTGGGCACCGTCTGAACTTCTTCAGGAGGTCCATCAGCGGCGGGCCCGTAACAGCCCAGCCCGAGCCTGCATCTCCCGCGGCCGAGCCGTCTCCGACTGCGGCAGCAAAGGCCAGCACGATGGGCGTTCCGTCGTGGGTCCAGCGGTCTCACCTGGCGGACGACGACCGAGACAGCGCGACGCCGCCTCCCATCATGCGAAACCCAAGGCCTGCTCGGTCTGGGAGCTTCGACGAGGGAGCGCCCCTCAATGATCAGGCCGCTTCCGCCACCACGCCAACAACGCCCATGGCGGTGCCAACGCGCGCCGCTTCGCATACGCCGACGCCGCGTTCTTCGGAGCCGACTCCAACCAGCACCAACGGCGGCAGCGGCGGCGCCCCACTGCAGAAGCGCAAATGGCTTCCAGGGTTCAGTCGGGGGAGCAGTCTGCGGAATCGGACTGGCTGAGGAAAAGCCGACAGATCATCCCCAACCTTCACCCTGCAGGGCTTATGGGAACGACAGGGCTGACGGGGCTGTATATCAACGCCCATTGCGGCAAACCAAAAATACCAGAAAAAAGAGGCGAAATCACGCAAGGACTATTCCGTCCTTTTTGTAACACTACGACTGAGCCCTTGCAGTGGAACTGGGCTGACTTGACGCTGGCGGCACTGACGAGCGAAAGGTCCGCTTTTGCTATTGAGTAAAAGCTGGACGGGGGGTGCCGTGTGTGTCCAGCCGACGGAAAGGGAACGTTTACTATTATCAATGGGAAATGGGGAGTTGGTGACCAGGGGAAAACGGCATCCTGGCGAGGCGGCAAATAGCGACCGACCGATGACATGGCACGGGACGGACAGGGCGGCGTCGACTGGGTGGGTCTTTTTTTTTTCCTTCTTCTTTTTCTTCTTCTTCCTCTTTTTCTTCGTTTTATTCTTTAGAGGGAAGCTGGAGTGGTATGGACCGGCCAGGATGGCAGGTTTTTGCCAGAGGTCAGTCACTCCGTCCCCCCAAAAGCGGAAAAGAAAAAGTAAGAAGAAAGACAAAGGAACATTTACATAGTTGGGCAATAGAAACTCTGTAATATTCTTTGAATTCACTCGGACAAGAAAACATGCATGATTCAAAAGAGAACGGGCCTTTGGGTGGCTTTTCGATGCTTGTTACAATGTCGATTTTGGGAGATTAAACCGAGTGTGGTCTTGTATCATGTTTACTCTGGCCAGCTGACGACATGGTTTCGTATTCCACTGACGCGACTTGACTTTTTCTTTTTCTTTTTCTTTTTTTCCTTACTTTTTTCCTTTCCTCCCCTCATCGCCTTTTCCACCTCAGACGTACCTCGTCGGGCCGGTTCATCTGCAGCGTGAGGATGGGCTGGCTGTCCCGCGTCAGGTCCAGCAGCCGCTGCCGCGCGCGGTCCGCGCTCTCGCCCGCCCGCGGGACCGGCTCGACGGTGCACTTGCGGAAGAGCGTGGCCATGACGGTGACGAACTCTACCTGGGACATCTTCTGGCCCGGGCACACGCGGGGGCCGCCGGACCAGGGGAGGTAGGTGCCGCGCGGCGGGGTGAAGAACTGAGGCGGGGTCGGGTTCTGCTTCCCATCTTCTTCTTCTTCTTCTTCTTCTTGTGGGGCAGCGTTGGCGGGCGGGAGCCAGCGGGAGGGCTTGAAGGCGAGGGCGTCGGGGCCCCAGGTCGAGGGGGCGGTGTGCAGGGCGACGGTGTTGATGTAGACGATGGCGGGGGCGGCGCCGAACGCGAATTCGGATGGCGACGACGACGCGGACGCAGGGGGGCTGGGCATGGTCTGGGTGGTTTCTGTGGAGCGCATGACATGCGTCAGGGGCGGGAAGAGGCGGAGGACCTCGAACTGGTGCACGGGAGAGGGGGAGGGGGTTGCGTTAGTCTTTGGAAGTCTGTCATGGTTTGGGGGCGGTAGACCAGCGAGTGTGTCCGACTTACCATGATGGCCAAGCACCGCACCAGTTTCGGGTACGCAGCCGCGTAGTCCGGCAGCTCGTCGTCGCTCCCGGCTCCCGACGGCGCGGGCCCGAGGACGGCGTCGATCTCGGCCTGGATCCAGGTCTGCCACTCCGGATACGCCGCGAGGAGGGTGACGGCGTAGGCGAGCGTGTTGGCGGTGGTGTCAAAGCCGGCGATGGTGAAGACGAAGAGGTTGCCGCCGATCTCTTCCTCGGTGAGGTGCGTCTTGTTGATCATGGCGCTGCCGCTGGGGCCAGCCTTCTTCTCCGGGGAGACAGCGGGGGCGTCGGAGGCGGCTTGGTGCTTCTTTTCCTGGTCGGAGAGGCGGATGATCAGGCTCATGATGGTGGGCGGCCCGGCTTGGCCATCTGCGCCGTCGGCCGTTCTTTCGGCGGCCCGCTGGCGCTCCTGGTCGAGCACGTCCCGCGTCAGGTCCGGCAGGCGCTCGCGGGCGACGCCGAGGGTCTGCAGGAGCTTGGGCATGACGGGGAGACAAAGGATCCAGCGCGGGACGAGGGCGGCGACGACGAGGAGGCTGGCGCAGAGGGAGATGCCGTCGACGTACGTTATGTCGGCCTTTGGGTCGCGGGGCAGTGATATAAGGGCGAAGGGCTTGCGGACACCGTAGGCGACGTGGCTGAGGACGTTGATGGCGACAGCGCGGAGGCCGGGGATGGTGTCGGCGGTTCCGCCGGGGACAGCGTCAGGACCAGGCCCGGGATCGGCGGCGGACGGGGACGAGGAGGAGGAGGACAGGAGGAATTCAGTGAGGGAGGAGGCTTGGGCTGCCGTCTCTTTCCAGACGCCGGAGCTGATGCGCTCGTTGAGGGCCGTGGCGACGATGCGGCGCTGGCGGGACCAGGAGTCACCGTTGGACTGCCGAGTGTTAGCATCCGTTATCCCGGGTCTTTTCGAGACTTGAGATTCAGAGTCGATGAAGAGAAACACCGTCACCGTCGGCTCATCACCACCACGGGGAGACGCAAGGATAAAGGGGACACGGCGCAAGGGAAAGGAGAGCTCAACGCACCGTCAGGACGTTGCCCCCCGCGAACCCTATGATCCGCTTCAAGACGTCGCCCTGGACGAAGTCGTTGCGCTTCGCCAGCACGAACTGGGCCATGGCCGGGTCGGCGCAGATGAGCTGATTCTGGGTGGTGGTGACGATGACAAAGGCCGGACCAAGGCGTTCGTGTATGGCTGCCTCGTTGAGAAACTCCCAGCCGAGGATGACGAGGGAGACGGCGTCATAGACGCGGGCAGGGAGGACGCGCCGGAGGACTGGCCGGAGGGGCACGGAGAAGATTGTGTGGATGGCCTTTGGCGCTCGCCAGCGTTAGCTCGATGAACGGGAGATGCTGGGAGGTTTGGCGAAGGGGGGGGGGTTCGTTGCGGTTTGACTCACGCTGTCAGGATTATAGGGAATCACAACGATGGGCAGCCCCGTGAGGAGGGCGGCCCGGTAGTTCTTTTGGAGGGCCCATAGGTGAGAGGCCACGAATAGGCACGGCAGGAGAATGAGCGCGGTGTAGACGTAGCCCATGGTGAATATCAACGGCGTCGGTGAGGATGAGAGGTTCGTGGAGGAGGATGAGAGAGAGAGGTAGGGAGAGACGCGAGAGAGAGATGAGACGAGGGGGGAATGAGGGGTCTAATCGGGGTATGACATTTCAGTCACTTAGCCGCAGCTGCCCTAAATGTAGAGACATCCCGGGAACCTGGGAAGCTGATATCAGGATTAGTGCTGACCATCCTGAATCCTTCTTTTGGACTGGGGTTTTGCTTTGTTGCATGCTGTGGTTGTGCTTGGAGGTGCACCTCTGACGGCTCTACCGTATCCTCTCATCAGATACGAAGTCCGTACAGGCCACAGCCTGCTGGAAACGGGTAAGCGGCTGGCAGAGACAGGGATCTAGATGTAGCAAATGCAGGCAGCCATTTACTTCAGCAGCAAGTTAGGTGGCAAGGGTTAGGGTTACATGGGTGTGTGTGTGTGTGTGTGTACATAGTAGGTAGGATGACTGCCTTCTATAATAGACGGGCGTATGACTCGTGCGGACTTCGTATTTGATAAGAGGATACGGTAATCACATTATGCGGCTAACTCCTTAGAGCAAAGCCATAGTTATTTGGGAGTCTATAGACAAGCTGATAGTGTCCCCCCCCACTGTCAACCCAAGGATACTGTGCACAATAACAGCAATAAACCTTGTATCCTAAAGGCTGCAGGTTTAAATCCAGTTTTCTTGGATTTTTTTAGTTCTAAAATAGCTCCGCTAGGGAGGGTTAGAATAGTACTAACCTACCCTGCTTCCTGCTTTGTACTCTAGGTTAAGATAGTGTTGCGATGTTGACCCTCGCGGATAAATATCGGAGTTATCGGATTAACCCCGATGACTCAATGCCGGCGAATCCTCGGATAATTGGCCACGGATCCACCGAGGATTTGCGGCAATAAGTTGGTTATTCAACCAACCAACCCACGATAGTTATCCTTCTATTCTCCACGCATAATAGAGATCACAGTTACCCCGTTTATTCGTCAATTGCCACCAATACGTACGGTTAACCGTATCACCATATTCCTGGTGTAACCAACATATAGGCTAAGACTATCTTTTTTGCCTCTATTTTTTTTTAGAGTCTACAGACAAGCTGATAATGCCCCCCATGTCCACCCAAGAGTACTGTGCTTGATAACAGCGATAAACCTCATATCCTAAAGGCTGCAGGCTCAAATCTGGTTCAAATCCGGCTTTCTTAGATTTTTTAGTTCCAAAACAGTTCCACCAGTGAGGATTAGTATAGTACTAACCCACCCTGCTTCCTACGCTGTGCTCCAGGTCAGGATAGGCCAAGACCATCCCTTTTGCCTCTATTTTTTAATTAAGATAGTTGTGTTATCACTAAATCCACTGTCTGCTGAGGTTTATTACAGTTATTGTGCACAGTACTCTTGAGTGGACAGGGGGGGACACTATCAGCTTCTCTGATCACTCGTTATTTGGTGCCTAGGTCGCCCATTCCTTATTGCTCGCGCAAAAACCCTTGGAAGGATTAGGTGGGAGTGGCCGTATTTATTCCCGACACGCGAAGCGATGGCCTCATGCCTTGAACCGAGTCCGCAGAGCGCGCCATGCAAAGACCGCCGCCGCCGCCAAGATCCACCACACAACCAGCAGAAGCCCGCTCATCTCCAGACCGATGTAGTACTTGTTCGAGTACCGCGTCACATATCCCGTGCCCCAGGCCCAGCCGGTAATCAGAAGAGCCAGCCCCGGCCTACCTCGCCCTGGCTCCGGCCTGGAGGCGGACCGGGCCGCGAGGCAAAGGAGTGGCAAGAGTCCGTATATGACGTAATAGGCCAGCTCCAGGTGGGGTCCGAGGACCTTCAGGATGCCGGACCAGGTTGAGGGGAGGAGGATCTCCCTCAGCGCCTGTCGGTGAGTCGGTCCGCCGCGTATGAGCTTGGCGTAGGCAATGCCGACGGCCACAGTGTGGACAGCCCTCGCGTGGACGTACTCCGCACACCCGAGAACCCAGACGCAGTAGACAACCGCCATCACGACCATGGCCTTGTCCGCTTCGCTGCCCCACCGACGGGGGCTGCCGGCCACAGCGCCCCGCACGGCGAACCCGCCCACGATGTCCCCGACGACCTTCGACGCGCCCTCCCACCCCGCGTTTCTACCGAGAATGCCGATCTCCATCTCCTCCTTGAGAAAAATGGCCGGGCTGCCCGCTGCGAGTTTGAGGGTAGCGATGGGCGCGCCGAAGCCGCTGACCCCGAGGGCGGGGAGGGCCATACGCCGCACATGGTTGGCGAGGACGGCAAACACGACGGCGGCGAAGGCGCGCGCGAAGCGGGGGCTTCCATCACTTGGCTCCACGGGTCCTGTGAGGAGAGCGTGTAGCGCGTCTGGGCCGGGCTGCGCCGGGAGGAGGAGCCGGCGCAGCCGCCGTCGGCCGCGCAGCAGGCGGGAGGTAAGCGGCTGGAGCTGGACGAGGGTGTTGTAGGACGCGGCGGGGACGAGCGCGAAGGGGTTCGTGGGGTCCTGGTCATGATCCCAATTTGTGAATGAGGAGTGAGCGCGCCCGTCTGATGGTTGTGGTGGTTCGTGGGCTGTTGGTGATGATATGGGCGCGGAGGGTGTTGGGTGTGGGGATTTGGCCATCGTGCGGCTGGAGTTGACGAAAGAAGACAAGATTTGATTGGGTTTTCACCTTCTACTACCATGTAATGTTAAAATCTTGCATATGTGAGATTGTTGGGTCGAATCCGGATGGGTGTGGGAGAGATGGATGCAAGATGCAAGGGACCACACGCCGCTCTGCTTACCGCTTACCTACAAAACACACAATGTATCGCCCAAAGAGGCTAGCTCCAGGAACATGATACCGGTACGCTCGGCGTACGACAACGGAATTGGGATGAAGACATGAAATGATTTCGCATAGGGTTGATGTTGCTTCTGATGTTGCCGGCTATCGCCATGGAACACTTCGCATCGGTTCGTGGTGTATATTTGCGTTCCGGGGGGTTGAATATTCAAGTCGTGTTGGATAAGAGATGGTTCTAGGAACAAATCATCTGGCGCAATATGTTGAATCTGCAAAAGCACGGAATCATCAAGTGAAATCTCAACCATGTATTCGGTCGCAAGACGGGTTCAAGACACAAGCAGTCGAGGTCGTGATGTCGTCGCGAGAGCCATCTTCCCGTCTTACGTAATAGACCGAATCAATAAATGCAGGTGCCAACACAATGCACCTGCCGTGATGGACGTCAAAGTCTAGATCCCGTGACCCGCGATCTGTGAGGCAGGTACGACGGCTTGAGTTGAAGTGCCTTCCTTCCTGACAGACACAGGCACGCACCACGGGACTCGCGCCATCCGGCAATTCCACTGCTTCAACACCACGCAACAACACATCACGGCGAACCGGCCCAATCCTTAGCTACTAGTGTACTAGATTAGCCAAATCCGCATACGATCCATTACTAACTACTGGCATCATACTTCAGTCAAAGCTCCCCATTCTCCTCGTTGCACCCTCCACCACTTGTAAACATGTCTACGTCGCCTTCAGCCGTGGCGCTCCCGTCAACATCCCTTCGAGCGCACGACTATCGATGGCGTCTGGCGAGTGCGAACGATCTCGCCAGGTCCTGGATCCGTACAGCCTTCGGCGCCGAGGCTTGGTTCGGACGCAGGGGGTACCTGCTCGGCACTGACGGCACCATCCATATCACCACGACCCTCTGTATCTGGTCGACTGGCCTCTCTCTGGTCGATCTGGAGTATCGAATTTCAAGGGCACTCGTTCATCTCCGCTTCCATCACCCGGAAGTCGCATGCAGAGCCCTCAGGCTGCATAAATACGACTACCCAGGCTGTCCGCCCGAAGTCGTTTACACCCTGGCAAAAGACGCTGCTAATGTTGCCGCCTGGACCAGCCGAATAATCCATAGGGCCAAGTCACCTCGCAATGGACTAGAGCATGCTTCCACGTTCAAGGTCTGTAACAAGGACATTCCGCCTCTTTCCTCGGTCAAGATCTTCTCTGTTCTAGGCACACAGGATGAGGCAGCCGAGCTTGAAGTCGGTTCTCGTGTGATGCTCGTCTTTGTATTCCACCCTGTTCTTTGGGATGGCGTCAGCTCCCACACCTTCGTGGGGGACCTACTGCGCTGCATCGGAGACCTGTGGTCTGCTGAAGCGCCTGACCTCGATACTCTTCGTCAGTACGATTGGGGCACCGAGACCGACAACCTGGCCAATTCTATTCTTGAAGCATGCGGTACGGATGTCTCTGCAATCGGACATGACTTTGCAAAGACACGGGACGAGTACACAAGGAAGCTACAACAAGGTACGGTGAGTTACCCATGTTCCCACCTCCATTTTGCTTTGGCACCTCATATTGATTTTTGTTATAGTCTGGCTGGGGACTTCCGGTAAACAATTCCCGGGGCAAGTCTCAAATAATTCGACGCAGCCTCAGCATCCCCCAAAGCCACAACCTAAAGCTGGCCATCAAACGCATTTTCGGTCCGGACTACACCCTAACTCATCTTGGCCATGCCGCCATGCTTCTCGCCCTACTACGCGTCAGCCCCATGCCACCAGACTTCCCCAGTTCGGCCACAGTGGTCTCGCCAATGCTTATAAACGGCCGACGGTATCTGAAGGGCAAGAACGATTACCACCGCTATGGCTCGTGTCTGGCTACTGCTTTTGTTGACTTTGCGCCCCTCGGTCAGTAGGTTGTCGACGAGGAGGACAAGGACGCGGTAAGAGGCAACATCAAGAGACTCTGCCGCCACATCAAGCAAGCCTACAGTGAATTCCTGGACAATGGCTCCTATCTTGCCATTGCCCAAGACAGATGGAACATGCTCGCAAGCAAGCTTGAATCGTAAGCAAAATTTACAGCACCTGAGATCGTCCATTTTATCAGCTAACGCGGTTCAGCCCTCCCAGCGAGCCGGCCCCCCTCCCCTCCACTCACTTTCCAGTTTGTCCCACTTCCAACTACCCAATGACTTCCTGAACGCGGGTTACTAACGGGCGTTGCCAAGCTCTTTGTCAGCGACAGTATCGTGGATAAATACATTCCGTCGCAGATTTGCACGCAGGCTGGCAAACTGATCATGTCCGTTGACAACTGTCAGTCGCACGTCAACATACACAGTCCCAATATGTAAGCAATTGGAGCCCAACACTCCTGAGATGCTAACCAGTCTCAGAATGGTCCGCATGGGAAGGTGGGGAGGCTCCACGTCTCTTTCCATCACCTTTAACGCCGAGTCACTTGATTACAATCTTGCTGCAAAGTTCTTGAGCGAAATGACATCCATCATGTTGAAGGTTCTTTCCCTGTACCCATGACTATATTGGCAGAGTGACCAGACAACCGTCTCGGGCCACGAGTTCCAGGTGTACGGTTCTGTGCGTGCGTGCTGTGCATGCATGCATTTCGTGTCGCACGACAAGATAGGATAAGATGGGACGAGGTGGAATGGGACAATTGAGATGGGATGAAGTGCTGCATTATGTGTGGGGTGGACAACCGGATTCCGAGACACAGAAGGCGCTTCGGGTATGATGGACAGCAGGGGTCTGCCGTGATCGCGGGTTTGTACAACCAACTCGGATCGTCCAGCCGCCATGGTGAGACTCCTTTTTCACATGCTGTTTCCCCATTTCTAGTCTACTGTCACGGGCAGGGCGTCTTTTTCTATCTTGACATGAGACTCTCTCAGCTCAAAGGGCTCAGTTCTAGGATATACTAATTTTCCCCTCCCATCTGACTCTCATCAAGACTTTCTTCCCCAGCAGCGGCTGATTCCGACCACTCGTTATTGAGCACCGTGAGACGTGCACGGGCCATAATCTGACCACTTTTGGTTTGTTCCTCGCGACATTTTGACAAGGCAGACTGGTACCCCCGTAACTATTATTGTCTGCGTGCAGTGGATGGATATAATGGTGGACGGTGTCCGAGTCCATCCGGGTCGGGAGCCCAAAGACAGGCTGCCTAAGAAGGGTTGTCGGAAGAGATCAGGACCACAGCGATGATGGACGAGGACGACGCCGATTACGAACGGGCCACCCGAGGCATAGATGAGGTCGACGTCTTGGATTCACGAGGCGATCTACATTTGCAAGTCGGTGGGGACGTGGAAAAACAGCCAAAAACATACCTCGTGTGCTCAAAGTCCCTCGCCCGGGTGTCGACGGTCTTTGAAAAGATGCTGTATGGCGGCTTTGCTGAGTCGAGGCCCACGGACACCGCGTACAGGCGCTGGACGGTCGAGCTTCCAGACGATCGCCTGGAACCGACGGAGCTGCTGCTCCACATCGCTCACGGCCGCTTCGACAGGGTCCCCGAGCAGCTCGAGCTCACCCGGCTGTACCAGTTCCTTGTCGTCATCGACAAATACGACGCGGCCGGGGCCACGCGACCGTGGGCGCGAGGGTGGCTCGAGTTCGTCCAGGAGGCCACGCTGAACCCGCTGCTGTTGGGGGTCGCCTACGAGTTGGGCCATCTGCCGACGTTCGAAATCATGATGCGCAAGATTTCCGACGAGTGCCTCGTCGACGACGATGGGGACCTCGTCTTCGGGTTCGCCGGCGACAATAGAGAGGCGTACTCATACAAGCTCCGCAACATTGAGTATCTGGTCCCGCCGGGTCTACTAGGTACGTCGTGTCCCCGCCCTTATAGCAGACCAATGCCATGGTTAGTACCATTTCCATCTGACGGCAAAGGGTGTGTGCAGAGGACACGGCGTCGACGCGCATGAAGCTCCTCACGACGATGCTGGAACCCTACGCAAGCCTCTACGCGACGCTCAAACACGGCGACCGCTGCCAGTCATCGCCGCAGGACCCCACGTCCGGCCGGCGCTGCGACAGTATCCTCCTCGGCTCGCTCATCAGGTCCTTCGCGGCGCAGGGGATCGACCTCGCGGCCCCGGACCCCGCGGCGGCTTACCGCGGCAGCGCCGCCACCCTGCAGGCCATCCTGCCGCGGCTTGAGCTATACACGTCGCAACACCCCGGCGTGCTCATGACCCTGCCGTCGTCACCGCTGCCGTCGCCGTTCGGGCAGCCCCCACTCCCGCACTTCGAATTCGCCCCAGCCGCGTGCGAGCAAGAACTGGAGGCGGCCTTGCGGGACGGCCTCGAGAGGTCGCTGGTGCTAAAGGGCCAGGTGATCTTCTCGCAGCCCAGGCACGGCGAGTATCTATGGAAGCAGGCGTCCAAGACGGGGTTGACCAAGTAGCATTGCCTTTCAACGCTGTACCGGTCAATGAGTGTTGTTCCAGGGAGCAATGTGAGACGGACTTGCAGTTTCGGCGAAGGAGCAGTCGAGCTTCGATAAGACTGCTTCGGATACCATGCAGTATGTCGATGGTAGAGCATCACGCGGGTTCACAGTCAACCGCATTGGAAAGACGCATTTTTGGGCTCCAATTTCCAACACTTAACGCGTTCTTGCTTGTCCCGGCGATAGACATGATGATATGCTACGAAGTGGAAGAATATCTCTTGGCCACTTACTGACACCCGGCCACTCTTCATCTGCTGGCGCTCCAATGGGTCGATCATTCCTGCCTCATTTGAATTTTTCTCAAACCGCTCCTTCCCAAAGTTCACTCCGCCCACCTCACCTCACCCTCTTCCTCAAAGGCAATTACCAATTTTCACTCGACTTCTCACCCTCACTCTCATCCTTACTCTCACTTCACCCTCACCCTCATCCTCACCCCGTCCTTGAAACAAGCTCATTCGCATGCTTTCACTCACACGCATTCAGTCTCTCACCTTGTTCCATACAAACCCCTTCTCATAATCTATTCTTCGAACATCTTGGCATAATGTACTTCAAATCGGAGTCTCCCCAGAACGAGCACGTCATAAAGGACGCCGTCGCAGTCACGACAGCTCAAGATCCAACCTCGACGTCGGAACCAGACTCAAAGAAACGAAAGCTCGAAAGACCCGACCCAGAGCCCGTCGTCAGACTCGACGAAAATGGAGACTTGCTCCTCTGCGTCGGCGCCGCTCGCGTCGGCCAGGCTTCCACTTACCTCGTCTGCTCGAATGCCCTTTACCGTTCGTCTTCGGTGATGAAACAGATCATCTTTGGCCAGCTTGACAAGCCCCGCTGTCTTCAAGTTGGCCTGGAAAACCGGGTCATTCACCTCCCAGACGATCAACCGGCCCCTATGCGGCTCATGCTGGAGATCATACACGGAGACTTCCAAAAGGTGCCCCAGAAGATGGAGCTTCAAACCCTACATGCTCTCGTCATTATCATGGACAAGTACGACGCTATATCTCTTGCTCGCCCGTGGGTCAAGGAGTGGCTGGCCAGCGTCAGGAGTAGCGGAGACTACGCCAGGTTGCTCTCTATCGCGTGGGCGCTTGGTGATATGGGATTGTTCAGCACCATGACCTCTCGCCTCATTGAAACATCCACTATCAGCCGTGAGGGCGGCGACCTGCTCACAAAATCGAATATACCAGCAAATACAATTTTATGCGGAAACACAGACCTCGAGGCCCATCAAGACCTCCTCGCTGAGGCAACCGCGCCCTTGATCCCAACAAGCGTGATCGGTGAGTTCAACGATACATTTTGCCATGTTCCGGTCGTGCTGGATCTATTGTACTGACACGGTGGGTTCCAGAGAGAATCGCAATCAAGAGAGCACACTGGATCTTGGCAACAGTCATGCCTTATAGCAGGATGTATGACGAGCTGAAAAGAGGCAATTGCGAGTGCCGCTTCGCGTCCCGTCACTTCCGCAAGACCATGTCGCCCCGTTGCAGAGCGCTCGCTCTCGGCTCCCTCGTCCAGGGGTTCCTCGACATGGAGATCAACATCACGACCGCGCACCCGACCTGTGCGTACAAGGGCAGCCTCGCGTCGCTGATAGGCCGGATCGGCAAACTCGAGATTCTCACGGACCGTAACTGCGATACGTACAACCATGACGAGTGTGCGCGGATGCAGGAGGCTGTGAAGCACAAGCGCATCGCCAGCACGCCGATGACGCCGCTGACGTACGTCGAGCCCGACTACAGAACGTACATCAGATCCCAGGCAAAGAAGACTGGACTTCCTGGCTAGAGGAGCGAGAGAATGAGAGGTGTTTTATGGAGGAGCGGAAGCCGGGCGGACTGGGCAGAATAATCCCCCCCCTTCTTTTGCTATTTTAGATAAGTCATTGCTTTCACGGATAACAGTACGAGCTTTCTGGGCGCGAAGATGACGTCGGGGAAGGATCTGCAGAGACGGCTTCTCTGCATACGAAAGCAAACGGAGCGATTGTATACCGCGTTGCCTTAGTTCTAGCATTCATGATAGCCACAAGCCACAGCCTTCTATGCGAATTGATTTTCGGTATTGGTACTCTAACTCAACTAATCGTCTCCGAGATGGCAGGGTTCCTCACAAGGGTTTACTAGGTTCATTGATGCATCCATGATTGACATGACCGGTAAATGGGAGATGAGATAATTGTATTGCCATCCCCTGGGAACCAGAGTCAAGGCCGATGAGAGCATGTCTGCTCCATAGGGGGGGGGTCCTATTCACAATCGTTTAGCGTGTGGTCTTGAGAAAATTGGGCCGGATCTTCAGCTGGTTTTCATGGTAGAAGTATTATAGCTCATGGATCGTATCCAATCACCGTTTCCGAGCATTGAAGCATATGATTGACAGCCGCGAATGGGCGTAAGCTCCTACTACGTTCCTTATGAGGTCGATGTCTCTCCCACTGCGTCTCGGAACCGCTATCCTCGTCGTTGTCATCGCCGGTGCGCTTTGCAATGTAGGCTTCCTCTTCAAGGTCAGATTCATGGCGTCGCATGTCAAAGGGATATCATCGAGATCCTCGTCGACTGTCTTGTCGTAGGTAGAGGGCGGTCCACTCTGTTGGTACCTCAGAGGAATGTTCGCCCTCATTGTGTCACAGAAGATGTTCCCTGTGTATGCCTGCGAGGGACAGACTACAGTCGTCTGCCTCCACGTGAGGGACCCTGTGATGAGTGAGGAGGACTAGTGGTTTATAGACGAAATGATTGTTCATCTGGAGTTGCTCTCTTCTCTGGCGTATTGTCTCCTGTCTGGCGTCCTCCCAGATTTGCTTGTTCTTTTTGAACTCTGTAGGGGTTTTCGACTTTGGACACTCGTTCCCAATGTGTCCCCAGCTTCCATACTCGAGTAGTTGAAGCACCATCGCATATCGTTGCTGATGGCTGGCGCTTTGTCTCCTTGCTAAACGTTTATGGCTGGCTCGAAGCCTGCCCAAGATAGAATTTCTCATTTTCCACCGGGGAAAGTTCCCTTAACCAGTGGCACCGTTCCAGGTACGTTGGGAAGATGTACAGCCAGTCTTAAAGAATGCGCTACGCTGTCAAACGTAGACTATTTACCTTGATACTGGTGCTCAGGTTCCGAAGTGAAGACATGGAGCGCCTGTCTGCGACCCACACTTCACATATGTGATCCGAGAACAGCCGGCCGAGTCCGTTTCTTTCCCGTCTGCGCTTCGTTCCCGGACCGGTTGCGTCGTCGTTGCAAATGACGGCAATCACAAGAGACACAACATCAATAGAGGAAGAAGCAGCAGACAACAACAGTGGTGGCTTCGTGCTCTCTCGTGGGGATTGGGGCCAAGGACAGAAAGAGAGCCGCAGCATCAAGAGTGATATCCGTAGACACACAGCGTTATTGTCTTGCAAAGAGACGGCAATGAGACATTTCTCTAAGCCATACAACTCTGCACCAAATCAGCCACCTCCCCCTACGCCCATCGATTGTTGCGATGTTCAGTGGATCACAGACAAGCAAGCATCTTTTGAAATCCATCACAGCCCGAGACGGCCAAGTTGGGCTTGTTTCTCTTTTGACGTGCCGGTAAAAGAAACAAGCTCAATTGTGGGATCCATGGCGGCGCCTTTGGAGGCTACGAAGTGACCGGGAATCAAAATCCCCGATGTTCAAATCAACCACAACGTTATTGACCAATACATTTCGTTACGAAGTCCGGCAAAAGGGTTCGGCGTGTAGCACGCCATCGACCGAGACGATGGTGAATCAATTGCGTGAGCGGCACGCAATGTGACGTGAGCCACTAAGGCCGCGCGCACAGTAGCATCGGCTCCATCAAATATGCCTGTTCCTTGCCTCGTCCTCCTCCACCACAACGGCGGCCGTAGATCCAAAGGGATGGGCTGAGAGACGCGCGAGACTAACTACCTATGACGGGGAGTGGCGGAGAGAGTCTTTGGAAGACAGGAAGAAGGGGGGACGCGGTGGGATAGGGAAAGCAGCTCGAGCGCAAAGGTTCATGGAGTCAACTCAAGCTTTGGGGGTTTGAAACTAGAGCCAAAGCCAAGGTAAGCGGGCTCGAAGGACTGCGATGAAGTTGGCTTAAACAACTGCCTGCGTGGCAGACACACACACACACACACACACACACACTATCCGACTGGCACACGTCCTCGGGACACCTCCATCGGGGTCGACCATGCCGGATGAAGCGGCCTGTCGTCATTCCGCTGTGGATCGTCCTTCGGTTTGTCACCGAGGATGGGGAAGGGAGGGAACGGAACCCCCTTTTTCTGCCTATCGACGTCCTGGGACTCCTCATCACGCCTTTCTGACGGCGACGTCTCCATCTCCGTGAGCTGCTTGGGCCAAAGAACCTGGCAGCGCGGGCCAGCGCGCAGGAATAGTCGGGGCCCCATGTTGGAAGAGCTTTACCAGGAAAGACTCCTTATATAGAATGCCGTGCCGGCAAAAGAGGTTTGCTAGACTGGCCCCTCTCTCGTCGTGTTAGACTGCCGCCCACTCACCCCCTCGTACGTGATTTTCTCGCTCGCCCGCGGAAAGATTGAAGCAGGAGATATGTCTTCCCAGCAGCCGGGAACCAAGGCCTCGCCGGCGGAGTCCGTCACCTCGTCGTCCGACCACGGCGTGCCGGACTCGAAAACGCCCGTGGTCGTCGACGACGACGACGACAAGCGGCGCCCCGTCGACGTGGCGCCGCCGACAGCTGCCGCGCTCGCGACGCAGGAGACGCAGCGCATGGAGGCGGCGCTCGGAGACGCGATCCTGCGCTTCTTCCGGGTCCGAAAGGGTCCCAAGGCCGACGTCTACGACCTCGATGCGGTACGTCGTTTCCGCCCTGCGAATACTCTTGGGGAAAAAAGGAAGACAGAAAAAAAATAAAAAAGCTGACCTTGGCTTCCTTTAAAGATCGCCACGCAACCCAGCATCTGGGACTCGGAAAACGTCGAGGAATACAAGAGTCTCTACATCCACCCGCAGTGGGAGAACTGGTCCGCCTTCGACCCCAGTTTCCGCTGGACGTGGAGGGAGGAGCGCGCGGTGCGACGCAAGGTCGACTGGAAAATCATGGTAAAGAAGATGCCTCCGATGTGAAAAGAAAGAAAGAACCAAACCAGGGGGGGCTTTGCGCTGACTACGTTGTTGTGCTCTAGGTTTGGGCCTGTATCATGTTTGCGGCTCTCAACATTGACAGGAACAACATTTCCAACGCCGTGTCGGACAACATGCTCGACGATCTCGGCTTGACGCGGGGCGACTACGTGAGTTTCTACGACTTGTGCTACCAGGGGGGGAACTGTTCAGGATCTGACGCACATGAACCAAAAAAGAACATCGGTCAAACCATCTCGCGAGTCGGTTTCCTCGTCGCGGAGCTTCCGTCCCAGCTGATCTCCAAGCGGTTCGTTTTACCACCCCCTCCCCTTTTACCGAACGCCAAGAAAGGCTTCGGCTGATTTGTGTGCGTCTCTGCGTTTGCGCGTGTAGCATCGGCCCTGATCTGTGGATTCCGATCCAGATCTGCCTCTTCTCCATCATCTCTGGCGCCCAGTTCTTCCTCGAGGGCCGGGCCTCATTCCTTGCGACGAGATACTTGATGTGAGTTGACCAGAAAAGATAGGAGTGATTTTGGGGAGAGGATTTCCAGCTCACAAACCGGTCCGAATTAGCGCGTCGTTCCAAGGCGGCTTCATCCCGTAAGTCTTGGGCCCCCTTTTCTTGATAATCCCATCACAAAGCTTCTGACTAACCCCCCTTGGCAGCGACACGATCCTCTATCTCAGCTACTGGTACACCGGTACATCGGTAAATATATCCCCAATGTGCAGTTTCTTTGGCATTTCTCAAACGGCTTTGTTGATCGTCTTTGCAGCTTCCGATCCGCCTCGCCTGGTTCTGGATGTCGTCGCAGCTGGGTACGTCGTCTCCCGCAAACCGTCGCCACACCCCTCCAGGCTTCTTGTTACTGACGTGAGCCCTCCCAGTCGATATCGGAGTCGGTTTCGCCGCTGTTGGACTTGTATCAATGCGTGGTATCCTAGGCTACGAGGGATGGCGGTGGTTGTTCCTCGTCGAGTTGAGTCTCTTGCTTCCGGTGCTATTGAAGACCATTTGCTAACCATGTTTTAAGGGGGGGCTTTACTTGTAAGATCAGCAAAGTGCCTACGCAAGTCCCCAAAAACTGACGTTTTTTTCTTGTTTTAGTCACCATTGGATTGGCCTCGTTTTTCCTCATGCCTCAGTGCCCGGCCAAGACGAAGAGCTGGTGGAGGCCCAAGGGCTACTTCACCGAGAAGGAGGAGAAGATCATTGTCAACTCTGGTGAGTTCTTTCTAACCCTCCTAGACCCCATGAACGAGCCCAGCGTGTTTGTCAATTCTGACTCGACAACAAAACACTCAGTGATCCGCGATGACCCCCAGAAGGGAGGCATGTACAACCGGCAAGGCCTCTCCGTCAGGCAGATCTGGGAGTGCTCCAAGGACTACGACATGTGGCCGCTCTACGCCCTCGGCCTGCTGTTCGGCCTGCCCAAGTACCCCGTCAACCAGTACCTGACGCTCTCGCTGCGCGACCTCAAGTTCAACGTCATCCAGACCAACCTGCTGTCGATCCCCAACATCATCGGCTCCAGCGTCACGATGCTGCTCATCACCGCCGCCAGCGAGCTGCTGAACAACCGCAGCTTCGTCGCCATGGCCGAGGACGCCTGGCTGCTGCCCTGCTTCGTGGCCCTGATAGCGCTGGCGGACCCGATCAGCCCCTGGGCGTACTTTGCGATCGCCACGGTCCTCCTTTCGTTTCCGTAGTACGTTACAGTCTGGAACGGGAAATCCAGAAGAAGAAGAAAGAGAGCTGACGAGGGACACAGCACGCACCCGATCCAAGTTGCGTGGACTAGCAGAAACGCTGGTTCTGTGCAAAACAGGACAGTTTCCGCCTCGTAAGTTCGCATGGTTCTTCGTGGGGTCCCCTGAAGTATCTGACCAATACAAACCAGACTTTACAACATGTTTGTTCAAGTCAGTGGCATGATCGGCGCCAACAGTAAGTGCATGGCCTCCTCTAGCTTCACGGAACGGAGAATGCTGACTTTGAAAGTCTATCAACCGGACGACGCACCAAGATACTTCAAAGCCAACAAGGGCCTGCTGGTCATCTGCATCTGGATGTGTGTAAGTAGCGTCCCTTTCCTACATGCGCTTAAAGCGGGCAGCGGAGCTCACGTCATTTTCAGTTCGTGCAATACCCCTTCACGTATTTCTACTACCGGTGGAGGAACAACTCCAAGGCCAAGCAGTGGGATGCCATGACGCCTGAACAGCAACACGAATACCGGGCCAGCACCACCGACAAAGGAAACAAGAGGTAAGGCTTGCCCTTTGTCCCCTTTCGGACAGATTGATTTCTAATTTCTCCTACTTGGCAGGCTTGACTTCCGCTTCGCAACCTAAGTTTTTTTGGTGATGAGGAACGAGGTATAGATACATCATAGACTATGTTGTTTATAGGTCCGTGGTCTGGGCTTGTCTGAGAGAAAGCATTGCAGATGTCAACTTTGCGGTATTACTTGTATAGAAATCTTTCAAAAGAGCTTTACTATGGCCGAACCACCGCAGTGTTGCCACAATAACTGCACCCGAGTCGATATCGAACACACAAACGCATTACACGTTGTTTATTTAGCGGTGAGAGACTCGTTAGTTTGCGTGTGTAATGTTTTCTCCTCTTTGGCTCCAGGACGGGGGTGTTCTACGACTTGGCGTCGCCGAACTTCACAGTCTCTTCGGCTTCCTCTGGGCGACTACAATGGTAGCCCTTACCACCTTTGATTTAGCGAACCAGTCAAAGAGCTTGCCGGCAACTTTGAACTTTGCCATCGAGATTCCGAATGGCCGCAGTGCTTCTTCCTGGGCCTTGATGTGGTCGACGAGACCGGAAAAGACGTCATCTGTGACGTCCCGGAAACTAACGTGTCCCTCGTCGTACCCGGCCTCGCCCAGCTGCTTCTTATACTCGGCCTCTGTGATAAACGCACCCATGGGGCAACCCATTGCGAGGCCGAGGAGCTTGACGAGCAGTTTCTGCCGAACCGACGCCGTGTTGCTCAGGAGCAAATCAAACGCCATGAACGAAGCGTCGAACTCTTGGGCGGCATACTCGAGTATCCGCCTCCTGTCGGGGAAGAAGTGGTAGAGGCTGTCCAGGGCGAGCACCCAGCGCGCCTGGTCTCCGGGGCGCCCGTCCGTCAGGGACGTCGTGGCCGACTTGACGCCGGGGCCCCACGTGTCCGGCCTCGCGGCGTCGCCCTGGAAGACTTGTATGGACTCATCAGGGCTCCCGGGTTTTTGAAACGTGCGGAATGGTTTTCCGAGGGCAATGCGGAACTGCGACGGGTTCAAGGTGAGCCCCACGTAGCGGTACTCGTCCCAGCTACTCTGGCGGACGAGGCGAGCAAGTTCCAGCGATTGGTCGCCGCAGCCGATTCCCAGGTCGAGGATGGCCAATCTGCGTGTCGCATGCTCGGCCCTCAAGACGCCTGCTTCAGCGAGCACTTCGTGCAAAAGAGCACGGCAGGCCTGCTGGAAGTCCCGGATGCGCTGACCATCGTCACCGGTCCTATACGAGGGGGGGGGCGTATCAGAGATTAGGCGTAAGGAGGCGGTGCACAAGAGCGTCCTGAGTACAATGGGCGGCAATAAAACGTACCAATAGCCCATGTTCATCCACATTGTGGTAAACGGCACCTTGACGTTGAGCTTCCAGTGGTCGTTGTCGTACACGCCATTCTGCAAGAACTTGAGAGTAACCAGAACGACTATGGAGAGAATGGCCAGTGAGCTGCCAAAAAGACCAAGCAAGAGGCCCCTCCAGAACTCTGGATAAGAATTGAATGAGTTTATCATGGTGTGGGTGAGATAGTTGTGAGTTCGAGCCAAAGGCGGAAGAAGGATCTCACTCAAAAGTACTTGAGTCGAAGGATGAGAGAGAGAACGATGAGAGAGAATGAGATGAGAGAGAATGAGATGAGAGAGAATGAGATGAGAGAGAATGAGATGAGAGAGAATGAGATGAGAATGAGATGAGAACACCTGTCACGTGTCATGTCAGGCCCACTCACTCGGGGTTCGGATAGCCGATATATCTCTCGCTCACTTCATCCATATGTAGGACGTCCATTTCAACTTCATTTCATTATATTCTGACCCCATTCTGTAGCATTGATTGGCACAAGAGAGCATCTACCCAGCTCTCGCTACGCCAGCCCGCCATGGGACCTTGACGCCAAAATCATCGGCGATTCTCATCGCCGAGACCAAACACCCCTCGAGGAGAACCATGCCATCCCAGCACCAGGCCCCCGTCAACCAGACATTATCTTGCCCATTCACCCAGGTCGCTGCCACCTCGGCGGCCGGGTCCGTCTTCTTGTCCGGGCCGCCGGACTCGCCCATGATCCTCCGTACGATCGCCCTGCTCTCGGCCGTCCTCAGGGTCCTCGTGAACCTGGCCGTCCGCAGCACCCTCTTCGCGTCGGCCTGCGGGTCCAACGGACAGGTGCTTACCACCGTTCCTCCCGGCATCGTGTGTAGCGCCTCCGTCCGCCCTCCTTCTGCGGCGAAGTCGGTACGCAGACAGATCACCTGCGGCGGGATGGCGGTCCCGCGGTGATGCGAGCAGGCCTTTGGGTGTCTGCTCTCGTCGTCGACCAGGCTAAGGGCGTGGTCCGGCGCCGAATGCGCCGGTCGTAGGACCGAGCTCTTCACACGGATCGTGGGTATCCGCTCGAGCGTCTTCCTCAGGGGAGCGAAGATCTTGCCGGCGACATCCGGCGACACGGCGAGGATGACCCGGTCAAACACGTCTTCCTGGATAGGCTCGACACCACTCGTTGTCCGCTGCCAGTGTATCCTCACCCTCCCGTCAGTCGTCGGCGCCACTTGCGCAACGCAAGCGCCCAGCCGAACGTCCCTCATCTCCCTCGCCAACCTCCCTTCCACCTGATGGACGCCGCCGCAGACCGTGTAGTGCTGCTGGCCTTGCGATAGCTTCTTGTAGTTCACGACGTCGCTGGCGGGGAACGCCAGGAGCTCGTCGTGTGAGCAGGTCGACACGGCGCTGAGGAGAGGAAGCAGGTAATGCGTCACGTAGCGACGCGGCAGCCAGACCCTCCGCAGGTACTCGTCGAGCGTCTCCGCCTCGTCGGACCCCTTGGTCACGGGATGCACCAGGAAACACGCGAGGGTGAACCAGAACTGGCAGACAACCAGGTACAGGATCTCGATGAGGTGCGCCAGCACCCCGCGGTTCCCCGGCCAAGGGGGGATCTGGTGCAGGTTCGACGCGTGCACAAAGTACTCCCCCGTTGCTCCGCCTGCGACGCGCGAGCTGTCGCCTTGCGTCCTTGCGGCGGTGCCGGCGGCGGCGCCATCCGGCTTGCGAGTCGGCAGCGCCTTGGCGAAGGAGAACAGGAAGCGTATGGGATGGTACGGAATACCCAGGTGGTCATACATGCGCATTACGTTTGCGTAGTATCCTCCCGCGAGCGCGCGCATGGGCAGATCGACCCGTTCGACATGGCCGGACCTCTCGTCTCGGATGGCGACCGACGCCGAGTCGAAGGATAGACTCTCGGCCTGCGTCAAGTCAGCACTGCGAGAAACTTCTGGCGGACCGATTTCCGGAACCCTCTGACCTGTTCGAGAAGAGTCACCGCATACCGTCGCTGCTCGTCGTTCTGTAAGAGATATGCAGCAGTGAGGCCTGCCAAGCCGGTTCCGACGACGGCCACCCGGACGGGAGCCTCAGGAGCCATATCGCGGCGATGAAAACCTACAGCTCGAAAGTTTTGACGATTCCCGGGCCCATGCTACTTCGGGCTGCTTTGATTCGTCTTTTGTTCCCTCCCCCCCTTTTCGTTTTCGTGGGTTCTAATCCACTAAGGTAGCTCACAGTGTTTTTTGGAAAGTCGCCGGGTCGGTAAGGGTAAGACGTCAAGCTCGCGAAGCGTAAAAATAACCGCGGGATGGGCTCGGGATAGTCTTGGTTCTGAGGTTGTGACCGTTGACTCGGCACGCGCCACGCCCTCCCCTTTAACATCCGGAGACGCGATTTCATTTATGCACAGCAACTTTATCGTCTCTCTCCTTGAGCCCCTGGGGAAAAAAAATGTGGAAAAAGTGGATATCTACCGAGGTCTTGGCCGCGTCGTGGACTCATCACCCCCTGTCACCGTCGCACAGCTTAGTCGCGCTCAGACGATGGCAACACTATGTAGGTAGGGGGGAAGCATCGCACACAAGGGTAGGCATCGTCAACTACGGTGCTGATCCTAGGCGGCCCCCCGCAGGGTCGCACATACATAGTACACGGCCGTAAAAACACAGGGAAAGTATCATGTAGGCATCGGCAACGAAAGAGCCTGGCCGCTGTGAGGCGAGCGGCGATGCCAGTGCTGTAGAACGGACGAAACGAGCAACCAGCCAAGAGGTAAGCAAAGCCAAGGCCAGGCTGACTGGAAGTGCCTGCCCATGCTTGTTTGACTGCAATGCAAACCTACACGCCTTGCAGGCGAAAGACTCTGTCCAACCAAAAGAGCTATACTAAGGAAGGGTGGGTGGTGGTTATAGCGACCAAGAACACTGCCTTGAAAGCAGCCGACTAGATAGTAGATACACGCCATACTACAAAACCAATTGTGACTTGTTGACGGGAAGGGCAGAAACAACTTCGATTGGGCAAAGCTAGTCAAGTTGGTTAACCAACCGATTGCAGCGCATCTAGTTTGTCGAGGGTTACGGCGATAGCAACGCGTGTAGGACAATCATGTCCCCTCTCTTTCGACGGATCCCAGCTCGTCGGACAGAATATTGCACCGACTCGTCGAACCCGACGCTCGGGTTGGCCGAAACTTTGCCCGCCCTGCCCCCCCCCCCCCCGCACACAGAAGAACTACCGGTATATCCCCTGCCCAACTCAAATCACTTTAGTTCTCGCCCTGCCTGAAGAGGCGCAGCATTTTCATAGTGAACGTATTCGTTTGGCAGACGTGACACATCAGAGAGCAAACCTTTGGCCGGCTGCTCGCCGAGCGATGATGACGGCGACGACGGCGGTAAAGACGGGTTCCCTTTCCAAACGCCTCCGTCCGCCGGCCCGTCTTGACGGGGGGCTACACGGCCCCCGGCCGCTGGTCTCATGGTGAAAAGGAAACGGCAACATCCGCCGCTAGCAACGTCCGCTAGCAACGTGTTTCTTGTGTGCACCGCGGGTCAGGCCCGGCTTCGCGAACCGTGGCGCGATCGCGTGCTTCGAACCATTCTTACCGCCGTTAGCCACCAGAATCACTTATTCCGCTTCTTCGAAACGGCTCGTGCACCCAAAAGGAAAAGTTATGGAGGTTTCGGGCAACAGCTGTCAGTGGGCGGGGACGTCAGCACTCGGACAGTCGATGGCCAGGGATCCGGGGAGGGCACGGTAGTCGTTGCAGATACCCGCGTTTTGCGCTGACGGGAGTGTAGTATTGCTTGCGGCTCAAGCTGAGCCACGTGGGATGGCCGTCTGGTTGGAAACGTCCATGAAGCCTATGCTAACGCTGTCGATCCGTTGACAGATCAGAAAAGGACGCATCCACTCATTGTGTGTGTGTGTGTTTATGGCATATAGGAGCTGCGCACCGAGGAAGGCGGCACGATTCCATGCACAATTAACGCATATGATGAAGGATGAAGATTTGTATCTGTATTGCTATATGGTGTATATGTGACGTGGTATATAATTCGACGGCAATAGAATCCAGTCAAGTAGGTATCATTCTCGCTCGTGTCCAATGCTCGTATGTCCAGCACACGCATATATGTGCGAAGTGAAAAATATGTCATGAACCATGCATCGTTGCCCGTATCCTCACAAAGCAGATCGCCTCTCTCTTTCTCTCTCTCTCTCTATTTCTCTCTCAAATCTCAAGTGCCCGGAGCTTACCACAGAGCCGCGACGGTGACAAAAATGGTGCCCCATAGGAGCAGTCCGGCCGGCGAAAGAGAGCCGGCAAAGTTTCCCTCGCCCTTCTGGCCGGCCTCGAAGCCGCGCTCCTCTCCGCCGAGGTACAGGGCACCGAGGTTCGTCAGGCCGCCGTGGTCGTCGAACAGGGCCACGGAGTCGCCGGTCCACGCGTTGGCCTCGTCCTCGCGGAAGGCGCCGAACCACGCGTACGCCTTGACGTAGTCGAGGCCGTCCAGGTACGCCAGGCTCTCGTTCATCATGGCGAGCGTCGCGCCGGCGCTCTGCTGGGGCAGCGCCATCTCCGTGATCCAGAACCCGAGGTCGGGCGAGACGTCGTCGTAGAAGGCGCGCAGCGCGCCGACGTGGTTCTTGAGCCCCGCGGCGTCACCGTACCAGTGCACGGCGACGAAGTCGGTCGGGCAGCCGGCGTCGTCCATGTCGTAGCACGACTCGTTGAACTTGCGGAGCCACTCGATGCCCTGCGGCGAGCCGGTGACGACGGGGTGGCTGATGTTCCAGCGGCGCGGCTCGGCGTCGCGGAGCGGGACAAGGTGTTCCAGGTACGCCTTGGCGGCGTCCTCCGGGTCGATGCTGCTGCCGCCAGACGACTTGGTGCCGTCAGGCTCATTAAAGGTCAGGAGGTGCGTCGAAGACCCCGGAAGCTGGTTGAGGCGGGACGTCAGGCCCGAGTCCTCGGCGTCTTTCACCCCGTGCACGAGGGGCACGAAGGCGACTGAGCTGTTGAGCCCCTGGGCCGGCCATGTCGACCAGGTGTAATACCAGTTGATGAGAGACTTTTCGGAGGTGAGCAGCCGGGCGTCGGCCTCGTGGTCGTCGCCTTGGTACGCCAGCCCGCGCTTCGACGGCACGTCGGACTGTGCGAGGGCTGTTGCGGGGTGGAGAGTGAGAACTGCTAGCGAAGCTAGCAGCACGCTATTCGTTCGTCTCATGGTTGCCGCAGCTAGGGGACGGTTTCTCTCTTTGCCAAACGTGAGATTGAGTGGTTGTGCATATAGGATGATCCTTGTGTGATTTGCGCTGCTGGAAACTGGTTCGGATGCAACCGGTGGGAGGTGCCGTCTCTGCAGATATAAACCAGATGGCAACCTTTCCAGAACTTGCAGAAAGCCATAGGCACAGGTTTGCAAGACACGTTGTTGACGTCCATCATGAGCCGAATCAAGAATGGTCGTAAGCTGACGGGCTCTTCGCCCATCTCGGCCATTGACCTCATTCCAGGCCATCGCGCCCTTGGCGGAGGGGCAAGAAGTGCATGACGTCACAGTCATTTGGTTCCTTTTTGGGCGCTTAAGTCCTTGGTTGGCGATGTGCTGGCCAAGGACAACCCCATGCAAGCCACACCGCAATAGTCATTATCTTCGACATGGGGGCAGCACCGAGGCCGGGGACCCAGTCTGACTCGCTCGTCATTGTTCTCGGGCTTTTGAACATGTGTCTTGCTGCGAGTGGTTTCGCCTTGTTCGTCAACTTGCAAGCCGGACTCATGAGTTTTCAAGCCACATCCCATAGTAACGTTCCAGCAGTAAGACAATAGAGACGTCGGTTTCCTCAACGGCAATCAAGAGAGGCAATCACCATATCGTTAATCGTTTTTCCCACTAGCTCAAGCAAGCCACCACTAGCCGTTGATTGTGAGGTTACAGAAACACCAATCTTAGACAGGCGACAAACTTGAGCATTATCACCCTCGAGCGGTACGATGCCGACTTTCGAACACAAAAAGTAACGAACGTGGTCCAATAGAAGAGTAAATCAAAATTCAAGGCATCTAGTTCATGTTTCAAGAAGTCATAAGGCGATCGGATCTCAAGAATTGGGCTCCGGTCAACCTACATTTCTTCGTACCTATATTACTGGAGTCAGGTGCGAAACGTATTGGCCTTTCTGACCTGTAAAGTTTATGCTTGGCAGGATTTCCCAAAAGAAAGTGTCCAAGTACATAGTTCATCGCCAATGCTTAACAAATATCCTCTGATACATGGTAAATCTTACCAATCTCAATATAGTATGAAGCACACGATCACGCAGAGCAACTGCTGCATCAGATCAAACATCATGTTATCGAGAGGTCCATTTTGAATTGTAAGCGGATCGAATGCTTACTGTGCTACTCCTCCACGGCGCTGCGTTCAAACAAATCCGTCCGATTTTCCACAACCACTGGATATCGGTTTGTGTATCGGGTTTCTCTCCAATTCCGTGTACGATTCAGCTATCCGATTTGGGTGCAGTTGGGAGACCCTGACAAAGCGAGAACCGGATATCACCTCGTTCTATCTCTCTGACTTCGGGCGTAGATAATCGAGTTCGCGCGACGACAAATTTTGGCATCGCAGATAAATCTAGTAGACCCTTGAGACCAGAATAGAAATTGGTATAACCTTGCTGAGTTAGCCTAGATTGGAATTGGAATCCCCGTGAAGCTCAAGTAACAGACTGTACCAGGTGGCTCTCTAGTATCGCTGGATCAAAGCAGCAGTGTGGAAACTACAAACTACGCATAACGTAACTATCTGAGGTCTCTTGAAAGATTAACAATAGTGGCATGCTTATTCTAATCGTCCAAGTTGTTGTCATGGGGCCCTACGAGACTTTACCCGAGTTGAACGAATGACTGAAGAGTTATTCAATCGTATGAGTAGCCAACATTCACATCAGGTACCACAGTGACAAAGCATCATAACCTGTTAAACGGGATACTCTCCTCTCATCAACTCAGTCTGGAGCTTCTGGGGGGTATTTTGTCCAGCGCAGAGCTTTTAGACACGTTGTATGACTGGTTGGGATTGGGCCACGTCAGTTATTTGGCAAAGCATCGAGGCAGCTTGATTGCGGTTTTCGCTTCATTGAATTATCCTGCGACATTGAGAGCAGTTACAAATAGTTTTTTTTTTTTTTTTTTTTTTTAAAGAATGCACATTATGGAAAAGGACGACAAGAACGGAAACGAATACTCGGCGCCGTGCGAAGTGGGCTCTGGGTGATGGTATATGTAAAACACTAACCGCCTCCAAAGCGGACACCAAGACTCGTCTTGCGTATTCATAGGCCATAGGCTATAACTTATAAGACTTGAAACCTTAACTCTTATAACTAATGTGGTTAGTTGTGGGTAGTAAATGTAATAGTGACGGTAAAGCGGTACAGCCTCGTGGCCTTTGGCAGAACTCGGCGGTCTCAAGTTTATGTCATTTGCTATTTCAGTAACACAAGAGGCTAAGCCTTTTGTCTTACAGTGTGATGTACGCGCGCAAGATAATTATAGTTTACACCCGGTTGTTTCTTTTTGTGATATGTTGGCCCGTGAGCTTCGCGGACTGGCCATGCAGCAACAGCTCTAGGAGTTGGCCAACTATAGCGCCATAACCAGATGGATTCACGTTCTACGTTGCCCGAGCCGGCCGCCACACGCCCAATGGATGGAGACATCTTGCGGCTGTCTATGCTTTACGCATAGAACCGGTTGTTTTCCGGATCTGCGATGGAGTGTGCTGCGGCCTTGAGGCCCTACTGGACTCGATCACCATTTCCATAGCAACTGCGCAGATGCACACATCCCGCTACACTATCACTTCCACTGATGTCGCAGAAATTCTCTGATCGAGGATGACGCTGTGCGAACCCTCTCTCAATGGCTGAAACGGCCTCCCCGTTTTATTTTCTTCTGTGAGATGTGAGACGCTTGTGGTCGAGGAGGGCGGCGCGAGTCGCTTTCGGACCCTGCCTGGATTCTGGAGACCGATGGAAATGTCTGACTGACATTGTATCCTCTTTCAAACCTTTCGATGACGAACGTGGTTGTCCTAGAATGGGTGGCATCCATCGCGCTCTTCGCGTTTTGGTCATTCCGGACGCCGTGAATAACACGCAAAGCAGGATTCGCCTCAGTCCCGCGTCTGTAACCCACACAATTTTTTTTTGCTGCATCACATTTTCCGACGGATTAATGATCACAGGCGGGGGGACTCTCAATAGGGCCAAATACAACAGCCGTCACTACGAGTGGGACGTTTCTACTATCCGGCTTCCGGCAGTCGCTGTTTGTTTGCTTCATCTAGACAGGTCGGAGCAGTGTCGCTCATGTCTACTTTTTTTTTTCTTTCTCCGTGGGATATATCTGACCGACGGAGATTGACCAGAGACAGAGAAGCGCAAGGCAGGTTTCTATCCAATATTGCCACGCTGGATATGAAGAGAGGAACAAGAAAGTGTTTGACAGACCCAAGCATAGTCGCAGCCCACCTCAGATTATCCCGCTGGCCCGCCCGTGATTTTTCCGATGCAGATCGACATGTTCCGGAGTGACGTCAGACGACAGGCCTCTTGACCCGGGAGTTTGCCACGTTCTAAGCAATATCCGAATCAGGGGCACTCGGCATTATGCCGAAGGGTGTGAGTGTGTGCGCACGTGAGAGATGGAAGGACAATATCAAACCCCTTCTAAGCTTGTATTGCAATGAATTCATTACCGTTTCAGGAGACTGACCGGCTTCGAGCGGCCGTTCTCCCACCTCCTTTCGGAAACAAAAAGGAAACATACAGACACGTTCCTGCGTTGATCCGAACGGGGAACAGAGTCGAGCCAACTTGTTGGGTCTACACAAGTTGGGTTGGTTTGACTCGTGGCAGCGCATTCGAGGGTTCATTTGAGGGATGGAGCAGCATTGTCCGCTTGAGCCTCCGTGCCCATCTACGATGTTGCGTCCACCCCCATTTGTCGCAGATCCGCGGAGCCAAGCTTTTGTCGCCGACGTTGTTTTCTGGAGCACTCGTGTTTTACGTACATGAGAAACCGTCCCAACTAGCCATGGGGAAAAGATAGAGAGAGAGTGAGAGAGAGCCCTGTCCGGTTCCTGGGTGGGTGACAGTCGGCTTCAAGTAGATGGTCAGGTGCGATTTAGTGTCAACAAGGAGATGAAGAGCCTTACGGTGAACCTTTTCTAGACTGCCCCTTTTATTTCCTGTTCTGGGCCACTGTCGCGGAGAGAAACAGGATCTACGAGGGGATCCCCTTGGTTCATACCATGTGTCTCGCCCACCGAGGGGGATCGGTCGACGCTGGAGGACCTGCAGACGAGCCCCTAGCTATTATGCACAGACTTGTCAGCGGAAAAGAAAGCAAGCTTTGAGGAGGCCAAACACAAGGCAGCACAGAGCATGGCAGGGCAGGGAAGAGCCCCAGCGGGATGCGTCCGTTAGGCATTGATTGAGCGGCTTTGGGGGTAGCCTGGTAGATATCTGAAGAGGACTCCGGATTGATTAATAGATTGAAGGCTGGGCTCATGCCGATCTGTCAATTTGTCAACTCTCGACTTGGCGTTTGCCACTCAGCCTTCTGCCGTTCTGGAGGGCTTGGCACAGGGTGTTCGACCCCCCCGCCCTCCCCCCCGCGGCAGAAGAGAGTCGTGGTTCCGATCTGGCCGTCCGCTGCTCTCCTCGTTCGGAACCGAGTTCGGATACCATGGTACAGGAGACGGAGCACAGGTGATACGGGGTGCACAGCGCCACCGCCCGTCCGGGGCTTGATTCAAGCCCCCTTGGAGAGACGGTCTCGCTGGCTTGGTGCGGAGAGGGCTTTGGGAAACGGGAGCTATCCCCGTCACTAAGAAAAGATCAGATCCACCGTCCCGGAGCGATGTTTTCAGGCGATAGGTGCTCTGAAACGCGTGCGCTTCTCGAGACGGAGCTACAGGGCGACGAGGAGATCTACCTGCGAAACAATGGCTCCCCTCCCGGTCGCGGACGGTCTGCTACGTTCTGAGCAGTGCTGCTACGTTCCAAGCCAAGTAATCAATAGTATCCGTACTATCCGTATTATACAGCGAGCCATAGCACTGCTACCATGTAATGGTATGGTAGCAATACGTTTGTAGCCATGCTGTCGTAATCACTGGTTGGCAGTGTAGTATTACGGGCCCAAATTATATTACATAAAAAAGTTAAATCAGTATACGTGCCTACTACGTAGTATTCGCCCTCGCACATTGTCTTTCGAACGAAACAATACTATACCGGCTAGTCACTACGGAATAGCTTCCGACGGTTGGCTTGATCCCGGCCGGGCCGTACGCGTCGGCTTTGGCACACACCAACATCCGTGTTGTAGTACGTGTCCAAGTCGTGCTCCGTCTGGTGCGCCCGCCAGGGGCGAGTCAGCGCTGTCCATGGCGGCACTTTGTGTTTCTTTTGCTTTTCCTCTAAAATCATTCACCCCCCCCTTTTCCTCTCCCACCGCGGCAGCGATGAACTCCTCGGCGAGCCGCGGAGGTAACGCTGGGTCCTAACGGTGGTGGATCAGGGACACCAGTCAAGGGGGGAGAGGGGAGGGGGGGAGTGTGTGTCGCACCACGTCGTTTTCGGGATTCTTGGCAGTCGTTCTGAAACGGAGAAACACTCAGCGAGGGCAAATGGAAGCCTCTCTGCGTCACTCTGTGTATGTCTCCGTCTCTCTGTGTGCTGCCTGAGTGGCCTCCGTCTATCTCTCTCTCTCTCACTCACACACACACACTCTCTCTCTGCCGTCTCAATCTGCCCGAGGCTTGTTTCCTTTTGCTGCTGCATCTGAATCCTGGTTGCGGGGGTCCTCGGACCTCCCATTTGCTCTTTTCGTCTCGTAGCTCCAGAAATGCCATACCTGTGCCTCCATCCACCACACCATCCAGCATCTTCCCAGCATCCACTCACTCACGCCCCCTTGGCGATGGCACTCTCCAAAAGGCAAAATAATCCCAAGTCCCCGGCCGGGGTGTTGGACCGCAGCGCTTCTTGACGCAATGACATGCACTAGACAGCGGCTGCACGGACAGGTTCTGGAGGGGCACCTCGCACGTACGTAGTGATACTACGTAACGGCGTGCCGGGTATGGATGAAAAGAATGGGAGACTAGCCGAACAGTTCGGGTAGACTTACTTGTATTGGCTACCTCTGTCAGTCCCCTGTTGGACCATGGTTCCTTGCCTCGCCTACACTTACGTTATCCTTCCTCCCTCTTCACCACTCCTCTGTCATCCTTTAACTCTCGACGACATCTCCCTCCCGGTTCCCACCCTCCATCTCACTCAAGGCCAAGATGACTTGAAGCTTCTTTTTGTTTGTCGATACTCCAAGCCTCTTGGTTCCCTTCCCCCTTCCTCTTCTCTTCACGGGCAGTGCCCTTTACCCTTTATTCCGTCCTGGAAACTTCGCCCAGCTGAGCTGCTTTAACCAACTATCCTGTGTCTCGACGACCCGACTTTCATAACACCTTTTTTTCTTTCTTCCCGCTACCTTATATTCGACCCGTGGACTCGGCAATCTCTCCCTCTTTTGTAGATCGATTCACTTGTCGATCCAGACCAGATCCCCTCTTGGCCCAAACTAAGACAAAAACATAACATGGTTACTCCGTCGGACACGCTGAGGAGGTAGGTCGTCAGAATCGGAAGCAAAGGGGCGGGATCTGGGACTAAAAGTGCGAACCTATAGGCGTGCCATCCGCCGACCGCGCTATCGGAGGGATGATATGAAGATCGAGATCCGCGGCGACCACACGGACGGCGACCACAAAGACGGCGACCACACGGACGACGATTCATCTGACGAGGAGGACTCGCCCTCGCCCTCGAAAACGCAGTTCCCGCAAAACGCACCGCCAACCCAGCCGCCGCCCGCCCTCAACCCAGCCGATCCCACGCCAACCATCCCGTCCACCGGTTCCTCGGGCGAGCCCCAGCAGACCGATGGCCCAGGCAGACCTCAGCGCGAGCAGCCATCTTCCGTTGCGTCGCAACCGGCCCCTACCGCCTTTCCCCAGACCACGGCTAGCTCTGGTGCGCAATCAACGAGCGATGTTAGTAGAGGAGAAAACGAGGCCGGGCTCGGACGTGACAGGTCGACCGAGGTGGGCTGGACGCCTACCGCTATTGCGTTCGGAACTATTGGTACGTTTTCTCTTTCTAATCAACTAATCTCCGCGTAATGACCGATTCGCGCGTGGGAGATGTACTCGTGTAGCATCTGCTGACAGGTCCATCCAGCCATCGCGGCCCTGTGCCTCGTCATCGGCGTCAGCATCTGGTGGTTCCTCCGCTTCCGGAAACGCCGGAGAGCCCGGCAAATGCACGAGCGCGGCATGCCCCCTGACGGCCTCTACTGGGATCCGGCCATGAACTTCTCGCCTCCGACAGCTCCCGCCCGTCGGGCCCCTTCGAGCATCATGGCCGAGCTTATGGACCAGGCATACGCCGCCGAGAATGGCGGCTACTACGGCAACCCGGACCGCAACTCGCTCACCCCTCAGGGCTACCTCGACGAGAAGCGCGTCGACCCGACCCGCCAGCTGCCCATTCTTGAGCCCGCCCCCGTCGCTCAGCCCAATGTCCGCAACTCCATCGCCAGCTGGATCCGCCGCCACCACCCGCTCAAGCTGAACCCGTTGGCCGGCCGCAGCAGCGTCTACTCCACGCGCAGTGTCAGTCCCGGCTCCCGTTCCGTCGATGCCACCGCCCCGCCTGTCCCTGCCGTCCCTGTCGCCTACCGAAGCACCGACCGCGTCGATAGCCCCGGACCCGGCAACTCCAACAACCCGCAGTACGCCTCCTCCAGCCGGTACGACACCGACAGCCAGTCGATCCGCGACGACACCAACTCCATCCTGTCCCTGTACCAGAACCGGCCCCTGCAGGTGCCCGGCCAGCCGGAGTCATGGCTGGTGGAGCCGCCCGCGCCGCTCTTCGCTCAGCGCGGCGTCTCCATGGCCCCGACCGAGGTCACCGACCGGACCGAAAGCACATGGCGCACCTGGGGCGCCGGCGCCTCACAGCCCCTGAACCAGGTCCCCGCGGCCGATGCTCCGCGCCCGGGGTGGATCGAGAGGTGCATCAAGTTCGGCGGTCTGAAATGAGTGCGGCCCCCCCCCTCCCGTTCTTTTTGAAGGGAGGAGTAGCTTTGTTTCATTAATATCTGTACAAAAGAGAGAAACCGGGGCGCGAAATCTTCCCCCAGCCCATAGTTTATTGCTGCTGCAGGTTGGACCGGACTTTGACAACCCCCCTTTGGCACGCGTTCATCATAAAGCCGATACCATAGTGTTGGACACCTGCTTCGAATGTGCATATTGACCAGACAACCGTAAATAGAATCTTATTGATCGAAATTGATAGGAATCGAAGTCTGCCTGGTCAACCATATTATGTAAAAGTGACGCCGGGCTTACTCGTTCGGTGGCTTGAAGTGGAAAACAACACTGGTCAGCAAATTAGACACCCTTCCCCCCCCCTCGTGAACGCCAGCTTCACAACTCTCGGCATGTATCCATCCGCACCTCGGACTTGCTCGTTTGCTCGTATTTCTTGGCTAGAAATACTGCGACTGTGAATTCAAGCAAACCCACCTTGATACAAGCTCTCTCATGTCCAGATAACATTGACCAATGCCCGGTCGCTGTGTCCTCGACATGCTTATATCTAAACTCTGATTATTATAAACCAACACCCCCTTGTCAACTCGCGTGCAGTCGACGTTTGGCATAACTTAATCTTTGAAGCAGACCCTTTGTGCCGGCGTGCCCGGCCTCCGCGCACGTCCCAGTTCCCCGCGTACAAGTTCGCCGTCGCCTCTCCGGGGGGGGAACCCCCCACCTCCAGAACCTCGGCCACGGCCCGGCCTCATGGGAGTCATACGGCGCAGTGATACTTCGAAGCGCAGTCCGGTGTCCGCCGCAGAAGGAGAACACTCATGGGGGGGAAGGCGAAAGGATTTCGAGGACAGTGAAGGGGTCGCCGCCCGCCAAGAGGAACCTTGGCGGCGGCAGCGGCAGTAGGGCGATGTGATTGCCATGGCGAGCGGATAGCTCAAACTTTACTCAACAAGCGCCTCCCTCCACCTCCCTATTCTTCGTTTTCCGATGCTCTCCAAAGCCGTGCACAGAGTTTCCAGTCCCCGCGCTGTGGTCACAATGGTAAGCTATGCGATTCGCGAGAATGACAGCGGGTCGATCAGAGTGAGGGCCAACAGCTTATCCTGCCGCGATTGTCCAGCTAGACCACTGAACTCTGAACTATCTTTGCAAAACTCTCTCCCCGGCGCCGGACGTGGTTGGTCCAGAGAGAACGTCGATATCTGACCTGTGACCCCGCCGACGATCCCGAGGCCCATGCTCCCGGGACGGGACTCGGTCGAACAAGGCGCGAGAAGACCGGGCGCTCGGCTCCGCTCCTGTTCTCCATCACCGCCCGGTGTCCTTTGGGGGGCCGAAGGATTACCGTTCTCATACACACGAATGGCTGTATGGCAGAACGCCAGCTCTGTCGGGCATAGGCGTCGGGCTCGGACGTCGGGATGCGCAGGTGGACGAACAGCCTTTCGTCCCATGTCTACGTTGCTGACTGTTTTGATATGTTAGCATGGGACGTTGCAGAGGGACTCTGCCTGTTCGCGAGAACCTTCAACAGCGTCACTGGAGGGATACCGTAGCCGCGAAACGAGCCCTCCTCTCCGTTGACATGCCGATCATAAGGGTCCGTGTGACGCGTGGGGGACCATCCTCGCGGTTTACCCATGGATAGTCTGACAGCGGCTATATTTAAACGCCGAGTTGTCTGTGTGTGCCTGTTTCGGCGTCGATGGCATGGCGATTATCCGGTTCGGATTAGACTCGTGAGAGCGCCTCGCTTTTCCAAGACAACCTTTGGTGCAAAGGTTGCTCGTCCGGTTACGAACGAGGACCCTTGGACGTGTTGTTATGCTTCTCGACCAGTCAAACACAGGCATGGTTGTCAACTCGATCACGCCATCGACCTGGTGACCTATCGTCGCTGCGAAGCAATGAAGGGGGCCGCTTTTCACTGTCAAGGCCAGGGACACCCCACGGCTGGGAGTTTGCCATCGTCTGATCGCGTTTACCAACCAAGCTCAAAGGACAACAGTCCCTTCTCCGCACACTAAGTAGAGAGCCGCATTCTCAAATGTCGGTGTGGATAGGCTGTGTCGCACCCACCAAAGAGGAGCTCGGTCCGCAATGCCCCCATCATCGTCATTCAAAATAGACCGAAGAGCGTCCCCCTCTGGCCCCCGCAAGTTGGTGTAGCCTTCAAAGGGCAAGTGGGTATCAGAACCGATTTCTCAGAACGTCGCTGACGAAGATGGTAGCCAAAGATCAGGAAGACTTAGGCTGCTTGAAGGACCTGCTACCGCTTCAGTAGTTACCCACTCAGATGAAGAAGACTTCGTGCTCGACGGGGTCGTACTCGTTGAGGCTGTTGACTTGGGGGTATCCTTATTCCACCCTGACGAAGCCTCAAGGCCCTTGTTACCCTGCAAGCGGAAGAAACGGATTTACGTCCTCGTCGACGGCGATGTCGTGACCGTTCCTGGCGAGGCTGTTCAGGAGAAGGCGGGGGTTTGGGCCAAGGGGTTGTCAGTGTGAGGCCATCTATCCTTGTTGCTCTTTTCCCTCGGACATTGCTTCCGGGGTCTATCTGCCATGCGTATTCGGGGAGATTGAGGGTCCAAAAAGGCTAAACGCCCTGCGGTCTAGGCTGGCCACTCACAAGGATCGACTGGGGGTTAGATGCAAACAAACAACAAAAATCGGACGAGGCAGCTCTCTACGCTCCGCAAATAGACGGAAAAACAAGGGTCTTCGACGTGGCCCCGAGTCTAGATGCCTCCCGATCAGCGGAGTGACCGATCCGGACCGGGGAGCCAAGTCTAAAAAACGGGAGACGGACACGGGCCAACGCTCACCCCGTATCGGAGAGATTACATCCGTCTGAAAAGAGGCTTCACCGCGCGGATCGTTATTAATCGTTCAACGGCGTCTGGCCGAGGCAGTTTTGTACGATGTGGTACAGACACTTTCAGATGGAGGGATGAATAGGCACGCAGGTTCCAATAAAACCGTCCGGTTTTGCCACCACCAAAAGAAGGTGAAAACGGTCGGTTGCTTGTTTTTTTCTTTTTTTGGGACCCGCGTGGTAAAGTACCGGTATACCCCTAGACACCAAAAATGCACACGTCAAGGGGTTTTCGAGGTAGGATGGGCTGATTCTGGACATTGCCAATAGCAGCTCGACGTGAAAGATATAGACGATCAACGAGCGAGCTCGTAAACATGCTTGCCCCTGTCTATGTGGTAACTGTAACTCAGAGGGAAATACACCGTCAAAGACGTACGACCGTTACGCGTTCGTCACTTTGACGTGCATATTATCGCCCTCCAAGTCTCCACTACACAGCCACGATGTCACCTTTTATGTACAAGTATAAGGGGTTACATATCATGACTCTACAAATGGGGCACGGGTAGAATACCGGTGCAATTTGGTCAGCGGCCGGTGAGTTAAGCCTATTTTGGAATACATTATGTCAGCGTCAGCAAGAACAATATTCCGACCTGATTAACTAATAAGAAGGCCAAGATTTAGAAAGTTATATAAAGTCAAAAACTCTTTAGATTTAAGCAATTCATAGTCAAGGCAAAATAGAGGCAACAGCTATAATTAATTTAAAAACTTATTATATTATGTAATCTATCTAATTTAAGTATAGTACCCTTATTATAATAGTATATCTGTATATGTTGCTGTTACTCTTTAAAGGTTGGATATAAGGGCTTAATCTTAGGCATCGTAGGCGTCTGTTGGCGATAGTGGATTTGCGGCAAAAAGGGCGTTTTTTGCACGGGTTATGGACGTAGGCAGTGGCGGCATAGGCAGTGGCAGTGGCGGTGGTGGCAGTGCCTTCTAAAATAGGCTTAACTCACCGGCCGCCGACCAAATTGCACTGGTATTCTACCCGTGCCCCTACAAATGTACCGGGTGAACTGCGCTAGACCATTTTTGGGGGATTTAGAGCGACTATACGGAGTATCCATCCACGTACTCTATATGGTCTAGGACGAAAGAGGATTATGAGCGAAAGTCATCAAGTGCCTGCACGGAATTTATGCATAGTAGTAGTGAGACAACTCCTGTCCTTCATAGCGTGAGTAAATGTACCTTCATCGGTAAGGCATTATAAATTTTATTATGTACTAGCCAAACGGACTAGATAGTATGTAAAGAAACTTGGAGGCTAAGTAAAAACACGCGAAACACAATCCATTCACATCGCTCCCTCACTGAAGCTCCGCATGCTGCGGTGCTTGGCCCACAAGGCCCCAAGAGGGTTTCTTAAGCCTCGTGAGTGGCAATGAGGGCGTGGCGCCTGGCACGACGGCGCTTCTTGCAAGGTGCGCGCGAAGGCGTCGCGGCGGGCGCGGCCGTGCCGAGCGTCACGGAGGTCAGCGTGGTCGGCTTGGGTCCGACGGCGAACGGGATGGTGTCGTTGCCGAACGGGCGTCCGGGCATGAAGACGCCGGCGCCGGCGGTCGTGGTGAGAGGAGCGCCGGCGGTGGGCGCCGTCGACGTGCAGGGGACGGTCGTGGTGATGGTGATGACCTCGGTTATGGCGCTTCCGATCCTGCCCGGGCAGTTGGGCACGTCGGCGGCGCACGAGGTGATGGTGTAGATGTTGGTCGCGTAGACGGTGGTGGTGGTGTAGCTAGGCGGCGCAGTGACGGCGGCGTCGGCGCCGCCTCCGGCCGAAGGGGTCGGGCTCGCGTCGTCTCCGCCACCGTTGGCGATAGGAGTGGTGGGGTTCGCGTCGGCAGGCTGCGTGGGCATGACGCTCGCGGAGCCGCCAACGGCGCCGGCGGGTGCGCTGGAAGCGGCGCCACCGGGGACGTTGGGAACGGCACCGCTGGAGACACCAGGGGAGACACCGTCAGCGGCGCTGGAGGCGGGACCGGCGGGGCGGGTGAAGGTCACGGTGCCGTTAGGGAAAAGAGCCGTGGGGTTAGGAGGCAGGAAAGGCGTCGGGGTGACGGCACCAGACGGAACAGCGGTGGCAGTAGGGAGGACAGCGGTCCCGCTCGAGGCCTGGCTGGAGGGGAGGACAACGGACGCGGCCTCGGTGCCGGAAGCGGCTGCCGCGCTGGTGGCAACCTTGGTGGTAGTAACGGCAGCGCTGCTAGCCGGAGACGTGGCGACGGCGGCGGAAGTGGTCGTGGGCAGGGCAGTGGAGGAGGAAGAGGGGGCACGGGTCGCGGCGGCGGCGGCGAGGGCGGAGGACACGGAGTAGTAGGCGGGCTTGGGCTTGAAGGCGTTGTCCCAGAGGCACGCGCCGCCCTGGCCGGGGAACGTGCCGGGCACCCAGCTGTACTTGTCGGTCCAGTCCCAGATGGTCCAGCCGACGCAGCCCTCGACGTTGAGGCAGGCCTTGATGACGTTGACGTAGGCTTGGGCCTGGGATTCGAGGCCGGCGGCGTTGTACGGCAGGCTGGTGAACTTGATGTCGAACTCGGTGTAGGCGACCTCGACGCCGAGGGCGGTGAACTGGTTGGCGGCGCTCTCGAGTTCGGCCTGGCTCGGCATGCTACCGACGATGAAGTGGCCTTGCAAGCCGACGCCGTCGATGGGCGCGCCGGCCTGCTGCACGTACTTGACAAGCTCCAGCGTCTTCTGCTGCTTCGAGTTGCCGATCTCGATGTTGTAGTCGTTGTAGTACAGCTTAGCAGCCGAGTCGGCAGCGCGGGCCAAGTTGAAGGCCAGGGGGATGTAGTCGAGGCCGAGGACTTTGTAAAAGGCCGTGTCCTGGCGGTAGTTGCCCGAGTCGTCGATGGCCTCGTTGACCACGTCCCACGAGTAGCACTGGCCCTTGTAGTGGCCCACGACGTTGTTGATGTGCGCCGTTATGACGGCCGTCATCTGGGCCTTTGACCACTTGCCGTTCGTCACCCACTGGGGCGTCTGGGCGCGGTAGAGCAGCGTGTGGCAGCGCAGGATCTGGCCGTTCTTCTTGACGAAGTTGGGCACGACATCGGCATAGCCGTACGTGAAAACGCCCTGGTTGGCCTCGACGTAGTCCCACTTCTGTCCGTTACCGGGCGTAATTTGGCCAAAGAGGGCCGAGTCCTTGACGATGGCCGTGTAGGCCGAGTCGGAGAGCTCCGGGTTGTCCGTGGCGGTACCGAAATACTTCTTACCCGCCCTCACGGCGAGCTCGTGTAGGCCCGCGGCCGAGGCGTGGTCGGCGATGGCCAACAACCCGGCCAAAGTGGCAGCTGAGAAACGCATGTTGACGGTTGTGACGATGAGGTTTTCCAATGAAACGAGTGATACGGTTGATTCGGTCGAGCTGGCGGCGGAAACAACACGAAAGAGCGAAAGTGAGAGCTTCTTGACGCGAAGCTGGTATTACCTCAAGCCTGACGAACGACAGGCTAACGCACAGAGAACGAGTGTGGATATAAAGCGAACAAATGCAGACAAGCCGGGAGTAGCGAATGACCTCAACAGCGTGAAGAGAGAGAGAGAGGGGGGGGGGGAGAGGGATTACGCCTTCATGATGGCAGCTGGAGCGCTTATGAGGGACCGCATCGACATCCATGGGATGTGCTCAGTCCTCGCCTAACCAGAGCGAGCACTGCCCTCGCCCCATCGTCGTATACAGCACCAGGAGAGGCACCCTCAAGGGGTAGAGAACCCACCTGGTGTTGTACCGGGTTAACCTCTGGTTATGTTGTTAATCTATCTCCTGCTACCTGCTGTATGCATGCAACCCTGTACATGAATAACCAACTCAGGGGTAAACGGAAGAGGGATCATATATGTGACTCTATTAAGACGCTAATGAGCCGGGGTCAGGGCCCATCCGATCAGAGTGCGAGTTCGTCGCAACGCAGGAGAAAAAGGTCCAGCCTGGGCCTCCTTCTGTCCCATGTTGCCAGGTTGCAAATTTTTTGATTGGGCGACTGTTTGGCGGGTGTTGGCTCGGCCGTTTCTATGACCATCTATAAGCGCCTCGTACACGTACGCTCGCTCACTCAAAGGGATGACTCTCTGGTCCCGAGCATCACCATCCGAACGGGGGGAGACGATATACCGGTGCCCCGCTTCCGCAGGTCTCCCCACTGATAATGACACGATAAATCAATCTCTCTCTCCAGCACCGAGTTGCATCCGCTTGTTGTATTAGAGCGACTGTTGCACCGCACTGTGGTATACGTTGCCAGGCCTTGAACCTGGGGATATCTCTGATTCATCCATCATGTGAGTCTATGCCAGGTAGTCTGTAGTTTTCTTGCTTACATTTGCTTACGAGCATCCGTGCCTACTTGCGGATACTACTACAGAGCGTTGAATTGGAACTGAGGTCCCCGTAGTGTCGTTCAGGTAGGTGAACAATATTGTCTATCCACAGACAGTCATACATACACAGCGAGCGTATCATGCCCAATACCCAATACAGGACGAGCGCAATAAACTAGAACTCCCACGGCGTAGATGGATGCGCGCGCGTCTAGTTGCTAAGGCCATATGCTGGGGCCGTCCACCGATACGGACTCTTTTTGGTCGGGGTCGGTCTTCGTATCACGGTAGCGAGCCTCGATATGGAAGTCAGACAACAAAGAGTCGGCAGAAACGGGAAAGGGTGGCATACTTACCGTACCATCCCCCACTTAAGCTGGATTCAGGTTCAGGAAAGGGGTAACATCACCCCTGTCCGCAGGTAACATCGATGGCCGGGCAAACGTACATCGTCCAGGGACATGCATATCAAAGTAGCAACAGAAACAGCGGGTAGCTACCAGGAGACGCTCCAATAAATCACTGCGGGTGAGTCTTGCAGCGCCAACTACGCACTCGGGATGGACACTCAATGTGGAACTTTCCGGCGAGTCTACGAAGCGTGGACGTATGTACAAAAGGCCACCGTGCCACCTCAGGATGGGAACCCCTGCAACGGGCTTGGTGGGTTGCTGATCGACTTATGCCCCGTGTTCCATGTGCGGACTCGGTACCAATCGGCTGCCGTCGGGAAGGCCTAAGCGTCTCTTCCTCTGGCTCTGCCGGAGACCATTCCGTGCGGATATTGCGTGCGCAACCGAGTCCAAAGATACTATATACAAGGTTTCCACTATATCGGGCCGCAAGAAACAGCCACATGGCGTCTGCCAAGATGCCAGAGGCTGTGCCCGTCCATGCATCAATGCTCGTTGTTCCGACCATCTCGTCGACAGAGGAAGCGAGCGCTGCGAGGTGAACTCGGCGTACATGGCCTGAGTTGAAGAACAGCATACATGCCCCATTCGTTCACTGGTGGTGAAACATGGCAACCATGCTTGTTTATGCCGAGTCAGCTGCCAATTTCTTTGGACGACGTACGCGCTGCCCGCAACGTGTCAAGCTTTTCGTCGGCAAACGGACGAACCTTGGCACGGCCCCAGTCGTTAGAGTAGCATCGGTCGCGGGATGTGGGTGTTCAAACGCGACGTTCGTGGTTCTTTTGATTTCTACGTGTATTCAACAGCTCCGGTGTGCGCCATCGAAGCGCCTATGTGACTTTGAACATCGCACACTCACTAAGGCAGCGGCAGGCCTCTTTTCAGTCACATCCAGATCCAAGCGGGCCCGCGAGCTTCAGATCGACGTGTGGCAAGCTACCCCCTCCGATATCTTTGCCATTGGTTGACTTGGGTTAGATGACGCCGCTACTTGGGAACTCTCGAAAATCGAATCACGAACAAGGCTTGCGAGTCTTTTCGGCATTTCTTCTGTCCTCGAAATTCTTCCTTCGTCATCTAATTATAGCATAGTATGACGTAGTCACAGCCATCCTCAATATCGACCCGTTCAGGAGTCAATGCATGGTCTCCAGTCGCTTTATGGGGCCCAGCTCGGCTCTTCTCCTGCCCTACGATCCTCCTTGATCATATCCGCCGCCCTCTCCGCAACCGCATATACAGTGCTCTGGATGTTGCCCAGGGGCTCGACCGGGAAAATACTCGCATCGACGACGCGAACATTCCTCACGCCGTGTACGCGAAGCCGCTCGTCGACGACGCCGCCCTTTCCGCGCGGCAGCATCGCGCAGCTGCCTGAAACGTGGAACACGGAGATTTGTCTCTGGCGTACAATCTCCTTGGCGTCCTCCAGGTCGTCCCCTTTCAAGTCTGGTAGGCGTTTGCCGCCGGGCTTCAACAACGAGCTGAAGGGCTCGGTGCCGACGATCTTCTCGACGAACTGCACATTGCGAGCCAGAAGCTCCAGGTCGAGGGGGTTGGAGTTGAACTTTGGATCCCACTCTGGCAATACCGCAACATCGGGGCTCGTAATATGGACTGTGCCGCGGGAGAACGGATGGTTGAGTATCGTCATGATGGTGATATAGTTCTCTGGGCGAGTGGGGATGACGTACTCGGCCACGTTGGCCGGATGGTCATTGATGGTGATCTGCGATGGGAAGAGGAGATACTGGCTGCTCGGTTCGTCGGACGACTCGATGAGAGATCGGATGAGCTTTTCAGACGTGCTGCTGCTTGACTGTGTCTCGTGGGCATCAAAAATGGATCTCTTCTCGTCTTTTGACAAGAGACCATTGTGATCGGCAACTGGCAGGTAGGCACTGCTAATCGTGCTCTGACCCATAGGTCCTTCGCGCGTGGCCTGATACTGACCGACAACGGTGTTTAGCACGTTGCCATCTCGTAGGACGTCGCCAGATGGCACTCCGTCGTTGACCTCGAAGCTCTGGCAGACGATCGGGTGGTCTTGAACGTTCTCTCCCACGTTGGGGTTGTCGATCACAACGGGGATGCCGTGGCTCTCGAGCAGCTCTCTGCGCCCGACACCAGACAGCTCCAGTAGTTGTGCTGTGTGGAAAGTCCCGGCCGAAAGCACAACTTCGACTCTAGCTGACACGGTCTTCTCCTGTCCGTCTCTGGTAACAATCTGCACTCCCGTCGCCGAGACGTCGCCGTCACTGTTGCTGAAATTGACCTTCTTTACCAGAGTTTCAGTCAGGACCACGAGATTGGGTCTGTTGGCGACCTCCGGGGTGTAGTATGCGGTTGCGGAGAAACTCCGAGTCTTGGTTTCCGGATCGATGCTGCAGGGGTTTTGGAAAGCACCGAAAGCCTTGCCGCTTCGTGGATCGCCAGTCATGCCGAGGCCGAGCTCATCAAAGGTCCGCATCCAAGCCGCATTCATGGTATTGTAACCCTCTCCGTAAGACACGTGGACCGGCCCCTTTCCGTTCAATTTCGCGTCATGGTAAGCCAGCCCGACGGCGTCCTTCGCAGACTGGGGAGGCGGGTGGTCAGTGCCGAACTTGCGGAAGTACGGCGCCAGAGTATCAAAGTCCCACCCTTCGTTGCCGAGAGCGGCCCAGGTATCCAAGATGCCCTTTGAGGGGTAGAGCACCATCATGAAATTTAAAGCAGAGCTGCCGCCGAGCATCTTACCCCTGGCTTGATTTATTCTTCGGTTGTTCAGGCCGGGCTTGTGGGCTGTCAGTCACTCCTGTCGGACAACTCGCAATGATTATCGTGCTCACCTGGGGGACTGAAGTGAAGTTCCAGTCATACTCTTCCTTACCGTACAGACCAGCCACGAGACCGGGGGTAAGGACGAGGGGATCGGCGCTCTTGTCCGCGCCAGCTTCTACAACCAGTACGCGTACGTCGTCATCTTCACTGAGCCGAGAAGCCAAGACCAGGCCAGCGGTACCACCACCCACGATGATGTAATCAAAAGACGTTTCGTCGAGTTCTTGCGGGGAAGTCATCGTGCTCTATGTGGTTTGACAGTAGGATGTTCGATAAATTGTTGTGTGGTATTATTCAAGCCCGGTTCGCAGAGGGTTGCCGTCACTTTATTTCGATTTTTGTGGCATAAGGCTTACTCCGTACTTGTCCTCAACCCTTCAGTCCCGCCTATCTTGTATGTGGATAGTGTCACTTACTGAGGGGCATGCATGAAGCTAACCGCAAATAGTGTTCTGGCCCGAAAGATCCGCTGAAGTTCGGCCTTTTTGAATCCTCCATCATTACCAGTCTTCCCATGCTCGAGGCTCAGAGAAGACTGGGTTGTAGAAACGTAAATGTTCGTTTATTCATCTTTCCCGTATTAGAAAATTCCTACATGCATTTGTGCCAAAGGCCATTTTGGCGGCTTGACAGTTTTCGCTACAAAAACAAGAATCGTGCCAAGCTGGTTCGGCGTTGGCATGCGTTGTCGATCTTGGTTGCTTACTTTGTTTCGAGCTGATATACTCCGCTGCTACTCGGAGTTATACCCTACAACATCGAATGGCATTTTTGCCACTAGCCTCCAGCTACATATAGTGACTTAGGTGTACTTTCACTTCGTCACCAAAAAAAGGGTCCTGTTCGTTTGGCAAGATACTTTTGTCTTTTTTTGTTGTCCAAATATACTTGCATTAAGTTCTCACCCTTCTATTTCTTCCTCTTTCCGGGGTTTTTTTTTTTTTCTTCTTCTTTTTTCTTCTTCTTCTTTTCAAGGAAACTTACAGTAAGCTTGCTAACTGAGTAGGCACACCTCCTTACATTGTCATCTAGTCTCAGCATTACAATTGAATCCGGGAAATATGATATCTTCAACATATATTGACTAGCAGTATAGAAGGCTCTTGACTTGAAAGCATTATGAGAACCCCTGGAGTGCCAGCCCAATGCCACTGGACTGCACTGAGAGGTCGGCAAACTAGACAACATGTAGTCATGATTTAACGACCCGAGATTTACCTCTTTAATCACATCTATTGAGCTAACGCCGCCATGAACACTGCTGTTGCTTAGGAGTGGTACCGACATCTGCATTTGTCGGGCTAGCGGAGCCTAGTGCATTTATAGCACACGCCAACCAATAGCGACTCAGCACTAGTCACAAAAAGGACATGGCATTATCTTGAGGTATGCCAGCAGCCCTACCAGCCTACTTTACACGCAAATCACCAACACTACATCTAAGACTGGAAAGGTTAGGGCGAGAATTCGCCAGACGTTCGATACTTCGACGATAGGAGTTTCTGGTTCGAGCCTCGAGGGCGCTGATATGGATGAGCAGCCTATCAGATCGTGCTCTTATCCTCCTCCCCCTCCTCTTCTTCACCTTCTTCTTCTTCTTCTTCTTCTTCTTCTTCTTCTTCTTCTTCTTCTTCTTCTTCAATTCACACTAACTTCTCTATAATTGAAGCGGCTATCAATTATCCTAGAGCAGAAAAAACCCTTCCAAGGACTCGACGCAGATTAGTAAAGCTAGCGAAAGATCCCCATCAGCATGCCAGGTGCTACGCCAGGCAACCGTCGGTCGCCGCCGACGTCGCTTGCTATGTTTCGAGGTGTACCAGGTATAGAGGAATCGCGTTAGGAACTCATCGCTCCGGTCCCTCGCTTGCAGCATAAGTACTAGCTTCTCTAAAGTAGATGTGACTTTGTATAGAGGTACTAATAAGAGTTAGGAAGTAAGAAAATTTTTGATAGAACTTATTGTTTAACCTTAAGAGATCACTAACGTTACCCCAGATATTCGTTAATTACTACTGATACGTACAGTTAACCGTATCACTAATACAGGGTGTTTAGTTCATAGGGGGGTATCCCAGTTTACACTCTATAACTAGAGCGGACTTAGTTAGAAGACCTAGGTCTAAGTCCTCCATAGTTATAGAGGGTAAGCACTATATCTATAGGTATATGCTTAGCTTATACTAAGTATAAGCTAAAGCTCTTGCACTTCTTACACTCTAAGCTAAGCCTAAATAAGCCTTGTAACCATAACCCTAGTTTTTTTGCGCCCACTTCATATACTTCTTTTTGTCCACGCACCAAGAATCTGAGCCGGTTGCACCCCATGCGGCGCAGGATTCGCGAAACTTGCAGTTGTCGATATAGAATGTAGTTTTGCCACTGTGTCCCCAATTGCACCACTCTGTGCCGTTGTCGCCCGTGCTGATTTGGAAGGCCTTGCTATTGGAACCTTTGGCGCCGCGGGTGTTCTCAAGTTCTCTGGTGCACGCTTGCTCTGTGATGGTGTTGTTGATGGAGCCGTCGGCCATAGTGCAGCGGCAACGGCGGTAAGGCGCGCACGCCTCGGTAACCTCGACGCCAGCAACAAGGGCGACAATTAGGGCTTTGATGATGGAGGTCTTCATTTTGAAGATTATTGTATTATGATTTAAGGGTTTGAAAAACGAGTGTGATTTGGCGCGAGAGTAAAAGAGTGTGAGATATTAGAGTAAGACTTGAGTGAATGTTGTCTGGTGAAGAAGACTGAGATTGTACTAATAAGGGGCAATAGAGCCATTATGTAAGGGAGAACGTTCAGTTGCTTTTCTGTTATTAGACTTTGTATGTGTTCTATGCGCGATTTCTACCCAGTTGTCTTCAGAACATGGTAAAATGGTCGATACATGCTTCCAAATGCCGGCCACACCGGTCAGACCAAGGGTGTAACTTACTACGGGTCCGAGTGGGAGCGGATGTTATGGGACGAATCCTACATGCATGAGTCGTGTGTTAGCAGCATCCCCCCCCAGGGATGCACAAAGTAGATTGCTTTGGCCCCGTTCGACCAGCTGGGTTTACCTGACTCGGACACTCAGCCCGTCCAGTATGGTAGTAGACCTATTCCTGACATAGCTGACTTTGCTGGGGCTGGGACATGTTGAGCCAACTACATTGTTGTATTGCCACAATGTGATGTACTTCTCTAATTGCGGCCTGCGACTAACGTCGTTTTTGCGATAACTACTCCGTACAAGCCCTAGATTGCTCGCTTTGTCCTTGAATGGTGTAAGTGCAATATGACACTAAGTATTGTACAGTTTACATTTTTACTTCCCGCAAACGCCCTCGGCAAGATTGTGTCAAAACTACCGGTGGAGCTAACTACCTAGACTTTAGCAATACGTACCTAATTAGAAGGGCGACGAGGGTTGAGCAAGCCAACATGGTCATTCCAACCAATGTTGCAATACCCTTCAGTAGCGATCACGATGACTCTGATGCCTTCGTGGCCTCTGACAGCTCCGTACGGATTTGTATTGTTGCTGAAATTCTGCCGGAAAAGTTTGGGTTTAGCTCTACTGCCAATTATTATTGCACCGAGTTCCAACGCCATATTATTCGCAAACTGATGCACACTTCTTTTACTCCACAAATAGCATCTCCAGTATGGCCTTGACCCACCAGCCTTTGCCAAGAACGATATAGTTGTCACTGGATGGGATATGCCAGGTCATTCTGGGGCTAACAGTCTAGCCTCACAAACCAGCAGCCGGGCTGAGACAGTGGACCAACGCAGCGCCGCTCCCCAAGGCAGGGTCCCAGTCTGAACGGTCACGAAACTAATAGTGTAAGGAAGCTTCTTCTGGTAAACATAGACTCTTCTGGAGAATCTGGGTATAATATATATGGGAACACGAAGAATCCAAAATGTCTGGGTATTGGTCAGTTCAGCAACAAACAGGACCCCCGATCAATCCAATTACCCGGTTGAATCACTAGACTCTACCAAGCACTCTGTCAGCGACGCCTGATCAATGAAGCTATGATCAAAGGCAGTGACAAAGTGTTGTGACCTATAGGTCCTATATAAGGCGTTAGTTGCTGCTCTGCGACTAACGGCGTCGTTTTTAGCACGACACAAAGTTATAGAGATCAGAACGATGCCAAAAACACGCGATGAGGCCGATGCCACATAAGCAGCCTCAGGATACGGATCTTCTTAAATCGGGCTATTGTGTCTAATGGTGTTGGCCCGTACACGGAAGTGGCCCGTACTGGTTCTTCTGGCCCGAGCGGCCGATGGGACCCTACCAACGGCAACGCCAGCTCAACAGATAGTCACTATACTTGTTGACAAGCTTCTTGACTCAATCGATCACGAAGTTCTGCATAGCCTCCTTGGCTCCGTTTGTACCTTTGGCTCCCCTAAAGCATCAGTTTGGAGTTCCCAGCACGGGCCGGACGAGGCGGCGGGATAGATGCGATGTATTATCTCCCAGGTTAGGGCACACAGCAGTGGGTGGTCTGAAGGTTGAAGAGAAGCTTCAGTTGTCAGAAACAGGAGCCCATGTGCCAGGGCCCATAGAAATAGGGAACTCGAAGTCGGTCATGCGACATCCCACATGACGTGGCTCATCCCATGAGCCACACTAGCTTAAGCCTCCTTCAATATATCACGACCGAGCCGGTAGCGTGCTAGCTGATGTGACTGCATAATGCAAAACAGGGTTCACTTACATGTATCGAGGCGTTGGTGGGTGGCGCAGTCAGATTATCACAATCTGTCTGCCCTTGATAGCTGTACGAACAGATGCTGAAACACTCGCCAAGAATCAAGCAGCGGTGGGGTCTGGGGGTCCCCGAGCAAAGACGGCGATCCCAGTGGGCACGGTGTTGCAGTGGAGTCGGCGTTCCCGGTCGAAAGATGAGACGAAGAGCACTCTACGAGATCCTATATGTTAGCGTGGTCGATTGCCTGAACCTGTCAGGTATATCCCTAGATTTAGGTTATCAGATCCAAAGTACTTACGCTTACTATGTTTTGAGTAGAAATTGAGTGCGCTTATACATAATCCTGTTGGTTTCACCAGGGTATTGGTGATAGCAACCAGCCCACGATAGTTACCGGCGATGGTCAACATCGCAACAAATACATGTATCCAGCTTTTATTTATGATGCTAGTAGGATGTAGTGCACACTATAGAAATGAAACACGATAGCAAGAGACGTGTTACAGTGTCAAGCATTGCCAGGTGCCGCCGATAGCAAGATTGTCTCTGATACAGTCTACCGTCACCCACCCTATGTAATCTTTCAACAAGGCAACCCGTGACAGTTGCTCTCATGCATCGTGCGTGATCGACATCGACCACGACACTCCAACTATGCATCATCCTTCCAACTTAGGTCAGAAGACTTGCGATACCAACAGAAAGGTATGTTCGAATGAACAGAAATAGAGTTGAGCGAAGAGAAATAGACGGTGAAGGCCGAAGATGAGGCTTCCCTACCCAACTGTACTATAGAGGAGTTATGACTTGGAAAGTCGTACAACTTGCAGACATTCACGGATGATGCATATAACATCCGACGATTAACACCACATTGTTCTATCTTTCTCACCAGCATCCTGAAACCGAATCATCATCTATTCACCAGCACCGCCAATCGTTATACCCACACTCATTGAGACTACACTCTTTACAACACATTCTTCGATTTTCACACATCAAACCACACAAACTCCTACGAAGATGAAGGCCTCCGTCATCGTATCCATTTTCTCCGCCCTCATCATGGGTGCAAACGCCTGCGACTTTTTTGATAAGTGTCACTGCACCAACAGCGACGGAACGCCTGCGGCCGAGGATATCCAGACGCAGGCCTGCCTCCAGTACGCAGCCGACACCAGAGGAAGTGACAAACCTGGCCCCGGCAACATGACTCCCACGTTGGAGGACAACATCATGAAGTGCTTCGGCAACACGGTCGAGGCTGGCACCATCTTCCACCTCGATAGCTGCGATTACGCCGGATACTGCACCGGTAAGGGCGCTTCAGGCACGGCGGTGTGCGAGGGAAAATTCAGCTAGATGTATATACGTCAGCTCAATGTCTCACAAGCTTGGAAAAAAGGGAACGGTGTAACGGGTTAACGATACTAGATGGAGTTATGGAAACTATTGATATCGAGATACCACATAAAATCTGGGGCGGATAGACTGGGTACATACAATAGAACAATGTCTTTAGAAACACATGAAAGGGTGACGGTACTTCCGGCATGGCCTTCTTCTTTGTCTCGCTATATTAGTACCTATCACTCCCGCAAACAACTAACAGTCAGTTTGGCAGTCCTTGAAGAGTATATCTCGCGGCGTCTTGCATGGCTCTTCGGTTGAACACCGCTCGTAATAATTATATAAAGAAGGCGCAGAGGCCAAACCCCAGTCGGGAATGCGCCGCAAATACCGCCCACTGCCACAAGTCAATAGCCGAAACTGCACATTCTGAAGCATATATGCGGCTTGTTTTCCAACGTGAATTGCGGCACCAAACACGTCGACCATTGACGACAGAGGATATATCCACATGGTTAATCCTTTTGTAGATGGACCTGGTTTTGCTATCAAAATTCGGGGGGCGTCTTTGAGTACAGAGAGAGTTAAAATGGTTTCAAATTCAACGATCGGAGCTGTCATGATGCGATTCTTCAGCTTTGAGCCTCCTGCCCCGGATCCATTATCAGTTTATCAAGACGTCCTGAGGCGATATGGTGCGTCACATTCAAGTGCTCAACAATTTAGTGATTCTAGACCATACACTTTAGCATGCCCCTTCTCTGAGTGGAGAACGACAACTTATTAATTACTGTTCTCAATTAACGTTGTCGTTTTTCCCATGACAAGAACCTATGGATAGCAACTTCAGTCTTATCAACCATCAGCGTGATATCGACCGTCCCGCCCCCCGGCGGTTGAGAACTCAAAAGGATAAGCATTTTCCACCCATAACCTTGATTATCAACTGTCGATAGCCCCGGAACGAGCTTTGGACCGGCTCAATGACTGCGATGCCCCCCCCCCCCCCGCCTTGGCGGCCCAACGGCCCAACAGGGGATAGAGTTCTTCGAGGCTAGCCGTTCCTGAGGCGATCGACAGGAACGAAAACGTCCTGGTTCGCGACTTGCGTAGTAGAGAGGCCTTGACATCTCGCATGACCGGCGCGGAAGCCGGGCCTGAGGGGCGTCAGCGCTGTCAAGGCTGTGTTCCGCCGAGGGCGAATCCCGACCCCCCCTGCGTATAGTTCCACGGCTTGCCGAGTCCTGCCCCACCCCCGCCATCTTCTACGCCCGATTCGATCCGTCCCTCCCGCTGTTCGCTTCGATAAGGCCTTACCGTTGTGGGAGAGGTTACTTTGCAGCGTTCTGTTTTACATGGAGGCGCGCTTGGCCGAGGACACCGGCGTCTCTGTTTTGGCCTTTTGCATCGACGCGGCTTCCTCAACTTCCGCTTTGCAAACCCTTCCCTTCCCCCCCTCTGCCCAAAGGATTTCCAAAGCGTGGGTCGGCCGTTGGTAAAGTGAAGTGAGGGCGTTGGCCGAACAGACACCGGAGACGTCGGACTGATGACTGAGATCTCTGCCCCTCGCAACGGGATTTTAAAGGAAGAAGGGTCAACCCCAAGAAAGTCTAAAGACGTGCTGCTGACATGCCTCTTTCCGACGGAGCGGATGGCAGGTGTGGTATGACCTAACCAAACCAGTGACGCCGTCGCGGCACCACCCTGGGAGCAACAACGGCGGGATAAAGTTAGTAGCTCGGCTCGCGAAAAACGCCAATGAGGCGAACCTCGGACGATAATGAGAGTGGGGAAGAGGCAGTGAGGCTCAAACTAAGGGATTAGGGAACCTAGAAATGGGCCAGCTACGAGCTGCATCCGTCCTCCGGCTGGGTTGTATAAATTCGAGGTCGAGTTGATAAAACTCAAAACAGGAGGGCAGACCATCCCCCCCTCCCCCCGGCTATCGTTGCTGGTCGGCCGCCGGAGATACTCCCTACATACCGAAAAGAAGTTTGTTCCTGGATGGGTAAACTCTCATGATGCCTGACTCGGGCCCGCTTTCTTGTAGGACGACGACATCGCGTGCCGATGTTTTGGTCTAGAATAGCTAACGTTTGCCAAGAAGCAGTGGCCCATCGGGACTGGGCTCCCTGTTCTATACTTCTCCTTTCTTTCTTCTTCGTCCCGGCTACTTGGAGGGGGGACACTTTTCGGCACTTTGGGCATTTGACCAAGACCATTTTTTTTGCATCACGACGGCTCGTCGGAATCCGAAGCCGGGAGTCAAGATTATGGGAGTTCTGATTCGCTGCTTCTTGAAGGGGAATCTCGATGGACTAAGAATCATGTGCTCCATCGCTTCGTTATTACTGCGTTCATTACTGCGCCATGCCGCCAGCGCTGCCATTGCCAAGCCTGTGACGAAAGTGAAGAAAACTAGGAGGGCGTACGTGTGGATAGAAGAAAAGGAAAAAAGAAGAGGAGAGAGAGAGGGGAAAAAAAAAAAAAAGCATCGCTTGCGTCCGCCCTGCATCCGCTCCTTAGATGATTTCGAATGAGCGTAAAACGTCCAGGACAACAGGCGAGATGCCGCGGAGATCGTTCTCGTTCTCGCCGAGGCTCATCAGTTCCGCGTCCGGCGTCGCCAGGAGGGCCTCCTGGGCGGCGGCGTTCGCCTCGGCCGTGTCGGCGGCGGCGATTTCGGCGCTCGCGGCCTCGGCGTTGAGCAGCTCCGTCATGGCGGCGGCCTCGGCGGCGGCGGCGGAGTCAGGCTCGGGGGTGGCGGCGTCGGTCTCGGGGGCCACCAGCCCAACCAGCACCATCATGTTCTTGTCCACCATCATACCCTTGTCCATCTTGCCGAGGCCCAGGGCCTTGGCCAACTTCGCGAGGATCTGGGAGAGCTTCGGCACGAGCTTGGGGGGGATCTTGATCTTGCCGCCGCGGCCTTTGTAGGCCTCAATGACGTCGCTGAAGTTGCCTTGGATCTGAGCGCTGACTTGCTTTGCGATGGGCTGGAACTGGGCGTCGAGAGTTTTGGTAAACTGTGGCGTGTTAGTGAAAAGAAAGAAAAAGGTACCCGGTACTGGGAAATTGCGTCCGGGGCCCTCGGCTTACAGAACGACCCAAGTCATCGGCTTTGCCCTGCTGGATGGTAACAGAGTCCCGGATAAGACTTCTGACGTCAAGGATCTTAAACCCGGCCTTGTCAAATTCCCTGCGCTTGGATTTGAGGTTGGTGAGCAGGCTGTTGATATCGGGCTGAAGACCGAGGAATTTTATGCCAACCTGCGTCCTTTGGAGAGGGAGTGTCAGCACAAGCCGCTTGGTGGTTGCTGAGAGGCTTCGAACTCACGAATCGGCCGCTGATAGGACGTTGGTTGCGTCTGCGACGGCGGTGGTAGTGTCGATGGTTTTGCCGAGGTTGGTGACCGCCAGGTTCACTTTCAACAGCCCAGTGAGACCTTTGAGACTGCCGCCCTTGAAGGGCACGACTGACTCGTTGGCAGCGGCTACCTTTCTTTGAATATCGTCGATTTGTTTCTCGAGTTTTTCCTTGCCGCCCTTAACGGGATAGGGTTTCTTGCCCTTTTTCCCTTGCTCTTGGAATACGGCCCTGTAGCGCAGGCGGGGCATCGCCTCCTGGGCCAAAACCACAGTAAGGCATAGAAGCAATGCTAGAATGGTGAGCCTCATGTTGAAGTGCTGGGTGTACTCCGTATCTGTTGGCGGATTCCGTGAACAGGGAGCTTTCTTTCTTTTTTCCTTTTTTCTGGTTGGGAAGTATCGCAATGCCCAACTGCCGAAGGGAAAGAAAAAGAAAGAGAAAAAAAAAGAGGAAAACCCTCAGTCAGGGGTTTTCACAGTTCATGTTCGAAAGGGTCGCAAGGTGTAACGTCGTGTACATACTCTTGACCAGACTTTCACGAGCCGCGAATCCGAGGCAATTGACCGACGACGTTATGATTCTAGACCGTTGAGCCCAGCCATAGTCTGATTCATCCAGGCTGACCCGGTCTGACGAATGGCCCCTTACCCATAGACATTCGGCGATTTTTCTGTTTTCTTTTGCGGCCATCGACATTTTCTCAGAGTCATCATGAATCCCAGCTATTCCCAGCATCCGACAGGTTGGGGGTGAGACCATGCGGGGTAGGCCTTGGTGGTATGAAGTCTATCATCGATCCTGTACCTTGCCTTGCAAGCATATCGCTGCCGTGCCCCGTGGGGCAATGTGGGCTTCCCGCGATAGATGCCGAGACCCCCTCATGAGTGTGAAGTTGGTAGAGGTGCTGGACACCATCTCTCTCCCTTGGCCAATTACACAATCCCTCCTTGCAAACAGGCGCACAAGATTATGCTTCTAGTGTCGTCCCCTCGAAGGGGGGAGAGGAGGAGTTTCGTCGTCCATTCAGCTAATGCCGGGGTGCAAACATCTGGTATGATATGAACGTTCAACTAGACACGTCAGGAGACCATGGGGTTGTTACTGGAGGGTTGTCCGTTGCTTTGAGCGGTGCTCATGGGTCGACTTTGATGATAAGACGATAAGACGATGTCAGTGTCGTTTCGGAATGTTCAAGGACCTGGGCATATATCTTTACGACTTCTTTCAGTTTCAACGCGACCGGCGAGGCGAGGGAGCTGCATTCGAACGCGGAGTAGCCTCCACCGCGCATAGACCTGAAAGAGGGGGAACCGCATGTTTGTTTGTTTACATACGTCTGCTCCACGGCCAAGGTTCTCGCTGGTAACAAGCTGTGGACATGTCCATAAATTACTTGATTGAGCGTCGTCCGGAGGAGACATTACTCACCGAGCCCGCGGGTGCCTGGCCATCACGCCCACTCTACCGGGTCAGTAAAGTCGTCGAACTGTCTCGCGCGGTGTCGATGGTCCCTGGGGGGGCGCAAGCTGGTCATCCCATAATACAAGGGCCGAAACAACAGATGACCAACACGCGAGCTTCGGGGATAGTTCTGACCTATCGCATCTCGTTCCTTTTTCTCCTTTCTCCGCAAAAGAAGGGTCGCGACACATCGGCCGAAGTCCCTCTGACGGCTGCAGGCGGCTTGCGGAAAAGATGGCATTTTGGGCAGCTCGAGCTCAGCAAACCTGCCACCCTATGTCTTGAAAACGTCATGCGGATCATCTTCGCTTGTCCAAGCCCGTTGTCGATGATCTTTCAGTGTCTCTGAGACCCCATAACGGCGGCTGGGTGCCCTCGATAAGAGCCTTCTCGCGTGAACTATCGCGCCTTGAATCGCTTAAGTTGGCGAGGCTGTTTTTGCGAGATTGACGATGTCCTAATGAGGTATCTGCAGGAGATTCCGGCGACTCGTAGTTATTTAAGCTCAGTCTAGTAAACTTTGGCGACTTTTGTGGGCGTTCCCTATTCGGGTTTCCAGCCACGGCTTCGACGAGGACTCGGAAAAGAGCACATGACGTTAGAAGACCACTTCAGAGAAAGGGGCAATATCAAATCCATAACCGACCAGAAGCGGATTTTCGATTCCGGGAAAGGCCATCTCGGGCTCCTCGGAGCTCAAGATCAGAGCGCGGAGTTCAATCCGCGTGAGGAGGATGGCCACGACACCTCCAACGGCCATCCCCAATGTTGGGATGCCGAGAGTTACGAGGGCGGGGTCAGGTTCGGCTGCGAATCTTCCGACTCAACTAATCATGAACTCGCTTGCGTGCTCGTGGTAAGCCTCAACGCTTAAGCTTTACTCATGAAGCGGGAGAGCCTTTCAGCCGGCAGACCCAGACTACGGTAATGTAAGGGAAAGCGGGCTGTCGCCGCGTTCTGCAAGGGGAAACGGCAAAAAGTAACCGTGGTCCGCTTCTGTCGATCAGTACGTAGTATGGCCGTGAGGCTCAGCTATGGTTTGGCGAGGAGAACGCCCTGCGCTTCATCCCAACTTCGAATTGCTCGGACTGCTATTGGTTTATACATTGCTTCCGTTGTTTTATGATTGGTGAGCCCTACCGGATCGAGGGGCATCGGTAGGAGACACAGCGTTGACATCGCCGCAGTTCAGGATGATTTCTCTTCTCATATCATGTTTCGAGAACAGTAAGAAAGTCGAGCGGCGAATCCAGCAGCACGCCGAGCTACGGGGAGCAGACACGATGGCTGAGTTTTGTGTGTTGCATCGTCGCTTGGTGAGCACGTGCGGTGTTTTATGTATTTTTTTCCTATTTTTCGATAGAAAACCGCGTTAGCATCTGGTCCCACAACAGCCTTTCCAGGAGATGATGTGTCTTCCAATCAGTATGGCTTTTGTAAGATCATGGCCCTGATCGTTGAGTTGTAACATCTGTGTTCGGAGCTTCTTCGGGTCATTATCCTCTAGCCGATAGGGTGAGCTGGGTGATTCTCGCTGCTTTAGCTCACCTTAGACAAGAACCTGGGTGAGGCCAGGGTGAGGCCAGGGTGATGTCAGTGAGGGGTATAGTAAGTAAGTAGATCCTACTACTGAACTCTTACAACTAGGCTGCATCTGACTTTAACTATTGCCCTGATAATTCTATTAGCCGACAGAGCCACTCAACTACGTGCCTATAACACAGAGTCACCGTTCAGCGTAAATTAATTCAAATAGTTATATAGTAGAGTCAAGTTATAATCATCTACAGTATAGTAAGTACTATAACGCAAACACACTCAATGTGCAGTAACTCAAATACCCTGCGTATGCACCACCCCCACATCTGCACCACTAGCACTACCACTTTCTTCCTACTTTTACTACCTATATTACTAGGCCTATAGGTAAACAACTTATATATAGCATAATATAAAGTAAAAAGATTTTTTTAGAACATTTTTTAGCTTACTAAGCTTTTTATATAAGTAATAAATAAAGTTAATTCTTAAAATAAAGGTATTTATTAAAAAATAAAATATAAATTAGTATAAGTAGCTAAAAAACTAGATAAAAATATAGTAAAATACTAAAGTAATTATATTACTATAAAAGTATATTACTAAGCTTATAAAGACTAAATAATAGTCTATATATATAATAATAGCTATAGTACTATAATAAAACTACTATACTTTTAAGTATTTACTACTTTTTATATTATATACTATAAATATAAGTTAGTAAAGTATATTATAAGAATCTACTTAAAAAGTAGTATAGTATAGTATATATCTTAAGTTATATAACTTATAATATTATTATTAAAAGATTTTTTAAAAGTAAAGTATAACTATTACTACTTTAACTTAGTATTATAGTTCTATTATTATATAGTATAGTAAACCTTCTATATACTAAGTAGTATATTAGTACTATAGTATACAGTATAAGTAAAAAAAAATTTATCTCTTATATATAGCTAGATATTTTAAAAAATATATTTTTTTAGTTTTATACTCTATATAAAAAGTAAGTAAATCTATATATAGTAGCTATATATACTATATATAGTACTCTTATATATATATAAGCTATAATAAAGCTAATGCTATTTTTTATAGATTTTTAGCTTTACTATATAAGTATTTATTAAGATTTCTAGAGTTTTAGAAAATACTAAGATTTTCTTAGTAAAAAAGAATCCTTAAGTATTTACTACTAGTACTTAGTTATATAAAGGTCTAAAAATAGTATATATATATAGGAAAATACTAATAGAACTAAAGTATTTTATAAGATTTTTTTCTTAAATTTTATAGCTTAACTATAGTAGATTCCTAAGGCTAGAAAACATAGTGTATTTTGGTGGGAATCCACTGTTTTGGAGTGGTGCAAATGTGGGGGTGGTGCATACGCAGGGTATTTGAGTTATTTAACTGAATCAATCCACGAACAGTTTTCTAGCAGCAGCAGTAGCGGCTAAAGAGCTTAAAACGTGAGAGTAAAATGCTATTCCAGTGAACTACAGTACCAGTTTCTACTGAATACAGCAATCCACGTGACATACTAGAAAGGGGCTAAGGCGACTGCATCTAGAGGCGATGCAAGACTTATATAAGTCTCTGTTCCTACAAGGTAGGTCTCGTTATACGACAGCTCGTGAGCTTGGGATTGCAATATTGTCTGTAAACAAATACCGTTGCTTGTACTACTGGCAAATAACAGGCGGATTACTTTAGAGTAGCTACTCAGACCTAGTTATGTGGCTTAATAGCTTATTATGTGACTTGCCTCAACTGGATCTTGGTTTTCAACAAAGTAAGCAAGTGCAATCCCATACATAATCATCTTCACTTACTTGTTTACTTTTATCCGTTACGACCCAACAAGTCAACAGGCAGACAATACACCACCAGGCCCGCCAGGCGCGGGCGGAATAACATATGTACCAGTGAAAGACAAGGGTTAGACGGATGACCTAACTATCTACAGATATATTAGATAAGTTACTAAGATATCTAAACCTAACCACCAGCACCAGGAGTTGTATATACAATGGACTTAGATGCACTTAAGGACAGACTTCCACATCTCTTCAGAAATCAACTTGTGATACATTCTCTGAATACCTTTTAGCATCTAACTTAGTAATTCATTAACAAGAAGCTGTACAAGCTACTCGTATAACTATTAACTACCTAACTGATCACCAAGTGATTAACAGACCAGCAAGTCTACATTAGTGTTACCGAGTATTGACCTCAACTATACTATTGGCAGAAACTCTACTGTCGGATCACTGACTATAACATTATCCTAAACAAGTCCCGAATCACTACAGTGTATGCATAGCGGCATAAAATGTGACGTTTTTCTTCTTTTCACAGACTCTAGACAAGGCCTTAAGCTAGTCCTGCTAGACTTGGCCCGTAGTAAACTGCCAAGTGGAAACATGAGTGTCTCTATTTTACTAATCGCACTAGCCCTTGAAAGCAGCGACTTTGCTATCAACATCACACTGTCTATATCACACTGTCTATCCATCTGGCAGATTCCGGCTTCAGTTCCGTTGGTACAAGCCAGGCCCTTTCAATCCAGCCGCCGCGTCCGCCTCACCTCTAGTCTTGATCAGGGTCATCGTCAATACCATCAATATCATCGATATCCCCGCTGTCCTAGTCACTGAGTGCAAATCTCTTATCGTTGGGCAAATCTCTTGCCGTTAGGCGCAGGTCTGCCATTAGGGCCGTCAGGGAGTGGATTGATGGTAGGTTGATCTCTCTTGTCGTTAGGCGAAGGTCTGCCAGTAGGGCCGTCAGGAGCAGGACGGCCATTAGGGCCGTCAGGGAGTGGATTGATGGTAGGTTGATCTCTCTTGTCGTTAGGCGAAGGTCTGCCAGTAGGGCCGTCAGGAGCAGGACGGCCATTAGGGCCGTCAGGGAGTGGATTAGTGGTAGGTTGATCTCTCTTGTCGTTAGGCGAAGGTCTGCCAGTAGGGCCGTCAGGAGCAGGACGGCCATTAGGGCCGTCAGGGAGTGGATTGATGGTAGGTTGATCTCTCTTGTTGCGAGGATGGTCAGGCGCAGGACGGCCATTAGGGCCATTAGGGAGTGGATTGATGGTAGGTTGATCTCTCTTGTTGCGAGGATGGTCAGGCGCAGGACGGCCATTAGGGCCGTCAGGGAGTGGATTGATGGTAGGTTGATCTCTCTTGTTGCGAGGATGGTCAGGCGCAGGACGGCCATTAGGGCCGTCAGGGAGTGGATTGATGACAGGTTGATCTCTCCTATGGTGAGGATCGTCAGGCGCAGGACGGCCATTAGGGCCGTTAGGGAGTGGATCTATCACAGGTTGGCCGTCAGGGAGTGGTGCTAGACACAAAGAAGTTAGTATTCAAAACTACTTGACTTGTAATATGTTAAGCGGGGACGACGTTTTGCTTTTATAAAGAAGGAGAAAAGAAAAGGCATAGTGCACAAACCTGTTATAGCATTGCCCACAAGGAGACCAATAGTGAGGAGTGTAGTAGTTACGCAGCGCATTTTAATGTCTTGAAACTACTGGTTGGGAAGAAAGAAATTCTGTTGAAGTTGAATAAGGTATAAGAATATAGAGCTGGTTAACAACAAGAAGCTGAGAACTCTGGAGTATTTATCTGTAGCTCTGAGTAGACTTAAGGGGCTGTAGCAGTTATAGTATAACGATCCGCTGTTCCAGAATGTCTCAGATGAGTCACAGGATTAAAGTTAATTAAGCCACTCCACTTATATAATGAATGAGACCTATATGAGGCCAGGGATTCACTTAGACTTCCCGACAAGGGATAATAGTTATAAAATTCATATAACTTAGAAGTTATAGAGCCTTGATTATTGGTGTAACCAGATGCGGTGGGAAAACGGTCGAGCGGTTTGTGGGGACTGTGTCCGTACAAAAAGGGACTGATAATTTCTCGGTGGTCGCTCATAGCCTAACTTAAATAGCTGCCCTTACACTCTTTCTTTTTAGATCAGAAACAACCAACAAGTGCTGTTTTTTGTTACAGTCCCTACTTTAAAAGGAAAAACATAATACTAATGGGAAAGGGCGGGGCATCTGCCACCTAATAAAGGAAAAGAAGAATGGCAAAACATGGGAAAACCACCCACACTACAACAACGTCTGATGATAATAATATATATATTAATAGATAGGCCTTGCAATTCTTAGACCTAATCTGCAGAGACCTTGAAATAAAAGTACGAATTAATAAAGCAATCGCAAAAAGAGTGAATTTCACCAAGTGAATAAAAGTGCAGTAATAACTGGCAGTGTATTTCTGTATGGAGTATTAAGGCTAACGATAACGAGTGTGTATGAATGATGATGCCCTTCTTGACCCCTTATTGGGTCTGTGAATCTCTTTTTCAATAGATGGGTGGCCTTCCTATGGATCCATCCCTTGGATTGATAACCACGTGATTCTTGGGACCATGTCACCCAACCCCATTACACTAAGTATATCTATTTAGGATAATTAATACACTAGTTTCTTGTTTATAAAGGCTTTATTACACTTATCTTTCTATTTATATATAACTACTTAGTGTTATGAGAAGTAGATAAAATACTTACTCATACTTTCCCTTAATAATAAAGTCTTAACCTTATATAGTATAGTTATTTGATTTATTACTTTCTTTATTTAGCTTATAACTATCAATTTAGAGAATCAATAAAGGGGCGTTGTAAATTAATACAGGGGCGTCACTTTTACGGCGATATTACTTTTGCCTACCTAATTAGTAAAAAAAATTACTGTTAGTGTAACTGAATTCTACTAGGCCCACAGGAGGTAGCCCATCGCGGCAGCCCATCGCAGCCTATTCAGGCAGCCCATCGCAGCCCTTTGGCTAGCAGATCTATCAAAGGACCAAATGCAATTCGACGAACATAAAGGACTGGCGTAACCCACTTTAGCCATTGGTATCCAATCGGATGATCCGCAAGGCTGCTCAAGCACTCTCCGTGTGATGAAAGGTAAGAATCGGCTATGCTTCACTATGAGAGGCTCCTTGTCAGAAAAGGCGCCCTGTCGTTCGTTGACCAACCAGAGTTCAGCGACAAATAAGTGTATCTTTCTTCCAATGGGACAGAAGACGGAGTCGAAGAGTCGTTTGTTGTGGCCACTGATCTGCTTGGCGTGGCGCTATTAGAAAAGCACCTGTTGGATCAAGCTTGGCTGTTGGAAGGGCCACAAGCGGCACAGGCAATGAACAGTTGCCCCCCCCCCCCCCCCCTTGCGCCCCAGACCGACACTCTGGTTGGCCCTCTGGGCCTGGTACACCCGCAAGCGAGGCAAAGTTGAAGACGCATTTCCGCCTGCCTCGACTCGCTAGTTATCTGGACGAGGAAAAATGCTGAGAGCGCTTAATTGATATCCAATGCGATTACGAATTGGTTCTTCGAGGGCGTCGCTAACGCCACAGCGCTTGCTGTCACATGTGGTGTGACCATGTAAAGGCGGGGCCATGCCGGAGGGCCGGGACCCCACCGGCCGCCACGCTCAACTCGCCATGGCACTTTTTGGGGGCTGCGGAAAACGAGGCCTACATCTACAATTGATCCGGTAGCTAATGAGGTGCTATTGGGTTGTCAGTCTGACACTCCGGTTTGCCAACTTACGGTGCAACGTGTTCAGAACAGGGAATGTGCGTGTAAGGATGGGACCTTTCCGGTTAAATACAACACTTTAAGCGGGTCTTGGCGCAACTTGCAATGACGGGCCTGGTACGCCCGCAACCGATGTGAACGATGCTTTACAGCTGCTATGGTATGTTTCCACAGGCACATATCCGGAAACGCCCGCTCAGCTACCGACCCCAGTTGAGCCTGACGCGCTGAGATCAAAGGGTTGTTGGTCTGTAGCCCGCTTGAACGTGCAATGTAACCACTCTTCCAAGTAAGAATGGCCTAGACCAGGTGTGTCCCGTTGTTCCATTTCACAGTACGGTATAAAAGACTTATCCGCGTGAATTATATCAGAGTATTTACTGCTGTTTAGTCTAAAAAGCTCTTGCGTCTGGTATAAAGGCAAGTCAGTTCCTTGTCGAACAGAATGCAACGTCTTCCTTGACCAGTATCTATCCTTCATACGAACATATACTATTTTGTGAACAACATCTGCCATAACATACGAAGACTGTGAGCGTCTCTTAAGATTTCTGTCTACACTACTAAGTGCGACCCTGAATACGCCTATCTGTCCTAACAAAGGGCATAGACAATGTGTACCGTCACCACCAATTACTACAGCTGCGGCCATGTCCGTGGCACTCCAACAACCGCTACGTGTGCGAACCCGAGAACTTGCGTCAAAAACTACGTCGATGGAATTACTAGTTCCTCCAACTGCGGAGCCACTGCATGCAACACTCCTCCGTCATCGCTGTAATGTCAACTCTTCAAATCTGGAGGTTGTGTATTAGAGTTGTAGGAAAAGAGAACGGCGAACGGAATTCAGGATTGAGACATAGCAGAAAGGCCGGTGCCACACAGGGAGGCTAAGGCAAAGGCACAAGCTGCCAGCTTACGGACATGTTTGCCGCATACACATGATACATGTAGAGCATGCAATATTTCATCCCATTAGTTGTTCCTGCTTCACTCTTGTTGATACCATTTGTAGGCGATCGCAAAAGCATGCAATCCTTCCCGAAAACAGACTGTCAGGCGGAGGGCAGGCAGCATCCAGCTAGCTAATGCTCAAATGCACTTGGCCCCAATTGCTCCCTGCAGAGAGTCTGCGGCTAAGGTAATCATAAAACCGTTGCATGTGGACATATATATAGGACAACCAGGATCATGAGCCAAGAAAACTGGCGAATAGGAAACCTAATCAAATGCCAATAACGACCGACCAGCGCGCAGAGCCAAAGCAAACACGGTGTGCGTAAGCGCGAACAAGAAGCCGCTATCTACTCCGTAATCATGATTAATAACTGCTTGCTGGCATGCATGCATGCAGAAGATTGGTGGCTTGTCACACATTTTTGTGGATCAAGTATATCATTTAGGCAGGGCAAATCTCTATGGTATGTGGGCCCCGCTGGGGTAGGCCTAATAAAATCAGCCACATGCCTAAGGTCTAAAGTATAAGACTGTCCACCTAGCCTTCAAAACAGAGCACTTCCTCATTCGACCATATCACTGAATTTCATGCGGCCAATCATTCAAACGTGCTATCATGGCTCTTGAGCTTTTTATCCCGCCCTGCATCAAATCTCCTGCTGGCCATCTGCATCCACCGCGTATTGAGCAGCCCCTCAGAGTCCAGATCGAAGGTCCACGAGAATCAATTCAAAAGCTTTTCCCATATATAGTGTGGGAAACCAGTCTAGTAGCCCAGAAGTTTCCTCAGACAGCTGGTCCAGCGCTTGCAGCACTCACGTTTCGGCATATTTATGGGGTAGACGTCCGTCCTGATGTCCGCGGTGATATGGTTGTGCGGGACGAATACATGGGATGGGTTAGAGAGGGTAACAAGACATTAGAGTAAGACCGATCTCATCCTGATTAGATTAATTAAAACTAACAAACGTATCTCTTAATAGGGACATTGATTACTATGGTGTAACATTCGATCATTTAGTTCCCCTGGATGATGTCAATCCTGAAGTATTACAAATCAACATCATTGAGATGGATGATGATCATGGCGAGTATGCGAACAAATATTTACTATTCTCAGTGGATGCATCAGAATATAGTGGGAAGAAAGTATTGGCTGTCCCCAGATGCTGCCAGAAACGAAAGGGCACACAAGATCGCCAAAGGGTGAATGAATCGGTTTTGGAAAGGGATGGGCGGCGTTCAAGTTGCTGAGATAAACCCCATGTTGTTGTAAGCGACAATTATCTGGACCTCGAACAAGTGCATAAAGACCGAGATGCTCAGTTAATTGACAATGATGTTGCAACATGTTTCAAAAGCGACAGTAGCGAGCGGGCACTGTATTGGGAACAGGAATCAATTACATGGGATTTTATGATCTAGAAAGACCTAGCAGGCATTGCTATCCTGCCTATATTCATCAACATGAACACATGCTTGGAGAGGCGACGCATGGCTGGCAAGCGTGCTGCGAGGTTATCACATGCCGAACAAGCTCTAACGGACGAATACAAACAAGTTGTTTATATCTTTTCGCCAGATCATGTCTCACAAGTAGAAGAAAACTCCTTGCCGCGACAAAAGGAATATGATGAGCAGGCAACCAAAGTGGCCCTTCTAGAGAAGCAGGAGTATAGTTCGGTAAGTACGCCGCACGGCCAGCCAGGCTACAGGCTTGCGAGCCTCACTCTTAGGTTTGAGCGCTAAATCGCAGACATCAATAGGTCGATTCCAAGATTGTATTGAGCTTTATGCATCACGATCTGCATCAAGTTGCTCTAGGCAGTACTTCCTCCAAGCGAACTATCTGTCATGATTAGCTTGTGACGGCAAATGTAGCTCATGCAGGTGTTGAATAGGCCAACAGTACAAGGACTATAAGAAAATATAATAGATTATTATAGTATAATATAAGAAAGTAGCTAAATACTATCATAACTAATTTAAAGAACTAGTGTAATAGCTGCTTAAAAGTTAGTAATATAGTATTAGTATTTAATATTAAAGAATTTGTTAATAAGTCTACTATTATAGGACAAGTACAGTAGATTGTAGATAAATAGGAAGGACGAGGGATAACCCCGCCAGCACATGTCTAGACACATGCCCAGGGGGTATATATCCTATTGCCTATTGCCTCCTATTAGGAGAGGAAACCTGAATACACTATCTACACCCATACCTAGCTTTTGTCCTGTGTCAATCGTTCAGCTCCTTGTTATTGCTTGCCTTGTTTCACTGCTCTGCTGTTACACTTTACCTTTGCACTGCGTCGCTTCATGTCACCTACCGCAGCCTAGCTCCTCCTATTAGATCTGCAACGGCTGGCAGGAAGGCTTTGTCACTGCTAGACAGTAACTAGCTGCTTACAGGACCGTTTTTGCTGTAAAGAAACAGGGCCTATAATTTTCAGTGATCACTGTTAATCTAGCTTTAGTCACCCCCCTCATTAGCTTATCTATAGGAGAGCGGACAGGAACCCGAGTTGAGGAGGCTTATACTTGTGAACGGCTCTTGGGCGTCTGGCAGAGCGAAACCAACAAGGCCACATAGCTGGCGCGGGAAGTTGATTGTCATTGCGACGATTATGAATATCGTCAGCTTCTCCCTAAGTGAGTCCTTCCATCTAGTGCCTCCTTCCCTTCGGGTACAACCATACGTGCTGAGTCCTGACAATGGACGGGCAACTGGGTGAGGTTTGGATCCTCCTCCCTATCAATAATAGGTGCTATCATGATGTGGTTTCATCTTGGGCTTCTGGGTTGCAGCATATTTGGTCCAATTGATTGCAAGGCTAAACACTGATGACGCTGTATCTTCCCCGAAGCTCCGAGGTGCCACGACTTCTCCTCGCCAGATTGAGTTCAACAGCGGCTGCTTCTTCCGGATATCGATGCCGAACGCCGTGTTGATGCGTCAGTGACTATGTCACACATTACTCGCGCCATCACAATAATCACTGAATAACCGACAGCCATCAATTCCTCAGTAAGGTTCCCTGGTTGTTTCGCCCTTCTATCGCGCAGTTTTCCCTTTCCCCTTTCCCCTTGCCCCTGGCTGGCTTATTTTACACCACCAGAGCCAAGTCACACCCAAAACCATAACCAGATTGTCGGTATTATAGGGGATACGATCAGATAGGTGTAACAGTAGTTGTCAAAAGATGATAAGATATTAAAGGCGTTAATTGCTGCCTACAATTAACGGCGTTGTTTTCTCGTGATAGTAGTTAATTCGAAGACTGTGAAAAGAAAGAGTGCGAAGTAACCCTCGCGGTCGCAGTGCAGTTGAATAGACGGGAGCAGGCCGGGGTCCCTCACGTGGGCTCGGGCTGGTCCCTTAGTTGTCCGCGGATGCGTGGCACCCCAACAGACATCTCCTTTTCCTGACCCGCACGAGGCTTTACTACTAAGCCTACATTGAGTACATTGAGGCGGAGGATTCGACGACTACCCTCAGCCCCGGTGGTTTCCGAGCAAATCTGCGGCTTGCGAATTCTCATTTTGTTCCACTTGGCCGCAAGATCATATTCTGGCTGCATCTGAATGGCCGCCCAGCTTAGGAACCCGATTCTCCCCTCCCACCCTCCTCGCCTTCGAACATCATCAGCAGGATCCCGAGCTTCCAATATCCCGCACACCTGCTTACATGGTAATCACACAAGATGGCCAAGCCTGAGTCGACCTTCCAGAAGCAGATGGGCTGGAAGAAACTAGAGTTCTCGGCGAGGCGAGTCGGGGTTTCCGCGTTGCTGGGGCGGTGCCCCCCTCGTGCCAAGGCTGCCAAGGTCAGCTTGGCCCGCGGTGTATGGAACCAAGCACCGTCTTATCAAAGTTGTTTCGCGGTGGCCAAGCATTCACGGTAGCATCGCTCGTCTTGGTGAGTCCTTCCAATCGGGCTCTCGCTGTGATATGTACGTTGTTTATTCGCAAAAAAAAAAAAAAAAAAAAAAAAAAAAAAAAAAAAACCGCCTGCATTTCGCCATCCTCCCCCCAAGAGCACGAATTCGTGGCATTCTCCACAGTAATGTTTGCCATGCAAGGGGGTACATGGAGGTCGTCTTATTAGACTGTGGTTCTTGGGGAGGGGGAGGAGGAGGGAAGACGGTGTATGACGAAGGACAAGATGTTTCGGCGGAGTACTTATAGATCTCGCCGCGGTTCTCTCTTTCTCGCAGCCTGGGATCTCTCCGTCTCACTCATAGTCGCACTCTCTGCTCCTCAGGTGACAAAAAGTCCGTGAACAGCCGTGATTCTCTTTGCCGAGTCTCCGACACAGCGCCATCGCCGAACATGGTCCGCATCAACTCCACAGTCCTCCTGGGCTCGGTCATGGTAGGCTTGAGCAGCGCAGCTGGCGCCGGCACCAAGGCCGAATACGCGTCGGGCGAGGTTCACCACCGCATCATGGGCATCAAGATGGTATGTGTGTGGCACGCGAGATCCCGCCTACTCGGGAAATTCGGGAACAGTATGTTGTTGACAGTCTGCTCAAGGCCCAATGGGAAGCCGAGACCGAGGCCGGCCTGATGGACAGCGCCCGCTACCCCGAGCTCGGCTACACCCCCTGCGTCGACGGCTTTGCGGCCGCCATTCCCGGGGACGCCAACAACACCTTCCGGTGCGGAAATGTGAGTCATGCCCAGAAGAAAGAGACTTTGATCGACTTTTTTTTTCCCAACTGACGCTTTCGAAAAAAGATGGACCTTTACCACTTTCTGTCCCACGAGGCCCTCGGCAGCTGGGGAGGACGAGGGTCCTCGTCTTGGGGTTGGACCTCGGCCGACGGCAGAGAGTTCGTGGCCATCGGGCAGTACGACGGCACGGCGTTCGCCGAGATCAGTAAGGAGGGCAAGCTCGTCTACCTCGGCCGGCTGCCGCAGTACGACGCCATCGGGTCGAACTGGCGCGAGATCCGCATCGTGGGCGACATCGTCGTCATCGGATCCGAGGCCATCAAGCACGGCGTGCAGTTCTTCGACATGAAGAAGGTGCTCGACCTCGACCCGGCGAACCCCAAGAACTTCACGCAGGCGGAGCTCACGGGCCACTGGGACGAGCTCCCCGTCGGCCGGACGCACAACATCGTCGTCAACCAGGAGCTCAACTACGCCATCGCCTGCGGCTCGGTCGGCGGCAATGAGACGATCCGTGTTCGGGACAACCTGCCGTGCCGCGGCGGGCTCATCTTCCTCGACATCAGCGACCCGACCAACGTCACCAGCCCCGGCTGCGCCGCCGGCGACGGCTACGTGCACGACGCCGAGTGCCTCGTCTACCGCGGGCCAGACGCGCGATACTACGGGCGCGATATCTGCTACGGCTACAACGAGGACACGCTGACCATCTACGACGTGACGGACAAGAAGGGCAACGTCACCAACATCATCTCCATCAGCGACTTCCCCGGGGCCCAGTACATCCACCAGGGCGTCGTCAACAACGAGACGTGGCAAGAGTACCTCTTCCTGGACGACGAGTTCGACGAGCGCGATGCCAAGGTGGGCGCGATGACGCAGGGCCTGCCGACGACGCACATCTTTGACATCCGTGACCTGGAGAACCCCTTGTACACGGGACACTACGCCGGCAAGAGGCGCTCCATCGACCACAACCAGTACATCTTCGGCGGCTACCTGTACCAGTCCAACTACGGTAACGGCATCAACGTGCTCGACGTGTCGAGCGTCACGAGTGACCCCACCGGCGCGGGCATCTGCGAGGTCGGCTTCTTCGACGTGTACCCTGAGGACGACGACGAGGAGGGCGGCGGCAAGGTGCAGTTCGCGGGGTCCTGGTCGTCGTACGCAAAGTTCAAGTCGGGCTTCATCTTTGTGCACACCATCGAGCGCGGCAGCTTCGTCGTCAAGATGACATCCAAGGAGTGCCCCAAGGCGGCCCCGGCCTGCAGCGCCGACAACTGCCTCCGGGCGCTGCGCGCAAGCACGATCCCCGGGCGCCTCGAGGAGTCGGTCGAGTTCTGCGGCAACTTCACGGCACGCCAGAGGACCGATGAGAGTTTGCTGCCCGAGTACGCCGCCGAGGCCTGCGTCGAGAATAAGGACAAGGGGCCCGTAGCGAGGGTCAGCAGCGCGTGCGCGTGCATCCCCACGCCCGTCGTGCCCGAGCTGCCTAGGACGACGACCCGTCCTCCTGTGCCGACCGTACTGCCTCCCAAGGCATGAATAAGCAGGAAGATACTGCAGAGTGAGAAAATGGGGGTCCTAGTTCAGCCGTAGCCTTGTGATAAAATGTAGCGTTTCTGACCAGTCATCATACCCACGCTTGATCAGCCGGCTGTATGACTCTTTACGTAGGTAGTCCGATGCCTCGTAAATGTCTCCTAGCGTAGTAGCCTTCCAAGATGTCAATGAAGAGAAAGTGTGTTTGAAGATGCAGGGAGACATGAGGGTACGAAGTACTAACAAATTCGAGTACGCGTGGCCGAAAGGGGAAATGTCAGCCAACCAGGGCGGGGAAGACCATCAGGGATCGGCGGGCATATGCCTCACCGCCGCCCCCCCGAAGCTTCATTTCTTTATTTCTCTTGCGGCCTGGATTGCCTTCTTTTCCCACAAAGAGCAGAACAAGAGGGGTCGAAACATAATACGGGCGACAAAGAAGGACGACTCGGGCGGGTGAAACTCGTTTCGAAGCGGGCAAATAACAAACAGCATGATGGATGGCGCATCCAGCCAGCTACGAATCCGGGTCGCCCGTGACGAAACCACGCCTCGAGGCGCGCGGAATGCAGAGCGAGCGCTGTGAACAGGCAAGAGAAAGGCGGCCGGCATTCCCGTCCGAAGCCGGAAGGTCCATCGTAGCATCGTAACATTGTAACGTGTTCAGCATGCGCTCCAGTAAAAACAATCCTGATTCGCAGGGTTCGGGGGTTGAGGGGTGTCGATATTAACGTCCATCCCCGTGGGACCCTCACAGACCGAGGATTGCGGATGACGGCAAAACTAAAGCTCCGACCCCATAGCTCCCATATGAGTAATCAGTATAGGTGGGTCTATGTGTGAATCAGTCCACTCACAGTGTTCTGTTCTTTTCTCCGGGTCCGGAATTAGACCGGGCCGATCTCCATACGCCCCACCCCACCCTTCTTCCCCTCGCTGGAGAATTACTGTTTACACCCCCCCCCTCCCCCCCTTACCCAAGCAATCGGCAAAGACTCATGTGCTTGTTGTCCCCCAGAAAGGCGGCAGAGTCACAAGTCAGCCCATATTCCTTGGTTGGACCACTCTGCTTTGCTGTCTGCAGCTTTCTCTGCCTGTCGGTACTTCGCTGTCTCGGAACGGGATCCTTTTTTTAATTTTTTTTTTTTTTTTTTTTTGGTGTACCACCCACTTCTCTTTTCTATCCCCAAACCGCCAGCTGCCTCTTTTGTTTTTCTTCCTCTTCCCTCTTCCTCCTCCTCATCCCCCACGTCTGTTTCTCGGTTTAACCCTCCGATATCAAGATGCTGTCCTCCGCCAGAATCGCAACCCGGCAGGCTGCCGTGCGCCGCATGGGCGCTCTCCCCGTCTCGGCCGCGCGAGCCGGCTCTACCTGGGCCAACGTCCCCCAAGGTCCTCCTGTATGTCTCACGCACACGCCTCTCCCCGGATGCCAATTGACTGCGCCACACGGTTGCTAACGAATGCCGCAGGATGTAAGTGTCGACCCCGAAGAATGAGCAACAAGACCGAAAAGAAAAAGGAAAGAAAAAATAATACCCAAGACCGGGTTCGCTGACCGGGCCGCTTTTTTTTTCGGCGACGAACAGGCCATTCTCGGTATGACGCACTCGAAGCTCTCCTCCTCCCCCCACCCACGAGCTTTTTTACCTCCGAGCTCGCAACCGCGACTAACACGAGATAATCAGGTATCACCGAAGCCTTCAAGGCCGACAAGTTCGACGGAAAGATCAACCTCGGTACGATAAACCCCCGCCAAGCCACGTTGTGACCAGCTGTCCCAAGCTAGCTAGCGGCCAGCTAGACAAGCTAGACAAACCAACCCCCATCGGCTTCTCCTCCCACACCCCTTGCCCGACTGAACATTGACTTACAAAAGAAAAAAAACATCAGGTGTCGGCGCCTACCGCGATGACCAGGGCAAGCCCTACGTCCTCTCCTCCGTCCGCACGGCCGAGGAGAAGGTCGTCGCCGCCAAGCTGAACAAGGAGTACGCCGGCATCACCGGCGTGCCCGAGTTCACAAAGTCGGCCGCCGTCCTCGCCTACGGCGCCGACTCGTCCGCCCTCGGCCGCCTCGCCATCACCCAGTCCATCTCCGGCACCGGCGCACTCCGCATCGGCGGCGCCTTCCTCGCCCGCTTCTACCCCGGCGCCAAGAACATCTACATCCCCAACCCCTCGTGGGCCAACCACGGCGCCGTCTTCTCCGACGCCGGCCTGACCGTCAACAAGTACCGCTACTACGACCAGAAGACCATCGGCCTCGACTTCGCCGGCATGCTCGCCGACATCAAGGCCGCCCCCAAGAACTCCATCTTCCTCTTCCACGCCTGCGCCCACAACCCCACCGGCGTCGACCCCACCCCCGAGCAGTGGCGCGAGATCTCCGCCGCCGTCAAGGCCGCCGGCCACTACGCCTTCTTCGACATGGCCTACCAGGGCTTCGCCTCGGGCAACACCGACACCGACGCCTTCGCCGTCCGCCACTTCGTCGAGGAGGGCCACAACGTCTGCCTCGCCCAGTCCTTCGCCAAGAACATGGGCCTCTACGGCGAGCGCGTCGGCGCCTTCTCCATCGTCGCCCAGGACGCCGAGGAGCGCGCCCGCATCGACTCCCAGGTCAAGATCCTCGTCCGCCCCCTCTACTCCAACCCCCCCGTCCACGGCGCCCGCATCGCCTCCGCCATCCTCAACGACCCGGCCCTCAACAAGCAGTGGCTCGCCGAGGTCAAAGGCATGGCCGACCGCATCATCACCATGCGCGCCCTGCTCAAGGAGAACCTCGAGAAGCTCGGCTCCGCCCACGACTGGTCCCACATCACCAGCCAGATCGGCATGTTCGCCTACACCGGCCTGACCCCCGACCAGATGGACGCCCTCGCCAAGGAGCACTCCGTCTACGCCACCAGGGACGGCCGCATCTCCGTCGCCGGCATCACCACCGGCAACGTCGGCCGCCTCGCCGAGGCCATCTACAAGGTCAAGGGTTAAATTTTCCCCTTTTCCCCCCTTGTAGCGAATATTGTCGTTTGATTCTGCCGAAAGGGTAGTTTCTTCCCCAAAAAAGAAGGTTTGTACGAACGGGAAAGGGGATGGGAGGGGGGCGGTGGAGATGGAAGTGGTTTTTTTTTCTTCGAGATGGGCCATCTGTTTTTGCGCGACGCCAAGCTAGACTTAAGACCGCGGTGGATATTAGACGTTGGAGGCTCTCTTGATAGACTACGCATTGCGTCCCGGCTGTGTACAATATAGCGGCACGTCTTTCAAATGTAAACATGTCCAACACGCTTACCCCCCCCCCCCCCGTCATCAACTAGTTTGTTCCCCTGGTTACCTTCCAGGCTCTTCCCAGGTCGGTGTTCTCTAGGTATAGACAGACACTTAGGTCTTGCCCAACCGTGCCACGTCCCTCCTCGCGTCCTCCAGCTCCCTCTCGAGCTGCCGCTTCTTCCGCGCCATCTCCCGCATCATCCTCTCCTTGCCCCCATCGCCCCCGCCCGCGCCGTACCCCTCCAGCTCGGCGCGCAGCGTCGCCACCGTGCCCTCGAGCCTCATCCGCGCGTCCCGCAAGTGCGCCGCGTAGTTGTTCAGCGCCGCCGCCATCTCGGGCGAGTACACCTCCCGCCGGACACCCTCCCGCGCCGCGACGGCATCCGCCTCGGCCCTCTGCGCCTCCAGCCCCGCCTCCGCCGCCCGGAACTCGAGGCTGCGCGCCACTACGCCGTGCTTCGCCTCGAGCGCGCGCACCAGCAGCGTCAGCGCCCCCGCGTACTTGTCCAACAGCCCCGTCAGGCTGCCCGCCACGCGCACCCGCTCCCGCGCCAGCGCGTGCTTCGCCTCGCGAACGTCGGCCTCGAGCCGCTGGTACGTCGTCTGCAGCGCCGGCACGTTGCGGTGCAGGAAGGAGGGGTTCGTGGTCGGGTTCGCGATGCGCGCGAGGGCGACGGCAGAGGTGTGCAGCGTCGCCGACACCAGCTCGCCGAGCTGCGGGAGGAGGGCTTGGAACTCGGTGAAGGGCGGGTTTGAGAGTAGGATCGCCAGGGAGTCGGCGGGGAGGGGTTCGGTGGTCGCCGTGAGTAGTGGCGGGAGGAGGAGGAGGAGGTCGAGGAGGGAGTCTGGGAGTTGTTGTTGCGGTTGCGGCGCCGAGGCGGGCTGGGAGGCAGATTTGCTGCGGGTGATTGTCCTCGACGGCGCGGCTTTGGGCTCGGGAGGGGCGGTGTTGGAGATTGCGCTGATCAGGAGGTGTTCCTTTGCGGCGTTGAACCTGTGGTCTGCGAGTTCCTGGTGTTGCGTTAGCTGGGGGAGGGGGTCAAGCCGTCGTGGGATTCATGTCGGTTGATGATGACCCCCGGGCGGTGTGGGAGCCAGGGCGGCGCACTCACATTCTGGACCGATGTCTGCTCCTTGGTCGCGGGTCTCCTGGTTGTGCCGTCAGGATTCAGGATCGCTGTCGTGAGGGCGTGATGCAGCTCGGCGAATTGTGGATTGTTCTGGAGGACGGATGGCTCGACCGGCGGTAACATGGCTGGCCGTCTTTCGTCTGTTCTTCAATACCAACGGAACCTTCTCGTCTGCTGTTCCGGGCCTTATCACGTCTCTTGAATTCGGAGAGGGGAATCGAATGTCGATTTGTTTACCAGGCGCAACGATGCAGCAAGCCACTAACGGTCCGCCGGTCTCGGTGTGTCGGTGTGGAGGGGTTCGCTCGAGCCGGCCCATCGACCACGGACCCCTGTCACGAAAGTAACACGCCGTCACCTGATCCACTTGGGCCCATCTCAGGTACGTGCCGCGGTCACCTGATTCAACTCAATTCATCACCCAAAGTACGATCCACCCCGGGCAATTTCGGCCAATGAGGCGTCTCAATCCGCAAGGAGCGGAACATCCACCCGCCCGAATTTCGAAGCTCCGAAACTCTGCCCATTGCCAAAAAATCATCCCCAGCTACGCAAGCTCACGAGTTCGACGACGCCGACGACGAAGATACCGCGTACACCGACGCCCGTCCGTCCGACCCGATGCCTCGCGTCTGATTCGATTTCCCTCTAAAAGAATCCCCCCGAATACTTCCCGGACACGACAAGGGCACAGAAGCAGAAAAAACAAACAAACGATGCGCTTCACCACCCCGAGGCCGGGGTCCTCCCTCCTCGCCTCCCTCCAAAACCTCACCCTCACGACCGCAGCCCCCTCCGCCCGCGCCTTCTCGACCTCCTCCCCCCTCGCGACGAAGACCATCTCCCTCCAGAAGATCCCCGCCTCTCCCGTGCCCCCGTACCCCTACGGCCCCCGCCTCCTCTACAAACAGTCCAACCACGGCCTCTACGGCGCCGCCCGCATCCGCCACGGCCACAACGTCTCGGAGAAGCACGGCCAGATCACCCCGCGCACCTGGCGCCCCAACGTCCACCGCAAGCGCCTCTGGTCCGAGGCCCTCGGCGCCTGGGTCCGCACCCGCCTCACGACCCGCGTCCTCCGCACCGTCCGCCGCGAGGGCGGCATCGACGCCTACGTCACGAAGACCAAGCCCGCCCGCGTCCGCGAGCTCGGCCCCGGCGGCTGGAAGCTCCGCTGGCTCGTCGCCAACTCGCCCGCCTTCCGCGCCCGCTACGCCGCCGAGCGCGAGGCCCTCGGCGTCCGCGCCCCCATGCCCGAGGACCAGACCGACCTCGTCCACTACATGATCGACGCCGCCACCCCGGGCCCTCTCAGCGCCACCAGCAGGCAGACCCTCGAGCGGAGGGCCAGCCAGATGATCGCCGAGGAGTTCGCCCTCGGCGACGACGCAGAGCTGTTCGAGCCCGGCGCCCTGTACGAGGATGACGACGTCCACGCCCAAGGGCTCAAGGAGCCGTCCGTCGAGGAAAAGAGGTCATAGTGTTTTTTTGCATGCGCGCGCGCGCGCTTATGTGTGTGTAGGTGTGTGGATTTCACGTTTTGCTGTCTTTTGTTTTAAAAGGCAACATGGGAGAAGGAAAGAAAAACTAGCCATTGTATCATATGTACAAATATTTTCTCCCTCTCACGGTATAGAATACGCACAAATTGGGGGGGGGGGGGGGGGCGGGGAAGCTATTCACTCTTCACAACAAGCAAATCTTAAAACTTTTTTGGTTTTTTTTGCGTGTCTACAAACAAATCGCTTTCCGTAACCGTCCCCCTCTGTTCGAAAAAATGGATATCATCCCTCGTCATATACGCCCCTTTTTGTTTTTGTTCTGCAAAAATGTATAGATGCCCGTATCATCACGTCGGCACACAGCACAATCCGGTTCCCGACTTTTCTCTTTGGAGAATCTTTTTTTTTTTCCTCTTCTTTTCTTTTCTTAGAAGCGCAAATCCCATCCAATCTTGGGCCCCAGCTTGGGCAGCTCGTCGGCGACGCTCTGCACGTCCTTGTCGCCGCGGCCGCTCACGCAGATGACGACGTCCTCGCCCTTCTTCATCGTCTTGGCCAGCTCGATGGCGCCGTAGATGCCGTGCGCCGTCTCGAGCGCCGGGATGATGCCCTCCAGCTGGCTCATGAGGCGGAAGCCGATAAAGGCCTCGGCGTCGGTCGCGGCGACGTACTTGGCGCGCTCGCTGTCCTTCCAGCAGCTGAGCTCCGGGCCCACGCCCGGGTAGTCGAGGCCGGCCGAGACCGAGTGCGTCTCGGCGACCTGGCCGTGCTCGTCCTGGAGGATGTACGTCTTCACGCCGTGCAGGACGCCCTTGGTGCCCCCGGAGAGGGTGGCGCTGTGCCTCGCCGTGTCGACGCCGTCGCCGCCTGCCTCGACGCCGAGCAGCCGGACCGAGGGGTCGTTGGCGAAGGGGTAGAACATGCCGACGGCGTTGCTGCCGCCGCCGACGCAGGCGACGACGGCGTCCGGCAGCTTCCCCCGCTTCTCGAGCATCTGCGCCTTGGTCTCGTTGCCGATGACGGACTGGAAGGTGCGGACGATGGTGGGGAAGGGGTGGGGCCCGATGGCCGAGCCGATGATGTAGTGGGTGGTGTCGAGCTCGACGACCCAGGCGCGCAGGGCCTCGTTGACGGCGTCGCGGAGCGTCTTGCTGCCGGCCTCGACGGCGACGACCTTTGCGCCGAGGAGCTTCATGCGGAAGACGTTGAGGGCCTGCCTGCGGACGTCCTCGGCGCCCATGTAGACGGTGCACTCCATGCCGAACTTGGCGCAGACGGTGGCGGTCGCGACGCCGTGCTGGCCGGCGCCCGTCTCGGCGATGATCTTGGTCTTGCCGAGGCGCTTGGCGAGCAGGAGCTGGCCCAGGGCGTTGTTGATCTTGTGGGAGCCAGTGTGGTTGAGGTCCTCGCGCTTCAGCCAGATGTTGGCGCCGCCGGCGTACTCGGTCAGCCGCTCCGCGAGGTGCAGGTGGCCGGGTCGGCCCATGTAGTCGTAGTAGGAGCGGTACTCCTCCCAGAAGGACGGGTCGTCCTTGATCTGGTTGAAGCCCTCCTCGAGCTCGGACAGGCAGTCCATCAAGCTCTCGGGGACGTACTGGCCGCCAAAGTCGCCGAAGCGGTCGGGGATCTTGCCGTGCATGGCGGCGAGCTCCGCCACCAGCGAGCTGTCCTGGTCGGCGGTGATGATCTCGTCGACGGTAGGGTCGGTGGTGGGCTCCTTGGCGGCGCCCATGGCCTCGACCATGCCGACCTCGCGGGTGGTCTCGTCGTTGGCGGTGTCGCGGCCGCAGAGGTACGCGCAGTACTTTGCGACGTCGTCGTACAGCTGACCAGGGGCCGCCTTTTGAAGGGTTGTGATGATTTGGGAGCCGACGACGACGCCATCGGCAAGCTGGGAAACGCTCAGGAAGTGGTCTCTCGTGCTCACGCCGAAGCCGACGGCGGCAGGCTTGTTGCCGCTGTACTTCTTGACGCGTTCGACGAGGGCGGGCAGGTTGGCGTTCAGGGAGCCGGAGGCGCCGGTGACGCCCTGGCGGGAGACGACGTAGATGAAGGAATCGGCCAGCTTGCAGAGGATCTTCATGCGGGCGTCGGAGGTTGCCGGAGCGATCAGGGGGACGTAGGAGAGTCTAGAGTCGGGGCGAGGTCAGTCTTGCGCAACCTCGCGGGCAAGGGTTGTAACTCACCCTCCCTTTGTGCAGAGCTTGCGGAAAGAAATGGCCTCCTCGGGAGGCAGGTCGACGACGATGAAGCCGTTGACGCCTGATGTCTTGCAGTCGGTCAAGAGCCTCTCCTCACCGTAGCTCAGGAGAGGGTTGTAGTATCCCATCAACATGACGGGCGCCTTCAGGCCCTGGTCTCTTGCGTCCTTGACCATCTTGAGCGTCGACTGGATCGTTACGCCATGTTGCAGCGCGACCTGTCCGCTGTCAGTTCCCCTGCGCCCTGCCAATGCACGTGTGCTCTAGCCGCCGTCGCCGCCGCCACTCACAGTGTTTGATGTCTGAATGGTCGGGCCGTCGGCGATAGGGTCGGTGAAAGGAGCGCCGAGTTCGATGACATCTATCTCGCAGTCAGAGTCGTGGTTCTTCCCCCTTTGGAAAGTCTCGTCAAGGGTTGGAGCAACTCACCAGCGCCGCCCTTCTCCATAGCCAGCAGGACATTGGGGGTGTCCTGGGGCGTCGGGTATCCGGCAGTAACGTATGTAACAAGTGCGGGCTAAACAATAGGTTGGTTGTCAGTCCAATTGCTTCCCATCTGGCCAACGCTGCGAGTCTTGGCGGTGACAATCGGCCGTCTTGGACATGTCGGCGCGCGTGGCCCCGCGATCGCAACGAGGGGCAAGAAGATAGGGCGGGAAAGGCTCACCCTATTTTGGGCCTTGCAGCGCTGGAATGTTTGTCTAATGCCCTCCATGATTATTGTGTGTGTGATACCTCCTTGTGACAATGGGTATATAGAAAGCGTGCCGTGAGAAGATGGAGAGAAAGGAGATCGAGGGCGGTGGTTACTTTTAAGAAGGAGGAACAGGAAAACAATGATCTCAAGGTGCGGGATGGACGGGAATCAGTGTCGGGGGGGGCGTATGAAAAGGCGGGATGGCCGATTCAGCGGGAGCTCCGCCTATTCAGTAAGGGCACTAACACAGCAATCTCAGAATCTGAGCCCTACGACCGGAATCCCCACGTCCGCCACCTCCCCGATGCCGGATAGCGGCCTGTTCGTCCCTAATTGAGCCTCCTGACTGGTGCAATGCCCAACGGTACTCCAGCATCATACGTACCTATCTACGATTACCTCACGGCTTCTTCCCCGCTGGCCACAAAGTCGGAGCCCGCCATTCGCGCCGTTGCGCTCCGAGGCGGGGCGGAGATGCCCAAAAGAGGAAACTCCAGATATCCCCAGTTCTTTCTCCACACCTTTTGCCGCTCCGGCAGGCAAAGAAGGACAAACTCTATTCGCCACACAGAGTACCGTGGAGTCATCGAGTAGTATTATACACCTACCTACCTACGTCGCCACACGTATTGTACGCTCACATACTACTTACTCATCAGCTGTCCCAAAGTCAATGACTCCGGGCAGTGAATTGATTCTTCCTCAATTGACATTTTGCCATTCAAGGGTCATCCCTTGGTCCCCCGTCTATCTTCCCCCATTGCTCCAAACTATACAATCCCCCACGGCTGACTCTCGCACTGCACGTCACAAAAGAGAATCCGAGCAATCCCGCCAGAACGTTGTGTTTGGTTGCAGCTAGCAGTGTGTTCTTATATCTGAAACTACCTCGAGATATGTATATATACCAAAATAGACATCCTGGTAGAGCCAGTGGTGCTGCTACAAGCACAAGAAAAATAATCATTCTCTTGATGAAATGATTCAGAACGCAAAAAAAGATGAGACCCGTTGTAGAATCGAAAGACAAAACGGTGCGGCAGATTGAGCCGTTGGTATCTTTTTGAAGACTTCTCCCTCCCTTCCCTGTGCATGAATATTGAAATAGCTGCTCATCCCAATCCAACGCCTTTGCATTTCGTGCTCTTCGTATTATCTTCAGACCGGTCGTAAATGAGGGATATCTCTCGGCGTCGGTCCAGCCCAGGCCGGAGGTAGATCAGTCTCCACCTATTCCTCCCTTCTTTTCTTTTTTTTCTTTCTTTTTTAATAATATCTTTTTTTTTTCCTTCCTTGGTGAAGCTTCTTAGATACCGTCTAGAACTTGTTAGATGACGCTGTGTCGAGGTGGCCATATGAGCTTTGTCTTTGATGGCCCTCAATGGGCTGCGCTCTGCGACCTTGTACGCTTGTCTTCTTGACGGCCTTCTCATCTCGGAACTCGCCATAGTGATCATCATCCACTGCAGATGCATCGCTGCCGAATTGAGGGAATCGCGAGTCGTTGTCGCGGGATCTGGGAGGGCTTCTCGGGCTCATGGCCGGGCGGTTGTCCCCCGTGTAGCGCAATCCGCCCTCGCTACGGCCTTTGTCTGGCATGGCCATGCCAACCAGGGCGCGCATCACACCGATGAGCACGACAATGACGTAGACGAGGAGGATCCCCGTCGAGATGAGAGCCTCCTGGATGATGCCACGGCGGAGCATATCCGTGACGTGCGTTACGGCACCCGTAACTTCGTCCGTTGACACGGATGACGGGGACGCAAGGAACGTCTGGAGGTCTGAATCCCCCGAGACGGACTCTTCGGCCCCGCGGCTGAACGTGTCGTTGGGAAACAGAGGGAACGTCACCTGCGAGTGGTCGTGAACCCACGTCAGTCCTTTTTGCACAGCCTCGATCTTGAGCCCGATGGTGCAGCGGACGACGTCCTTGATTGGGTTGATGAGGATGGTGTCGTTGAACACCGTCTCCAGCCCGGTTGCCATGGTGCTGGTGAAGGTGTTCAACGTGTCGTTGACCGCCGAGGTGGCGTTGGTGACGTATCCGAGCATGTCGTTGTTGATCTCGTTCTGCGTGGACAGCACGACACCGTTGGCGTCGACGGCCCATGACCTGGAAACGTCCTCGAGCGAGTTGACGACTTCGCCGGCGAACTCGCCCACCTGATTGGCGAGCGCAGGCACTTCTCTCTCGACTGCTCTGAGGAGGAGGTACTGACAAAGGCAGGAGAAGAAGCCGGCGATGGCAAGAGCCAGGACGAAAAGAGCTGGAAGCGACGTGGCGTATGCGACGGCCCACCGCACAAGGATCTGGCGCTTGCCCTTGAAGTGGGATGCAATCTTGATGCCCCAGGTGGCACTCATGGGCCGGGAGGCAATGTAGACCACGTCCATCGAGTCGTACTGGTTGCTGGCCATGATCTTTGCGTGTTTCCGCTCGCGCCTCCACCGCCTGATCTCCATCCACGCCATGGGCGCCATGACCAGCACGGCGAGGATGCAGAGAACGACGATGAAGATGATGCGGGCCTTCCGGATCATGTCCCGTAGGCCGTCAAAGAACTCGGCAATCCTGTTGTTGGTCGAACAGAACGTGAGCGCCTGCTTCTGGGCGACGGGGAAGACAGAGCGATCGAACTTGTAGCCCTTGTAGGCGTTTTCGACCGTCGTCTTGAGGAGGTTGAACGGGAACGAGATCGCCTCGGCGGTCATGTTCTGAACCTGTTCGAAAGTAGGAATGTTGTTGTTGAGCGTGTTGAGGTCGCTGACGAAGCCACTGGTGTCGATCTTCAGGTCGCGCAGGTCGTTGACGGGTCCCGAAAAGTCAACCTTGGGAAAGTCGGGCAGGACGTTGCCGAGGACAGAGTTCTCAATGGCGTCGACAGCCTTGTTGATGCCGTCGCTCAGGCTCTTGGACTCGCTGTCGATGACGTTGGAAATCTTGCCCACTGCATTGTTCACGGCATCGGTGAACTTCTTTGTGACATCCGAAGCGACGTCGAGTCCGCCGTGGATGAAGGCGGTGATGAGGCAGGTGTACATCGAGGTCAGCATATTGATGACGAAGATGATGAGGTTCTGGACACCGGTGATGACCAAACCGAGCACGGCGACCATGCCGTCGAGGGTCTTCTCGATGCCCTGGGCCGATAGCTCGTTCACGCCGACGGAGAGGTAGTGAGGCATGGACGCCATGGCGCTGCCAATGTCTTCGACCTTTGTGCAAGCCGAGAGCGCCTTCTGATTCGCTTCGTCGATGTTGTCGTTGAGGCTGACGACGAGCAGCAAGACTCTGGCGAGGACGAGCATGAGCAGGATCGTCCACCGGTTCAGCCAGATCTGGGAGAGCCTGGCCTGGAGACTGAGGTATGGTGTGATGTAGGGATCGGTGTCGGCTCGTGCTTGTTGCGTCTTTCTAAGTTCCGACATCTCGAGCGAGTCCGACCTGAGGGAGTCGGGGACGGCCGGGTAGGCCTCTTCTTTTTGGTTCCGTGAGGAAAACATCTTGAGTCTATTGCGAGCGTAAGAAGATGATGCAAGTGTTTTTTTTCTCTTTCTTTTTGACCAGCAAAGTAAAGTTGAAAATGAAGAAAAAGAAATAAAAAATGGCAAATTTGCAATCGAAGGAGAGAGAGCGAGAGAGAGGAGTCGACGTTGAGAAGGGAAAATTATGTGGTGGTGAAGGTCGATTGCCAGAGGAAAATTAGGTGAATCACTCGATGAACAGAATAGAGGAAGGAGAGAGCAGGCAAGGAGAATGACAAAGGAAACCCGTCAAACAGTGATTCTGAACAAACTTCTATGATTCCATTGTGGGTACGTCTTGGGTGAGGAGGAATACGCAGGACGAGGATGACTGGGAAGGACGACAGAGGCGGGAGGTGAGGAGCGTGACTGGGGAGTGCACACAATAAAAAGGAAGCCGACTAACACGGCCAGGCGCGGCAGCATCACACAGGATGCCTCCCCCGGAATCTCTAGCCGCGCAACAAGGGCGAGGGTCGAAATTAGAAAGAAGACAAAAGAAAAGGCGGCTTACCTGGTTCGCACCACAATGCCAAAGAAAGGTCGTCAAAAAGAGCCTTTTGGCCGCGGCCTTGAAAGGAAATTACCACGACTTGGCCCAGATGGGTGTTTCGTTTGGCGGCACCGGGTCAGGGTGGATTTGGGCAGAGCCGTTCTCTAAGCGCGCTCTACGGCTCCCCTCAGCCAACCAAATGCGTCGTCCGGGGTCACGATGAGCGGCTGCCCAAACGCTGCTAAGGCAGAAGGATATTTCCGGAAGACGAGACGGGGCTCTTGAGGCTCGATGTCGTGTAGCCGTATGATGAGATCGGTCGATTCTTAGCCCTGTAATAGTAGACTCGGTCCGTCTCGAAGACAGGGCTGAGCGTGTGAGAGCTGATGCGATGAGCCGGCTTGGCGAGAATGGTGAGTGATGTTGTTTTGGTTGCAGCTCCTACAATGAGGTCTTGTCGAATTGTAAGACTCTTTGCTTGAGACTTGCCGAGTGAGAACTTGGTGGTTGCGATACCAGGTGAGCAAAGGGCCAACTCAGTACGAGCCAACGGGGCGATGGCTTCATGGATGGGACGAGCTCGAATGATATACCAATCGAAAAGTTTGAGTCACTGAGCAAGGGGACACCACGGAGCCACAGATGGATGGTGCCCATCTTTCCGAAAGTCGCCATTCTGGGGTGTAGCAGAGGATGAATGGCATTTAAACGTGAACCCGGACTCGTTCATAGGCTCGGACTGGTGCGAGAGCTCACGGCAAGAATGCGCTGTGACGCCATTGGCAAACCGAGAGGGCATTACTGCGGAGAGTCCTTCCCGCCGTGCCACCTCTCGTAGGCGGGCGGCGATGGCCCACCCAGTCCGCATCCCCGTTGCGAGTCACGCCAGCGAGAGCAAACCAGGTTGCTGGTTGCCGGTGGCTGTGCCCGGAGGAGGAGGAGGAAGAGGAGGAGGGAGGGTTGGTGTCGGCGAAGAAACGGTGAGTTGACTGGCTCGGGAATAGGGTCGTCAGAACGAGTTCTCGGTTCTGGACTTGGCCGAGGTGCCGGGGAGGTAGGTAGGTACCTGGGCCTTGCGGACTGCACGAAGGGTCACCAAGGGCCATGGAGACTACCTAGGAAGAGGTCGCGAGAACGACGACGACGGCTGGAAGGCATATCCGTACACTACGAAGCGAAGTGAAGCAGGAACACAGCAAAGATCGTCAGCCAGCGAACGAATGGAGGCGGCAGATGGCTGGCGCTTGCATGGGACCCCTACTTTTTTCTTTGCCAAAGTTTGATCCAATAAGTGGACAGAGAAGGGCTGTTCGGCTCACGTCGCCAAGAGAGAACCCTTGTAAACAGATGGCAGGTATCCGTAAAGGCGGAGATGTGCAAAAACGAGAGCAAAGTATTGGTCGAGCACTTTGGGCGGGAATTTTCCATGTTGTCACTGGGTGTGTTTGCTTCTCCGTGTTGGGCATTCCATGCATCCAAAAGGTGTGTCGGCCGACGGGCGATGATCCGTGCCAAGCCTTTTGCCACACAGCGAGTGAATGCGAAAACCGGTTTGCGACAGGAACGGCCTCTTGACGGTTGATCCTGGCCGGGCAGCAGTTCGAAAGCTTACTTGATGAAGATTCCACTAGCAGTGACATGGTGGAAGTGTTCATCCCAAGCCATTAGCCACGTCGATACGTAAGGTGTCTGTCTAGGTACCCGGGCACCCAGGTAGGTAGTGTGCCTGAGTACCTACCCACAATACTTTACTGATAAGGCTACCTAGGTAGACAGACATTACTTGTACAGATAAGAGTCGGGAGGCAAGAAAGGGAAGGAGGGCTCCTCGGTGCACACCTTCTTCTCCTTCCTTGGTTTCCCGACGTTGCCCTCGTCTTGCCGAAGGCAGGCAGGCAGGCAGGTAGGCAGGTAGACAGGTGCAGTCGGGCGAGGGTCAGGCGAGGACAGGTCCTTCCTCGTGCGCGATCATCCAGACCCCAAAAGCAAGGTACCATCGATCTCCTGCCCGTCGGCTAGGTACCACCCACAGTAAAAATATGGTTCCCGGTTTCTTTTCGAATGGCAGATGCCCCACTAAACAAGAAACTCACTCGTACCTGCCCTGTGCGCCTTTCTTCGTGCATGCGTAGTCGTCTCAAGTTCTGATGCTGGCAAGGAATGATTGGTCGGTGCTGGCCCGGGCTCTGCGACGATGGGCGCTTCGCTGCCGGACTCAACGCACGCTGCGAGCGAGCCATGTCTGCGGCAGAGAGACGGTAGGTTCGAAGCTCCTGTCTATGAAGGAGAGAGACTCGTGATCCCGCGAGGGTATAAAGCTAGTGGTATTTCTTGTCCCGTGATGGAATCTTTGGACCAGACTTGAACATTACAGCGAAGAGAGTCCGTCGAGCTGTATGCCGGCGTCGTGAATCAAGGCCGCCGCCGCCGCCGCCGCCTGCTTTGCTGCTTTGCAGCCATCAAACTCTATCTCGTCTCGTCTTTGCATGACATCCCAGTCGGGTCATGTCGTGTTTCCCGCTAGGAAATATAAGCCGAAGTCTCACTGTCCGTGATTCAAATATAGGCGGATGCAAATACTCGGAGTGTCACCCATCCGGTGTGGCCTGTGCTCTTATCGAAGGGTCTCCCTCTTATCTGGAGATGTCTTATCGGAGCCTTTCTTATGTTATCGATGGCGGCCCAAGGTAGGGTCCCGGATAAACAAAGGTCCGACGTCTTCCAAATTTTCACACCAGTGCCACTTGCCAACCTCCTGCCCTCCTTCCCCCCTGCCATCCTGCCCCTGACCTATTTGCCGACAAGGCCTTTGCGCATTCCACATCGCAGCTGAGTGTAGACTGTAACGACCCACGGGAAGGAGCAAATCTCGCAGCTGGATTTGGCAGGCGGTCTCATCAAAACTTCAAACCTCCAAGGAAAACGTCTCGCGCTCGACTTGCCCTCAGCGTTGCTCCAAGCCGACAACATCAATTTGCGAATCCTGCGCGTGCGAATCTCGTTTAATCAAGACGGTGCCCCTTTTCGTCGCCCGACTTTGACCTCAATTTTGTGATTTTGCTGGGCATTGATACTGATATCTGTCACCTGATTGAACCCACTCTCGAAATCAGCCCGACTCACTCAGATTTGCGCCGCGCTGAAATTTTATCTCGCTCTCTAAAGTCTTCCCACCCACCACCACCTCTCTCTGACGAAGCCGCAACTCATTCTTCCATCGCGTACTCTTATCTTCGCACGCGACAGCCAAAATGGCCGAACCACCTCGTGATATCTCCTCTATCCTTGCCGCCCTAGGTAGGTGCCCAAGACGCGACCCGACCCGACCCGAGCATTGTGTTGTATGCACTGCCCATCAATCCCCTTGACTGACTGCTTCGTCTTTCCTCAGGCGCCGCACAAAGAGGCACATCTTCAACACCCGTCCAAGGCCAGCCCGGCATGCCTCCTGGATACCCTCCTCCCCCCGGCGCCCAAGCGCCCCCTTCATACCCCCCAATGCCCCCGCAGAGCGCTCCTCCCTATGGTGCCGCCTACCCGGGTCTGCCTCAGCCTTCGGCCAGCGGCAGCTTGGATCTCAGCTCCATTCGCCCTGTCAACTCTGGCACCGTCAGCATCGCCGACGCCATCGCTCAAGCCAAGGCCTTTGCTGCGGAAAAGGGCGTCACCTCGTATGATCGACCCATTGTCTATTCCAACGAGTCTCCCCGCGGCCCGGACTCTCGCGGCTACAGCAGGACCTCCCGCTCGCGTTCGCCTTCCAGCCGTCGCGACCAGTTCCGCGACAACTTCAACCCCTACAGAGACGAGCGTCGAGGAGATGAACGTCCTGCTCCGCGAGACTACGGCCACGGTCGCGAGCGTTCCTACAGCCCCAATCCCCGCGGCAACACCTTCTCTCCTCGCAACCCCAGCGGTAGAGAGCGATCACCTCTCAGAGGTAGCGGCGGCAGCGGCGGCGGCGGCGGCGGCGATGACAATGCCGAAACCATTCAGATCGAGTCGAGCCTTGTTGGCCTCATCATCGGCCGTCAGGGCGAGAACCTCCGTCGGATCGAGTCAGAGTCCACCTGCCGGGTCCAGTTCCTTCCTTCCAGCGATAACGGCCCCTTCCGCCAATGCAAGATCACCGGTCCCAGAGCACGACGCACCGAAGTCAAGGAGGCCATCAACCGTATCATCGATGACAGCGGCATGGGGGCCATCAACCGTGGCGCAGCCAATCCCAAGGGTCCCGCTTCCCGTGACCATCGCGCTGGACCCCCTGGTGCGGCAGCAGGAGCGGCAGCTCTGCGGGACGGCGAGGATTGCATGCAAATCATGGTCCCCGATAGAACCGTGGGCCTGATTATCGGACGTGGAGGCGAGACCATTCGGGATCTGCAAGAGCGCTCTGGCTGCCACATCAACATTGTGGGAGAATCCAAGAGCGTGAATGGGCTTCGTCCTGTTAACTTGATCGGCTCTCGCGAATCCGCTGCTCAGGCCAAGGATCTCATCATGGAAATCGTTGAAAGCGACAGCCGAAACGACGGCCAGCCCGTCGCCCCCTCGAAGAAGCCACCGAGGCAGGACGGCGGCCACCAGAGAGACTCCGGTCCTGGAGGCGGCCCCGACAAGATTCACGATGCCATCTACGTTCCCTCCGAGGCCGTTGGCATGATCATCGGAAAGGGAGGCGAGACCATCAGAGACATGCAAAACGGCACCGGATGCAAGATCAACGTTGCACAGTCTTCCGGACCAGGCGAGGTTCAGCGCGAAATTGCTCTCATTGGTTCCCGTGATAGCATTACCCGTGCCAAGCAGGCGATCGAGGAGAAGGTTGACGCAGTGGTGAGTCAATTTCCGAATCTGGCAGGTCGACACGTGTGGTTACTAACCTGCACAACAGCGCCAGAAGAACTCTGGAGGTGGTGGTGGCGGCGGCGGCGGCGGCGGTGGTCGCGGTCGCCAGAACCAGGACTATGACAGGAGCTACTCTCAACAGGCATCTAACCCACCAGCATCAGGATCGACTAATCAGCCAGCTGCCCAAGCTCCCGTTGGAGCCGACGGCGCCGACCCGTACGCGCAGTGTAAGTGCATGAAGAACACGGGCAACATCTCGAACGCATACTAACATGCTGCAGACGGAGGATACCAAAACTATCTCGCCCTCTGGTACCAGTCCCTTGTATATCAACAGCAACAAGGCGGTACAGCCGGCCAGCCCGGTACTCAGCCTCCACCGGGCTCCTCGTAGGGGAAGCCGCATGCGCTCTTGTCCAGTTGGGGGCCATGCTTGTGTGATGTGATTGATTGATCACTTGCCATGGACCTCGACATGATGCCTCTTTTCGCATTACGTATACTGAAACGCCGCACATGCACATTGATTCCTGGCTCATGGCAGTGCACATTTACCAAATCATCCGACGACTGATACCTCCATACTGCTGGACTCGGAACAGCACAGCGCCAACTTGTGTTCTTTTTTTCCTTTTTTTTTTTTTTCTTGGACAATACCACGAACTGGAACGGACATCGAAGAGGAGGGGGGAGGAGACAAGCTGCCTATGATTTCGCTTCGCTGAATTCTCGGTGCACCCACTGCCTTCGACGTTTGACGATGATGATGGCACTCTTCGCTTGCACATGATGCTTGACTGGCATGACTGGGAATTGGACTCCTGACATGGAAACGGTGCGTGATGCCGCTCTGCGACATGGTTCTACTGCCAAATCTCCATGACCCACGCCCTTGGCGCCTATGTGATGGGCTGGGATACTGTCGTGCTGGCCCTCGGATATTCATGGACTTTGCGGTAGTGGCGTGCTTCCCCCCATGCGGAATCTTGACGGGTGGCCATGATGACGCTTCGAGACGCCTGCCAGGTGGTCTTGACGCGCGAGAGAGATTTGGTTATGGGTCCTAAGACAAGCCGCAACTTTGGCCTACGGTCGACTGCCTCAAAACCGTCTTGATTGAATCGTTCCGTGGGTTCCGTGGTCAATGCTCTACCTCGAGAAAAAGCTTGCTCGCGTTCTTATCAAGGTTCTCCCGTACAGCCCAGGTCTTCTTCTTGGTCTCTGCGGATATGATGCCACGCTGGTTTCTCTCTTCACGCAAAGCTGATGCTACTGATTCCCCATTTCCCTGTTTGTTTGTTTGCTTTTTTGTCTTTTTGCCTGGTAGGCGACGCGATCAGAGACGGACGATGGGCATGAAAAAGAAGGAGGGGAAAAAAGTAAAAGGAGCACTGCGATTCTGTATTAATATTAATTACTGTGTCAATTGATTCCCATGAGTATACGCGTCTCATGAGATGCAGCTGGTGCAGACTTTGCCCAGAACAAAGACCGCCGTGGCACAACCGACATGGCTTCAGGTACTTTTTTCCGTTTGTGTTTGTGACATGAGAATCTGACAAGCAAACTCCAACCTCGTCAGGACCACACCACCGATGTTTGACCATTGTTCACTTTGCTACAACGCAACGTAGGACTGCGATTCTGAGCCTCGGCCCTTTTCACATGGAATCTCACATGCACCCTCTACTCCGTCTCGTCTGCAGTGTAAATGTGGTTCGGTTGCTACGGTCTCCGGGGGAACCCTGCTCCAGACTCGCACATGGCCTCACGGACATTACCTATTCGAGATGTGGGTTGCGGAACATTTTTGACAGCTAGGACACCCGCCTACCAATCCAACGACAAGGAAAGGGGGCACTGGGTGTCCGAGTCGTTCGGGGGTCGTGCGTGCGTGCCTGTGAGCCAGCCGCCTGGCAGAGAATGAGATGGGGGGCCTTTTGCATGCGGTGGAAGAGAAAGAGAGAGAGAGACAGAGACCCGGGGGCTTGGTGCAGTAATGCCAACGCGCCTTGATCTGGACGGGTGGCTGACGAGACACATTCTTGGGACGAAAAAAAAGTCAAGAGGATGTCTGGCACAGAAGCACGCACATTGGCTCGGGGGTAACACTGAGAAAGGGACGTTGAGCAGACCATCGTCGGCAGCGCGCCACCGTTTGATGGACGAGCGCGAGATCCGTATCACTCATAAGGGTCATCGAACAGACGTCGAGGCTTATCTTGCGTCTGCGACATTTTGGGGGCCTTGCGCGCGCGCGCGCGCATGCCGATGGATCCCGCGTCCGTGCCGGCCCGGTTCTGCGCTGCCGACCTACAGCCCGCAGATTTATTCTGCCCCATCGACGCGGGAGGAAGGGGGAGAAGGAGATAAGACGGATCGGCGAATGTCGCTTGCTTCAGAGACATACATGCCTCAGTGGTGACGCATGCAATGGGAGAAAGAAAGCTCCGTCGCGGCCTACACTAGCATTTCCGGGGGAGGAGAGCCCGAGCATTTCCCCCTGCCATGTCCCGTCCTGTCATATCATGGGACGACCGCGGACCGAGTCATGCGGTAAGGTTAAGGTTATGGCATCGGCATCCGCCGCGCAGAGACTGGCAAGGAGATTAACCGTGTTAGGGTGCCGTATGTCGTCTGCCTTCGCACACTGCGCACACGCGTGTGTACACGGGGCAACATCGCGCTTGGGATTCTCATCTCCGGCGGGGCCAAGCCGGGCGAGAAGCGAGGCGGGATGGGATGCGTATCTGAGAGATGCTGCAGATGCTGAAAGAAGGAGAGAGAGAGAGAGAGAGAGAGAGAGAGAGAGACCGCAGAGCTGAAAGGGGAAAAGGGGTCCAGGCGACTCCAGCGAGAGAAACAGCTAGCTTTTGGAGTGTGAACATCCTCCGGTGTTTGGAGTGTCCTCCTCGTGTATCGGCGGTCCACGATGTTTCTGCCCCATCTGTGTTCTGGCCGCATATGCCCGATCCAGTGTTGCATCGCAGGGTTGATAGGGGGGGTTGTTCGTGAGGGGAGCGGGTATTACATGGGAGCGGTATGTGTGTACACAGAGGCTACCCGAGTCCATGCTTTTTTGTTCTAGTCTCTGGAGAGTTGCATGTCTGGGGAAGCGGCCTCGCGTATCTTGCAAGGGATCGGTAGGAGAGACACGACGACACGGGGAGAAGCAGAGATTCGGTGCCTAGGCAGTTCAGATATGCGGATCTGGGCGAGACAGGCTGATGACTTGGAGACAAAGAGATCTGCCGCTTGCAAGGGAGCTGTCCGTCCATACCTACATACATCCATACATATCCGCCCATGCTCGAGCTGTCATTGACTCAAGTTGCAGCATGCAAAGTGACATGCAGCATTGCATTGCGCAGCCCATGATCCATGCTTCTCCCAGTTTGCCCAACCTTTTTTGACCACACCCGCCAACTCCCCCCAACCTCTCTCTTCCAAAATAAACTTCCCGTCAGAGAAGGTTGACGTGCTTTTTGCCTTCTGTTCCCCTTTTGGTCTGTGCTGATATTTGGCGGGGAAAAAGAGCGTGTAACGAACAAGGAGAGAGGGGGGGGAGAAACACACGTTCGACGCCGGGTTCGTCCAACAGACGCCGAAAAGGCCTGGCATGTCTCGTAAAACCTGATGAGGAGACCGGGTCCATCCGCTGGATGCCATACCGCCTTGTTCTCAGGGCTTTTTGGGGCATGGAATGGAACATGCCGCGGCAAAACCATGGTGCGTTTGTTAGCCGTGTTAGCCGGAGCCAATGCACAGAAGGTGGCTTTACCGCTGCTTCACTGCTCATCCATCCCGTTGTCCTTGACGGTATTCTTCCTCCTCATCATCATCATCATCATTATCCTTCATCCTTTTTGTTCCCCTGTCCCACAGACAGGGCCGGTGAGGGGGGGGGGCTTCCCGTGCCCACCTCCTCCCCGACGGGCACCCTGCGGGGGGGTGGGGAAGCTGCGTGTGATATCTGCCGTGTGTGTATGTATGTATGTATGTGCAGGGGTGAAAATATCTCGAGTTTAAGAGCACGGCAATTCGAGAGCGGGCACAGGGATCTGGAGGCGGAGGCCTGGCCTGTCACGGCCGCTGCTGTTGATGCTACTAGCAATTCTGCATCTGGACTACTGCAAAGCGGTTGCTAGCCTCATGTGCAAAGGGCGCTTCTGACTGATGCTTTTTTTCTTTTTTTTCCCTCCGATGCAAAAGCCCGGACCTTGTATTCCCTCGTCTGGCTTCTTGCTGACAGGAAAGGGACTTTGACATTGCGCTGATCCCGTTCCCTCCCCGATCTGCTCGTCCCGGCCTACCCCGGACTTCCGCGCTCTCTTCTCTTCTCCGTGTTTTGTTAGTCGCTTGTTTTTTTCATCCCCTTGGCGGTCGATTGAGCTCCCGAGTTGTGCTAGAGCCCCTTGTGTCGATCACTTCTAAAGCTTTGTGTCGGCTACCGCTGCCTCATCCTTCGAGGCTTCTTAGTCTTCTCTTTCTTTCTCCCATCACACATTCCTCACTCTTTGACCGTTGCGAACTCTTTCTCTTTTTCCTCTCCCACTTCTTTTCCAGGGCGAGGTTACAATTGACGCGGAGAGAAAAAAGAAAAGAAAAAGAAAAAAAAGAGAAAAAAAAAAAGGGAAAAAAAACCTACCTCCCGACAAACGGTCCCGGAACCTCCAAAACCCTAGACTCGTCTCACCCATCCGCCATTCACCTACCTACACACACTAATCAACACACATACCGGTATCAATCTGTCCATCCTTTTCCTTTTTGCAAGTTTCGAGGCCCCCCCCGCCGACTTATCGGTGCTGCTATTCCCTCCAAGCCCAAACCAGCCCCGTCGGTCGCTCAAACGTCAAACCATGTGTCGCCTCGTGCTCTTCGCGGGCACCTGCACCCGCTGCAACGAGTCCCTCACCTGGGCCGACCTCTCGCAGGAGCTGTCGTGTCTCGAGGCCAAGAACGTCGACAGCTTCGGCTCGTGCCGCCGCGGCGTCGACGTCGAGACGCACGCCTTCGACCAGGAGTGCGACGCCTGCGCCGGCGAGGACGAGGGCGTCGCGGGCATGGACTTTGGAGACCAGCAATATCAACAACAGTACCAACAGGCGGCATCGGCTTCGGCGTCAACGTCGGCGTCAATAGCGCAAAGCTCGAGCAAGAGAGGCAGCGGCGGCAGGGCAGACGGAGAGGGGAGGTCGAAGAAGAGAGCGAGGACATGAGGTCCCTCCCCCCCCACGACAGAAATGGCAAATGGAACGACTGAACGAATCGGAGACTGCTTTCTTCTCCTGGCGAGGTGTTTTGGTGTTCGAAAGGACTGGGTGGCGTTGGGATTACGAGCTTTGAGATCAGCGTGACGGGCGCATTCTGGCGCCGTCATCAATCGGAAGCATGCAGGTACTACGGGCACACGAAGACACGATAACCAAGACAGACGGACGACATGGTTGGAACTGGAACGCAGCGTGCGGGACGGGACACCTCTGCAGCATGACTGGGGAGGTGGGAGAGAAGGAAGAGGGGGGGGAGGGGACGCCATTAGTCCGCGTTTAGTGGCGTGGCGATCGGGAGGGGCTTCTCGTGGGGGAATCCGGCCGTCTTGGCATGCGGATGATCACCGGCGCTCATCTCGATCCTGACCGGGGGAACGTCGAGAGGTCATGCGCTGACCTGACGGTAACACGTGTTCTGCAATCGAGAAAAAGGTTTGGTCTGGTTTTGCTTGGAAAAGAGCTTGAGATCAACAACAGACGGAAAAGCCTGACGAGCCTTACCGCCGTCGTCAACGACATCTTCGTTGTGGCGTATTATGACTAGTTTATCATACTTAGTCGCCGACTCTAGAATGAATACGACGTAATCGTTGCCTGCCAACTCGCCATGACCTCCTCAACAAGAAGCCGGCTTACGAATGCCGTCCCTCCGCTGTGTTTTTGTCTCCATTCCTACCCTTGATTTCCGTTATTTCGTTCACCCAGCTCTGCTTCAATATTCAACCGTTTACCCTTTTCTCAGAGGCCCGTCTTTAGAGGCCCGTCTTCGGAGGCATATGTCGTCTTCGTCATCGAAACATCCCATGTACCCCCTTCTCCGTGGTTCGAGCCTCGTCCGGCGAGAAAGCTCTCCCTCTTTTGGCCATATTGAATTTGTAAAGCAAGCGCAACATGGAAATATGCTTCACGCCATAACGTAGAAATTGAACTGAAAAGGCCTACCCATACTGCTAGTCTCGACATGTTGCCAATAACTTGCCTTGACCCAATTGTGTTCTCTTCTGTTTCGTAACAAAAGCGCCTGCGAGCTGCTCGCCGTGCCCTACCAGCTCTCATCGTCGACCCATCCACCCGGTATACGCAAAGGTGGGTTCTCAACTTGCTCCCAAAAGTCTCCAGCGTACTCCCACGCGTCAAGGTCCCATGTGAATTTCCAATCTTCAGGCTCAGGCCCATATGTAAACCCTACGAGCTTCCACCCCGAAGCGCCAAGTTGCCCAATATCGCGTGACATGTTTTCATGAAGCCATCGTGGACTTTGTAACGAGCCATGAGTGAGATAGATCTCGAGCTCCTGCCTGCCGTATTCGGCTAGGTCTACTCCAGCGGCCTGCATGTCCTCGAGCCATATCAGAAATGCTTTTTGAGCAAAGCGTGGCTCTGAGCGGCCGATTCCATGTGTAACCCATAATAAATAGTATTGCAATTCGACCAACCCACCAAAAACTCGCATGGGCCAAGGTGGTCTCTTTTTCATTTGGTTAAGGTCCCTCGCTGACAACCCCCCGAAAACCCATCGTGCAAGTTCCCGCCAGTGGTGGAACTTGTTGTATACTTTCCCACTCATTTTGTTTGGGTAATAGTAATGGATGCCGTCACGAATCAGTTCACGGAAATATGTCCATACGAAGCCGTAGATGGAGCTCTCAGGGGAAAAATCAAGAACCGGTCGAAAATCTGCAGGTTCAAGGTTACCGCTTTTTTGTATATCGTTGAGCAGGACTTCGGGGGCGACATAATGCCACATCAATCGTTGAAAACGTGCGTCGAGGGGAAGTCGATAGTATGAATCCAACCCTATCGATCTTTTTATCACCATGTCGAGGACTCCAGGTATACGCCACATAAGCGCTGGAAAGTTACATGATAGTCCAACTTTTTCAGGCATGAAGAAGCGCTCGATATCACCATCGAGTTCGCCGGTATCCAGTAAAAATTGAACCAACCTGGATGAAGGTACTTCGTCGTTAATATGTAGTATCTTCGACCCCAAGTAGTTCAACGGGGTCATATTTTGATTCTCCACAATATCCAGGCTCAACCCCATCTCGATTAAAGCTTTGGTGATATCGCATTGAGAATAAAATATGGCATGCTGTTCACAACAGTCAGCTGATTCCTGATTCAAGGGGTTTGATTGTTAAAGTACGTACGTGCAACAATGTCGATCCATACTCATCAACATCCTGTAGAGAAGCTCTGTTACTCTTCAAGGCTTTCATAACATCATCCAGAGAGCCTTCGACGATATAATTGAAAATCGGGTCGCTTCTGGGTCTCACTGTCCAGGGCTTGAGCGAAACTTTCCATCCCGTGCACGCTCTGTAGGCCTGAAAATCCCAGAATGTCTCTGATACCCACCTCGGAAGCTGGACGCGTGCCTGGCGGACTTTTTTTCACGTCAGTAGACGCTTTTCGAAGTGGGATTTTCAAACTAGGCTTACCTTGGATATCGGGATGATTGGGATCAGAGACCGTGCGGTAGACAAACCCGCCGAAGAAGGAGGCTTTTTGCAACGGCATCGCGGGCGCTGTGAGCTCATGGCGAGTACTTTGATACATATTTCGTCTGGCCAGCCTGTTTTCAGAGGCGCTTTGGGGCTGAACAAGCTGTTGTAGTGTTCTTGTTTGAGCTGAATCTGCTTGGGGGGCTGGATCCGGGAATGTCAGGAATCGAGATTTGACCACAGAACTATACATGCTGCGTTAATAAAGCGCCCAAATCGCTTTCAGCACAGAAAGCATACGTACATTGTGTAAGTCTGCTGCGAGAGGGACAGAAGCTGCAAAGCAAATTGTATCTTCTCTTGATAGCCGCGAATCTGCTCCTTCTTGAAGGTGACCTTCAGCTTCGTGATATTTCTCCTAGACCTCTTCGCCGCTTCGATCCGCGACCGCAAATCTTCGGCCAACGCGTCGAGCTCCGCCACGGCCTGCTGGCAGTACTCCATGCTGAGGTTCGCCGCGCTGTTGTGGTACACCTTGTGCGTCTGCTGCGTGAACTCGGACTCCATCTCGGCGAGCACGGGTCTGACAACTTCCAGCTGCCGGACGAGCTGAGAGATCTCGTTGGGCACGTCCTGGACTTCGTCCCACAGCTTCTTCAGCTTGATGATGCTGCCGCCGAACTTGCCCGCCATCTCGGCCACCGTCAGCGCGCTCACGACAACGCCGAATACCTCCGCCATCGTGGTGTTTGTTTGCTTCGTCCCTCGGCGCTTCTGGGGCGCCTTTCGTGCTTGGTTTGGGTCGTGTACAAGTCGGGTTGCGCGGGGAGAATCGCAAGATGATCAGTCTCAAGAAACAAATTTGTAGCGTCAAAGTCAGACTGGGATTGAAATGTGCGAGAGGGGGCAGCCTTATGGTCAGTACAAGGGACTGCATAGCCACCAAAGGTCCTGCAGGCTTTCAGGCTTTCCTGCAGGCTACACGAAGTCGCGCATGCATAGCCAGTAGAAAGAGGCCAAGGGGAACAGGGGGGCGCAGGTACGTGGCTCAGCTTTTCGTTGGCGATCTCGGCCTCTCATTAGCCAGTTCTACGTTCTCTCTAACATCTTGCAGCAAAGAGGATTCTGACTTGCTAAAGAACTATATGGGGGTTTAAACGTCACGTGAATAAAAGTGCCTATTGACTGTTTGAAGTTGCCTAACGGAGGGAGTTGTTGTTTGCTAGTGAATTGGCAGGCTGGCCGGCCAGCCGCTGGATTGTAAGTCGCCATTAGCAGAAGCTATACACACACACACACACACACACACACACACAATACAATGCCGTAGGCCCCTGGCTGTTAATTAAAACACTAAAAGTTCACCATATGGTACGAAACACCTTATATTTAATCACTTCGTGCCACGAAGCAGCAAGAATAAGCCTAAGCTAGTGCCCTACTCAGAAGAAGAAAATGGAAGCAAAAATGACAGACTCAGGTCAACTATAACAAACCGACAGAAGCCTCCTTTGGCCAGGGTGCTATTAGTTTTTGCCCAGAAGAGAAGTTGTAGAGAGTTAGGTTGGATTCTGTTGTGCAACAGTGCCCACTATGGCCGTGGAAATCCTAGCCCTGTTGCGTCTGGCTGGACATATCTAGCAAACCATGTATCCATTGTTGTTGTGGATGTTCTCATCTATAGGCACACATTACTCTTAGCAAGACTTTTATAAGGCTTAGTATGTACATACTCAGGCTCCTTTGGTTCTGGCACCAGACACCATCAGCAGATTCGCATTCGGCTCGCACGCTGAAGCCGTCAACGATATGGGCATTATTACAGGTTCGGAATGCGTACCCACTAAGTTATCCGCGTTAGCTATGAGAGAGGACCATTTGGTGCAGTAGAGACGCACTCTCGAGCCCACTGGAGCCAGAATCCGTCGTTTGCGAAATAATTGTTCAGTTCAATGTCAGAAAGAACCCATTGCCCAATGGTGTTTTTACATTCGCAGGACAACAAAGAACCGGAGATGATTTGGCATGAGCGGCAGCTCTCCTGGAACGATCGAGCGGCACTTTTGTCGTCTCCTACTTCGACTGCTGCACTGTTGTCGTCTCGAACTTCGACTTCTGCACTGCTGGCAGCGGATACCGGGCTTCCGAGAGCCAGCACAGGGGCAAAGGCCAAGATTGCCTTGATGACGGTGGCGGAAAGCATGCTGAATGATGGTCTTTCGAAGTTGGCGAAAGGTCTGACGAAGGGAGTGAAAATGGTTTCCGGAAACAGGAGAGGAGGTGTGATGGCAGCTGAAAAAGATGCTGATGATACCAGAAACCGTTTTGTCGACCCTGGGGGCAGGACATGTTTATATAGAATTTCTTTGATCAATGTGAAAGCCTTGGTTAGTTCGGTTGATGAGCATGCAATTACTCTCATTGCCAAGCCAATCATCCTATCGATTTTCAACTGACGCCAACTTACCCTAGACAACACTTTTGGGCACAATGCAAACTAAAGAAACTGCTGACGAGTTTGTTAACTCTTGTCTGTTTAAGACTGAGCAGAGCGGGCGACGTGTTAAAATGAGTGACTATAGGTAGACTGACTGCGTCAACTCTGGGTTATACGTTAAGCTAAAGTAATAGTAAGGCTTTGTTTATACACTTGCTACCTTTGAGTAATAATTAAACCTATCCTTGACTATAGTTCACTATAACCTTAGGGTCTAGGTCTTTAGGGGGTTAGATAGCAGAGGTAGTAGCAAAATAAGCCTAAAGGCCTACACGTAGTTAAAAAATTAGATCACTAGTATTTTTGAGACTATTTATAACAGAATTATCTTTGTCTAATATTCTATTGGATACTACTCTTTAAATTGGATGTCTATTGGAGCTCCATCTAGCCAGGTACAGATCTTACGTAGCGCATCTAGGTCATTCTAAGGAAGAGAAGTCTACACTGTTTTGTTATACTATTTATATATACAGCCAACACTATCTAAACTTACTCTAATGTGACAGCACAACCTAAAATTAATAATGACCTATGTGTTCCTACTGATTATAATATTGCTTGGATTGAGGTCATTGTGGACAAGTCTAAGTGAACAGAGATGCCTTATACTAGCCTTAATAGTATCTAGTTATTGACTATAGTTACTAAGGTCTTAGTGAGTTATTATAAACTTCCTCTTTATAAGGCTCTGTGAATTAAATGCCTCTATTAGTGTCTTTTTGTATCTTTAAAAGCAGATGCCTATAATTCTGCTGTCTGAGACCTAGTAACTAAGGTATCTTGTGATGTTAGGGTGTAGGTTTTGTTCTAAAAGCTTATAGGTTTGAATCTTAGCAAGAACATTATCTGCAATATTGTTTGGCAAAGTGCCTTGGTGAATGCGATCGTAAGAGAGGAAACTAGGCTTTTTGACGTATGTATTAGGTGGCAGCGGGTCAGGCGCTTGTGTGTAAGTTGGCGGAAAGGTAGGACTGTAAGCGGTAGCAGGAATCTGAATCTTGTTGGTAAGCTGGCTGATGCTAAGTTCAGATGCTACTAGGCCACGGTCCTTGCTGACTCCATGGTAGATATCCTTGCTGTCCCTATAGACAATAAGGGTGCCAGCGAACTTGTACTCGCCGTCATCCTCTTTGAATGCCTCCGTCGTGTCCAGGATTTCGACGCATGTAGTGGGCAGGACTAGGGCCATTGAAAGGCTTACGTCGGCGGATCTGTGAGCTACGTGGCTTTAATCAGTTTAAAAGAAAACGCCTATAACTTCGGAAATCATGTTCATACAGATGTTCATTTTCAACAGTGGTGCTCATGTTGCCTGAATGTACACAAGTGCTAAGGTCAGGGCTGAGAGATAGCGAGGCTACGCCACAACTTAATTGCTGAAGAGCTATGGAAGCCTGTCCGTGAGTGCGTCCAAGTCCATCCTATATACAAGTCCTGTTCCTGTCGGTGTGCCATAGAGCAACAGCCGTCTGTTGGTCCTTTGCCTGGAGCACTTCTTGTCTATTGGTCCTTTCTTATTATCACGTCATATAACAGTCCTGTTTGTCCTATAAAGAACCCTTAGCTTTACTAGGCTTTGACCATGTAAGATGAGGTTAATACCTTTTTTTGGGGGTTTTTTAGACACTGTCTAACAGTTTACCCAGACCAAGAAACAATTTTTGCGTCTGTCCACGTAGTCTTCGCAGGTGCACATAGAGGTCCAATTTTAGTACTGTGACCCATAATGTATAGGGTGTCGCCGGGATAAGCGGTTTTGGTGACAGAATGCCACTTGCCGTCCTCGAGAAATTTAAGTTGAAGAGTGCATAGACCAAGCGTTGCTGGGAGATAAGCCGCGGCGAGAGCGAGAATAGCGAAAGTCTTCATGGTTGGCAAATAGCAAAACAAGTTTATAAGAAATGCGAAGGTGGGGTTGGTAAATGTAGTAATGGTAAATGATAGAAGTTGGATACAGAAAGATTTAGTTAAGTTCTATGCTAGGCCCTTCTTATATAGCTTTTAGCTATTGCTTAAGTGTAATATATACTAGAAAATATAAAGTATTATAATATATATATATATATAGTAACTTTACACTTTAGCTTTTTACTGTATATAATTTACAAAGTTAAGTACATTGTTTATTAGGGATCTGTTTTTCTACTAATTAAAACTACATTAACCTATAGTAGTGTATAATTTAACGCATCCTCTAGTATTATAGAACACTATGCGTTCTAAACACATGCAGCTTTATAGTTAGCTCTGTAAGAAGTTATCCCTTAAGTTGCAAAATAACCTTATTATCCTCTAGGTAGATCTACCCCCACTTTTACCTCTCACTTTTGGACATACATGACAGTACAATGTTATTTTGTTAGCAACTACCACTAAATTCAACATTATCACCTGCATTATTATTAACGCCACAATGTCTTCTGATTCAGATACCTCTACTGCCTCTATTTATAGTACTATTTACGTAGAGGTCCTGCTAGAGGACCTTGCTGTTGCCTACTTAGATACGTATATCCTAGAGTAGTGTAATAAGGTAATAGTTTAGCCTAGCAAAGGACCTAGTAGGGCTACTGACTAAGACTATAATGTATCTTTATGCAAAGGTCAAGATTGCTGGTACCTTTAGTATAGGCAAAACGCTATTCCTTTAGTTACAAACTGACCTCACTAACCCCTAGGCGGACCCACTCCCACTTCTACCACTCACTTTTAGACATACATAATAATATATTATTTTAGAATACTACTTTATTAGCAACTACTACTAAAATCAAAATTATCACTAACATTATTATTAAAATTATTACTAAAACTATAATAACCTTTCACTTAGATACCTCTATTTCTAGTACTATTTACGTAGAGGTCTAGCTAGAAGAGCAGTGTAATAACGTAATAATCCAGCCTAATAAGCCTAGATTATAATGTGCCTTTATGTACAGGTGGAGATTGTTAGTATCTTTGGCATAGGCAAAACGCTATATGAATAGAAGTACCTTGAAACTATTGGCTTTCGGCGTTAATTACTGTGACCTGATTTGCTCCTACCCCTCACGGAGGATAATGAGGTCATTTCGCAACTAAAGGGATAGTGATTATGTCTGTATTGTTGTCCTACCTGTGTAACGGCCTTGCCGAAGCTCTTGGCCTAGTAGTAGACACCACTACCCTGGCCAGGATCCACCACGGAACCTACGATGCGGGTTTATCCGACGGCCCGTGCAGCCAAGACCCGATTAGACCGCCAGTTGGCTGGTGCTAACGAATGCTAGGGGTAGGACCTTGCTAGTTTCTTTGCTAGATTTCTTAAGGGGAGCGGTTAACAGGCAGACACATTGCGGGGCAGCACTTGAGTCATCAAAGTACTTCTTGAAGTCTCTCGCTTAATCCTGCACAGACCTACGCACAGACCAGCTCACCCTTTTCCCAGAGAAAAAAGAAGAAAACAGAGATATCTCTATTAGCTTAAGGTGCATCTAGAATATAGTAGTATAAATTAACTTTTTAGAGGAATTTACCCTTAGAGACTTCCCTTTAAGTTCAAGATAATTAGGCTATAGTATACACTATTATAGAAGCTCTATTTTTCTCTTTTTGTTAACTTAGAAGTTAAGGATTTAAAGTTGGTGGTGTAGGGACAGAGAAGTTGGTGGTGTGGGGACATAAGTGACTTAAGAGGAGGTGGGTCAGTACTTTGAGATAGTCTGAGATGCTAAGGTTTAACCCGCAATCTGTCTGCCTGTTAAGTCAGCCCCCCCCTATTTCACGCTCCCCCCTATTTTGCGTATTCTATTTTAAATCTTTTATAAATTAGGGAGTAGCCCTAGAAGAGTAAACAAGGAAGTATAAAATAAAGAAAACTATAAACTATCTTAAAATAAAGTTTATATACTTATACTATATATACTAAGAAAGGGCAGGGCATCTAGGCCACCTAACAAAGGAAAAGAGGAATAGTAAAACATAGGAAAACCACCTATACTATAACAACGTCTAATAATAATAATATATAGATTAATTAATAGGTCTTGCAATTCTTAGACCTAATCTACAAAGATACTAAAATAAAAGTATAAATTAACAGAGTAATTATAAAAAGAGTAAATTTCTCTAAATAAATAAAAGTGTAGTAATAACTAGTAGTATATTTCTATATAGAGTATTAAGGCTAATAATAATAACTATATATAAAAATAATTATGTCCTCTTCTAATCCCTTCTTAGGTCTATAAATCCTTTTTTTAATAAGTAGGTAGCTTTCCTATTAATTTATCCCTTAAATTAACTACTATATAATTCTTATAACTATACTACTTAACCTTACTATAATTATCCCCTTAGACCTATTATCTTAATC